CTCTCCCTCATCTCCTCTCCTTCTTCGTCCACCATTAACCTCTTCACAGCTTTCTCGACCCCTCCTATATTTAGCTCACCTTCCACTTGAATCCCAACTTTCCAAACACACTCCAAGTACCTCGCATTCACCTTTTGATCAGTAGAAAACGGCCTACAGATCATTGGAACTCCTTCCCCGAGGCTCTCTAGCGTCGAGTTCCATCCACAATGACTCCAAAACGCTCCTACCGCAGGATGAGCAAGTACTTCTTTCTGCGGAGCCCATTTCACAATGTAACCTCGACGAGAAACCATCTTAAGAAACTCCTCATGCAAACACTCTATCCATTCTGAATCACATATTGAGCCTGGTCTGATCACCCACAAGAAGTGTTGGTTGCTACTATCCAAACCTGAAGCAGTTTGCATCACCTCATTGACTTCCATCAAAGCTAAGCTTCCCAAGCTTATGTATATCACCGAGTTTACCTTTTGTTTGTTCAGCCATTCGATACAGCTCTTGTTCTCTTCAAGCAGACTCGTTGGAGCTGAGGCCACTATGTGAAGAGGGCCTATTGGATAAACAGGAATAACTAGACGTTCTTGTTGTAGCCAAGAAAGAGATGAGCTCTCTAGACAGCTCGCCGTGTTGATTATCACAGCGGAAGCTGCACGTTCATCAACTGTATTCCTATACAGCTCAAGTATGCTTTCTAATGTGGCCCAACATGAAACCGGAAAGTCTTTGTACCTCAGGGGATGAAACTCAGGCACTAGCTCATCTTGCTGTCCTTTGGAATCTGCAAGAAAATGTCAAAACCATACAGTTACAAAATTACTGACGCTTGCAAAAACCAGAAATCAAGAATTCTAGAGCACCTTTCAGGGGAGCCAAGACATTGTTTGCATAGAGTTTCTCGAAGACAGAGCGACAAACAAAAGTCGTTGCATTGGTAGTGCTGAAAATAACGTTTGGAAGCTTAAACTCCTTGGCTGCATCTCCAGCAAAGTACATGAACTCGTCGTAGATGACACATGAGATCTCATTACCTTGTTGTACCAACAAGTGACCCAAACAGTCCTTGAAGCTCATCTGACACTCTTTGTTGAGTTTAAGCAGAAACAGTATTGGCCTGAGATCGTCGAAATCAGACTCTGGTAAGCTCTCTGGAATTGTGACAAACTGAAAATCAGAGAAGTCATCTGAAGGGATAAAGTAATTGAACTTGGTCTGAGCAACTGTAATTGAGAAACCCTTCGAGTGAAGAGCTTTTGCAAGTTGCATCATTGGAGTTATATGTCCTTGTGCTGGTACTGGAACCAACACTACCCTTCTCCTCGTTGGCTTTTCCTCCATTTCAAGAACCTGCAATAAAAACGAAGAGAAAAGTCTATTCAGCTATATGCTTCAGAGTATACTTACTTTGTTCCTCTATTTTTTTTTTTTTGCAGTAACGTATATATGATATTTATTGATTTTCAGGCTTGTAGGCAAGTGGTTGATAGAGTCTGTCATTACGATGAAGCGGTTACAAAAGCAAAGATGCTCATGTCTTCTTCTTGGTCATCTATTGTCGTATTTGGCTTCATATATATCAAAAGAAAATTCCAAATCATAAAATTGTCTTTTTCTTCTCATGCAGCAATTCCATCTTGAGAAAACTGCCTGAAAGAGATAATGGTGTCTGATTTGAATTGGTTTTATTTTGGATAGAAAACACACATCCTTTGTAATTATTTGGCAAGATCAAGCCTGATCCATACAAGTCATTAATGATCTCTAAAAATATATGTAGGTTCACTCTGTCGTCAAGTACTTGATGAGCTCATCCAATGCGTTTGTGATGAATATAACATTCCAATAGAAATAATTTAACTATAAGATCACATACATAGGGATGAATATATTTCTTACAGCTTAGTGAATACATGTTTTTCTTACATTCACCGCAAAGGTGCCAAAAACATATAATTTATTTGATAAATACCGCGTAAAGGGATACATGTCAAGCTTGATTTTATTTTAATGGTACCTGAAGTTCATTAGCTTAATTCCTTACTTTCTCCAAGTACTTGACAAACTCATCCAATGCACTGTACGACGAGCCTCCGCTTCTCACAGAGGCTTTGACCTTTTCTTTTAAAACTAGTGCTCTCTCCCTCATACTTGCACTTTCTTCATCCACAAGCAACCTCTTCACAGCTCTCTCCACAACTCCTCTTTCAACTTCACCTTCAATCTGAATCCCTATCTTCCAAATACTTTCTATATAGATTGCGTTTAACTTCTGCTCGCCGTGAAAAGGCCTGCAAATCATTGGAACTCCTTCCACAAGGCTCTCGAGTGTTGAGTTGCATCCACAGTGGCTCCAGAAACCTCCCACTGCAGGATGTGCAAGTACTTCCATCTGTGGTGCCCATTTAACTATGTACCCTTTTTCTGAGACAATCTTATTGACTTCCTCTGGCAATGGATCGGAGCCTTGTCGGATGACCCATAAGAAAGGTTGGTTGCTATCACACAATCCCAAAGCCATCTCCAAGACCTCCTTAGTTTTTATGGAAAATATGCTTCCTAAACTTATATATATATGACTGATCTCGGTTTCTGCTTGTTAAGCCATTCGATGCAGCTCATGTCTTCTTCACGTAAACTAGATGGTGCCGAAGATGTAATGTGAAGAGGGCCTCAAGAGTACACCGGAATTCCAAGTTCTTGTTCCAGCCATGTCAAAGAAGAGTTCTCTAGACAGCTCACCGTGTTGATGATAACAGCGAAAGCTCTTCTTTCCTTGACTGCTTCCTTGCAGAGATCCAAAACTCGCTCTACTGGCCCCAATCCTGAAACCGGTAGATCATTGTATCTTAATGGGTGCAAATTTTCCACCACCTTGTCTTGCACTTCATGATCTGCAGAGTCAGACACAAAAAAAATATTTTAGTGAAATGAGGTTGTTTCGAATGGGTTACTATTGAACTTTATTTGAGCACCTTCCATGTTGGCCAAGAACTTCTCAGCATTGACTTTGCTTAAAAAGGTACGGCAAGCTTGATTTGTAGCACTTGAAGTGTTGAATACGACACTAGGAAGTTTGAATTCCTTAGCTGCAGCTTCAGAAAAGTACATGAACTCGTCGTAGATGATACATGAAATATCATTGCCATGTTGCACCATCAAATGACCAATACAGTCCTTGAAGCTAGCCTCACTAGTTTTGTTGAGCGTCATCATAAACTCGATTGGTCCAAGTCTCTCGAACTCGGACTCTTGTAAGCTTTCCGGTATGGTGATAAATTGAAAACCAGGGAAGTCATGTTGTTGAGAAGAAGAGCTTACTTGATGGAAGTGTCCTTGAACAACTGTAACTGAGAAGCCCTTCATGTAAAGGGCTTTCCCGAGTTGCATAAAGGGGGTTACATGGCCTTGTACTGGAAGTGGGACTAACACTATCCTTCTCTTTGCTTGCCTTTTCTCCATTTCTCTTGCTCCTTCCTTTCATTTCTCAATGGAGAACAACTCTATAAATAAGTGATTCAAATAATTATTAAAATCCCATTTGTATTAAATATATTCCACTATCATCGAAAAATTTCCATTTAATATAGTTAAGTTTTTTCTAAAATTTGGTGAATAGAGCTAAAAAAACGTACGGATGAATCAGTGTCCACCAGATTTGGTTGATAGGGTATGTGGTTGATAGTGTATGAGTGTACGATGAGGCGGTTACAAAAGCAAAAGTGTGGTTGATAGTGTATGTAGGTGTAAATTGATGTGTGTGGGCGATGATGTGTCTCTCTCTCATTACACTCTCTTCCTTAACACATTTGATGTATTTTTAAGTTTTTTTTTTGTATGAATGTATTTTTAAGTTGCTCATATCTAAGCACGATACAACCGAACCCAACCACACGGTCCACACCATAAATCTGGCATGTAAATCTAGATCAATCAACTCTCAAAGCAATGATTTTCTCATAATTGAGTATGCGAGAAAAGTTTAGAAAGGTAAGTTAGAGAATAACTCATACAGTCATACTTATCTCTTCTTTAATCTGAGTCTTATGTATTCTCAAGATGCACTTATTTTTAAGTTGGTGAATATTTTTGGTTGGTACTATCATCATCCTGAAATCATGATTTGCTGGCCATGCAACGTATATTAGCTTTGTTCCTCCTTACATGATCCAATTATTTCATGACATAATAAAAGCTTGGATATTTCCCACGTTTCCAATAAGCTTATTAATGGTCTTTGAAATTTGATTATATATGTTGGAAACTTGTGTTCATGGCCATGTAAGAAACCTAGATTTTCTATATTTCTTGTTATGGTAATGGAACCAGCACTATTCTTCTCTTCACTAACCACTACTCTTTTCTCCATTTCGTAACCTCTATCTTTACTTGAAACATAGAGGACTTGATCGATCCCATCAACACGAATTATAGCCTCTCTTTACTTATAGACTTATAGTTATATTAAATTAATAAAAATTAAAATTTGGTATAATTTTAATCCCACGCATAGCGCGGATCAAATTTTTAGTTAATTTTTAGTTAATCTCACTAATTTTCTCTAAAAAGAAACTAAGTCAATAATATAAAGGCGAGTGTCAGGATTTTTTAAAGAGTCTTACAAAATATCTCAAATAGAATTATTTTCTCTCTTCTTTTATTTTATTTTTATTATTCTATTTTTAATATAAGAGTTTTTAAATGAGTATCTTAATCCGCTACTAATTTCTCAACAATATATACAAATTTAGCCGACTATCAAAGAAGGGACCAAATTCATGAATCAGGGAGTCGTACAGAAGCTCAACGCAGATCACTCTCTCACTGACACTTCCAAACTTTAAACAATGAAGTTCACGAAGAAGAAACTATTTCCCGATTCTCAGCATAACTCAATAACAGAAGCGAAACATTTAAAAGAGAAAAAAAAAGATTATTTGAAAGAAAAAAAAAGGATTTAAGGTCCACAAAGCTTGAAGTGGGTTACATGAAATTCAACATCTTTACTTCCTCTCCAAGTAATTGACAAACTCATCGAGTGCATTGTACGACGAGCCTCCGCTTCTAACTGCAGCTTTGACTTTTTCTTTTAAAACTAGTGCTCTCTCCCTCATACTTGCACTTTCTTCATCCACAAGCAACCTCGTCACAGCTCTCTCCACAACTCCTCTTTCAACTTCACCTTCAATCTCAACCCCTATCTTCCAAACACTTTCTATATACATTGCGTTTAACTTCTGCTCGCCGTGAAATGGCCTGCAAATCATTGGAACTCCTACTCCAATGCTCTCGAGTGTTGAGTTCCATCCACTATGGCACCAGTAACCTCCCACTGCGGGATGTTCAAGTACTTTTATCTGCGGTGCCCATTTTACAATGTATCCTTTTTCTGACACAATCTTACTTACTTCCTCTGGCAACCACTCCGAGCCAGAGATAGAGCCCGGTCGGATGACCCATAAGAAAGGTTGGTTGCTATTATACAATCCCCAAGCCATCTCCAAAACTTCCTTGGTTTCCATTTGAGCCTGGCTTCCAAAGCTTATGTATATGACCGACCTCGGTTTCTGCTTGTTCAGCCATTCAATGCAGCTCATATCCTCTTCCAGTATACTAGAGTTTACTGAAGCTGTAATGTGAAGAGGACCTATTGGGAACACTGGAATTCCGAGTTCTTGTTGTAGCCATGATAGAGACGAGCTCTCTAGAAAGCTCGCCGTGTTGATGATCATAGCAGAAACTTTTCTGCTACCAATTTCCCTAAATATCTCCAAAAATGGCTCCAATGGACCCATTCCTAAATTCTCTAGGTGTTTGTATTTTAATGGATGTAAATTTTCCACCAACTTGTCACGCACGTCAGGATCTGTAAAGCCAAAAAGCCTGCGTTGAGTTAAAGGGAGAGATGCATAATGGTTAATAAGCAAGTTTTGGGTTACCTTTAATTTCCACCAGAAACTTCTCGGCATTGACCTTGCTTAAAACACAGCCGCAAACTTGATGTGTGGCACTGACAGTGCTGAATCTGACACTTGGAATCTTGAATTCCTCAGCTGCATATTGAGAGAAGTACATGAGGTCGTCGTAGATGATACATGCAATATCATTGTCATGTTGTAGCAACAACTGAGCTATACACTCCTTGAAGCTTGCCTCGCTGGTTTTGTTGAGATTCTTTAGAAACTCTGCTGGTCCGAATTTCTTGAGAGACATCGGTACGCTTTCTGGTATGATGACAAAATGAAAGTCAGGGAAGTGTTGCGGAGAGATTACTTGATTGGATTCACCCAAAGCAACTGTAATCGAGAAGCCCTTCAAGTGAAGGGCTTGACCGAGTTGCATCATTGTAGTTAGATGTCCTTGCTCTGGAAATGGAACCAACACTATCCATTTCTTGTATGTTCTTTTCTCCATTTCTTGACCTCTATTTCTCTCTTCTTGAATCGTAGAGTGCTTGATTCATCTTGTATATCCGATCAACATGAATTTTAGGCCTCTCGTTTGGGCTGTAACATGTGGACTTTTCTTCTTCACAAACATATTTTCTTACTGTCGGCAGGCAACAAAAATGTAATACTAGAATAAAAAACAGATGGGCATAGTAGAAACTGTTTAATGTTTAAAAGTAGTTGATCCGCGAGAAGAGTTTATATTGCCATCTACTCTACGTGGGACCAATAACAAACGTTTGAGTATTGTGTGGCTTGGCGTGCATTCAAGTCCAGTAGTTCGAAATTCGAATTATTTCATTTTATATTAAAGAGGGAAGGTCCCTTTTAATTGTAATTAAAATAACAATGAAATTTACGAAGAAGAAAATCTTTCCCGATTCTCAGCATAACTCAACAACGCAAGCAAAACACTGACATTAAGAAATTATTTGTAAAGTTCAACATCGTTACTTCTTCTCCAAGTAATTGGCAAGCTCATCCAATGCATTGTATGAGGACCCTCCGCTCCTTACAGAGGCTTTGAGCTTATCTTTTAAAACATGTGCTCTCTCCCTCATGCACGCACCTTCTTCATCCACAAGCAACCTCTTAACAGCTCTCTCCACCACTCCTCTTTCAACTTTACCTTCAATCTGTATCCCTACACTCCAAACACTTTCTATATACATGGCGTTTAACTTTTGCTCTCCGGTAAAAGGCCTGCAAATCAATGGAACTCCTTCCACAATGCTCTCGAGTGTTGAGTTCCATCCACAATGGCTCCAGAAGCCTCCCACTGCAGGATGTCCAAGTACTTCATTCTGCGGCGCCCACTTCACAATGTATCCTTTTGCTGAGACAATCTTACTGACTTCCTCTGGCAGTGACTCCAATCCCGGGGTAGATTCTGGTCGAATGACCCATAGGAATGGTTGGTTGCTATTAGACAATCCCCAAGCCATCTCCAAAACTTCTTTGGTTTCTATATGAGCTTTGCTTCCAAAGCTTACATATATGACCGACCTCGGTTTCTGCTTGTTCAGCCATTCAATGCAGCTCATGTCCTCTTCAAGCAAACTAGAATTTGTTGAAGCTGCTGTAATGTGAAGAGGGCCTAATGGGAACACTGGAATTCCGAGTTCTTGGTTAAGCCATGATAGAGACGAGCTCTCTAGACAGCTCGCCGTGTTGATGATAACAGCAGAAGCTGTTCTTTTGTTGACTACTATCCTACAGATCTCCAAAAATTGCTCCAGTGGCCCCATTCCCCAAGTCGGTAGGTGTTTGTATCTTAATGGATGCAAATTTCCCACCACCTTGTCTTGTTCTTCCGGATCTGAAACATACAAAAATATCCTCTGCTGAGTAAAAGGTTCTTGTTACAGAATGGTTAATAAGCTAGTTTTGGTTACCTTCAATGTCGATCAAGAACTTCTTGGCATCGAGTTTGCTTAAAACACGGACGCAAACTTGATTTGTTGCACTTGCAGTGCTGAATATGACAATGGGAAGCTTGAACTCCGTAGCTGCAGCTTCAGAGAAGTACATGAGCTCGTCGTAGATGATACATGCAATATCATTGCCTTGTTGTAGCAACAACTGAGCTATACACTCCTTGAAGCTTGCCTCACTAGTTCTGTTGAGCTTCTTCAGAAACTCCACTGGTCCAAGTATCTGGATTTGAGACACCGGTATGCTTTCTTGTATGGGGACAAATTGAAAATCAGGGAAGTCTTTAGAAGAGCTTACTAGATTGGATTCTCCCACAACAACTGTAATTGCGAAGCCCTTCAAGTTAAGGGCTTGACCGAGTTGCATCATAGGATTCATATGTCCTTGTAATGCGATTGGAACCAACACTATCCTTCTCTTCTCTGCTATTTTCTCCATTGCTTAATACCTCTGTCTCCCTTCTTTCATATCTTCAATGCAAAAACAGCTCTAAATAGGTTATATCATAGTATTATTAAAATCCCAGTAGCATTGGATTCTAAAATCTTGCAGAGAAGACAATGTTATATAATTAAGTGTTCCTCAAATGCCAACTAATGGTTTCTTTTAAAATGTTAGTGGCTTTAGTATATTTCATTTCCTCCAAACTAGCGACAAGCTCTTGCTTGGCAGAGAAGATATTACCACATGCAAAACTAATAATTCTCTAATTATTAGATTAAAATAGGAACAGCCTTTGTCTCAGATCAGTTGATTACAGGCTGTGAAAATAAGGTTGGTGTACGATTAAGTATTTTTGGCTGGTATCATCACTAGAAGACAATACATAGATTAGAGTAGTTTATCTTATGAAGATTAAGCATGAATATACTACTTTGATAAACTCTGTCTCAAGGAGCTTTTGGTCGGTATGATATTATTTATACAGAAGCACACTTTATGATTCTGCATGTGAAATTGTGAGGGATGTTCAAACAGCAATCAGTAGATGCAACATGTAAAATGAATCTTCTTTATATTTTGCTTGTCTATAGTCTATACATTCTTACCTCTCATAAAGCATGAGAACTGTTACATTTCTGTTTATTATTTTGTTGACGAGGATTTTCTCAGAGATCTTTAAACAACTGAGAGGAATTAGTGGTCGCCTACAAAATTACCTCCAAAACTAATAGAGTTAATCACATGACATAGTAAAAATATTGGATCTTCCTCTGTTTCCAGTAGTCTTGCAAATTAGATATATTGGAAATTTGTATTCATGGCCATAAGGAGCCTACATTGGCCAAATTAGATAAACTGTATCTTTTTTTGTTGCGTGAAGTTCCTCAGTTTAATTCTGTCTTTAGGAATTGCTACATGAACTTAAGCATCTTTTCACTCTGTCTCCAAGTACTTTACAAGCTCGTCCAATGCATTGTATGAGCAGCCTCCGCTTCTTACAGAGGCTTTGAGCTTCTCTTTCAAAACATGTGCTCTCTCCCTCATGCACGCACCTTCTTCATCCACAAGCAACCTCTTCACAGCTCTCTCCACAACTCCTCTTTCAACTTCACCTTCAATCTGAATACCTATCTTCCAAACACTTTCTATATACAATGCGTTTATCTTCTGCTCTCCGCCAAAAGGCCTGCAAATCATTGGAACTCCCTCTACAATGCTCTCGAGTGTTGAGTTCCATCCACAATGGCTCCAAAAACTTCCCACTGCAGGATGTGCAAGTACTTCATTCTGTGGTGCCCATTTCACTATGTATCCTCTTTCTGAGACCATATTACTTACTTCCTCTGGCAAAGACTCTGAACCCGCTCGAATGACCCATAAGAATGGTTGGTTGCTATCATACAATCCCCAAGCTATCTCTGATACTTCCTTAGTTTCCATGTGAGCTTTGCTTCCAAAGCTTATGTATATGACTGACCTCGGTTTCTGCTTGTTTAGCCATTCAATACAGCTCATGTCCTCTTCCATTAAACTAGACTCCACCGCTGGAGCTGTTATGTGAAGAGGACCTAATGGGAACACTGGAATTCTCAGTTCTTGTTGTAGCCATGATAGAGACGAGCTCTCTAGACAGCTCGCCGTGTTGATGATCAAAGCGCAAGATGTTCTTTTGCTAAATATTTCTCTACAGAGCTCCAAAAATGGCTCCAATGGCCCCATTCCTGAAATCGGTAGGTGTTTGTATCTTAATGGATGCAAATTCTCCACCACTTTTTCTTGCACTTCAGGATCTGCAAAGCCAAAAAGACCTGTGTTGAGTAAAAAAGGCAAGTTGCAGAATGGTTAATAAGCTAGTTTTGGGTACCATTAATGTCGACCAAGAACTTCTCAGCATTGACTTTTCCTAAAACACAGCCGCAAACATGATTTGTACCACTGACAGTGCTGAATCTGACACTGGGAATCTTGAACTCTTTAGCTGCAGCTTCAGAGAAGTACATGAGTTCGTCGTAGATGATACATGTAATATCATTTCTCTGTTGCATCAACAACTGAGCTATACACTCCCTGAAGCTTGCCTCGCTGGTTTTGTTGAGATTCTTCAGAAAATCCACCGGTCCGAATCTCTGGAGTTGAGTCACCGGTACGCTTTCTGGTATGATGAAAAACTGAAAATCAGGGAAGTCTTTTGGAGAGCTTACTTGATTTGATTCTCCCACAGCAACTGTGATTGAGAAGCCCTTCAAGTTAAGGGTTTGACCGAGTTGCATCATTGGAGTTATATGTCCTTGTGATGGAAATGGAACCAACACGATCCGTCTCTTCTCTGCTCTGTTCTCCATTGCTAAACCTCTCTTTTTCTCTCTCCTAATGGTTTTTTCAACATAGACTTTCATTATGTTGAAGAGTCGTGCGCACGCTGATGAAGTAACACAAAAAGTCAATGGGTTTTTGTTTGTTTATTCTGGCTCACATATAAGGTATTAGTTAATCTCTCAAAAGGAGGTTTTTTTTGTCTCCTCTTACTTTGTTTGTTCTGTTTTAGGTTATTTGTTTTGTTTTTGGTTAAAGAACATTGTTTGTTCTGTCTGTATATGATTCTCTGCACATGAGACGTTACATTACCAACCATATGGTTATATATTTTTTTGTGAAGGTGAAGCCCCCTCCAAAGTATCAACAAGCACTTACTTTCTTGGCAGAGAAAATCTTACTCTTAACATATGCGAAATCATCAATTCTCAAATTATGGTGCAGTTATTCGATTAAAAAGGAACTGATTTTGTCTCGGATAAGGGTTACAGGCTGTGTAAATAAGGTTGGCACCGTATAACATTAAGTATTTTTAGTGTGTGTATATGGTTGAAAATTTCCGGTTGTTATCACCATCCTTATGCTCATGTAATCATCTTTTGTTGATCATGATCCAATTCTTTCATGACTTCATAAAAAGCTTGGATATTTCATATGTTTCCAGTAAGTTTATGAATGGTCTTTCAAATTTGATGGTATATTGTTGGAAAATTGTGTTCATGTCCATGTAAGAAACCTACATTCCTTTAACAGAGGACAATACAGAGTTCAGACAATTAGTTTCTTGCATTTGGATTTACTTAGGCAAGGAAATAGATTTTCTCACTACAAAAAAACTGCCAAAAGAGATCATTTTATTTTGAGAAAAATTGCATAAAAGGATATTCGTATTGTGATTTGTTATTTATTTGCATATGTCAATTTTGCAAGATCAAGCTTATTACATATATCAAAATTGAAAAAAAAAAGATGATTTGGTGTTACATGAAGTTCATCAACTTATTTCTGTCCATAGTAAATTGCATCCTTGTCACTCTGTTTCCAAGTACATGAAGTTATCTTCGTTTCTTCTCACGTGAATAATGATCGAAATGTATCATATGCATCGATTTCCAACTAACGCGCGCAATCGATCCGGAATCATCATCTTCAATGGCTGTCCTTCTTTTTGTACATGGCCAGCCCTATGTAGTGGGCAACCTAAAGCAAGGAAATTTTTGGTTTGGCCATAAATTTAAAAAGATAACAAAAATTACTACTTTGAGATTTGTACACATAACCTTGAACTCTATAAAAAGGAACATTGCTAAGAATTCTGGTACACACTATATCCTCCCTATGTTTCACAAAGAATGTCATTTTGACACTTTGTTATTGTTTCATAAATAATGTCATTTTATATTTTCAATGCAATTTTTAACTAAATATCACTTTTATCCCTATTATTTAAGCTTATTAATTAAATACATAATTAATATATGTAAAAATAACATAATGACACTCTTTGTCAAAAAGAAAATTTTACCTGCTTTAGCCAAGGGCATGTCCTGGTTTTGTACATCCAGCTCCATCAAATTGGGCATGGCCCCTTCTTCGATCCGCAACTCATCTAATCTTACCATGATCAAATCAAGCTTCCTCAGCCTACCAAAACCTTGTGCACTGATGTTCATCTTACCTCCTAGGTAATCACAATTTTTGAAGACTAGATCTTCCAGTCTCGGAAATTTCTGGAAAGCAGGCATTAGGTCTTCCTTGATATTTGATCCGACAAGGGTCAAACACTCAAGACTCGGAAATATGACATCCATGAACCCTACTGCTTCTTCCGATTCTGACAATAACTTAAAATTCTTCACCTCCAGCTTGAGGACGCGAAGTTTTGGCAGTTTAGAAAAAGAACTGAAGTCCAGAGGAGCTCTTTTCTGGTCAACCACCCTAGAGTAGTCATAGATTTCCAAATCCCGAAGATTTTTGAGTAACTCGTGTTTTGTAAGTTTGCTCCAGCTATAGGATGAAATAGTTCTCAAGGTCTGAAGGTCAACTGCATCACCTATTAGCAGTTCTCCAACGAATCTTCCGATGACATGCCTTAGTGATGTGAGGTTACGTAGATCGGTTCTTCCCTGGAAATAGTTGGAGTTTCCCGATGCATCGAGTGTCTGTAGAAAGTGTAAGTTTGAGATAAACTCTGGTATATTCCAGATAGAAGTATCAGCGATCCCAAGGTACCTCAGGTGGATTAAACCTCCGATCTCATCTGGTAATCTCGATTGCGATTCTCCGTTACAAAAAAAGTGAATCCCTCCAAGATTAAGCACTCGAAGTAGCTTCAGCTTCAAGGTAATGGTGTCTACGTAATTATCCAGCATCCCCTCTCCAAAGAACAAGAAAGATCGCATCCCTTTGTTCACACGCCTGTCGCACAAGTATTCCTTGTTCTTAAGATGGTGAACCACTTCCCTTCTGCAAGTAGTAGATGAATGTTGCTCCTTGTAAACATTTACAAAGTTGAGATCTTTTGCTTTCTCAACAGCCACATCCCTCAGAAGATCATGGATTCTACAAGACATCACTTTTCCTCTTTCTGTTCTCACTGTTTCGAGTAAGCTTCTGTCTATCAGCTCTTCGATGTAATATCGAGCTACATCTTCCATCTCTTCATCATCTTGTATAAATCCTTCTGCTACAAGTAATCTAACCAACTCCTCTACATCGATCTCGTAGTCTTCTGGAAAGACGCTGAGGTAAAGAAAGCAAAGTTTCAACTCGTGTTTCAGCTCCATGAAACTTAGATCAAACACAGTGGAGAACTGAATGGAGTCATCCTTTAGGCGTCGCCATAAACTGTCATACACATCGTTCCACTCGTTTGGCCTCTTCCTAGACATGAGCCCAGCAAGAACAACTATAGCAAGAGGCAGTCCACCACATTTTGTAACCATCTCTTTTCCGATTCTCTCCAGGTCTTGATTGACCGGTCTTATATCTCTAAATGCTTTCTGCTCAAACAAGTTCCAGCTTTCTTCAAATGTCAAGAACCTTAACTTATGGGCGTATACTCTCTGATCCACTCCTTCAGCAACAGCTCTGATACGAGTAGTGATGATGACTCTACTTCCGTTATGATTTCCTGGTAAAGCTCTCTTCAAGCTCTCCCACGCTTCTCTCTCCCATATATCATCTACCACCACCAAATACTTTTTCCCTTTTAGAAGACCATAAAGGTAAACTTCTAAGTCCTCCTCTGCAAGCATCCTAATTTTTTCTGTTTCCTCTCCATGAGTCACTCCCAAAGATCTAATAATTCTCATAAGCATATCTCTTATATCATACTCTTGAGAGCCATATGTCCATGCACGGTATTGGTGGAATTTTCTCTTCACATCCTCTGAGTTGTAGAGCTTCCTAGCAAGAGCAGTCTTTCCAAGACCTCCCATGCCGAATATGGAGATCATATATCTATTATGATCGCCATCATCATTAAGAAGCTTCGCCAAAAGAATCTTGAAATCATCTTCCAAACCAACTACACGCTCTTCCTGAACAATAGAACGAGCACGCCGAAGCTGCCTCACCCTCAAACCTGAAGTATTCTCTCCTGCTCGAGTCTCATTGAAGTTTCCTATGCCATAAGTCTCCCTCTTGCGTGTGACATCTAAGATTCTTCTCTGTAGGAGCTTGATATCATCAATTATGTTGTATGCATCCATCTTCTTGCCTATTTTGTTCGTCAATCTCCTCATGCCTCGCCTTTGTGATCTTTCTTCCGCTTTTAGGTAATAGCTGTCCAAAACATCTTCGACATCGTAAGCTATGTCTAACACCAGTTTTGTCCACATTTTTGAGGCCTCGTCTTCTTTTTCTCGAGCTTCAACATCCTTGAGATAACCTTGGATGCACATCAACTCTGCTTTCAGCTCTTCTAGTTCGTCTTTGATTCCCATCAACATGGACGCTTCTTCGATTAGATAGTTGCCCACCTTTCCTACGACGAAGCTCATAATCGCATCTACCATCTTTACGGGATCGGTTCAGCTGGAAAGATATCAAAACATCAAGAAGATTAAAGATATGCCTTTCTTTGCTTGTAGTTTTGGAAGCTTTGACACTTGACTTTGTGGATATTTGTTATTGATAGATGATTAAAAATTTCTTGGGATTCCCATATTGATATTCTGTCGGCACTTTGCCCTGTTGGTAAGTTGTTTAAGAAAAAATTGAAGTAGACGTGATACCGTTTGTGTAGACGTTATCTTTTTTTTGGGTGCAAATGTGAGATAAGTATACACATATGTTATAAGTTATCATTTGTCATAAGTTATCATGACATCACAGATCAATACGATTTTTAAAATAAGTATACACAAATGTGAAATAAGTTGTAAGCTATCATATGTCAACGATCAGTACGAATTTTTGTGTCATTTTCCGTTTTTTGTTTTTCAAATTTCACAAATTAAATATATACATGTAGTCATATACTAGAACTGATAAGTTAATTAGGTAAGTGGTAAAGGAACGGTCAAAATTATCACAAACGTTGTAATTCATTTTATTGTTTGACAATTAGGAAATAGTTGTGTCAAAGATTAGACAAAAAAAAAATTTGACCAAAGGCATAAGATAAGACAAATTTAGATTGTTGAAAACCTACGAAGTCGTATACTCGCTAGAATCTCACATCGGTTACAAAATCAGATGACTTATTAGAAAGAAGATAAAAAAACACAACGTTACAAGTTTATAAATCTCGATGTGAGAAATCCTAATCTCAACTCAGTAATCCACTATTAACTTTTCAGATATATTGAGATCAAAATTTCCCATACCCACGAGAATTAGGATCTTAAAAATATTTCTTATCTCTTTTGTAATGTTCCTTATGCCCTTGTTGGTGATTATTTACTCTTTCACGAAATATCCTAATCTCCTTTGTTTATTATGCCCTGATAGTGATTAAAACAAAAAAATAAAAATAGTCGAAGTAGACGTGAGAGTTGAGACCAATACAAACTCTCATTGGTTAACTTTTTATACGATCTTTCGTCGAAGTTTCGGTATATTGAAGTCGTGTATATTTTAGAGAAACATGATTTACGACGTAACGAAGCTCAACGGTCTCTCTCACTTACTCTTCAAACTTTAAACAATGAAGTTAAGAAGAAGAAACTCTTTCCCGTACGTTTCTCAGCATAACTCAACAACGCAAGCAAATTATTAACATTAAGCAATTATTTGAAAAAGATTAAAAAAAAAAGGATTTAAGATCCACCAAAGAAGAGATAAATTTGCAGAAGAGCTTGAACAGATCCTTGAAGAGAAAAATGACAAGCCAAAAGTGGGTTACATGAACTTACTTCTCAATGTTCTCATTCTTCTTAATAGAGTAATTGCAATAGATAGCTTCTTAATACCTCTCTTCAAACCGGAAGAACAGAGCACCAATTTTCTCTGCACATGAGACATTACGTACCTACCAACCATATGCTTATACTCTCTCTGTTTCAAATTAGTTGTCGTTTTGGCAAAATGTATCTGCAAATATTTGGATGTATCTGGATGTATTTTGATTCAGATACATCCAAATTTTTGCAGATACATTTTGCCAAAACGACAACTAATTTAAAACAGAGAGAGTATAAATTTTCTGTGAAGGCCCCTCCAAATTATCACCAAGCACTTCATTGCTTGGCACAGAATATCTAAACACATGTGAAACCAATAATTCACAAATCGTGTTGCAATGATTATTAGATTAAATGGAACAGCATTTGTCTCAAATTAGGTTACAGACTTTAAGAAATAAGGCTTGGTGTAACATTAAGTATTGTAGGCTGGTGTATATATGATTGAGTATTTTTGGTTGGTATCACCATCTTTAGGCTCCTCAAATCACCTTTTGCTGATCATGCAATGTATAAGAGCTTTGTTCCTCCTTGCATCATCAAGTTCGTTCATGACTTAATAAAAGCTTGCGTATGTCCTGTGTTTCCAACAAGTTTGCGAGTTATACCCATGAATGATCTTGCAAATTTGATGATATAAATATTGGAAATTTGTGTTCATGGCCATGTAATTAACTTTGGCCCTGATAAAAAGTATTGAAAAAATTCCTTTCGTCTCCTCCAATCTTGTTTCTTCAATCATCTTTTGCCGTTTAAGTAGTGTACAAACCAGGGCTCAGAAAAAGGACAAACAAAAACAAGAAAAATATCAAAATCACTTAATCATCACATAAACATTATTTTTACAATTACAAACACTCTTTTGCCAGGCAATAGTGATCAAAATTCATAATCTCTAAGTAATGCTCGCAATCGATCCGGAATCATCATCTTCGTTGGCTGGTGGATTACATGCAGCTCCATCAAACTAGGCATGGCCTCGCCTTGGATCCGCAACTCATCTAAACTTACTATGCTCAATCCAAGCTTCCTCAGCCGACAAAAACCTTGTGCGCTGATGCTCATCTTCCCTCCGCGGCAATAGCAATTTATCAGGACTAGATCCTCCAGTCTCGGAAATTTATGGAAAGCAGACATTAGGTCTTCCTCGATACTTGACTGGACAATTGTCAGAGACTTAAGACTGGGAAATATGGCATCCATGAATCCAACTGTTTCTTCCAATTCCGACAATAAATCAAATTTCACGTTCACCAGCTTCAGGAAGCGAAGGTTTGTCAGTTTAGAAAAAGAACTGAAGTACAGATCCTTAGAGTTGTTATCGATGATCTCCAAATCCAGAAGATTTCTTAGGAAGTCGTGGTTTGTAAGTTTGCTCCAGCTGTAGGATGAGATAGATCTCAAGGTCTGGAGGTTAATAACTGCTTCGCCTATTAGCAATTCTCCATTGAATTCTCCGGTGACATGTCTTAGTGATGTGAGCTTACGTAGATCGGTCCTATCCGTGAAGTGGTTCTCCGATGCATCGAGTGTCTGTAGAAAATGTAAGTTGGAGATAAAGACAGGTATATTCCATATATCTGTATTAGCGATCCCAAGGTACCTCAGGTGGATTAATCCTCCGATCACATCTGGTAAACTGTGGTCCCAAAATTGAACCCCTCCAAGATTAAGAACTCGAAGTACCTTGAGTTTCAAGGTAATGGTTTTTAAATAACTCACTTCCGTTTGGCTTTGTTGTCCAAAGAACAACAAGGATCGCAATCGTTTGTTCACACGTTTGTTGTTCGAGTAATTGTTGTTCATAAGATGGTGAAACACTTCCCTTCTGCAAGTAGTAGATGGATGCTGCTCGTTGTAAACATTTACAAAGTTGAGCTCTTTCGCTTTCTTAATAGCCATCTCTCTGAGAAGATCATGGATCCTACAAGACATCACTTTTCCTCTTTCTGTTCTCACTGTTTCGAGTAAGCTTCTGTCTATCAGCTCTTCGATGTAATACCGAGCCACATCTTCCATCATCTCTTCATCCTCTTGTATAAATCCTTCTGCCACAAGCAATCTTATCAACTGTTCAACATCGATCTCATAGTCTTCTGGAAACACACTAAGGTAAAGAAAGCAAAGTTTCAACTCGTGTCGCAGCTCCTTGAAACTTAGATCAAACACAGTTAAGAAGTGAATGGAGTCATCTTTTAGGCGTCCCCATAAACTGCCATACACATTGTTCCACTCGTTTGGCCTCTTCCTCGACAAAAGCCCACCCAGAACGACTATAGCAAGAGGTAATCCACCACATTTTGTAACTATATCTCTTCCGATTCTCTCCAGGTCTTTATCGACCGGTTTTATATTCTTGAATGCTTTCTTTTCTAACAACCTCCAGCTTTCTTCAAATGTCAAGAACCTTAACTTATGTGCGTAGACTCTCTCGTCAACACCTTCAGCAACGGCTCTGATACGTGTAGTGATGATGACTCTACTTCCGTTACGATTTCCTGGTAAAGCTCTCTTCAAGCTCTCCCACGCATCTCTCTCCCATATGTCATCTACCACCACCAAATACTTTTTACTCTGTAGAAGACCATAAAGGTAAATTTCTAACTCCTCCTCTGCAAACTTCCTCATCTTTTCCAACTCTTGCGCAGAAGCCACTCCCAAAGATCTAATGATTCTCATAAGCATATCTCTTATACTATACTCTTGAGAAACATAAGTCCATGCGCGGTATTGGAACTTTTTCTTCACATCCTCTGAGTTGTAGAGCTTCCTAGCAAGAGCAGTCTTTCCAAGACCTCCCATGCCGAATATGGAGATCATATATCTCTTTTTATTCCCATTATCATTAAGCAGCTTTTCCAAAAGAACCTTAGCATCATATTCCAAACCAACCACACGCTCTTCTTCATCAAAAGATCGAGCACGTCGAAGCTGCCTCTCCCTAAAACTTCCTCGAGGCGCACTGGAGTCACCTATGCCATAAGTCTCCCGCTTGCGAGTAACATCCAAGATTCTTCTCTTGAGGGTTTTGATATTATCAAGAATATTGTACGCATCTATGGTTTCGCCTACTTTGTTGGTCAATCTCGTCATGCGTCCCCTTTGTGATCTTTCTTCCGCTTTCAGGTAATAACTGTCCAAAACATCTTCGACATCGTAAGCTATGTCCAATACCAGTTTTGTCCACACTTTTGATGCCTCATCTTCTTGTTCTCGAGCTTCAACATCCTTGAGATAACCTTGGATGCACAACAACTCTGTCTTCAGCTCTTGTAGTTCGTCTTTGATTCCCATCACCATCGACGCTTCTTCGATGAGATAGTTGCCCATCTTTCCCACAACGAACCCCGTGATCGCATCTACCATTCTTTACAGGATCGTATCAACTGGTAAAATATCAAAATATGAAGACAGTTTGAAGATATGATTTGTTTGCTTTTAGCTTCGGAAGCTTTGACACTTGACTTTGTGGATATTTGTTATTGTTAGTTGATCAAATCCTGTAGCATCCTAATATTCTATTGGCACTATACCCTGTTGGTTAGTTGTTTAAATTTTTTTGGAAGTAGACGTGATACCCAATCTATAAGTTACCATTTGTCAACGGTCAGTACGATTTTGTGTGTTAGTTTCCAAATTTTTTTCTTGCAAAATTCACAAAATCTACACATTAAAATTGAATGAGCTAATTAGGTAAGTGGTAAAGGAACCTTGTCTTGTTCTTCAGGATCTGAAACATAAGAAAATAAAATAAAAATATCCTCTGCTGAGTACAAATCTTGTTGCAGAATGGTTAATAAGCTAGTTTTGGTTACCTTCAATGTCGATCAAGAACTTCTTGTCATCGAGTTTGCTTAAAACACGCACACAAACTTGATTTGTAGCACTGGCAGTGCTGAATATGACAATGGGAAGCTTGAACTCCTTAGCTGCAGCTTCAGAGAAGTACATGAGCTCGTCGTAGATGATACATGCAATATCATTGCCTTGTTGTAGCAACAACTGAGCTATACAGTCCTTGAAGCTTGCCTCACTAGTTTTGTTGAGCTTCTTCAGAAACTCCACTGGTCCAAGTATCTGGATTTGAGACACCGGTAGGCTTTCTTGAATGGGGACAAAGTGAAAATCAGGGAAGTCTTGAGAAGAGCTTACTTGATTTGATTCTCCCACAGCAACTGTAATTGAGAAGCCCTTCAAGTTAAGGGCTTGACCGAGTTGCATAATTGGATTTAAATGTCCTTGTGATGGAAACGGAACCAACACGATTCGTCTCTTCTCTGCTCTTTCTCCATTGCTAAACCTCTCTCTCTCTCTCTCTCTCTCTCTCTCTCTCTCTCTCTCTCTCTAATGGTTTCTTTTAATAAACATTAACCTTTCACTGTGTTGAAGAGTCGTGCTCACGCTAACCAAGTAACACAAAAAGTCAATGTTTTTTTGTCTGTTTGTTCTGCCTGTGAGAGAGAGAGTTTGTAGCTTTCACATAAGGTAATGTCAAAAGGGGTTTATTTTTTCTCCTCTAACTTTGTCTGTTCTGTTTTTGTTTTTGTTATTGTCTTTTTTTTGTGTTAAAGAACTCTGTTTGTTCTGATTGTATAGGATTCTCTGCACATGAGACATTAGTTAACAACCATATGCTTATATAAATTTTCTGTGAGGGTGAAGGCAAGGAAATCAACAAGCACTTCCTTGTTTGGCAGAAAAGATCAAGCAAATGCGAAACCAATAATTCTCTAATCGTGTTGCAATTATTTATTAGATTAAAAGGAACAGCCTTTTTCTCAAATCAAGTTACAGACTTTGAAAATAAGGTTGGTATAACATTAATAAGTACTGTAGGCTGGTGTATATGATTGAGTATTTTTGGTAGGTATCACCATCTTTAGGCTCCTGCAATCTCCCTTTGCTGATCATGCAATGTATATTACTATTAGCATTTGTTTCTGCTTGTGTGATCCAGTTCGTTCATGATCACTTGATAAAAGCTTGTATATTTCCTGTGTTTCCAATAAGTTTATGAGTTACCCCAATAAAATGATCTTGTAAAATTGATAATATATAGGGAAATTGATAATGATATTGCAAGGATACCCTACTATATATTGGGAAATTTGGGTTCATGGCTATGTAAGAAACCTACAGTCCTTCACCAAGGATAATACATGTTTTCAGATATCCATAGAAAGATACTCATATCTGATTGCAATTGCTTTTTTGTTTGCATGCGTAAATTTTAGATTTGCAGAAATTATAAATACGGATAAAAAAAAAATATACCTTTCGTCTCCTCCATCTCGTTTCTTCATCATCTTTTGAGGCCTTAAGCAGTGTATAACAATGGCTCGGAAAGAGGAATAAAAAACAATCAAAATCACCACATAAACAATACAATTACAAACACTTTTTTTTTGCAAACCATACAATTCAATTAGCTTTGTTTCTACTCGCGTGATCTGAGTCCAGACCCATTCCTGGCAATATTGACCAAAATTCATCGTCTCCAAGTAATGCTCGCAATCGATCCGGAATCATCATCTTCCCTGGCTGTCTTTTTCTTACATCCAGCTGCATCAAATTAGGCATGGCCTCTTCTTCGATCCGCAACTCATTCACTACTAAACTCGTCAATTCAAGCTTCCTCAGCCGACAAAAACCTTGTGCGCTGATGCTCATCTTTCTTCCTGGGTAATCACATTCTTCCAGGACCAGATCTTCCAGTCTTGGAAATTTTTGGAAAACAGACATGAGGTCTTCCTCGAGATTTGCTCGGACAATTGTTAGCGACTCAAGACTGGGAAGGATGACATCCATGTATCCAACTGCTTCTTTTGATTCCGACAATAACGTAATATTCTCCACATCCAGCTTGAGGACGCGAAGTTTTGTCAGGTTAGAAAAAGAACCGAAGTCCACAGTAGTTTTGTCTGCAAGATCAGAGTAGTCAGCGATCTCCAAATCCCGAAGATTTTGGAGTAACTCGTGTTTTGTAAGTTTGCTCCAGGTGTAGGATGAGATAGATCTCAAGGTCTGAATGTTCACTGCGTCGCCTATTAGCAATTCTCCAACGAATCTTCCCATGACATGCCTTAGTGATGTGAGGTTACGTAGATCGGTCCTACCACCCTTTATGTAGTTTCTCGATGCATCGAGTGTCTGTAGAAACGTTAACCGTAAGTTGGAGATAAAAGCTGGTATATCCTTGATTGAAGTATCAGCGATCCCAAGGTACCTCAGGTGGATTAAACCTCCGATCACATCTGGTAATCTGTCTTGAGATTCACAAACAAACTGAATCCCTCTCATATTAAGCACTCGGAGTAGCTTCATTTTCAAGGCTATGGTTTTATAATAACTCACTCCCATTTCGCTTCGTTCCCCAAAGAACAACAAGGATCGCATTCGTTTGATCACACGTCTGTCCTCCAAGTAATTGGTGTTCTTAAGATGGTGAACCACTTCCCTTCTGCAAGTAGTAGATGATGAATGCTGCTCCTTGTAAACATTTACAAAGTTGAGCTCTTTTGCTTTCTCAACAGCCACATCCCTCAAAAGATCATGGATTTTACACGACATCGCTTTTCCTCTTTCTAATCTCACTGTTTCTAGTAAGCTTCTGTCTATGAGCTCTTCGATGTAATATCGAGCCACATCTTCCATCATCTCTTCATCCTCTTGTATAAATCCTTCTGCTACAAGTAAGCATATCAACTGCTCTACATCGATCTCGTAGTCTTCTGGGAAGACGCTGAGGTAAAGAAAGCAAAGTTTCATTTCGTGTTGCAGCTCCTTAAAACTTAGATCAAACACAGTTGAGAAGTGAATGGAGTCATTCTTTAGGCGTCGCCATAAAGTGGCATACACATCGTTCCACTCGTTTGGCCTCTTCCTCGACATAAGCCCACCTAGAACGACTATAGCAAGAGGTAATCCATCACACTTTGTAACCATTTCTTTTCCGATTCTCTCCAGGTCTTTATCAACTGGTTTTATACCCCTAAACGCTTTCTGCTCAAACAAGTTCCAGCTTTCTTCAAATGTCAATTTCCTTAACTTATGGGCGTATACTCTCTCGTCCACACCTTCAGCCACGGCTTTGATACGTGTAGTGATGATGACTCTACTTCCATTATGATTCCTTGGTAAAGCTCTCTTCAAGCTCTCCCACGCTGCTTTCTTCCATATATCATCTACCACCACCAAATACTTTTTCCCTTGTAGAAGACGATAAAGGTAAACTTCTAAATCCTCCTCCGCAAACATCCTAATTTTTTCCATTTCTTCTCCTGAAGCCACTCCCAAAGATCTAATGATTCTCATAAGCATATCTTTAATATTATACTCTTGAGAAACATAAGTCCATGCTCGGTACTCGAATCTTTCCTTCACATCGCCAAGGTTATAAAGCTTCCTAGCAAGAGCAGTCTTTCCAAGACCTCCCATGCCGAATATGGAGATCATATATCTCTTTTCTTCCCCATCATCATTAAGAAGCTTTTCCAAAAGAACCTTAGCATTATCTTCCAAACCAACCACACGCTCTTGATCAACAACAGATCGAGCACGGCGAAGCTCCCTCACCCTAAAACTTGAAGTATTTCCTCCTCCTCGACGTTCACTGATGTTACCTATGCCATAAGTCTCCCGCTTGCGAGTAACATCCATGATTCTACTCTTGAGGGTTTTGATATCATCAACAATCTTGTACGCATCTTTGGTTTCGCCTATTTTGTTTGTCAATCTCCTCATGCCTCTCCTCTGTGATCTTTCTTCCGCTTTCATGTTATACCTGTCCAAAACATCTTCGACATCGTAAGCTATGTCCAATACCAGTTTTGTCCACACTTTTGAGGCCTCATCTTCTTTTTCTCGAGCTTCAACATCCTTGAGATAACCTTGGATGCACATCAACTCTGTCTTCAGCTCTTCTAGTTCGTCTTTGATTCCCATCAACCTGGACGCTTCTTCTATAAGATAGTTGCCCATCTTTCCCACAACGAACCCCGTGATCGCATCTACCATCTTCGCAGGATCGTATCAATTGGTAAAATCTCAAAATATTTGAAGATATGCTTTGTTTGCTTTTAGTTTCGGAAGCTTTGACACTTGACTTTGTGAATGTTTGTTATTGATAGTTGATCAAATCCTGCCGCATCCTAATATTCTATTGGCACTATGCTCTGTTAGTTAGTTGTTTAATTTTTTTTTTGGAAGTAGACGTGATACCCAATCTACAAGTTATTATTTGTCAACGATCAATACGATTTTTGTGTTAGTTTCCAATATATTTTTTTTTAAATATACACATATTAAAACTGAATGAGCTAATTAGGTAAATGGTTAAGGAACAGGTCAAATTATCGTAAACGTCGTAATTCATCTTTGTGTGACATAAAACAGTTGTGTCACACATGGCATAAAAGACCCCTAAAAGATAAGACAAATTTCGATTGTTTTTTTTTTTTTTTTTTTTTGCCATCAATTTCGATTGTTTAAAACCTACGAAGTCGTATCGTTCGTAGCTAAAATCCGACATCGGTTACAAAATCAGAACGCATATATGAAAGAAGAACAAAAAACACAATGTAACCAAGTTAGTAAATCTCGATGTGAGAAATCCAAATCTCAGCTCATCGTTCCACTATAATTTTCAGAGATATTGAGATCAATATGCCCATACCCACGAGAATTAGGATCTAAAAAATGTTTAAAATCTCTTCTGTTCCTTGTCCCCTGGCCCTGTTGGTGATTATTTACCCTTTCACGAAAGATACTAATCTCCTTTGTTCATTAATCATTATTATGCCCTGTTGGTGATTAAAAGGGAAAAGAAAAATTAAAGAAGAAATCGAAGTAGACGTGAGACCAATACAAACTCTCATTTGTCAACTTTTTATACAGTCTTCCGAGAAAGTTTCAGTACGTTGAAGTCGTGTACACTTTAAAGAAACATGATTCACGAAGAAGTCGTAAAGAAGCTCAACGGTCTCTCTCACTTACACTTCCAAACTTTAAACAATGAAGTTTACAAAGAAGAAACTCTTTCCGGGTTCTCAGCATAACTCAACAACGCAAGCAAACAATTAACATTAACCAATTATTTGAAAGAAAACAAAAAAGAAGGATTTAAGATGGGGATCCACAAAGGAAAGAGAAGTGAAAGAAATTTGCATAAGGGCTTTGATGATGAACAGATCCTTGAAGAGAAAAATGGCAAGCCTAGAGTGGGTTACATGAACTTACTTCTCATCATCACCCTTAATACCTCTCTCCAAACCGGAAGAACAGAGCACCACTTCCATTGTTATGGTCTACAGCGTATTCAGCTCGAACCAAGCCCAGCTTCACACCTACACCGTACGACGAACCCTGTCCCACTCTCCTGTAGACCGCTGTTGGGTTTCCCTTCACGTCCTTGGAGCTTCCCAAATCGTTTCCGTGCTCAGCAAAGGCGTAGACATGTGTGTTTTTCACAGGTATTCTGATCTCAGCACCGAGCTACAGCACAACGAAACATATCAGACAACACAATTCGGACTAAGGAAAACAATGTTCTTCTAATTGTTTGTTTGTTGTGTTTACCTCGAGAATGTTTCTAGCTGCACCGAGCTCACCCATGTTGTAACCACGAACAGAGTAAGGACCACCAAGGACAAAAGCATCATAGCTTGGAAGGTCACCAACGCAGCCACCGTAATGCCCATGGAGAACTAGAACCGGTGGCGGTGGCTTTCCAGCGCCTTCTTCTACTTGCTGCAGCTGAATGAATCTTGTCAATGTCAACTGGTGGCGGTTGAAGAACGGGAATTTGCTCCCGATACCTAGGCCTTGATCAACCTGCAAATACAGAACGTATAAGCTTATCGAGTATACATATGACTCATACTTACAAGCACGTTCTTATCATTGGGTAAACAAACAAACCTGAAAGACATTCCTCTCTCCAACAACAGCTCCATTAACGAACTTGGTATTGTCACGGGTGATGTTGGCTTGTAGAAAAGCCATTCTATCAACACCAGTACCACTGAGAGTCGTTGGAGGTCCATCAGCACTGATTCCACCGCTAGGTAGTAGTCTCTGACCATTTGCAGCGATGTGACTGCTTTCATCTCGGGTTGTGATCTCTTCCATCACAAGCCCATATGTAAACTTACTCTGACGGGTGAAGTTCTGCATGACCATACGTTTAAAACTAAGTGTTTGTAAGACAAAAAGAGTCGACTATGGCACTAATAAGTATGAGAAAGCTTACCTCAGTTATATTAGCTTTGGCACCAGCTCGATCAACCCAAATCGGAGGTACTTCCTCAACACCTGGCCCTCCAGTGAACACTGGGCTGAGTTTACGGCTGTTGAAGCAGCTTGTTTTGAATGTACGGTTACGTGGATTGTAAACACCGTCCAGATACGGGTGTACATACTCAAGCTTAAACGAAAGATCATCCTGCAGTAAAAAGAATATATAACATAAGGTTTGTACATAGCACACAGAAACAGAGAAAGATAGACGCATGATATAAAATGTAAAGAAGTCAATTTTGTAAGCTAATGGGTACCTGAGGATTCAAGAAGTTGCTAGTGGTCACTGAACCCATTAGAGACCTATTAAGACCATGGAGGTTTCGATGTTCGAAAGTAACAGAGCCACCTGGCTGGAATGAAGCCTGATGCACATAAACAAACAACAAATCAAACTCAAAAGGAATCCAATTTTCACAATCTGTACATACTCCAGTAAGAAAAAAGATTCATACCAATGTGGGAGCTCCACCGCGGCCAGGAACAATACTCCATTCAGTACTGACTTCAGCTGACTTCTGTTCTAGCTCTTTCAGCTTAATTTCAACGATAATGCCGCCTTCGTTTTTCTCATCCGGGCGTGGATTCACTTCAATGTTAGAGAACAGCCCTAGTGAGTTGATGTTCCTGAGTGCTTGCTTCCCAGCTTCAATGTTGAACACATATCCTTGACGAAGCTGATCAACAAAAAAATAGATACTTTCACTAAAAATAGATACTTAACAAATGAGATACAATCAGAACATTGTTTGGCATATCTATGAGGACATCAAAGCTACTGCCACAATCAAGATCACATGAATAACGAACAAAAAATTCAACTAATGAAAAATCCGACTTAGCAGAGCTTGCGGCACATACCTGCTTAGGCAATTCCCTGCGGACGACAGGGACTTGAGTGTTACCTTCAATCACATTCCCAAGCTTATCTTGAAACTGAATCACCAGCTGCGTAATGTCACCTTCCACAACTTCACAAACAACCTCCTTAGTGTTCAAATTCCCAAAATTCACAACCTGAGCACAAGCGTACCCTTCGTCCTGGTACCATTTCTGCACACGGTCCCTAATCTTCTGCAACAGCCTCGCACTCACTTTCCCTTGATCCCTCAGCATCTGCATCACCTCTCCGTACACCGGCGCCGGCAACAAACACGGCCTCGCTCTATCGATCCTCCTTTTGTAGTCCTTCTCAAGGCTCCTGTAGTACTCGAGCTTCTCCTTATCAGTCATGTCTGTGTCCATCTCGATCGGTTTCGACTGCACCATCAGCCCCACGTTGATGCATCGGAACCTGTCCGCGGATTGCCACGTGCTCTCCGCGAAGGAGATTGTCACTCCTAGGGTTCCGTCGGGCTTCGTCTTCCCTTCCAGGTCGACTTTCTCGAACATCCCGCAAGTGGCTAGGGTTTCGAGCTCCTTCTGCAATTGGGCTTTCGTGTAGACTCCCCCTGGCCGGATCGATACCATCTCGAAGAATGAATCCTCGGTGCCGATTGTGGCTTGTCTTCTCCGATCGAAGAAGACAATGTCGGAGACCTTATACTTCTTGAATCCGCTGAGCTTGTTCAATTGGACGACGATGTTCGCCGGGAGTCCGTGCGAATCCCAATCCGGTGACTGCTCCTCATCGGCGACTGCAGGAGCCGGAGAAAACAATTTCCCCCAAAATTCACCATCATTTCCATCTCCGCCGCCGCCTCCACCACCAAATCCGCCGAAATTCCCATCGCCTCCTCCTCCGCCGCCGCCGCTCAGAATCGACGGAAGATTTGAGATTCGGAATAGAAAGAGTGACGCAGCGGAGGAGACGGAGGCTACAGCAAGCGGTTTCGCGAGGTTTTTGAGGAGGGAATCTTTGGGAGATGGTTCGGTGTCTCGAGTAGGTAAGCTACTGCTGCATTTTATGGATGGGACACGAGGAGTCGGTGAGGAGATGCGAGGAAGGCGAGAAGAGGAAGGAGATAGAAACTTCCGCCGGGAAGAGATAGAAGTAGGAGTGGTAGAGCTCGCCGCCGGGATAAGCTGCCCGTTGACGGAGAAGGCGGCCATGGCGGAGTAGAAAGAGCAAAGATAAGGTTTTAGTGAGGAAATGCGAAGATTTTGGCTTCGGCAAAAGCTATATGTGTACTTGGGGTTTTATGCAAAGTCAGTGATAGAGATTCTCTTTTACACTACATTCCGTTTTTTTAGTATTTACTTAAAGAAAGCGTGACGTTTTCAGTAGTTGCAAACAGCACGCATGGTCTGGTGAAATGATGTGTAAAAGTAAAACTGCCGAGAGAAGAAGCTTATGCACGTGTGGGACATTTCACTTTGTGTTTCAAGTCTTTAAAGAGTTACACTAGTGTCTTTGTAATTTCTGGTTCTCATTTTTTTACTTCTTCAAGAAATTTTGTAAATTTTGAGTCCTATTATTCAGCTCAAAACGTCAATTTCTCAACCAAAAGACTCTGTCTGTTTAATTAGAGGCAATGGCTATTTAAAAGCAATTTTCTTGTGGTCTATCCAAGAACCTCGGAGAAAACAAGACTCGTGGACATGCACACATTTGTCTTGTCCTATATGTATCTTATGTCATCGTCGGAGAATCAAAGTTTCAAACAGAAAATCTACAAAGACGTTTCTCGTTTTTCTCAAATGTCGCCACAACTTGATCCGGTCGCTGAGCTAGAAAGCTTAAAAACACATGTTGATCATTCAGGAAGTCCCAGCTTCTCAACACTTGGCCAGCGTCACCAATGTAAGTCTCTTCAAGAAATGATCCATTTCGTTTGATGTGATGTTCTTGGACGCAAAATCCGCATTTTCATTCATACTTTTTTTTCAGCTGGTGAAGCTTCAAAGTTGTCACCTTCTGGTTCACCAAGAAAAGAAAATGAGCTTCAGGGAGAACATTCCCACCACAAGAAATCTTTATTCTCTAAAATGAAAGACAAGGCGAAAAAGCTGCAGCACAGTCTCAGCACCAAGAAGAGACATGATGAAGAAGGAGATGCAACCACATCGCCATCTAGCAGATCCGAACACCACGAAGCTAGGGAAAAAGAAGGTTATGCGACACTTTCACCACGCTACAAATCGAAAGACCGTAAACTCAGAGAAGAAGATCCTGAATATCTTGGAGCCCCAAGTAATTCAAACAGAGCAAACCTGCATAAACAACTACTTTTGTTTATAGGAAGTTCTTAAGACTGAATGATTGTCTCGTGTGATATTTTTTCAGTGTATGAATCAAAGAAGGCACCTGAAGAGTTAAAGGAGACTGCAAGACAGCATCCCCGGGAAAATCCTGTGATCACTGAGACAAATGTCTTGTCTGTTCTCCCAACCAAACACGACGCTGAAAATGAAAAAGATTGTACAGGTTCCAACACAGAAAACCCTGTGATCTCTGAGAAGAATGTATTGTCTGATGTGAAGCCTTCTGATTCTGACAAAACAACAGCAACAGAACCTATAAGTCCAAGCAAGACGGTAACAGAAACCGTAACAGAGAAGCTAGCACCAGCTTATGCTAAAGTCTCTGACGCAACACAAGCTATAACTAAGAAGATTCAAGATATGGCTTTCCCAGAATCAACAGAGACAGAAACACAGGTTAATGATGTTTCAGAAATCAACACTGCAGGAAGTAACCAGCCCTCTGGTTTCAATACTAAGGTACTATATCTTGTTTACATGTGTTACCTTCTACATCTTGTGTTTGCGTTTTGAGTCAAATGCATCATTAAGTCATCTTGTGTTTGCAACAATGTGGCGTTCAGGTATGGGACAAAGGCGTATCGATGAAGGAATACATAATCCAGAAGTTTGAGCCTGGTGAAGACGATAGAGCACTTTCTCGAGTGATATCTGAAGCTATAAGTCCTCGTAAAGCTTCTTCTGAGACTGCTACATTTAGTGGAGCCACCACAAGCACGGTACCTGCTCCAAATTCAGCAGACACCAAAGCTCCTCTTTTAGCCAACACGAGTGAAAGTGAGTTCCTCACTTAATCTCCAACTATAAACAAATTGATTCAACCATATGAGTCTGACTAACCTGCATTTGTCTTGCTGCAGTTGTTGAGGAAGAAAATCTTGGGAAGCTGCTTCAACAAAACTAAAGAACAGAGAAGGGTTTGTTTAATCTGTGTATTATTTACAAAAGCCTCTACCTGAGAAAGAGCTCTCTGTTTCAATCCTCATTTTTCCTCTTTTAGTTATTATACCAAAACCCAGATTCATAGTCTGAAGTCTGTTGTATACATAAGAAATTGAAGATTCCAATACATCTTTTTGTTTTTTCTCATTCATTTAATGGACAGTTTCTATTGACAAAAGGATTTTGTTTCCTTCTTTCTTGTAGTTGACTTCTGTAGTAAGAAGAAAATATTTCATCTACAGAAAAAATATATTTGAATATTGAATTCATCCAGGTGATCAAACAGATGAACTTGTTCAACGTGCAATATAAATTTCATTTAATGATAACGAAAATCTTCAATCAAGATTATGAATGCTACTAGTCTGATTAAATACCATTTCAAGAGATTAATTACCATTAAAGAACAAGAATGGACGGTATGGTACAACAGTTGACCTTACCCTTGAAACAAAGTGGTCTGCAAGTCATTGCCCACAACACAAAAACCACCAAACAGAGAGGGCTTTTGTCAAACTTGCAACAGACACAACAATGGCATTCACAAAAATGTTTAAGAAAACAAAGTAAAAGCTGTCTTGATTACCTGAAAAATACTCTGAAAATGGGAGCAGCATTAAGATCAATGTATGCAAACAGCAAGTACGAAGAAGTCCGAGAAGAATGGGAGGAAGATTACAGCCCTCAGAGGTTCTCTTACAAAGCTCTCTACAAAGCCACAAAAGGGTTCAAAGAGAGCGAGTTGCTCGGAACTGAGGCAAACGGGACAGTCTACAGAGGAAAGCTCTCATCCAATGCACAGATCGCTATCAAGAAAGTTTCTTTGGATGCAGAACAAGACACCAAGCACCTGGTTTCTCAGATTGTTGGTATTGGGAAGTTAAGGCACAAGAACCTCGTGCAGCTCTTAGGATACTGCAGAAGAAAAGGCGAGTTACTCTTGGTCTACGACTACATGCCTTACGGAAACCTAGACGATTTCTTGTTTAACGAAGAGAAGCCTAAGCTTAGCTGGTCCCAAAGGTTTCACATCATCAAGGGAGTGGCTTCGGCTCTTCTCTACCTACACGAGCAGATCGTTCTCCACAGAGACGTCAAAGCAGCAAACGTACTCTTAGACGAGGATCTAAACGGGAGGCTAGACTTCGGTCTGGCTATATTCGGCACAAACAGGAACCCCATGCTTGGAAGCGTAGGTTACATAGCTCCAGAGCTTATCATCACAGGAATGCCAACAACAAAAGCAGATGTTTATTCGTTTGGGGCATTGCTACTTGAGTTTGCATGTGGGAGAATGTTCATAGAGTATCCAGGGAAGCCTGAGGAGTTCAATCTGATCAGCTGGGTGTGTCAATGCTCGAAAAGAGGGAACTTGGTCGGTGCAAGGGATGCAAGACTAGAAGGAGATTACGTCAGCAAGGAGATGGAGATGGTGCTGAAGCTTGGTCTGCTATGTGCTCAGTACAATCCAGAGGACCGGCCTAGCATGTCTCAGGTGGTGAGCTATCTTGAAGGTAATGATGTTTTGCCTGAGATGCCTCCAGACACTCCTGGGATCAGTATTCCCACACCGTACCATGAAGTTCTGGCGTAGCAGCATTGTGTTTCTAGTGCCAAAAAATCTGCAGAAACAAGCCAAAGTTACAAGACATTTCAATGGAAGAACGGTATAATTTTTGCAACATTTCTTTACGGTTTTTCCTCCTTATGTAAGTCACTATGTATGAATTGTAAGGTAAGCATTTACTGATTGGACTACTTCAAAATACAAACCCATATTGGTCAGGACATAATGTTATAATGGCATGAAAGAAGTTTCAAAAACATGTTACAGTCATTGTCACAAGTAGAGTTTTGCCTCCATTGCACCAACAGAGAAGTGTTGCCATAAATCATCTCTCTTTATATCTAAGCACTTACTTCTCATCTTCTTTTTTACTATGTTTTAAAGGAATAGCATTTGCCCTTAAAAGCTTTTGACTTCTACAATTATCTTGATTTCTGTTACAAATTCTGATATCTAGCTTGGTTTCACTCAGCCTAATGATGTATGTAAAACCGCAAAAGATGGAATCACTCTCAATCATTTTCAATCAAAAGGAAATTGGTAAATCACATTTAATAAGCAAAATTTTGTATTCTCTTTCATTTTTTGGCAATGACTGCACTGGGTGTAAAAAAACATTACAAGAGCGTTTAACTTGGTTTCAGAAATCGAACAACTTACCAGGTCGGAGAAAAACAGAAAACGAACGATTTGATCAATTGATTCGGAGAAATGAAAGTAACTTTTTTTATTTTTTTTTCTGCCGGAATCACAACCGGCGAGGGACCGGAAACCCCACTCACCGTTTTCATTATCCCTTTCGACAGATCGCCATTATGAATCTCGAAGCAGAAACATGTATCTGTGATTTGTAAGCGCGGGAAAATTGATTGATTTAGGCTGATCAGTAAGATCTGACCCGATTCCAATGGAATCAGTTCAATTCAGAAGAAACTGGATTCTGACTATATTACCCTCAACTCCATAACGCGGAATGTGGGCTCTAATTAGGCCCAATATGTATGGGCCCCTAGATATTTACTCTCTCTGGATGGTAATAGTTGATTTTAATTTTTAGATTATTACACAGTAACCGTTCGGAATTGATGAGCGACTACTATTTACGTAACCTGAAGCGATAACAGAGCTTGCTCTGTTTGTTTCCATTTTCATAAGCTTGAGTGTGTAATATTAAGTGCTTCTCTCTCTCTCACTCTCATAAACTGATCTTGAATCTTCATTTCTTCTTATCTTTATCTCTCTCTCTCTTACGCCATCACTCTCTTTCTCTCCTTCGTTCTATCTCTCTCTAACACAAGTTTTACAAAAAGGGCCATAGAAAGTAGAAGTTGAACAGATCTCAACTCAATACGTGAGACTCGAAGAATATGAACATCCAAGGTTCCGTTCAGAAGTTTTTCAAAGTCTACTTACCCAATGGCACCAATGATGATATGGTAAGTCGCTTCAATCTCTCTAACAGAGCATTTTCTCGTTCTGTTTTTCCTTTTCTCTTTGCAAGATCTTGCCTTTTGGCCTAGATTTAGATGATGAATACGGAAAAGGCTTGAAAGATTTGGAAAAAAAACGAATTGTGGGTTTTAGTTTTGTTTAAATGTGAAAAAATTCGCAAGATTGAAGCGAATCAATCTCTCTAACAGAGGATATATGGTGTTCTGTTTTGTTTTTTACAAGATCTTGCCTTTTTGCCGATATTGAGATGATAAATACGGAAAAGTATTAGGATACGATCGTATCCCCTGTTTTGCTGATCACGCAAGTGATTGATTCACTTTCCTTTGTACTACTCTTGTATAGTTATTGAGAATATGTCTCTTTAGGAAAGTAGATTCGCTTAGCTCTGTATATAACGATGTAATAGCTCTTGTGAATGATCATCCAGAAATATTACAATCATTCCTCTCACTCTGTTATTCTTCATGGTATCAGAGCCTGAAACTTTCTTTTTCTGAAAATATTTGTCTTTTCTCTTTTTCTTGATTGATTGATCATGTCCGAAAATGGTGTTCCACCTCTGAATCCAACTGCTGTTCCAATCACGAACCCGATAACAACGGAAGTGAGAAGGACAATCTCTCCCTATGATTTGACTGCTGCCGATAACCCTGGCGCTGTGATTTCGCATCCTCTGCTCAAGGGATCGAATTACGATGAATGGGCTATTGGTTTGAAGACAGCTCTTTCTTCTCGAAAGAAGTTTGGCTTCCTTGATGGATCCATTCCTCGTCCAGCTGATGGGTCTTCTGATCTCGACGATTGGTGGACGATTCAAGCCTTGCTTGTATCGTGGATCAAGATGACTATTGATCCTGCTCTTCGATCCAGCATCTCTCATCGTGATGTTGCGAAAGATCTGTGGGATCATTTGAAGAAAAGGTTCTCGGTGACTAACGGACCTCGGATTCAACAACTTAAGGCGGAGTTGGCTTGTTGCAAGCAGCGTGGACTCGCCATTGAAGCTTACTATGGAAAGATGAACCGAATTTGGGACAACATGGCTCAATACAGACCGTTACGCGTCTGCAAATGTGGTAAATGTGAGTGTGATTTGGGGACTCTCCATGAGCAAGATCGTGAAACAGAGAAGGTTCATGAGTTTCTCTCTGGTCTTGATGAGAAATATCAAACCGTTCGGTCTGCTCTTGTTTCTCGTACACCAATTCAGTCTTTGGAGGAGGTGTATAATGTCGTGAGACAAGAAGAGGTCTTGAAGACAACATCAAGTCCTGTTGAAGTAACGCCGGAAGTAACTGCTTATGCTGCTCAATCTCGGGAGCGCACATCTTACTCTCGGTCTGATGAAGCTGAAAAATGCAAACATTGTCATCGCGGCCATCCGTCTGATCGGTGTTTTGCTGTCATTGGTTATCCGGAATGGTGGGGAGATCGTCCCAAAACTCGGACATTGCAAAGCAGAGGACGTGGTGGTGTTTCCTCGTTTGGTGGTCGTGGTCGTGGTGTTAATTACGCTAACGCCGTTCATGTGCCACAACTACCACCACCTGAACAAGCCAACCATGTCTTCACTGACAAAGATCGTGATGGAGTCCATGGTCTCAGTGATGCTCAGTGGCGTACGCTGGTCAGTTTGTTGAATGCCGGGAGCAACGGTACCAACACTGAAAAACTCTCGGGTATGTATTCTTCTCCGTCTTGGATTCTTGATACGGGTGCATCTCATCATTTGACTGGATCATTGCATATCCTCACTGATATTCGAGAGATGGATCCAGTTTTGGTAATTTTGGCTGATGGCCGAGAGCGGATATCAGTAACGGAAGGCACTGTTGCTTTAGGACCTAATCTGATCTTGAAATCTGTGTTTTATGTTGAAGAGCTCAAGTCCGATTTGATTTCAGTGGGTCAGTTAATGGATGAGAATAATTGTGTGGTACAATTAGCTGATCGGTTTCTTGTGATTCAGGACCGCGTTTCGAGGACGGTGATTGGAGCGGGTAAACGAGAATCTGGAACCTTCCGCTTTTGCAGAACGGAGTCGGTGGCTGCGGTTACTACTCGGGACGACAAGGCTTATGAGTTGTGGCATCATAGGCTTGGTCATCCCTCTGCCAAAGTAGTTGGTCTACTTAAACATGTTGATGTTTCTGTTGTTTCTGAATCTTTCAATAAGGCGTGTGATGTTTGTTTCCGCGCCAAGCAAACTAGATCTCCATTTCCTACAAGTATCAATAAAACTAAGCAAGTTTTTGAGTTGATTCATTCGGATTTATGGGGTCCGTATCGGACACCTTCTCACAGTGGTGCTCGATATTTTCTTACCATTGTTGATGACTTCTCTCGAACTGTATGGCTGTATTTGCTTACCGACAAGACTGAGGCACCTGTTCATCTCAAGAATTTCATTGCTATGGCTGCTTGTCAATTTCAGTCTAAGGTTCAATGTTTAAGGAGTGACAATGGGACTGAGTTCATGAGCTTGACGTCTTATTTTCGGGAACAAGGAATCCGTCATGAAACTTCCTGTGTGGGCACACCACAACAGAATGGGAAAGCTGAGAGAAAGCATCGCCATGTTCTCAACGTTGCTCGTGCGTTGATGTTTCAAGCAAAAATGCCGATTGAATTTTGGGGAGAATGTATTCTGACGGCGGGTTACTTAATCAATCGAACACCCAGTTCTGCTCTAAATGGTCTTACTCCGTATGAGATGCTTCACAACAAAGCTCCGGATTATGCACATCTTCGTGTCTTTGGAAGCTTGTGCTATGCTCACAACCAAGGCCATAAGGGAGACAAGTTTGTCTCTAGAAGTCGCAAGTGTGCGTTTGTGGGTTATCCCTATGGTAAGAAGGGATGGCGTCTCTATGATTTGGAAAAGAAGCAATTTTTTGTTTCCAGAGATGTCGTCTTCTGTGAAAATGAATTCCCATTTGTCGCTGCTGCAACAGAGAATCTCTCTCACGGTCTTGATGAAGAAGGAGGGTTATGGGCTCCAATTGGTCCAAATTTAATTGAAGAAGAAGTTGGGCCTCCAGCTAGGGTTACACCAAGCCCATTACCAAACCCAACCACTAATTTCTCTCCTCCTTCTTCCCCGACGACTCCAGCAACCTCCATTGATTCTGATCACTTGAATCCTCCTTCTCCGGTGCCTAATCCCACGCCGGCAGAATCATCAACACCTCAGGATTCTCCTGAACCTCCTCCTGAACCTGAGCTACTTGGTCGTGGTCAACGACGAAAAACCCAATCTGTTACTCTGCGAAATTTTGTTATCAATACAGCACAGAGTAAGCTTCTCTCATCGCCTTCTGGGGGTAAATCGACTTACCCAATCTCCAACTATGTGAACTGTCATCGTTTTTCTCAGACTCATCAGGCTTATTTGGTTGCCATAACTGAGAATGTGGAACCCAAATCTTTCAAAACGGCGATGCAATTCAAAGTCTGGACAAAGGCGATGGGTAATGAGGTAACTGCTTTGGAAGAAAATGGAACTTGGGAATTGGTTGATTTGCCTGCAGGGAAACGAGCCATTGGCTGTAAATGGGTTTACAAGATCAAATATAATTCTGACGGCACAATAGAGCGCCACAAGGCTCGTCTTGTTGCTTTGGGGAACCGCCAGATTGAAGGTGAAGATTACGGTGAAACGTTTGCGCCTGTAGCTCGAATGGGGACCGTGCGTTTGTTTCTTAAAGTAGCTGCTGGAAACAACTGGCCCGTGTACCAAATGGATGTTCACAACGCCTTTTTACACGGAGATCTAGCGGAAGAGGTATACATGAAACCTCCTCCTGGTTTTCTTGCTGAAGGTGATCAGAAAGTTTGCAGATTGAAGAAATCAATTTATGGGTTGAAGCAGGCACCGAGGTGTTGGTTTGAGAAACTTACTAAAGCCCTTCGTGCATACGGTTTTCAACAATCATTGGCTGATTACTCTTTGTTCAATCTTGATAAGAATGGGGTGAAAATCAATCTTCTTATTTACGTGGATGATATGATTCTTACGGGAAATTCTGAACAAGCTCTCAAGGTATTTAAAGCTTACCTTTCTTCTTGTTTCAAGATGAAGGACTTGGGATTTTTAAAATATTTTTTGGGAATTGAGGTTTCACGCAACAAAAGTGGATTCTACTTGAGTCAAAGGAAGTATACTATGGATATTCTTGCTGAAACAGGAATGTTGGGTGCGAAGCCAGCCTCCTTCCCACTTGAGCAACATCATCGACTAGCATTATCTACATCTGCTTACTTGATTGACCCTACTCCATACCGTCGTTTGGTTGGAAGGTTGATATATTTGGGTGCTACACGTCCTGACTTGGCGTTTAGTGTTCATGTTTTGGCACAATTCATGCAGCAACCTCGTGACGATCATTGGCAGTCTGCGTTACGAGTGGTTCGCTATTTGAAGGGTTCGCCTGGTCAGGGAATTCTTTTAGACTCTGACAATACGTTTCAAGTCTCAGGTTGGTGTGATGCGGGATACGCAAGTTGCCCATTGACGCGACGGTCTATCACGGGATACTTTGTTCAACTCGGACAATCTCCGGTGTCTTGGAAAACGAAAAAACAAGATACGGTTAGTAAATCTTCTTCTGAAGCTGAATATCGGGCTATGTCTTTTCTCAAAGATGAACTTGTTTCTATTAAGAGTGTTTTGCGTTCTCTTGGAGTTGTGCATGATCAACCTATGGGAATGTATTGCGACAGCAAATCCGCTATCTACATAAGCACAAATCCTGTGTTTCACGAACGGACGAAACACGTCGAAACGGACTGCCACTCTGTTCGTGAACAAATTCAAAATGGCACAATCACTCCTCATCATGTCTCTACAACTCAACAATTGGCTGACATTTTTACCAAACCATTGGGACGTAAAAGTTTTGAGTTCTTCCGCACCAAGCTAGGTATTCTTGATCTTCATGCTCCAGCTTGAGGGAGGGTATTAGGATACGATCGTATCCCCTGTTTTGCTGATCACGCAAGTGATTGATTCACTTTCCTTTGTACTACTCTTGTATAGTTATTGAGAATATGTCTCTTTAGGAAAGTAGATTCGCTTAGCTCTGTATATAACGATGTAATAGCTCTTGTGAATGATCATCCAGAAATATTACAATCATTCCTCTCACTCTGTTATTCTTCAAAAAGGCTTGAAATACAGTTGGATTTAGGAAAAACAACTGTGGGTTTTTGGTTGTGTTTAAATGTGAGAAAATCTGAAGGGAGTCTGATTAATCTGGTAGATGTTTTGGAGAAATTATGTAGTGTTAGAGGGTTAAAACAGAGTAACAGATGGTTTTTGTGATGTTTCTACAGAATCTACCTCTTGTTCCGGATGAGATCTCAGGAAGGCCTCTTCCTAAAAGAGTGACCGTTAAAAGCGTGTCCTCCGGGAACGTTTGGAGAATGGAAATGATCAAGAACGGTGAAGGTGGCACCGTGTTTCTCCGGAACGGGTGGAAGAATATCGCCAAGGACGAGAATCTTAAAGAGTCGGCTTTTTTAGTGTTTGAGTTTGATGGTTATCGCGTGTTCCACTTCTGCGTGTACGATCACAGCACAATGTGTAAAAGAATGAGAACTCCAACGGAAAAAGAAGTCACTGAAGTAGAGAGTGAAGAAGAAGAAGAAGAAGAAAGTGAAAGTGAAGAAACTGATGATGAAGATGATGATGATGATGATTATGATGATGATGATGAAGAGAGCAAAGAATGGCTAGCTGATTCGGCAAAAAGAAAAGAAAGAGGTATCAAAAAGACTCTTACGCACACACTTTCATATGATGAGAATCAAATTGGTGTAATTTAAAGTGTTGTGTTTCAAAATCATTTAGCGGGCGGTACGAGACGGAGACGTTCGTATTTGGAGACTGAAAGTGAGGAGATGGAAGAATATCTTGACGACAAAAAGAATCCGCATTTTCCGATGGATATTACCATGAAAAGAGCGGTATAAAAATAAAACTTTATGTGAATAGTTTTTTTCAAATGCCTAAACTGTAGTTATATACTAATGTTGGATGATATTTGCAGCGCATACCGGCTAAACGTATAAAGGATTACAACCTGAGATTTCCCGAGTTGGTTGTTGTGAGTGACAAGATTGGCAAATTGAAGAGGAAAATATCGGTTTGGAATAACAAGTCTGTGATTATAAATGGACTCGGAAGCATCACGAGAAGGAACTATGTGAAGTCAGGAGATAGAATCATCTGCGAGCTAAAGATGGTCGATGGTAATCACGGGATGGTCAAAGAAGTCAAGATCCACGTTATCAAATTCAAAGGATGATCACTGTTGTTTCACATTAACAAGCAATAGCACTTTCCTCTTTCCCTTCCCTTTTCTGTTCCAAAATGGCTTGAGCTTTACGATAACTGGTTGTCCATGTGATGATGATGTCTAGTTATGGGATCTCATTGATGTTTGCTCAAGATGTGGATCATTTAGTGTTCTATGACTTCTCAAATGCAAATCTGTTTCTTGATTGATTGGCAGCAAAACTTTTAACTGTTGCAACTTACCAATAACAGAACACAGCATACTTAGGTCTTGTCAACGTAACAACTAACAACTCAACCAAACGGAAAACCATATTTTGTCCACAGAGCTCGACACTAAGAGCATCCGTATTGCAGAACAGCTTATTGAGCTCTTTAAATTTTTTTAATACTAAATATATTAATTAATAAATTGTAGAGCTTGTGTTGAAAATTTAGGAGCTTTATCTCCACATTGCAGAACTGAAAAGGGGTTCTAAAAGTTTGATTTTTTGTTTCATACTGTTATTGAAACACAATTACAGAGAGTTTATACCGTTTGTTTGTCTCTTTAAATGCTTACTGTTACATCTTCAAAATCAGAGTATTATGAGTAAAATGAGTAACAAGAGAGAACTGTGAAGCAATGTTTAACAACTTTCAATTAGCTCTTATAACGTTGCAGAAGTGAGACTCCATAGGCATCGCATAGCATCGATATATTGTTCATAGAGTGAAAACAGAAAATTAAGTAAATGCAAAGACTTTTCCATTTGCTATTGCTCTCTCTAAGAATTACTATGCCAAGAACAAAAGTGACAGTACAAAGATCAATGATGACTAACATAATGATGTGAACAATTAAAGATTGCAAAACATTCCAGCAACATATGATATGGAGACGGGGAGATAATCAAATTGAGCTGCACAAGATCAACATTTTCAACACAAGAAACCAAGGTGTTTTATAGCCTAGTGCCTTCTCTAGAGAGCCACGAACATCAATCTGGTTTTGTAATTTTTTCTCAAGCTCTTGAATCTACAATGTAACCAAAACCAACATTGTATCAAATGTACATAAAGCTTCAATCTTTTAGTCCTAAAACCTAAATTCGACAATAAAAGACCCAAACTTTGACACATCTAGCATCGAAATTACTTTAATTTTATCTACCCAAGGTCTCGAATTTGAGAACGACCCAATTTTTTTTGAAACATTGACTAACCTGTTCAAACGATTGTATCTCTGTTTCTACATTTTCTTGTCTTCAAATCCCAGTTTTGAAACCAAGTTAAGAAAATCGTTGATCAATTGAAGCAAGGAGGTTTTAAAATCAGGAAAATGCAAGAAATAGGAGCTTAGAAGAAGAACTCTCGGCGGTGGCGAAGAAGAAGAAGAGAAACGTTGTGCGAAGGAGAAAGGAGACCAATGAGAAGGTGAAGAACAAGAACGACGTCGAAGATTCAAGAGAAAAATAACCGGGATCGAAGAAGAAGGAATTCGAGGAGCCGCTCAGATCGGAGAGAAGACGGAGCGATCTCTCCGAGGAAAACTCGATTTTCTTCAACGAACAAGACAAAAAATAAAACCATAACGAGAAAAAAAAATATGGCGGGGCTCTCTTGTATCGACGCGTGTCAAGTAGAGCCGACTCTACAAGCTCCTCCACCAGAGATGGCTCTCAAAAAATTTCATGCCATGTGTATAAATTTTTCATTTTTTCTTTATTTTTTTTTCCCAGAACCGATGTAAAGTTGTGCAATGCGGATGCTCTAGTTACGACACTGCCAAATAATGCTGTGAAATAAGGACAATACGGTAAATTCAAAGCTCGATGAGTTTACTTTTGCGTTGACTCGAGTGAAGTGTGATTTGTGTATCTTCTTTCTCTTCCTCACCTTCTGCGTCACCGGAAAAGCTTGAATTTTTCATACCGGCGAGGATATTTCTCTTTACCCTCCATCGATTTCTCTCAACGATGATGCTAATTTCATGATCAATTGAGATTATTTCCCCGAAAACGATCCTCTGAGCTTTTTTACGGTCTCTCTCTCGTGATAGCAAATGACATCGCTTCTTACGACGGGGCTCAACCTCTCTTTCAAAACCCACCGTCTCAAGCTCTTATCTTGCTCAACAGAATCGCCTTCTCCTTCCATCGCTCGCAAGGTACCTACCACTTTCCTCCAATTTCCATCGGACTGTACAATTCCACCTAGTTCTCAAGATTCCGGCGAAATTAAAATCCGTTTATGACTATATCAGCTGATCAAGGACTCAAACCTCTCCAGAGATTACAGTAGAAAGATCAAAGTCGTAGACTACGCTCCACTAATCAAAACCTTAACCCAGAGAAAATTACCCGATGTTGCACACGAGGTGTTCACCAAAATGAAATCAGAAAACTTTCTGCCAAACTATAGAACCCTCTCAGTTCTAATCCTCTGCTTCGCCGAAAACGGCTCTCTTCTTCAAGCACGTACTCTCTGGGAGGAGGTATTAAACAGCTCCTTCGTGCCTGATCTCTTCCTCATCTCAAACCTCATCTCTGCTTACGAGCAAACTGGTTGTTTCAGCGAAATCGCCAAAATCATCAAGGACGTAAGCGCAAGGCATCCTAAGCTGCTTCCTTCTGTGTGTTCACTCGCTATATCCTGTTTTGGGAAGAATGGTGAATTGAAATTAATGGAGGACGCTATAGATGAATTGGATTCAAAGGGAATCTCTTTAGACTCTGTCACTGCTAATGCAGTTCTCAGATACTACAGCGTTTTTGGTACTTTGGAAGAAACCGAGCAGGCTTATGGCAGAGTTAAGAAGTCTGGAGTCATGATGAAAGAAGAAGAAACAAGAGCTGTGTTGTTAGCTTACTTGAAACAAAGAAAGTTTTATCGGCTGCGTGAGTTTTGTTCAGAGGTTGGTCTTGGTAGAAGAAGAGACCTAGGGAATTTGTTATGGAATGGTGTGTTGCTGTCGTATGCAGCTGAGTTTAAGATGAAAAGCTTGCAGAGAGAGTTTGTTGGCATGCTTGGTGGAGGATTCTCTCCTGACCTAACCACGTTTAACATCAGGGCTCTTGCGTTTTCTAAAATGGCTCTCTTTTGGGATCTCCATCTCACTCTGGAACATATGAGACGTTTGAGCGTTGTTCCGGATCTTGTGACTTTTGGATGTGTGGTTGATGCGTACGTGGAGAGGAGACTAGGGAGGAATTTGGAGTTTGTGTATAAGGGAATGAATTTGGATGATTCTCCTGTGGTTTTGACCGATCCGCTTGTGTTTGAAGTGATGGGGAAAGGGGATTTTCATCTTAGCTCGGAAGCTGTTTTGGAGTTTGGTCGGCGGGAGAAATGGACGTATAGGAAGCTGATCGGAGTTTATCTCAAGAAGAAGCTGCGAAGAGACCAGATTTTCTGGAATTACTGACCACCCTCTTTGCTTCAGAGACTCTCACGCTTTAGAAGATGAGCAAAAGTTCGTTCTGATGAGGATTAGTGGATATTAAAGTCAGTATAGTGTATTTGTATATGGTTTAATGTTTAGTATATGATTGTTACTGATATTGCATGCAGCGCATACCATCTGCACTTGTAAAGGATTGTGTTCACATTGTGTTCAGAAGATGATCTATTGTTGATTATCAGAAGATGATCTATTGTTGTTTCACATTGTGTTCTATCTCATTAATGTTGTGGTATAGATCATGCATCATCTCTGTTATCTCTAAACATCTCTCCTTTTCTCTATTAGAAGGCTTAATTAGACCAATAACTACAAAATGTAACTTCCAAATTCATTCAACATAACATGAGGATCACTATATTTTTTATTCAACACTAATAGAAAAAACGATATGTACATTAACAAAACAATCATATCAACCAATCATTTGTAAAAAGAAGTTTAACTACACAAACAACAAAAAATTGAAAAAAATCATACATGTACATTAACAAAACAGTAATATTTTAAAAAAACATATCAACATTAACCTCCAATCATTTGTAAGAAGAAGTTTAACTACACATTCAACAAAAAGTTCACTTCCAACCATTTGTAAAAAAGAAGTTTACTACACAATCAACAAAAAAAAAACATGATTACACAAAACAAACTGAAACACACAAATGTCATTCCATTTTGCCATTAACTATTATGTGTAGGATCTACTATAGGGTATAGCGTATCAAATTTTGTTAGAATGTAGATATCCCTTTTTTTATTTGTTGTGATGTTTTTTGTTTTCTTTTTTTATATTATTGTTTAGAGTTTTGTTACAGAGATACAACATACATAAATAAAACATAGTTGAATTTTTAATATACGTTGCACACATAAAACATATCTCCATTGTTTGTTCTTCTTTGGTCATTGACTCATTGTAGACATTTAAACCTCCAATTTTTCTGATATATATTTGTTTCCCACTGTTTTGATTAAATATAACAATGAATTAAATTAAACATGTTTGAGTTGGACATAAGGTTTGTATCACATAACTAATATTCCCTCTGTTCCACAAATTAAGAAACATTCAATGTATGAATTGTTTTCACACTAACCACTTTTTAATAATTGTTAGCCAATTATAATTCATATATTCAAATACTTTTAGTTAATATGTCTTGAAGTTTGTAATATGTTAGTATTAATTAGCAAAAATTAACTTTAAACATCTAAAACATTAGATATTGTGGAATAAGAAAAAAAAAACTAAAATATCTTATAACAGAGATCATGAATTCAAGATTCATAAACATCTTATAATATAACCCGCGCAAGTATGTACTCTTCCCGAGTATATATATAACAAAAGATCAAGTGATTATGAATTCATGATCTGTGTTATCTCACTTATACTAGTTGTGTTGATAGCAAGTGGGATCTTGTCTTTGTGCTTTAAAAATAAGTAGGAAGATGAATACAGTCCCTGAGATACTCCGAAGCTGTACACGTCCGTCCCCACCCTAGAGATACTCCTTCAGGACCCTCTACAGAACAACCAAAGGACTCCAAAAGAATGGGGAACTAGGATCTAAATGTTTCTAAAATGTTTAGTGAGGAGAGTTATACAACTGTACTCAAATACTTCTTAAGACAATCTCCCATGACTCAAGGTAGGGAATGAAAGATCTTCCATTATTACAACTACTATTATCGTCGTTTGAATCATATTTACTGCCACTTTATGTATAAAATAAATTTCAGACTATGTTTTTATTATTGTGAGGATGAACAAAACTTGAGAGACACAAAATTGATGAAGCAAGCAATGCCTAAATTAACTTCCTTACATACTTACATAGGCACATATATAAGTTTATAACACAAAAAGAGTATAATTTCACAACTGAGTATTAAGTTCACAACAATAACCTTTTTTACTGGTGCAACCACCGTTCAATCGCCATATTCCTCGCTTTCTTATGTATAGAAATCGATTCTCACCTTCCATATTTATCTATGTTGTAGAAATCAATAAATGACTTCAGTTTCCTCTTCCTATTCAAAGACCACAAACAAACAAAAAAGCAAAAAACATTTTACATTGTATAACTTAATTTCCCTAAATTTTTAATCGTTTCAATTAATTTTATCTACACCTTTTTCACCAACTACTAGTCATGAAAATCATTACGTTAATGATGACCATCGCCTTTTTCATACTCTTGACATTATTTCTCATGTCAACCAAAGTTGGCGGTGCCCGTAATTTCAACCGAACATTTTATTTTGAAGGTGGTAAGTATTTTTTCATCAATAGGAAAACGGAAACTGAAAAAAACGGAACCAATATCCGGACTGAACTCATGCATGTTTCTAGGATAGAGATAAAAATTGGTGTTCAAAAAAAAAAGATAAAAATTGGTGTGTATTCTAAAAATAATTAACTACATGTGAGGGAATCTTCGTAAAAATTAATACTATTGTTTTGTTATGAATGTCAAACAGATAAGTTGAAAAGTAACCGCATGATCGAGATTCTGTGGCGAATTGTACATACGAAGCTAAATCAGGATATGTTTATGACGTGGCATGATCTTATTGGCTGTAAATCCGATCCGGATAATGAAGCATCATCTGTGGGAAACACAAACAACGAAAGTCTTTCGCACTCGCCATGGTGTCTCATCTTCATCGTATGGCATTCACCTCCACATTGTTGACTTGAGAAACAAGCAAAAAACAGCCCTAAGCTCGCCGACCTCCTCCAATGGCTTCCACTTCCACTTCATTCCCGTTAACCACCGCGCCACCGCAGGGTGCAAGGTTCAACCGGAGAAAACCGGGTTTAACCGTGTTGGCCGCCAAACAGACGGGTTTCCAGCTGGGGAAACCCAAAGGCGATGACTCGGAGGGCAAGCAAACCGCAAAATCGACAGATTCGAACCCATTCCGGTTCGATTTCGGTAAGTTACCGGACATGAAGTCGTTGATGCCGGTTGTGACGAACCCTTCGACCGGTTTAGCGTTTGGTAACACCAGAAGAAAAGATCCCGGTACGGTTTTCGTGGCCGGTGCTACGGGACAAGCCGGTATACGCATAGCTCAAACACTCCTGCAACGAGGATTCAGCGTCCGAGCCGGCGTTCCTGATCTCGGAGCCGCTCAGGACCTCGCTCGTGTCGCGGCTACTTACAAGGTCTCGGCTTGTCCCTCTCGATTATCAATTCATTTCCCTAACGCGATAATGATAATCGCACATTCGCACTTTAGATTTAAGATAGCGATGACAAATAACACTTTAGATTTAGATATTTTGCGATTGTCATTTTTCGATTTTCCTAATACTAATATACAAAAAAAAACCTGCGATGCCAATTCGGTCGCGTTTAGCGTTTTGATTAATCGTTTGACGATCAGCTTTTCAACAGATTCTATCAAAGGAGGAGGTCAAAAGGCTAAACGCAGTGCAATCTCCGTTCCAAGACGCCGAATCAATCGCCAAAGCGATTGGAAACGCGACCAAAGTTGTGGTTACGGTTGGGGCGACAGAGAACGGCCCGGACGCCCAAGTCTCGACCTCAGACGCGCTACTCGTGGTCCAAGCGGCCGAGCTCGCCGGCGTAAGCCACGTGGCAATCGTATACGACGGGAGCGTCAACGGATCCACGTACAACGTGCTCGACGGGATCACATCGTTTTTCAGCAACCTTTTCTCTCAGTCTCAGCCGTTGACTATCTCTGACCTTATCGAGAAAGTGGCACAAACTGACGTCGCTTACACGCTCATAAAGACTAGCCTGACGGAGGATTTCTCACCGGAGATATCTTATAACGTGGTCGTTTCAGCTGAAGGCAGCAACAACAGCAATGGCAGTAGTTCGTCCGAGGCCTACAAAGTAATGTAATGTATGCGATTAAAAAGGGATTTTTATCATACATTACAGTGAAACGAAATCATTTGCTTCTAAAATGATTCTTTATTAACTTGTTTGGTGTCTGATTGCTAAACAGGTCCCAAAGTTGAAGATTGCGTCGCTTGTTGCAGACATTTTCGCTAACACGGCAGTGGCAGAAAATAAGGTAGCGTATAGCACAAGTAACTTAGTCAAGGGCAAAAATAGTAGCCATTTACGTTTGTGATCAAGAACTTGACGATCTCAGTTATTTGTGGGCCCTTTTCAGGTGGTGGAAGTCTCTACAGACCCATCAGCACCGTTGCGGCCATTAGACGAGCTTTTCAGGTAAATGAAACCTCTACGGATTAGGGCTTGGAGCTTAAATGAATGTTTGTGTTGACTTATTTTGATGAAATGTTATCTATGATAGTGCAATCCCGGAAGATGGGAGGAGGAAAGTATACGCAGATGGGATCGCAAGGGCAAGAGCGGAGGAAGAGGCGAAAGCGGCTGCTGATAAAGCCAGAGAGGCAGCGGAAGAAGCGAAAGAGTTTGAGAAGCAAATGCAGAAGCTCTCTGAGAAAGAAGCAGAAGCTGCTAGCTTAGCTGAGGATGCGCAGCAGAAAGCAGATGCTGTAGGAATCTCAGTGGACGGTCTGTTTAACAAGGCTAAAGATATCGGCTCGGGTCTATCCTGGAACAAACTCGGCTCTCAGTTCGCTACCGCGGTTCAGAATGCTTCAGAGACGGTTCAGAACGCTTCAGAGACTCCTAAAGTGCAGGTTGCTACGGTCAGAGGACAGGCCAAGGCGAGAAACTTGCCACCCAAGAAAGCAGTGGTGAAACAGAGGAGCGTAAACGCTAAACCTGCGGCTGCTGCGTTTGCGTCCAAACAGAAGGAAGAGCGTGGGAAGAAGCCAGAGAAAGAGGTGAGGAAACTGTTCGGAGGACTGTTTAAGCAGGAGACCATCTACATGGACGAAGATTGAAAACGCCATACAACGATGACGTTTTGGAGTTCCGTACAGTTCTTCCTTTCTTCTGTCCTTTGCTTCAAGTTAAGTTTCTGTAATCATATGATTATATATATATAAATCCATTCTTCTCTGTTTTAACATTCTAATTCAGCCACCATTTTCTGGAAACGATCTATAACCATGGAATGTTTACTCACACGAAGTGAAAACACACCTTTTTTTATTTATGGAAAAACAATATAAGTGTAACAATGATCCAACAGATTTCGTTGGTGTATATATTACATGGATCTTTAAAACCTAACCTGCTTTGTTATTTCATTGGCCTGGAAAGATTCAAGAACTCACATCAAGATCTCTCTCTCACTCCCTTGCTTATTATTCACAAGCAAACGTATCAAGTCCACTAAGTATTATTATTACCAGTAATCTCCACAAGAACACACACCATTCTTGAACCGATGAAACCGGTTCACATCTCTAACAAGAATCTCTTTCTCCATAAACTTGGAGATGAACTTTGTAAACAAGTGACAGTCCTCGCACAAACGCAAGTTCTTGGTGATCCTGATCGGTTCTCCTTTCGCCGTGTTTATCAGCCCAAACGCCAACGCAAGCTTCTCACTGTGTCCCAACACAATCCGCTCTTTCTCTTCCGTCTCGAGATCATACAGAACGCCTTTCGTCTGCGGTACGTACCCTTTCTCCTTCATATCCTCGGCTAACTTAACCAAGAGAGCATGAATCTGTTCCATCAGAGGGTTAAACTCATCCACCGAGACAAACGAGTACATTTTCCTCCTCACTTCCATCCAGCACCGACCAGGCAGCTTCTGCAGTCCTCTGTATTCAAGAAGCTTCTTCACTTTCTTAACCTTATCCCACATCTGAGCTTCTGCATAAATATCTGCCAACAGCACATAGTTCCCTGCATTCTTCGGCTCAAGCGCAAAGAGCCTCCTACTCGCCCTCTCCGCGAGCTCAACATTACCGTGGATTCTACAAGACCCGAGGAGAGAACCCCAAACCTTAGGCCCGGGCTCGGTCCTCATGTCCTGCACCATCTTCGCTGCCTCGTCTAATCTATTCGCACGACCTAACAGATCAACCATACAAGCATAATGCTCAACTTGTGGCTGTATCCCATGGTCTTTCCACATCGACTCAAACAGTCTTTTTCCTTCTTCAACAAGTCCCTCGTGGCTGCAAGCTCCCAAAACGCTGACAAATGTTACAGGAGTTGGGGAAGCTCCGTTAGCGAGCATCTCTTCAAATATCTGAATCGCTTTCCTTCCATATCCATGAACACCATAGCTTGATATCAAAGAGTTCCACGATACAACATCTCGCTCACGCATCCCATCAAACACTCTCTGTCCCACTTCAAGCCTACCGCACCTACCATACATTGTCACAAGAGCACTGATCACAGGCAAGATCGAGTCAAGCCCTCGTCTCAGTATGTACCCATGAATCAACCTCCCTTGCTCTAAAGCCGCAAGCGAAGCACAAGCTTGAAGCACACTCACCATAGTAACAGAATTCGGAGACGAATCTTTGGTTTCCGTCATCATCTCACGGAAAGTCCTCAAAGCTTCAAAAGCTTTCCCGTTCTTCGCGTAGCAAGCAATCATCGCACTCCAAGAAACAACGTTTCTCACAGGCATTCCGTCAAACACATTGCTAGCGTAATCCACACATCCAAATCTAGCATACATGTCCAACAACGTAGTCATAATGTAAACATGAGAATTGTATCCTCGTCGAGTAAGATGCGCGTGAATCTCTTTCCCTTTCGTCAGATGATCCGCCGTGCACTCCGATGCGACGCAAGCCTTGAGGACGTAAGTGTATGTGAACCTATCCGATTCGACTCCGATCCGATTCATCTTCCAGTACAAACCCAACACTTCTTCTCCATGACCCGCTAATGTAAGCGCCCTGAACAGAGCGTTCCACACGTATATAGTTCTCTTACGCGTTTTGTCGAACACCTTCCGTGCGTAATCGACAGAGCCCAATTCCGAGTACATGGCGATAAGCTTCGTCGCCAAAAACGGGTCTTGATCGGACCCATTATCCAGAATGTGCCGGTGAACGCGTAGAGCATCGGAGAGAGAGCTTCGATGACCGCAGCAGAGAATGAGAAGCTCGTAGGTCTGTTGACTCGGGCTTGATTCCTGAGACAAGACTCGAAGCGCCTGTTTTAAGTTGCCCTCTTTGCACAGAGATTGGATTAGCTGATTGTTAGAGGTTTTAGCTCCGCTTGTCGAAGGATTGTTTACGGCAACGTAGCACGACGGTGGCTTCGATGTACAGCGAGGTGAGAAGTTGACTGTATAATAACTCGGTTGTATTGCTGGAGGAGGGTGAGACAGAAACATTTTCCGGTGACTTAAGCTTTTCCCGTTCCGTTTCCCGGAAAATTCCAATTAGAAAACATCAAATTTCGCGGCTATGTCTATCAAATCTGGTTAATCGGAGCTAACACAAGGATGCGAACTTTGCCGATGCCACTAGTTTCTCTGCTGCTTCTAGTGGTGGTTGGTTTCCACGTGCCAATCACGTGGTCGCTTAACGAAACTGGGCCTTTTAGTGGAACAGGCCCATTATTGCAATGGGACTGAACAAAACAAAGCTCTAAAGGAAACTAGAGCTGCAGTGTCTAGAGAATTCTCTGTTCTAATCAGAATCAATGAACTGAAAACGTTCTTTATTCTGTCTTATACAGATATATATATAATGTATATACATACACTAGGGGATTCGTATCTCGACATGTATAACATTGTTAGAAGAAAAAAGAGCAAAATTGAGTAGAAGAAAGAAGATATAACATTGTTAAAAAAAGATGGCAGAGATAAATACATATATATTGTTGCCTTTTGCAACTCTGGATAATTCTCCTCTGTTGTAGCCTTGTCTCCACTCTCTAAGAGTAAAAAATCGGATTGTGAAAGGACTGCAAAAGTATATGAGAATATTGCTCTGTAAGTTGATGAATCTGTTGAACTTTTTTGAGAACAATGTGAGGACTTTAACTACAGACAGTTTAGAGAAACACTCAAACCTCTTTTCAGAAGAACCGTGGCCTCCGATCCGCTGGCTTAAGAATCTGGAAAGAGCACATTAGGCTCTCGTCGACGCTCATCATCGCACCCGCATTGTCAAACTCACCACAGTAGTTGGGAGCTGAAAATATAGTCACAAGCTGTCTATCTGCAAAGAACTCATACCCATCCTCCACAACCTGCAAGAACATACATCGGTTTCTTGAGAAGCCCCTAAGGTCTAATAGGAAACATATACAATGTACTAACTAACTAACTAACCTGGTGGGCACGACATACTAAATCCATATCGTTCTTTATCAGAAACTCAGCGACTTTGTCAGGTCCAAAAGTGTAGGAGACGCCACGATCATTCATCCCCCACCCTTTGACGTCTTTACTAGGATCAGACCAAAGAAGGTCACAGAGCAAACCAGAGTCCGGAACATCAGCTGGACGCTCAATGTTCTTGATCTGTTCCACGTTGTCAAGATCAGGAGAGAGCCCACCGTGCATACAGAGTATCTTCTCGTCTATGACAGCAGCCACAGGGAGGCAGTTGAAAGTGTCTGTGAACACTTTCCACAGCTTCACGCTGAATCTCCGTTTGCATTCGTCGTAGAATCCGTAGATTCTGTTGATCGATGCGCATTCGTGGTTGCCTCTCAGGAGGAAAAAGTTCTCAGGGTATTTGATCTTGTAGGAAAGAAGAAGACAGATTGTCTCCAAACTCTGCTTCCCGCGGTCGACGTAGTCTCCTAAGAATAAGTAGTTTGCTTCGGGAGGGAAGCCTCCGTACTCGAAAAGCCTCAAGAGATCTGAGTATTGGCCGTGTATATCCCCTGAAACACACACACAAATGTGACAAAGTCACATCAATCTAGGAACTCTAATCAACAATGTTTGGAAAAAAAACAAAGCTCTATTCTCATTAGGATCCTAATGAATAACCAGATTCTTCTTGAGCAGGTTCTAACAAACACATCCATCATCATGTGACATCAATTGGCAAAAGATAAAGTATTCATTTTGCTTCAAGACTATGTTCTTCCCCCAATTAGTATTAGTACTTTGTTTCTTTCAAGATAAGCTGCTGCAATCAAATGATGCTAAACATATTTCTCACTTTCTCTCTGTCTTATCCATTTTACATTCCCACATAACTTCAATTCTATTCGTTTCAACCCAAACATGTTTCCACAAAACTAAACTCATATCCAAGAAAAATGCTAGCACAAGCTAAAAATGAAAACTTTAAGAGCTAAAGCTAAATAACAGAACACAATCATGAAGAATCTCAGATCCCAAAGCGAACAAACTCATAAACCAAAGAGAAAAAAAAAAGGAAGCTGGAGATCGGAGAGTGATTGTATTATTTGTTACCGCAGATCTTGACGGGGGCATCGAGCTCAAGGAGACTGGGCTGTTGGAGGAATATCTCTCTGGAGACGAAGCAAAGCTGACGGATCTCAGACTCGTTGAGCATAGCCTGTTTGGTCGCAGGCTTAGGGTTTCGGTAATCAAGCAAACGCTGAATGATGTCGTCGAGAGCTGCAGGGTCCATGCTTCCCTGCCCTTGTTGCGCCATTTTCACCCACCTCGCGATTTGTATCTTCCAAAAGTTTCAATCTTTCGAGAAAGATTCGATCGCCCAGATAAACCAACCAAAAGAGAAAAAAGAAAACAAATTTCAAAATCTGAAGGAAAAAGTTATCACGAATTTCCAGTTTAAGATGATGCGTGCGTTTACCGAATATGATTTGGCAATCTCTGGGTCCTCCCTTTGGGCAAGGAACCAAACCAAAAGAAAACAAAACTTTTGCCTTTTTATTACCCTTTTATTCATTTCTCTTATCAACCAAATATGAATTCATTTCCATTTTGAATTTTGATTGATTTGACTAAGAAAAGTACTTTAATTAAAACTGGCTAAACATGTTTAAACAAAACATATTATCTCCTTTAATTCGTCCCAAAAAACAAAACAAAAAACATTAGCTCTTTTAAATGATAACTGTCTCTAAATGTTATGTTATTTAAAATTCTTTTTTCGGATAAAATCACAATTCCTTTTTTTGTGTATAGGATTTTGAAATTTAAAATTCTTCTAAAGTAGAAATGATTCAGAACTGAAAGACATTTTGGTTTCTATGCTCAAAATTATTTTTAAAAAACTCACACGTTGACCATGTAAATTTTCCATGGTTCATTATGAAACTCTTTCATGCATGCAAATATGCAATTGGTTAGTTTTTGCAACTTGGCGAATGTGACGTTTCTTTCTCCACCACTCCTTTTATATATCTCTTTGGATCATCACTTTCTCCATCTACTTAAGGGGGAATATTATTCAAAAATCATTTTATTTGGTCGGTTCAAAGCAACTTGAAATTAGCTTGGCCATCATTTTCATCTGAACTAAGCGAGGGAGATCGCCTTTTTTATATTATCTGCAGTTCACTTGTATAATTTTATTTGTGATAATTGAAGGAGCAAAATCATTTTTCTTGCTTCTCTATAAAACAATTCATTCTAAATTTATAGTGAAAGCTTTTACCAAGAGATTCAAGGTATATTGACTTCTTTTTTTGGGTCAAAGATTCAAGGTATTGGACTTTCAAACTAAGAAGATTGCTTTGTTATCATAAATTTTATACTCTTAATCGTCTTAAAATGAGAGGAAAATCTTCATTGGTAGAGCCGCTCAGTAATCAGAGTGTAACATAAAGAAAGGATTTTAGAGCTACAGAAGTAAATTTGTTGATAAGAAATTAAACCAAGCCAAGACGAACCGACCTAAACCGGAAATGGAAATAGAAACGAAGAGGATACAGTATTTTATAAACCGGAAATGACGAGAACACACAAAATGCAAGAATAAGAGAGAAAAAAAAAAGCACCAGCAGATTCAAGTATACTACTAACAAACTTTACTTACTAAAGAATCTCACAAGCTTTAACTGAACACAAAAACCACAACCGAAGAACATAAAACATAGTAAATCGACAGCAGAAGTATTCTACATGATCTTGCACAGTTAAGTTTCATCATCAGCCAAAACTTGAAAAAGAAAAGCAGCCAGAGAAAACAAAAGTTTGAAATCTCTGAAGAGTGAACAAGCGAAACCTTTACGTTTAGGTAGAGCAACATGCTCGTTTAGCGCCTCCAGATGTGTCATCGACGTTGATCGTAGTTCCTTGTCCAGGAATCGCGGAATTAGCTGCTGCAGCTTCTTGTGCAGCCAGTGCCTTTTTGCTTATGATATGGTAGATCTCTCCTAAGATTGTCTGAAACGCTTTCTCGACGTTTGTTGATTCAAGAGCAGATGTCTCCAAGAAAGAGAGACCTTCCTTCTCGGCCAAACTCTGACCATCTTCCTCAGCAACGGATCTCAGGTGGTTCAGATCGGATTTGTTCCCAGCCATCATGATCACAATGTTGGAATCTGCATGGTCTCTGAGCTCGCGCAGCCACCTCAAGACATTGTCAAAGGTCTGTCTCTTGGTGATGTCGTAGACAAGAAGCGCACCCACTGCGCCTCTGTAATATGCGCTGGTGATGGCCCTGTACCTCTCTTGACCTGCAGTGTCCCAAATCTGTGCCTTGATCGTTTTTCCTTCCACCTGTGTATCCATATTACAACCACAGAGATTCACAGTAACAACAAGTTAGATATCAAGAACTGAAGCATAATGTTTGAAGTTTCAACAATCAGTCATCAACATTTTTCAATGCATCTCTCCATATGTAACGACGTAAGTGTATATAATCTATGTTAATGTGGTATCATAAACTTCTCTTTCTTGTAATGTTATTGGTTGACTTCCAAGAGGGTTTGAAGGGTAGACTAGGTCATGCATGACAAATGTCAATAATAATTAGGAGATAAAACGAATTATTGAGGACAAGCTGTGAGAATCTTTTACTTTTTCAGTTTGGCCCTCACGACCTTCCATTTATAGTCTTAAATTGAGCAAAAGCGTCGGTCATGATCTATGGCCAGCACATCTAAGATTCTCTCTTGAAACTTTTTTAAACAAAAAAACTCTCAACAAGAAAAAAAGAACAATCGAGATGATCCAGGACCTAAAGAAAGAATCTTCTGGATATCCTCAAACACTAAAACTCTTCAATCACAAAAACTACATTGTTGGAAACTTCCTTTTCGCTTATTCGCTACCCACTTACGTTTATGGCTTGAACAAACATGATGTGTTCCATAGAATAAAGATGATGCAGCTTCAAAAAAAACTAAACAGCCTAAAGTACCAGAGCCATAGCTTGAAATGAGCTATCAAATAGCTGAATTCTACACTACACCTAATGAGATCATGAAGCTGCTATATATATTTTGAAGAAAATGTAAGCATATTTGTGTCAGAGGTTGACTGTATATGTCTTTAGCAAAGAAAATTTAGAAACTATCCCAAAATCACAGCTCTAATCCCTAAATCACGTGAAATATGAACATTATCTGTTCCACTTTCTCTGATTCTACCATCAAAATATTCTGAAATTTTATACTCCCACGTGAATTCCGAACCATGGCAGGTAGTATAAGAGAGTAAAGAGGAAATTTTCGAATCACCTGAGTAGTTCTGGTGGCGAATTCGACACCGATAGTGGATTTGGACTCCAAGCAAAACTCATTTCTGGTGAATCTCGACAAGATGTTCGATTTCCCAACACCGGAATCGCCAATCAGCACGATCTTAAACAAATAATCGTATTCCTGATCAACTCTATGCGCCATTTTATCCCCTTTTTTCCGATCTCGCAATCAACCTACACATTGAAAATGACTCGGGATCAGTTTTACGCACTATCGTTGGAAAAAAACTCAGCAGATCCAACGAAATTGAGACGAGCGAAAGTAAAATCAGAGACGAAAAAACGATCGTGTACCACTTTCGCTAGAGAGGAAACAAAAATGGCGGATGAATCGAGAGATCGAAATTTCAACACACCTAGCTTCAGATCTACAAGGGACGGAACTTTTTAGTGGGAGTGTTTTCGTTTCTTTTTTTTTGTACAATCTGTGAATGTTATCTTCTCCCAATCAATCAATGGTGGAAAATGGAAAATTTTATGTCTGCTGGGCTTTCGTCTTTCTCCTCCTCTTCTTCTTCTTCTTCGAGAGAGGAAGGAATAAAGTATATATACGATATTAAATACGCGTAGTCTACGTATCTATACAGTTATTTGTGTCAGGGGGCAGAAACGACGTCGTGGTGGAGAAAATGACAAAGGTTCCAGTTATGGTGCTGATGTGGCAGTGAATGATTCGCAGGCTGGCTGGCAAAAAGTAAGAGCATGTTCCAGAGGGTATAAGAGGAGTTTTCCTTATTATACTTGAGAGCTTTCAATTAATTGCATAGTGCAATGATTGTCTTGTGGATGTATAAGTATAAGTGTATAACAATGGTGATGAACCACGTCGAATGGATATGAAATCTTAAATTTATATCTCTTTATTTGGTTAGTTTGGAAAAACTTTTATAGAACAAAAAAAATGAAACGAGATGAAGAGTGAATAATTTTGTATATGTTTTCTCATGTTGAACTTATTTGAAGATTGGAATTTCATTGTAAAGAGTTAAAGATTGAGAATGTGTTTACTAGAGTCTAATTAGGCTTTCTCTGAAAAAAAAAGATTTTCTAACAAATTAGGATTAGAGGAACCAATGATGGATATCAAACAATGTAGTATAAACCATTTTTGTCATGGAAGAAGTTGTGTCACTGTTTCCTAGCAAGAAATTGAAGCTCCAAACGATGTTGTTTTGAGATTTAATAGGTCTCAAAAAGAGTAAAAAGGTCAAAACGAGACCTTAGCATCGAGAGCGATTCATTGGTGTTATCGACAGTGGAGTCTACCCTGAATCCAAAAGTTTCAGCGGCAAAGGCTTCGGTGCTGCACCTAAGAAATGGAAAGGTGTCTGTCAAGGCGGCGAAAAATTCTCTTGCAACAAGTATAAAACCTACTCAAACTGATCATATAATTAACTGTGTTTAAGTTTTGTCAATTTTTTTATTTTGAGTGTGAGTGATTATGTGTTTTGTTGTATGCAGCAAGCTTACTGGATCTAGGGACTACACATTTGAGGGGCTTCCTCAGTAAGCCAGGGACAACATTAGGGACAACATTGGACACGAATCACATCATAAACCATTTTTGTTTATATACATATCTCCGTTACTCGCTTTAAGTAGCACACAAAATAAAATAAATATACAAAAATAATTAGTAAGATTATTTAATGTACATCCTCTAAACTAAATATTAATGTTTTTAAAACCAAACCGGGCCGCCCGACCGCGACCCATAAAGTTTCCTGGTTTGGTTTGTTATTGAAAACTGTTTTTGACTAAACCCATAAAACCCGTTAGAAAACCGGCCAAAACCGGTAAACCGGGTTGAACCGGCGAATCACCTAAACCTGGTTCTTAAGATTTTGATTCTTTCACCATTGTTTTTTTGAGTTTTTTTTGAGACCGTCATTTTTGTTGTTTATTGTATCGATTTCCAACAAAATCCATAGATACAAAAAGCATTCTTGAGAAACTTAGAATTTGAGTTCAAGAAAAAAAGAAAAAGGTATGACGAGGAGATGGGCGGCGGATGATTTTGGAGAAGATAACAAAATAAGGTGACTAAAGATTTATTCTAGGGTTTTTATTTTATTAAAAGAGATTGTTTTCGATATGATACAAAGTAAAATGGTAATGGGGCATTAATTACACACAGACGAATATGCTATTTGCCATATATGATATGTGTAACAGTAATAAATATTAAATAATGTAAACCCAGTCAGACCGGTTAAACTGGGTTGATCTGTGACTAAAAAAACTTTTCGGTTCATAATCCGGTCCGGTTTTAAAAACATTGCTAAATATGTACGTAAAAATGCCATAGCTTAGTCACACTGCTATAAATGGAATAAAAAATTTGTAGATAATGGAGGTGAATAATTTAGTTAACGCTAACGAACGAATTATATATCATAAAATTTAGCAAAACATAAGTAGATATATCATCAAAATTTAGCAAAACATAAGTAAATATACCATCAAAATTTAGCAAAACATAAGTAAAGTATAAGCAAAAATGACATTAAGTTATCAAAGTGATCAAAATTTGAAGAATGATCCTATATAGAAACACTAATTTTTTTGATACATTTCTTAATTTCTTCGATACATTTTCAGAATATCTCTAGAACGGTTATATACATCGCCTGCAAAATTAATTAAACTACCCTTCGATGACTACTTAAGTCTCGGCGACAAAACCTTTCAATGAATGCAGCTACTTCTCCGATGGCCGAGTTTGCGTATGGAGCAGGCCATGTGGATCCGATAACCGCAATTCGTCCTAGACTCGTCTACGAGGCTAATAAATCCGACCACATCACCTTTCTCTGCGGCTTGAACTACAGTGGAAAGAAGTTAAGACTCATCTTCGGCGAAAGCAGCAATTGCACTAAAGAACAGGCTAAATCTTTACCTAGAAACCTAAACTACCCTTCCATGACTGCTCAAGTCTCGGCGACAAAACCGTTCAATGATATGTTTGAATTGTTGTTTTATGATGTTTCTGGTTCCTCTACCTACTTTAGTTCTATCTAAACATCGAATTATGATTATTGGCCAAATCAATTTGCATTACTTTTCTTGCTTTTTGCATATCTTGTCGTTAGAAAATATCAAAAGGTCATGGGAATGTACAAAAGTTTTGATCTAACTTGGAGAACCATCAATGCATCAAAGATAATAGAAGCGTCTTAAAATAGTACTAATGGGATTATGAATTGTGACCTCGATGCATACGAAGTGGATCGTTCCATGGCATGGTGGTTCTCCTATGTGTGGATCAGGTTGGTAACATTCTCTATCCACCACAATTATTATTATGTTGAGAAAATCAAATTAATATGGAAATAAAATAATTGTAAAAATATTTAGTAAGAATGATGATGAGCGTAATGTGGTGTATAAGTCTCTTTGGTCCAATGGTGTGGTCAATGATTATTGATGTGATCAACCTTAAAAGTAATCTAATTCAAACTACAATTTACTTGTTTCCATTTAAAAGTCAGATTTCAATTTAGATGGGACATTAATATGTAGAAGTTTTTGCGTATACTCTATATAGAAGTTTCCAAAGGTCCACAACCTAGCACGCGTTGCGCGTGGATCTTCACCGTCGCTGCTAGTAATATATACGAACCGCGCATTCGTCACCAAAGTTGTTCTAGAAAATGGCAAGACTATTGACGTGAGCACCAAGAAACACATATTTGTTCGTGATATAGTATATATATTGTCCTCTGCTAATATCAATGCTTTTTTTTTTTTAACAAAACAGGGAAGATCCATAAATTCTTTTGACCTTAATGGAACAAAGTACCCTCTAATTTTTTTTTTAAAGTCGAGTAGAGGATAATACGTAGTCTACGTTCATGTAAGGTCAAATGATAAACCTGCCTCACATGATTAGGCTGCCATAATAAACCGAATTTCAGAATATGCATTCAGCATGTTTTTAAAAAAATTGCCAAATAAGTTTTCGGAATATTTATAACTAGTCATAGTAAAATAATTTTTATATAACATTCGTTTCTAGTGATTAGTCAATTTTAGTGGTTGTTAATAGTAATCAACCTTTCTTTTATTTATAAAAACGAGACTGTATTTCAAGTCAAACGTTGGTTCTTTCTATTTAATACTTTTCTATATTCATGAACCAAACAAAAAAGAATCTAGGATAATTGAATAAGAAACGGCAACAGATTAAACGTACAATCAAAATCATTAATATGGAAAATACATTATATAGCCATTAATATCTTAATAATTAGAGAAACAATCTTTAGGAACTTTGATTGCCTTTTTAAACCCCGTACGTAATCTCTCCCAGTCTCCCTATATAAACAATCGTTTCATTTTCTTCCAATCTTAGATAGTCCAACTTAATTAATTAGATCATATTTTAGAAAATGGCAAAATCGTCAGCCTTGTCCTGTCTCCTCTCGTTTCTCTTTGCCTTGCTTGTGAGTTTTGCTTCAGCAACCAAAGATGATCAAGACAAACAGGTAATTTCACATGTCATGCTCTGTTAATTAGATCATCATCTCTTGGTTATAAAATTAAATTGTCGACTTATATGACAAACCAATGAACCATTGTAATGATATGGTGATGACAATCCTTGTAGGTGTATATAGTATACATGGGTGCACTTCCTGCTCGTGTTGACTACATGCCTACGTCTCATCACACAAGTCTTCTTCAAGATGTCACCGGAGAGAGGTGCAAATAATTAATTATTTCTACCCTTGTTCCAAAAAAATAACTATTATTTTCAACGGCTTAAGTGTAATCGATTAATCACATCTTGTAGATCAATCCTGGATCGATTATGTGATGTAATATGGTTCCATTTCTTTTGATTATTTGCATATGGTGTCATTTCTACCGATCAAAGTCATAGATCGGTAAAGATCCTATAACAAAGAAATTTATTTATTTTTGTAGTGCGATTGAGAATCGACTGGTTAGGAGTTACAAAAGGAGTTTTAACGGATTCGCAGCCCGGCTCACTGAATCTGAACGAGAGATATTAGCTAGTAAGTGCGCTAATTATTCAAAACTATTCATCAGATTCAGAATATTTTTCTTATAATCAACCTTATGGAACTATTTAGTGAAAATATAACATTTCTTGGTATTCATTTTCATTCACTTAGGTATGGAAGAAGTTGTCTCTGTTTTTCCTAGCAAGAAACTGAAGCTCCAAACGACAACGTCTTGGGATTTCATGGGTCTCAAACAAGGTAAAGGATCAAAACGAAACCTTAGCATCGAGAGTGATACGATCATTGGTGTCATCGACAGTGGAGTCTACCCTGAATCCGACAGCTTCAGCGGCAAAGGCTTTGGTCCTCCACCTAAGAAATGGAAAGGTGTTTGCAAGGGCGGCAAAAACTTCTCTTGCAACAAGTATAAAACCAAACCAAATTCATCATATAACTAATTTGCTTAATTATTTCTAGAATTTTGACTTTAAATGTGAATGATGTTTTTGTTTGTATATAGCAAGCTTATTGGAGCAAGGTACTACACACCCAAAACCGAGGGGCTTCCTGAGTCAGCGAGGGACAACATGGGACATGGATCACACACAGCTTCTACGGCAGCTGGAAACGCTGTGAAGGACGTGAGCTTCTACGGGCTAGGAAACGGAACCGTGAGAGGAGGCGTTCCAGCTGCAAGAATAGCGGTTTACAAAGTTTGTGATCCCGGCGACCCAGGTTGCACTACTGATGGAATTCTATCTGCGTTTGATGATGCGATTGCGGACAAAGTGGACCTCATCACAATTTCCATTGGTGGGGATGACAGTTCGCTCTTCGAGGTGGACACGATTGCGATCGGGGCTTTCCATGCAATGGCCAAAGGTATCCTTACTGTGAATTCGGCTGGAAACAGTGGTCCACAACCTAGTACGCTCTCGAGCGTTGCGCCGTGGATCTTCACCGTCGCTGCTAGTAATACGAACCGCGGATTCGTCACCAAAGTTGTTCTAGGAAATGGCAAGACTATTGACGTGAGCACCAAGAAACACCTCTTTGTTCGTGATAAGTATATCTTGTCCTCTGCTAATATTAATGCTTTTTTTTTTGCCAAAACAGGGAAGATCGATAAATTCGTTTGACCTTAATGGAACAAAGTACCCGCTAGTGTACGGCAAATCAGCTTCAAGTAGTTGCAGTGCTGCTTCTGCTAGGTAACTTCCACCCCAAGAAAGATTTGTCTGCATGCCTTTTTGCAATTTTCACATTAAAATGGTAATTTCTGTTTCAGGTTCTGCGCACCAGGATGTCTAGACAGTAGACTTGTGAAGGGGAAAATTGTGTTATGCGATTCCGCGAATAATCCCGATGAAGCTCAGGCCATGGGAGCCGTAGCATCCATTACTAAGAGCAGCATTGCAGACGTCGGCTCTATCTTCTCTTTCCCAGTCTCTGTTCTGTTGGAAGCCGACTATAACACTGTCATCTCGTATATGAACTCCACAAAGTACATTTTGTCTCTCTCTTTCATAATATTTCTTACAAATTCTCCATCTCAAAACTTGATTTTTTTGCTTTTTTTCTTTGGTCAGAAACCCTAAAGCGACTGTTCTGAAAAGTGAGACAACCTTTAAGCAGACAGCTCCTGTCATTGCTTCTTACTCTTCTCGTGGACCAAACACAATCATTCCTGACATTTTGAAGGTATATAGATAGAGAAACGTGAAGATCTGAATGAATCGTATCAGTCTTTCTAACATTTCTTTGTCTGATATGAACGTTGAATTTTGAATTTCAGCCGGATATTACAGCGCCGGGATCAGAGATTCTCGCTGCTTATTCTCCTTATGCTCCACCGAGCAAATCAGACACAAGACATGTAAAGTACTCTGTTCTCACCGGAACTTCAATGTCTTGTCCTCATGTTGCTGGTGTTGCCGCCTACATAAAGACGTTTCACCCTCACTGGTCTCCTTCCATGATTAAATCTGCCATCATGACTACCGGTAAGCCAAAATAAGATCTGCTCTTTTTTTTCTTGGAAACATACTTTTCTTGTGCCGCAAGAATATATATAAATTATCGTTTTTTTTTGTGTGTGGTGGTTTCTTGCAGCTTGGCCAATGAATGCATCTACTACTCCGATGGCCGAGTTTGCGTACGGAGCAGGCCATGTGGATCCGATAACCGCAATCCATCCTGGACTCGTCTATGAGGCTAATAAATCCGACCACATCACCTTTCTCTGCGGCTTGAACTACAGTGGAAAGAAGTTAAGACTCATCTCCGGTGAAAGCAGCAATTGCGCTAAAGAACAGGCTAAATCTTTACCTAGAAACCTAAACTACCCTTCCATGACTGCTCAAGTCTCAACGACAAAACCGTTCAAAGTGACTTTCCGTAGAACAGTCACAAACGTCGGTATGGCTAATGCTACATACAAAGCGAAGGTTGTCGGATCTAAACTCAAGGTCAAGGTTGTTCCCAATGTCCTGTCTTTTAAGTCGTTGTACGAGAAGAAGTCTTTCACAGTGACCGTTTCAGGCAGAAGTCTCCATGCTGAAAGCCTTGTCTCTGCCCATCTGATCTGGTCTGATGGCTTCCATTCTGTGAGAATCCCCATTGTTGTCTACGCTTCATAACTGATGTGTTAGTGTCGATTATGATTGTTAATCCTTAGTACTGTTCATGATATGTTTGTTGTTTATGATGTTTCTGGTTCGTCTACCTACTTTAGTTCTATCAAAGCATCGAATTATGATTATTGGCCAGTTCAATCTGCATTAATTTTCTTGTCGTCAGAAAATATCAAAAAGGGTCATGGGAATGTACAAAAGTTTTTAATCTAACTTAGAGAACCGTCAATGCATCAAAGATAATAGAAGCGTCTTAAAACAGTACTAATGGGATTATGAATTGTATACTACGTTTTTTCGCTGCATATTTTATACAACGCACAAAGAGTTATGCGAGTAAGGATAAAAAGACTTAGGTGCGTCCCGAGATCCTTTCACCTTGGGGCACGACGGTTACCGTCGGACGGTACCACAATACATACGAAGTGGATGGTTCATGGCGTGGTGGTTCTCCTATGTGTGGATCATGTTGGTAACATTCTCTCTCTTTTTTTTGGTCAAAGGTTGGTAATATTCTCTAAACCACCACAATTATTATTATGTTGAAAAAATCAAACTAGTATGGAAATAAAATATATGTAAAAATATTTAGTAATGATGAGCATAATGTTGTGTAGAAGTCTTTTTGGTCCAATGGTGTGGTCAATGATTATTAATGTACATTAATGCGATCAACCTTAAAAGTAATATATGTATACTCTATGGAGAAGTTTGTGGGCATTAGGAATACAGTAAAACCTCTATTAAGTAATAACGTTATTACTTGAGACCTTGATATTTTATTACTTTAATGAGATTATTAATTTATCGAGAGATAATTAGATCAAAAACTTAATTCGGGACTCAAAAATTCTATTCATTTATCGATGTATTACTTTATCGAATATTACTTAATAGAGGTTCTACTGTAGTATGTATATGTATACCGTATTCTCTTTCTCTCATCAGTCAATACAATACAATACAATACAAGAAGAACATATAGTAATATACCAATAACTAGAAGAGATGGCTAATTTGTCTCGTTATCCTCCATGTGCGAATTTTGGTTGCCTAGACCCTGCGTGTTGTGGTGGCGGTATTAACTTTCATACTCTCTTTATCTTTCTTTTAATTTAATACTATTATGTTAAAACATCATTACTATTACTATAATATTAAAAGGACAATTAATCTAACAGGAAGAAAGTTTGAGTGGCCCGAACTGCTTGGAAAAGGTGGAGGAATGGCGAAAATGACGATCGAAAGAGAAAATCCAAGTGTGACAGTGATTATCATTCCATATGGAGGCGGTCAGACTCAAGACTTTTGCTGCAACAGAGTCAATGTCTATTTAGGTCCAAATGGAAATGTTTATGCAATTCCGCACATCGGTTGATTTTTCTTTTCTTTTTCTGTTTTATACATTTCTATCTCTATATGTTTTTATGTTTTTACCATTGTTAAAGAATAAAACAATCATCAGTGGGATCATGGCATTTACTAAAACTTCTTCTTCTTTAAACATTTTTTTTTATAATGTCTAAAAGTTCAAACGAGATGAAACTGGAGATCAAAATTTATCTCCATCGACGTATAGGAATGATCAAAATTGTATATGTTAAGAGTAAGTAGTTCAAAGTCATCATTAGTTCAATTTCATTTTTTTTTGGGTGCAGCATTAGTTCAATTTCTTTTCACTTGGAAATAGTGATTTACACCTTAAATGTGATCATTGAGCACCGAGAAGATTGTGAACCGAAGACCCATAACTTCTATGGTTTACTAAGAATATGAGAAACTAATTAAGCTAACTAGCTAACATATATAAACTGGTTTTATGTCGCAATGGAAATTCATCAAAATTGACATCAATACTAAGAATATGAGAAACTGATGAAACTAAGACAAACTGGTTTTATAAGAAAATCGAAAAAAAAAAAAACAGAGCATAGAGCAAATCGTGACAATGAGACTGGAAAGATGTTTCAATCCGATTCAAAAGGAATATTATGCCTTCTCGTTCGAGTTCAGGAACGAAATTCATCTGATGATTCTCGGTACTGAACTTTGTAAATCAAACCGAACCGGAAAAGTTGATTAGAACCCAAACCGAAATCTCGGATTGAAACTACTAAACGCTGTCGTTTTATAATTTTCATTGCCGTTGTTGTGTTGTGTGTTTATGTCACGATTAAATTTGAAGGTTTCACATTCTGAGAGTCTGAGAGGCAGAGAGATGGTTGCAATTCGCTTTTTATCGCGAAAAATCCCAACTTTAGCTTCGATTTTCTTCCAAAACCTGACTAAAATTCCGGCATTACATCGGATTTCATTCTCGTATCTAAAACCCAAGACGCTACACCCGGTTACGCCGAAACCCTTCACGGTGTTTGCCGCTCAGTTCCATGACGGGAGGCCAAGGGGTCCTCTCTGGAGAGGGAAGAAGCTGATCGGAAAAGAAGCCCTTTTCGTGATTCTGGGTCTCAAGAGACTGAAGGAAGACGAGGAGAAGCTGGAGAAGTTTATAAAGACCCATGTTTTCAGATTGCTGAAGTTAGACATGTTAGCTGTTATCGGCGAGCTTGAACGACAGGAAGAGACTGCTCTCGCTATCAAGGTGATTTCTTCACTTCTCTCATGATTTTGGTGTTGATGTTCTGCAAAATGGAGTCAATTTTGGTTTAATTGCATTGTTTTATGGAAGTTGCTCGTGAACTGTTCGACGAAATGCCTGAGCAGAGCTTACATTAGGATCGTTGTATGCTTAACTTTGATCACTCATCGTCAAGTTTTAAACTTTCCTTAATGGGTCATATACTGTTTCTCTTCCAAGTTAGCTCTTAGTTCATGCATTTCATTTCTGCTCTTAATGATTGGCTTCCTGAACTTACAGATGTTCGAGGTGATCCAGAAGCAGGAATGGTACCAACCTGATGTGTTTATGTACAAGGACCTTATAGTGTCTCTAGCAAAGAGTAAAAGAATGGATGAAGCGATGGGTTTGTGGGAGAAAATGAAGAAAGAAGAGCTCTTTCCGGATTCTCAGACTTACACTGAGGTTATCAGAGGGTTTCTGAGAGACGGATGTCCTGCTGATGCCATGAATGTGTATGAAGACATGCTGAAATCTCCAGATCCGCCGGAAGAGTTGCCGTTTAGGGTTCTGTTGAAAGGGCTTCTGCCGCATCCGCTTCTCAGAAACAAAGTGAAGAAGGATTTTGAGGAGTTGTTCCCTGAGAAACACGCTTATGATCCTCCTGAAGAGATATTTGGTAGATGTTGAAGGTTGTGTGTGCGCACAAAACTCTACTCTTCTGCCTGAATGTTTCCCAAATTGTTCTTGGAATTTGTGTTCTCTCAACTTATGAAGTTTCAGTCTTTTGGCACTTTAAAGTAGTTAAATCAAATCCTTTTTGTAGATCAGACTGTTATTCATGTGTTACTTGTGTACATCATTGTGTTCTCTGAAGAATATCAACAGCGAAACTCTAGCTTGATCAAGAACCAAAATCTGTTCTCTTGAAGAATTATCATCATATCTAATAAAATCAATAGATAACTGAACTGTTACATCACAAGAGAAAGACTTAAGTTAGTGAGACGAATCCAGATAATGTAGAGTCTTCGATTCTTTGTTCTGATGCTCATATACTACTAGTCAAAGACCGAAATTTCCAGAAAATATTTTACGCTGGGAACTTTTCCACATTTTCCTCATTTCTCTCGTCTCTGGCTTCTCAGGTTCTCGAAGGGGTCTTTGTATTATTACTCCTTACTTTGGTAGACATTTATATTAGCTTATTCAGTAGATGATTGTTGTCCTTGTGGACGTGCCGGAGTGGTTATCGGGCATGACTAGAAATCATGTGGGCTTTGCCCGCGCAGGTTCGAATCCTGCCGTTCACGTTTTTTTAATATTTTTGTTTTCGATGTGATCATTATTGACCAGCCAAATAACATGGACAAAGATAGAGGGTATTAGTTTAACAATTAAGAAATATGCAAAACAGCAAAGCTAAATGCCATGTAGAGTGGTTTTGAGCACACATGACCAAAACCATATGAGAGTATCTCGAATATTATGTGATTTCGTTATATTATCCTTATCTTCTTGTTGAAAAAAGCAAGAGATTTAAGTAAACATTCCACTTGAACGGGACAAGGAGAACATTTTTGACTATGGCATCAAAGATATTTGACCATTCTTTACTAATGTGACATAACTGGTGAGATCTTATGAGAATGACGTTAAGATCTTCGGCCGTTTTAATCTTCTTTTTGAAGATAATGTAAAAGACATTAGTGGGTTGAAAGAAGCTCAAGTACGTACACTTATGTTTGGCTCTTTGTGATCAAGAAAGGTTATAAGTGGCAAATATTCTTTTTCTTGACATCTATTTTTTAGTATAAGATATGTCTAAAAGATTTGTCAAATATCCAAGAATAGTTTGACTAGGAAAAAAACGACACTAAATTTGTATCTAACATATAATTTAACTAAATGATTAGTGTTGACTAAATGAAAAAGCGGTTAAAAAGGCTAGTTTTTGTTTTGACTTGTCACGTGATCATAATTGACAAGCATTGTCTCTATATATACCCACTGATCTTGTTGTGGATAGACACTTCATCAAACTATCTCTTCTACTTAGTTCTTTATCAACTTCTCCACGCATTTCTTTTCTTTTGGTTCAGAAAGTGATAAGTATTAAGAAACAGAATTAGTAATGGAAGGTAAAGGAAATGTCGGATCCTCTTCATCTTCTTCTTCTTCCTTCACTGCTCAACTCTTTGGCCCCAAGGAACCTTCCTCCTCCTCCAATTTCAACTCCATTTTCCCTCCTCCTTCCAAGGTTTTATTATTATCCAATCTTCTTGAAGTTCCTTGTGTTGGCTTTTTCTTATTGATCTCTTGAAATTCAATCTTCCTTTTTATTTGAGTTTTCAGGGAACAGCAAGAAACATCATAAGCTCCAAACACGGGTCCCTAGGTCAGTGGACTCAACTTTTTGTTGTCAATTGTTTGCATAAACCTCAAAAGTTTTGTCGCCTTTCTTGAATCAATATATATGGTTCATTCCGCTTTATATTAATTAGCCAAGTTTTGTCGGAAAACGTTCTGATTCATCTCGAAAACATGTCATTCTTGATTCAAGAATTTTCCAAATTGCTTCTTTTTGCTTGAAACTAAGCAAAAACCAATACCGTTGTAAACATTTTAACAAATCACAATTTTTTAACTATGTTCCTTATCCATCACAAACATGCATGAATACATGGCTATACAATACTAGGACCAGATCAAATATTCTTCATATTTTCTTTGAGACGCAGCTGGTCTAACAAGTACATCATCTCCTCGGTTTTTCGTGTTTCTTCTTCACAGACCAACGTAAAGAATCTGCAACCTGCAATCTAAGTTCATCTCTTTACTACGGTGGTCAAGACGTTTACTCTCAATCCACAAACAACCATACTTACCCTACCGTGAGTCATAGTCATATATCCGTGTTGCTAATGATTCATATCGATCAATATAATCTTTTGGTTGTTTTAGAATTCAAAGTAAAGATAGATGCTTGACTTTATCAATCAGGTCAACAAGTCTCAGCCCAGAGAAAAAGATGATGCTAGTGGAAACAACTCGCTGGACGCATCCAGAGGAAACTGGTGGCAAGGCATGTTCTCTAACATAACGATTTTCTTACAATCCCATGTCTTTATTTATATCCTTTCTAACGTTTCCCTCTATTTGCGCAGGCTCGCTTTATTACTAGAATTCTTTCCAAAGGATGAAGAACATCTCAGCTTGAAAACAGAACGATTTCGATTGTATCTTCCTTTGTTTAAAACTTGTTGGACAAGAAACAAAAAACAAAAAAAAAAACAATTTCAAATGATGCTTTGTCTCTAATGTTTATTTGAAAACAATTTGTGTATTTGAAAATGTTGGAATTCTGCGTGAATTGGCAGAGAAACACAGACGATTTTCGCTGGCCATCTTTCATATTTGTTCTCCCCTTGCGTACAAAGGTACAATTGAGAGCTATAAGATGAAAAAGTAGGTGCAACAAGTATAGAGATAGATGAACAAACCAAAAAAAAGCAGAGCAAATTGGATAAGAAACCAACTTTAGAGGCAGAATGATGGAACACCGAACACCAAGACCATTCAATTTAGGTTGAGTTGATTAGAGCTGAGCTTGCTGTAAAACCGTGAAGGACGACTGAGACTAGTTAGCCATGTTCGGCCCCTTGGCCATGTATGTTTTTTTTTTTGTTTTTTTTGTGAAGATATAAAAGCCAAAATACGTAAGTCAATAGTAAAAAGGAAAACCCGCAAATACCAATTAGGTTATAAGTTAGGTCCAGGGCTATATAAAAGGGTTTCTTAGTTCTAGGTTTTGCAGAGAAACAAAGCTTCGTAGAATTGGATATCAAATCAAACCGACTTGTTTATCGAACTTATGCTCAATAAAGAACAAGGTTTAACCGAGTTTTCACGAGCAGAAAGTCAAATCTTCTATCCGATGACACCGATCGACATTCCACTGGATCTCCAGAGTGAAACACTCTTAAGGCTGCCGGTGAAGTCTCTGTTGAGATTTCGATGCGTGTCCAAGCTTTGGTCCTCTATCATCACCAGCCGAGATTTCAGGAACCGGCACATGAATATTGCTACATCTTCAGCTCCTACTCATCTCCTCATTGCTTTTAAGAACGCTAACGGAGAAGAGCATCAGTTAGTCTCATCGCCAAACCCAAAACAATCTTCCTCCTTCCCATCTTCGTGTTGTGTACCCTACAGAGATCTCAGCCTACTAAAACTCCATGGAGACAAGGTGTCTAATGTGGGTCGGGGCTTGATATGCGTTGCCGACTATGCATATGTGGCCATTTGTAACCCAAGCACGAGGCAGCTCCATACTTTTCCCCAGTTAAAATTGAAAGATGATCGTCCGAAAGTTTATCCAGGCCATAAGTACTTTTTTGGATATGATCCTGTTGAAGATCAATACAAAGTGCTTGCCGTTGATGGTTATTATAATAAATCCGAGCACAAGGTCGTGGCAGTAGGAAGAGAAGAAGCTTGGAGAGAGGCTCCTTGTGTCGCATGTCGTCATGTTGCTCGTACCTCGGGGATGTTTATGAACGGAACCATCTACTACCGGGCTTCCGCTCTCAGGAATGGAATTAGTATTTCTATAATTGTGGCTTTCGATGTCAGGTTTGAAACGTACAACATCATCAATGTACCAAGCCAATTTCGACGTTATTATAGTAATAGGGATAAAACGCTGATCAATTATGGAGGAAAAGTTGGTGTAGTTGAGAATCCTCGTGGGGGTAAGTTTCGTTTGTGGGTTGTGGAAGATGCTGAGAAAGAGGAATGGTCCCTCAACACTTTTCATTTGCCGGAATCTGCTGCTGGCCTTGACTTGAAGGTCTTGGATGCCTTTAATAACGGCGAGATTTGTCTGGTTCAAAAGGAGTTGTCTGATCCGTTTTGTCTTTACTACTACAATTTGGAGAAGAAAAGCATGAGAAGTGTCATAATTGAAGGGCTGCCTATTTCCGAGCTTAATCAAGCCGGTCACCGTTCTGTGACTGTCTCGGATCATTATGAGAACTTCACCACGTTCTAATTAGAGATTAACGGCTCGAATATTCTTCATTTTGTATTTGAGATTATCCGTTCGTAGAAAACAAACCGAATCCAGATGGTACTGTAACAAATACATTGTCTCCTTTGCTTTTGTCATAATCATATATCCGAAGCTGACCTCTCTGTTTAATGTTAGATCAAAGATTAGATTTTTGTATGTCAAATTATTCCAATTCTATGTGAAGTCAGAGAGAAACAGAGAGGATTATCTCTTGGCCATCTCTAAGTGATGAAATGAAAGAAACAAAAAAACAAATTCCTCAAATCTTTGAAGCCAAGAAATATTGTAAAGATCCAAAAAATTGGTTAATAAATGAAAGCGTAGAGAACAAGTAAGACGTAGATAACAAGTGCAGCAGGAACAAGCACAACGAGAGGCACAATCGCCGCAAGTGCGTGAAAGCTTCTCTTACATTCCAATGGTCCGAGTTTGATCTGAACAAGATCCACTAAAGCCATTGTCAAGAACCCACATCCCAAAATCGACCCGACACATGAAGCCACGATCCCAACTCTCAAAGCCGCTAAATTCACGCGCCCCATTCCTGCGTTTATCACACGCGGCTCCTCCACAACGCGCTCGTTCGTTGTTGCTGTTGTTGTTCTGATGGCTTGCTTTATAGACATAGCGATGAGGCTTGAGAAGAGGAAGAAGCTGAAGGAGTAAACGTGGTATGAGACTAGCCTCTCCGCTAATATAGGGCCTTTTGCGGCGATACACCGGCGGATATGTTGGTCCCCGGCGGTGGTGGAGGAGGAAACCGGGAAGGTGATGTTGCCGCTTGTAGTGAGGCCGAGGAAAAGAGCAAGTGAGAAGAGGGAATTGACGTTGACGATCCCGTCTAGAGCCGTGACGTGGATAAGCGTCGTTGGGAGTAGCCGTCGCCGGAGAAATTCCACTGCGCCGCCGGAGATTGCCATCTACCAGATTTGACTATACACTACTTTTGAGTTTTTTGAGAGAAATAGGAATTTGTTGTGGGAAGAGTGCGAGAAAGTGTGTAGCGTCGAAGCTAAGGATTGCGTGTCACCTACGTTGAGGAAAACGTGAACCATGACCTTTTAGCTTTCTACCGCATACGAACGTCGTAACGCTCAAATGACTCCGATTATGAGTAAATTAGTATTTGTGTTTCTAATTAATAGCAAGACAGTCCACAAAATTTAAGACAGGCCTTGGTGGTAAGAGTTGCGGTGTGTTTTTTCTTCCATGATTGTCGAGGTCCTTGGTGTTTTTTGAGTACTATTTACTAGGTCAGCCTCAGTATAAATTAAACCGAGAGATTCAATTTCTTGTATAGCCATATATATCTTTTGAGAAGAGCAATTCAACATATAACAGAGTATTTATGGGAAATATTTGATAAATACTGACAATTTATGGCGATGAAGGATTTTTCAACAAAGGTTGTTCATATTCTCCAACAAAATAAAAAGATGGCCGACATTTCCAAAACATAGATAGCTAGCTCTATGATAATATGTGTGTCCTATACTTCTATACTTCTATGATCTCGTTACGGGATGCATGAGGTTAAAAACCATTAACATTTTATCCACATGAAGTTACTTTATGTCAAATCTGGATTAAATTTGCCATCCATTTTGTACAGTCACAACAAAACTAGAGATGCATTTTCATCATTTCAATGCTACACAAATTTGATCATTGACCAATTAATTGAATAACCAGTTTACATCACTTTTGCTTCCATTTTTAGTTACTACACCAAATTAATAAAATAATATTTTGACAAATTAAGTTACTAAATCTTCAATTAAATATACTAAGATATCCCAATTCTTTGATTTATTCCTAAATTAGATATTGTTTTTCTTAATTCCTAATACCAATTGAAAAAAAATAAAAGGCATGATCCAGTTGTATCATGAAAATAGGTAATTATATATTTAGGGGATTTTCAATTATAACGACGAATGTTGTACTACACAAAAGTTTGGACAAGTCAAAACTGGCTGTACTTGTACTACAGTACAAAGTACAAAACACATACACATTTAAGAAAGAGTATCACAAGAACATAGAAAATCACAATAACTACGAAACGACTTTCTCTTTTTTTTTTTGTCTCAACCAAATAGCCTCAGAAGTCAGAATCCTGCCATCACCAACCATGGATCATGATAACATGCATATGCCACTACCATCACCAACCATGGATCATGATAACATGCATATGCCACTACCATCACCATCCTCATCAATGGCGAATCATACAAAACCACACATGATGATGCACATGACCTTCTTCTGGGGAAAGAACACGCAGGTTCTCTTCTCCGGCTGGCCCGGGACAAGCTCCGGCATGTACGCTCTCTGCCTCGTCGTCATTTTCTTCCTTGCCGTAATCGCCGAGTGGCTCGCCCACTCTCCTATCCTCCGTGCCACTGGATCCACCAGCCGCGCCGCTGGTCTACCTCAGACCGCCGTGTACACCCTAAAGACTGGCCTCGCTTATATGGTGATGCTCGCCGTTATGTCCTTTAACGCCGGCGTCTTCATCGTCGCTATTGCCGGATACGGAGTGGGTTTCTTGCTCTTTGGAAGCACTGCATTTAAGAAACCATCCGAGGACCCAAAAACCGGTGAACTTCTACCGCCGTCGTCAGGCTGCGTTTGCTGAACAATTTAAATTACTCTTTGTTAAATTCTTATTCAGAAATTTCCGTAAGCGTGTGGTTTGTTTGCTTCAAATTTTAATGTTTTGGTTTGGTTAAGTCGATTAAAAGTGGACGTTAAATATTTTCAATTGATTTTCTTTGGTTAATTCGCCAACTAAATTCAACAATTTCATTAAAATTTTGTGATCAAAGTTTTTAGAATTGAACGACAACCATTCAAATTTCGAAGAATGTGTTTTTTTGTAGTGTAGTTAGTATATCTAATGAATTTTGAGCCACAAATTTCCAATTACAAACTCTGTCCACAAAATGTTCTTGTAACCCTATATATAAGACTATAGCGACCATTGGAAGTCAGTCCATTGCCAGAGAAGGTGAATTTTCATTGGTTAAGTAAACACATTTATGGAGAGAAGAACTAAAATATTGGTTATCATCGTAACATAGATTATATGTCTAGCCTACTCTATATGCAAATTTAATTTATGTATATATATATTATTCACCTTTTGTTGCTTCGTAAGAGATAATTCTTACTGTATATTGATATTCACCATTTTGTTTCTTCACAACACAAAACATTAATCAGGTAGAAAATTAATGGAACAATTGTCATACGAAACATTACATTACAAACGGAGTAGATTTCAAAGATTAAAAGCATACATAATTGAAGATTAGAAGACTACGGTTTATTAACAAAATTTGAATTGGTTATGTAGTAACAAACGATTCAGAAAATTTTAACTGTGGTAAGCCAAAAAACAATTTCATCTGTCGTAGGCCAAACCCGTAAAGATACATTGGACAAGATTTTAAATCGTTTTGATGATAAGTAATCGTTTTGATGATGTAGTAGATACTGCAAAAAGATTACTCAAAGTATTATAGTTCCAAGCTTTCTTTATTGTCGCTTTTAGAAATTACGAATTTTTAAAAAGCTGACACCGTCGTTGACAAAATAATTAATATAAATAAATGTATCTTGAGCGTGTAAACAATACTTAAGTAAGTAACGGTCAAACGATAAAATAAGTAGTAGCAAGTATACGTACGTACCAGGAGAATCGGCAAGGTTCATGCCTCTTATGAGAACTAATTGATCACGTTTTAGGATCAGAAACTTGAAGTTATTAGCTTAGGGCTTTTCTTTAAATATATATATATATATATATATATATATATATATGTGCTTTTTTATCGTAGAACTTACACTTTGTTCGTTTATTTTGAGAAATACAATGATTCAAAGTTATTATTATTAGTATTATTTGGTTTAATGAGATTTGTTGATTTAATACATGATAGAGTTTACATGGAATCAAATAAGAACCACATGTACAACGGAAAAAACAACATGGTTCCTTTTGCCTTATACTACGGAGTAGTATTAAATTAGCCAAGTTTTTGTTGGAAAACGTTCTGATTCATCTCGAAAACATATGTCATTCTTGGTTCAAGAATGGCTCTTGTTGTAGAGGCTACCTAGCTAGCTAGTCATTTAGCTCCTTCTCTCTTTCTTCTTTGTTTACTAGATTAAACACTTAACTAATTTTCTCACTTTGTTTTCTTCCTAAAACTGTATGAGTATGACTCATATGTCATAGGCTCATAGCTTGCTTGTAGTAGTACTATTACCGATTTTACTTGAAAACTATTTATCCAAAAAAATAAAATAATGGCTCAAATTACTATATTTAGTTTAGTAGTAGTTAATCAAGAACATGAAATCTCAACTAAGACTTGTTCAGATTGCTTCCTTCTGCTTGAAACTAAGCAAAAACCATACCATCCTTAGCATTTATATCAAACTCCGAAATTGTATCTTCACCTTGTATCCCTCATCCATCGTAAACAAGTATGAATACGTTTACATATTGTAAAACAAAATTTCGCAAAAAAGAAAAAAGAACGGCTCAAAGATTCTTCATTTTTATTTGAGATTAACCTGTTCTTAGAAAACAACCCGAATCTTTGAAGATCCAAAACAATGGTTAATAAATAGAAGCGTAGAGAACAAGTAAGAGGTAGATAACAAATGCATAAGGTGTTAAGAAGAGGCACAATAGCCGCAAGTGCGTGAAAGCTTCTCTTACACTCCAAAGGTCCAAGCTTGATCTGAACAAGATCCACCAAAGCCATTGTCAAGAACCCACATCCCAAAGCCGACCCGACACACGAAGCCACGATCCCAACTCTCAAAGCCGCTACATTCATGAGCCCCGTTCCCGAGTTTAGCACACGCGCTTTCTCCACAACGCGCTCGTTCGTTGTTGTTGTTCTGATTGTGTAGAATAAGATATATTCAACTGACTTGGTTTATTAATTCATAATACAAGAGTATTTATACACATTGGTGACTGTTTAAGATAGACTTGAATCTCCTACAAACCAGGAGTTCATACTTATCCTAATAGATACATATTTATCCCTAATAGATTGCTTGTTTGAGAGACACAGCGAATGAGGCTTGAGAAGACGAAGAAGCTGAAGAAGTAAACGTGGCTTGAGACTAGCCTCTCCGCTAATATAGGGTCTTTTGTGGTGGAGATGTTGGTTTGCGGCGGTGGTGGAGGAGAAAACGGGAAATGTGATGTTTCCGCTTGTGGTGAGGCCAAGGAAAAGAGCAAGTGAGAAGAGGGAATTGATGTTGACGATCCCGTCCAGAGCCGTGACGTGGATAAGCGCCATTGGGAGTAGCCGTCGCCGGAGAAATTTCACGGCTCCTGCCGGAGATTCATTTGTTTAACACTATTCCTAATAAAAAAATCTGTAGTTAGTTAGGCTTTGTTTAGAATGAATCTCCGTATTTCCTTTTCGCTGCTACTTTTCTAGGTTTTTTTTTGGCATCTGAGCTTCTTAGGGAGTTTTGGCTCTGAGCTTCTATGGATTATGGGTTCGCACTTTCTCGATTCTCTAATAGGCATGGAACAGGACACATAGACAATGTCAGGGTCAGAAATTGACATAATTAGTAGCCAAAAACAGAATGAAAACAATATTAAAACATCCATTTACACATTTAAGTGTACATTGCTCTACGTGTGTATTGTTTTTGCCTAAGAGATTAAGACTGACATAGATGACGTATGTGGTTAGGGTTCTCTGGTTTCAAATAGAGATGATGATGATCTTTTAATGTTAATTGGTTATGTGCAGTTGTTCCAGAAATTAGATGATATGCTTTAAACTTTGATTATTAAAACTAATGTGCTTATTGAACATTGTTTCCCATTTGTTCACTAAAACTGATATCGTATGTGTCTTTTAAAAAAAAAAAGATTTTCAGCGTTGCTTTGTCCTGGGAAATGGATATTGTGCCCTTTTTCTTTCCCGACTCTTCCTCTAGTGCAGATATCACATTGTATATTTTCTTCGTTTGACAAGGCATAATCACTGTATTTCTTGGATGGAATTTTGCATAGGTCATAGTTATAACTCTTATGATATTTCTTTCTTTTTTGTCTTTCAGCTCACCAAGAGTGCAACCAGCTTTTGGGAACTACGTAGCTAGTGTTCGTAAGCCCACTGTTGTGACCCACTCATACTTTGGCAATTTCACTGGTCCATATGACCTAAATCTTATCATCTGATATGTTCTGGAAGACAATAATCTCTAATATGATCTACACTAGTTTATTTCAATTCCAATTAACTTATTTTCTCCTCATCTTTTCAGCAAATGCGCTCTCGTATCCATCTATCTCAAGGTCGAGAATGAATGACATGTACTACATTGTATATGTGTTCTTTCCTTTCCATTATCATATTATGAAATTCAGGATCCATTGCATAATTTGTTATTATGCAAGCACTTGCGAGTAGTTTCTATCTTAATCAATATTTTTAACTGAACACAGCATCTACGGGATAGAAACTACTGGCAAGTGCAAATATTGTGGACGTCAAGTTTCTGAAAAAATATGTTCAACCGGACTTGCGTTGCTTTTTATGGTAAGTTCATTTTTTCACATTGGTACATTGTATGACATTACTGCTGTTGGTATTCTTCCAAGAAGAGTGTTCGCGTTGCAACCAGATCATGCAATAATCCAGCCGACATTTCTGATACCAAATCCAGACAGCTTTCTGATCATTGGAAAAGAAGGTGTAATCTTCTTTGATGATCATGATACCAAAATAAATCTAATGTGATATGTAAGTTGTTTTCCTTGCATTTTATCAACATTTGTCTTAACTCTATATAGTTGCCTCTCTTTTAGCCCATAAATTTCCTCTTAAAACTTCATTGTGGATTCTCAGATCGATATACATACATTTGGAAAACAATTCATTTAGAAAGCGGATATTATGTTTTAGACGTAGTATTTAATACTTTCAAAAATTGTTGATTTGTTGGTCAATTTAGTTATGTGAATTCTCCGAGGTAAGTATTTTGATGGGAGAATTGGCAATTTACCCCAGATTGAAAGATTTCTTGTCCCTTTACACCTATTTTGACTTTGGTCATTTTTGGTCAAGATTGCCCTTCAATTTATTTATAAACTCATACAAAATGTTTTTTCAAGTGAAAACAAATTCCATAATTCCTAAAAATGATTTCAGCACTGTGTAAAATATTTGAACATTTTTGAAAATGCTTATGATATTTAAAAAATATTATAAGTTTCGTTCTACAAATCTAAAATAACAAAGTAGAATACGTTTTCTACAAGATATTCGTTGGTCTAACCTCCGTAGAACATAATATCTACAACTTATACATACCTCTTCCGGATGTAGAAGTTGATATCTACCAACCTTATAGGCTCTACCATTTTGTAGAATTCGCACCAAATATATTCTACACAATCAAGTATCTTCTACTACTCGTAGATTTTATGTTCTACGCGAAACACTGCTATCTACAAGAAATAGTTTTCGTATTCTACGTGTTTTTGTCTAATCTACATCCCGCAGAAGTAGTGTTCTACTAAAACCATGTTTTCTACGATCCGTAGTACTCGTGTTTCTAGTACACAATCTAGCAAAATTAGTGTCGTCTACGGTTTTGTAGAATTCATCTTCTGCGAAGATCGAGAAAATATTGCAACTGAATATTTTTCAAATCTTTCTTTCCTTTCTTTCTTGTTCGTTTTATTTATTTATTTATTAAAATTTTAATTTTAAAAACGAAAATGTTAACAAAACATTATCCAATTAAAAGGAAGGGCAAAAATGAGAAAAATGCAAAAAAAAAAAGGTAATGGGACAAGACACAAATGTGAAGGTGTAAAGGGACAAAAACACTTTCAATCTGGGGTAAATTGCCAATTATCCCTATTTTGATCGAACTGGATTTTCTTTTTTAATCCATTCATAAGTTTTGCCACAATGTTAAAAAAAAAGTTAATTAGAAAAGTTTGTGTTTTCTAAGTTAGTTGATGGAGAAAATAAGATGACAATCTACAAATTGCCAAATCATCCTTTTTACTCAGTTTAAGAAAAAAGAACTTTTGTATTCTTCCTGTTTCATTTTCCAGCGATTCAAAGATATATTCATGACCATATTGTGCTATTGGATCTTAAAAGCGCTAAAATAAATTCTGAAAAAGAAGAAATTCGGTCCTAAATAAAGATATCTCTTAAAAATGCGTCTGCCGGGAGTCGAACCCGGGTCTATTGCTTGGAAGGCAATTATCCTAACCGTTGGACTACAGACGCTTTTTGATATTCAAGAAAGCCTATCTTAATTAAACTAACTAAACCAAACAGAATGTTGAAAAAGCATATCGGCGACGTTGACAATAAATGACAGCTATCCCCAGACGACACCGTGACTGCATTCTTTACGCTCGTCCGTGTTTTTCTTCTTTGACCAAAATTCTGAAGAATTTGTCTTCCATTAAAATATTTCTGCAAAGTTTTATATTATTCCACCGAAAGCCATCACCTCGTGGGTTTCGTATTCGTTACAGAAAAAGTCCTGAATTCGAGTCGTCGTCGTCTGCATTCGTTCCCATTGTAGCTTCTCCCAATTTCTCCGTCCCGATTTTCGTTCTGCACGCAACCCAATCGCCGGATATTTGAAATTCACCTGATCCCTGTTTCAGGTACTTTCCTGGATTTTCAATTTGTTTTTTTATTTCATTCGTCGATGAAACAAATCGTTTCTTAATATTTCGTTGTTGTTGATACGTGATTCGGTTGATTTTTTTAACCAGGACGGGGCATATAGTTGGTGGTGTAATCCAGATTTTTATTTTCCGGCGATTAGGTGATTGCTCAACACTTTAGGCGGAGAAATTTGGAGTTTTGAGTATTGTCATCGTGTAGAGATTAATGGTTGAGGAGGATTAGGTAAGTGGTGTATAATCAAATGGATTGTGAAGGAACTCTGATTTCTGTGAAGATGCGGTTGTTGGAGATTGCTACTCATCTGATTCGTCTTCACGGGTTCGCTTGATTACCATTTATACGTTTGATTGTTTAGTAAACTCTTAGTCTTAGACATGGACGGAGAGGCTACTTCTTGGATCAGGAGGGCCAATTTCTCTCATACGGTTTGTTACCGTATCATTACGCCTAGCTTAGAGTCTATGCCCTTTACAGTAAACAGAGAGAAGACCTCTCCTGCATTGAAACGAATGCCTCTGAGCTCACCATCGGACCTGAAGTCACTTGCAGGGACTTCACAGCAAGCGTCAGGCTCGAATGCCGTTGGCTCTGAAATACATAGAAACCCTGTGACCAACAAAAAGAGGTCAGCTTCTCCGTCTCCGCAGATGGCTGTTACTGATTCTTTTGAGGAAGCGAAGTCTGATATCAAGAGATTCTCTACTCCACATCCGAGAAGAATGGAGCCGGAGAAGGGGATGAAGGCGAAGCTGCCTCGGAAAGGTTCGTTTGAGAAGATGTCGTTCAGTCTACGGCCTCTGTCGCACTCGGGTCCTATTAGGGATCTCAGTACGCTGAAGATTCAAGAGAGGGCCAAGAGCAAGAAGGAGACGAGGTCTTCCAAGTCTTTTGACTACGGAGGCTCTAGAGTGAGTGCTATGGGAGTGCTTGAAGAACACATTATTGATACCTCTAAGCTTACTTATGGGGACCAGTTTTCTCATGGGATATATAGCCAGATTCACCATGGGGTATACAAAGGTGAAGCTGTTGCTCTCAAGATCATCGAAGCGCCTGAAGATAGCGACGACAAATTCTTGGGAGCTCGTTTGGAGAAACAGTTCACCAAGGAAGCCACTCTTTTATCTCGACTCAGGCATCCAAACATTGTTAAGGTGATTCTTATTATGTTACATTATGAGTGATGATTTTGGTTTGTTTACTGATTGATGATTTCTTGAAACAGTTTGTGGGAGTGAATACTGGAAACTGTATCATCACGGAGTATGTACCTAAAGGGTCTTTGAGATCGTATCTGCACAACCTCGAGCAGAAAGCTCTTCCTTTGCAACAGGTAGTTAAGTTTGGTCTAGACATTGCGAGAGGATTTGAGTATATTCACTCGAGGAAGATTGTTCATCGAGATCTCAAGCCAGAGAACGTGTTGATTGACAAAGACTTCAACTTGAAGATCGCTGACTTTGGCATAGCGTGCCAGGAGGACTACTGTGACATTTTGGGGGCTGAGACGGGAACTTATAGGTGGATGGCTCCTGAAGTGCTAAGACGGAGACCACACGGACGGAAGTCTGATGTTTATAGCTTTGGACTCGTGCTATGGGAAATGGTAGCTGGAGCTGTTCCTTATGAGGAGATGACTCCTGTCCAAGCTGCTTTCGCTGTCATGCACAAGGTAAAATCATTCTGCATCTCCTACTTATTTCATGATTGTGATTGGAAAGTTTTAGACTTTCCGTTGATTTACACGAGTTTTGTGTTGATATTGGGCAGAATATTAGGCCGGTTATGCCGAAGGATTGTCCAGCGCCGATGAAAGAGCTGATCGAGCAGTGTTGGTCGTTGCAAACAGACAAGAGACCAGAGTTCTGGCAGATTGTGAAAGTGTTGGAACATTTTGACAAGTCTTTGAAAACTGAAGGGAAGCTCAATCTTATGCCGAACCAGATCTGTCCAGAGCTAAAGAAAGGTCCTAAGTATTGGATTCAGAGGCTTGGGTCAGTCCATCACCATGGAGGCAGCAGCAGTAGCAGCAACACCTTAGGCTCAGCCTTGCCTAAGCCTAAATTCGCTTGAGATTTTGTGTCGAGTCTCATTTTTTGTGAATATATGTTAAAGAGTCGGTGGTTGTGTTTTTGTTAATCCACTGTCTCCGTTTGCTTTTTCTTTTGTTTTGGTTTAGGATTCCATTAAAGAGAGAGAGCTCCTTTTTTGTTGTTGTGAAGCCTTTTTTGTTTCTCTCTTGAATTTGATTTGTTTTTGCAAGAACGGAACAGTGAGAAGTTGTTTTCTAGATTGTCGATTTTATTTCGAGTCATTCAAGTTCGTAGTATGGTGAGAAAACTAATTTAATTATATCATTACAAGACAGCAACATTGAAGGATTTGGGTTTGCCTTTCCGTTTCTTGACTTTTTGTTTGTTTACAGGATCGTTTCGCCGTTGATTTTCTATGAGCATTTGAAAGCTAACTCACCTAAAAGGGTCTTTACGAGTTGCTGTTGGATGCAAGAAAGGCGTTAATCATTTTCTCATCTTTTGTTATTTTTCTTGCTGGAACTAATAGTGAGAAGTTGTTTTATGAATTGTCGATTTTATTTAGTCATTCAAATTCAATAGTATAATGAAGACAATAGAGATTTTTAAGATTTTGCTCTACTTCTAGAGGCTAACTCGAGGTTGATTAATATAAGTTTCGTTAGCGCAAAAAAAAAAGAAAAGAGATTTTTTAGATTGAAAGTCTAAAGATGAAAACAAAGAGGTGATTTTACAGACATGCACACAATCGGTTTCGACGATAATAACCCTAAATTTTCCTAAGAGACGCATAGCTTAACCAAGAAGCTAGAAGACATATAAAATCAGAAATCGAACCGAAACCTTCCTCACCACGAATAGTAAAGCCCAAAGTCTTCAACCTAGAAATCAACACCGGAGTAATTGAACAAGATCACAACGGAAACACAGCTATGGTGAACTCCTAAATCGGCTGTTTTCAATTTCACCTTCCCTCATAGAGGTATTGAATCGTAAAACTTTGTTTGTATTATGTGTTCCTGGCTTATACCTATCCTTTAATCTTTTTTTAAATAAAAATATGTATTTTTTTCTTATCCCTTTGGCTCTGTCCTGATGTTTTTTTGTTTGTTTCAGTTATAACAAGAAGAGACCATGAAGTTTTCTTGGAGAGTGCTTGGCAAAAACTGAAACCAATGATTGGAAGCATCTTCCTAGATGAGCCAACGCATCACTACAGCTGCGCTGATATTTTCCAGGTATGTTCCTGTTTCTCCTTGTTTACAGCTGCACTGATATAGACATTGTATGTTCTTTGTTTCTCGTTGAATATTTCTCCTTGTTTATAGCTGCACTGATATAAGGCATTGTATGTTCTTGTTTCTTGTTGAATATTCTTGTACAGACTGTTTCTATGGTATGGAAGGACAACGAGTCAGGAGAAACTCTTGTCAGGCTAATACAAGAGGAGTGTGGGCCACACATCCGTGCTTCCATCAAGTCTTTAGAAGGGAAATACAATGATGACGATCCCTCTGTTTTCTTGACATGCTTGGAGGAATATAGGGTGGACTTTCTCCGTAAGATGGAGTTTCTCTGCAGCATTTGCGGAGGTAATTCTCAGAGAGTTCGTGGACAAACATTGGGGGATATTCTTCTTATGCTTTTGCCGAGTCAACTTAGCTTGGCTTCAGAACTTTGTGGAAAGGTTCTTTCCAAGATTCTACAAATGATTAGAGATCAAAGGTAAACTTTTCTGTGACTTGGTAAATGATTAGAGATCAAACTTAAGATTCTACTCTCACCCCTTGGTCTTTTCATTGTTCACTTGCAGATCAGGCAAGTTTGTCGACATGACTCAGCTCAAGTCACTTATGGAAATGTTCCATGGGCACTATCTCCACGACTCGCTCTTCTTTGGGAAGCCTTTGCTTGAGGGCACTGCTGAGTTTTACACCGCAGAAGCAGTACAAGTCTTTGAGCAGTCCGACCTTCCACAGTACTTGAAGCATGTTAAGGTAATTACTCACCTTTCTTCTCTTTGTTCATTTTAAGATTTCTTGTTGCACAAGCCATCTTGAGTAGCTCTACTTTTTTTTTTTTTTTTTTCTGGGTGATTATTGCAGGGAAGGTTGCGTGAGGAGAAGGAAAAATGCCAATCCCTCTTCTGTTTTGGGATGTTCATGGACGAGGTGATTGCAATTGTAGAGAGGGAGTTCCTTGTGGTTCGTGCCTCTGCCATTATTGAAAAGGTTATTCACAAGAAGCTCTCTTTTCTCTCTCTCTCTCTCTCTGGTTTTGTGTGAGCAGAGTTTCCTAAAGTAAGCACATGTGGTTGTTTGTTTGCAGGGTTTTGTGACATTAATGGATGAGAACCGTCGTGCTGACCTTGGTATCATGTATCGTCTGTTCTCTGAGGCGGACTTATTAGGTCATCTGGACGAAGCTCTCAGGTCCTACATTCTGGATACTGGAAGGAAGATGTTAGCACAAGGCTCATCATCACTGGCAGATTTCATGGCTTCAGTTGATCAGATATGTTTTGCCAGCTTTTTGGAAGATCCTTCGTTGGAAAAGACTGCTGATGAGTGTTTTATGGAGCTTGGTTTGTCTTGGAAGGTATCAAAAATCCTCTCTTTTTCCATTTTCTTGCTCCTTTTTTTTGCAGTAAAAAGTCTCTCTCTTGACTTTGTTTTCTTTTTATCTTCTTACAGGATCGTTTTGCATTGTTCTATGGAATCTGAGTTGGTGAGAAAACTAATTTACTTGTGTTAAGAATTTGTTTCCAAAATGAGCCTTTGTTGTGTAGATGAAAAGATCTTAAGATTTTAAAAGTCTGAAAATCGAGAAAGAAATACTACAAGCAATCGTGCCCACAACCTGATCGACGAAATAACCCTAATTTTACTAAGAGACGCATAGTTTAACGAAGAAGACGAGAGGAAACTCAGACTCCGGTAGATCCGAAACCTCCTTCACCACGAACAGTTGCATCCAAATCTTCAACCTCCATGACTTCAGGCGTCACGATCTTCTCGATTATCAGCTGCGCGATCCTGTCTCCCGATTTCACCTCGAAATCAACATCCGCGTGATTGAACAAAATCACACCGACGGATCCTCTGTAATCGGCGTCGATCACTCCCGCTCCGACGTCGATCGAGTGTTTCCAGGCGAGACCAGATCTCGGAGCGATTCTTGCGTAGGTTCCCTCGGGGACGGCGATGCTGAGATCCGTTGGGATTAGCGCCTTGCCTCTCGCCGGAACTTTCGAATCAACCGCACTTGAGAGATCGTATCCGGCAGAGAGAGACGAACCTCTCGTAGGCAGAACAGCTTTCTCGGAGAGCTTCTTCACTTTGAAGAACGGTGCGGAATCGCCATGGACTCCGTTTCGGTCGAGCTTCTGGAGTTTAGGCGACGGCTCCTTGACGTCGGGGCTGTTGCTCTTTGCTTCGACGGAGGCCATTGCTGGAAATGGAAGACGAGATATCGATAAACGCCGCGAGTTCACTGAGTTGCGGAGAAACCCTAATCTCAATTGCGGTTGATTTGTTGTGAAGAGGAAGCGCCGCAGCTCCGCCATTAATGTAGACATTCCCTTAGTGAGAGTGGCGCCAAATTTTCCCTCCACTCTTAACTTGCAAAATCCTGATAATTATAAATGGGCTTTAGCGATTTCATTTATTGATCGGCCCATCAGCCCAATCGTTAATATTCGACTTCATCATTTTCCCCAAATCAGGGTTTATCGGTATGATTCTTTTCATAAACCCTAATTCTGGGTTTGGAGTGAATAATTGATTCACTGATCGTTTCTCGAATCGCTTCAAACACTTGTTATCGAATTGCCATTGTCATGTATTCTCTGATACTCCATGGAAGAAGGTCGCTCGAGCTGCAGAAATGGCGTAATCTGAGAGTTTCAGTGAAATTTCTGCAAAATGAATCTGCTTTCTCCAGCTCGTCCTCCTCTGCGAATGTGAGCCCTCAAGGAAACAATTTCACCGTCTCTTACCTAGTCGAATCACTGGGTTTAACTACAAAACTCGCAGAATCGATCTCACGGAGAGTCTGCTTCGAAGACAAGGCAAATCCGGATTCCGTTCTAAATCTTCTCACAAGTCATGGCTTCGAAGAGTCTCAAATCTCCAAAATCATCACTACTTACCCACGATTGCTCATAGAAGATGCAGAGACATCTCTTCGTCCCAAGCTTCAGGCTCTCCTGTCGCGAGGCGCTTCAAGCTCAGAGCTCGCCGAGATTGTTTCGAGAGTTCCGAAAATCTTGGAAAAGAGAAAAGGAAAATCTATAAACTTGTACTATGATTCCGTCAGAGACATTATGCAGGACGGTGAGTTATGTGATTCTAAGCCTGTGAATAGGATCCGAAACATATCGGTGTTGAGAGAATTGGGTGTGCCTCAGAAGCTCTTGTTCTCACTGCTCATCTCCAATTGCCAACCTGTTTGCGGGAAAGAGAGATTCGACGAAAGCCTCAAGAGAGTCGTCGAAATGGGTTTTGATCCGACCAAGTTGAAGTTTGTGGAAGCTCTTCACGTAGTCTACGAAATGAGCGACAAGACGATACAGGAGAAAGTAAACGTGTATAAAAGGCTAGGGTTTAGTGAGAAAGATGTGTGGAGGATTTTCAAGAAGTGGCCTTACTCTCTGAAATTCTCTGAGAGGAAGATAAAGCAGACGGTTGAGACCTTGAAGAAGTGTGGTCTGGTGGAGGAAGAGGTTCTCTCGGTGTTGAAGACTCGTCCGCAGTGCATTCGGTCTTCGGAGCAGAAGATATTGGAGACCGTTGAAACGTTTCTTGGGTTAGGTGTCAGCAGAGATGAGTTTAAGACGATGATCAAGCGGTTTCCTCATTGCATTGCGTACTCTGCGGAGTCGATGAAGAAGAAGTTTGAGTTTCTGGTGGAGAAGATGGATTGGCCACTAGAGGATTTGGTTTTGATCCCAACGATAATTGGATACAGCATGGAGAAGAGGATTGTGCCGAGGTGTAACGTGATCAAAGCCCTCATGTCGAGAGGATTGATCGGGAGTGTAAACCCTCCGATTTCATCTGTCTTGATATGTAGAGATGATGAGTTCTTGAAAAGATACGTGATGAAGCACGGCAAGCTCGTGCCTGAGCTGATGGATATCTATACCGGAGGTCTTGTTTCATAGTTTTGTCGGTAACTCGGAAGAGTATTGGAAGAGTATTGAAATGTGACTGTGTTTGTGTCTGAAGTCATCTTTATAATGTCAGTTATGACCCGTTTCTAATAACAAGCCGATTGGTGAGATAACAAATTGCCATTCTTCATTTATTCATTTGGTTCTTTGTCCAATCCAATTTCTTGTGGTAAGATGGTGTAACTAACAATCAGTAACTTTTTGATAATATTTTGTATATTGATTTCTGAAGACTAATATGAATGATTTTTGTACTATTCTAAAAAAATGCAATGTAACATCTTTGGGATGTGTTTAAGGATTAAATTATTTCAGGTTAAGTGAGAAGCGTCTCTGGTCAGTTTCACAATCAAAACTTACACTCCGGTTACATACAAACTAGCCGCAAAGACGATGTCACGTTTTATAGCATTTGACGCCGAGTCCATTTTCTTGTGTAGCCCCGAGTTCCCCATAATGGCCGCTGCGTTCTTGAACTCACGGCACGTCTCGTCCAATCTCACAATGGTTCGAACTATCAGACCTTCTGGGACATCTGTCAGCTCACAGATCTCTGCAAATGGAGTCCCCTGCAAAAAAAAAAAAAAACATCAAGCATACAATATGATGTGTGAATCGCACAATGTAATAAGAAAGATTTGCTCTCTGGTTACAAACCTTTGCCCACTCATAAACGACTTCCACCAGACCAAATTTGAGATTCTCCTGCGCATATTCTTCTGGGTCTATTTGTAAGTTGTAACCAGCTTGAAGTTCACCAAGTCTGATTGCTGTATCATAGAGTCTATGCAAAAGAGGATTAAACATTAAATTTAAACCGATCAAATCAATTACTGTTTGTGATTATGAGAAAGGAAAGAGTGTGATCGTTAACGAACCTTTGTTTAGCCTTAGCCAGCTTGGGAGTAAGTGTTGGCGCTGAAGTGTTTTTCTGTTGGAAGACAAAAGCAGACATTATAGCCACAGCTTCTTCTGGTTCCAGATCTTCAAATTGATTCTCAAACAAACACACTGTGCAAATCAATTCTTCCCCAGAGTTCATCTCGCAAGCGACACGGCCTTTGATTTGGACTACGAGGTCATCATCTATACACCCAATTTTCTTCAGAACATCGATCTGCAGAAGAGAGAAGAGCTTAAGAATGTTACTCAAGTTTATTATACATACAGAGGAAACAAAAAATGCGTGTGAACTTTTCTCATTTGATCGTACCCGGCCCTGAAACGCAGGCATCTGTAATAAGGCTTCATCAGACATTTGAAATTCGAGATCTGTGAGATCCTTTTTATGCTTCTTAATCTCCCTAGCTAGCTTCATATGCTCTTCCAATTTGACACAACCGTGGCACTTGTTCATTGACATCTTTTGTAACAGGTTGGTCCATCTATAGTACGTCTCCACAAGCTCAGCATCTTTCAGCTTCAAATCTGAAATAGAACCATGAAAGGAAATCTATCAGAGAAATGAAATTTGTAGCCCGGAAAACTGAAACAAGACTAGAATTTTAGTTGCAAAAAACCTTTAACAGGGTCAAGCGCAGGAGGGTACTTGTTTCCGTCTGATTTCAGATTCAAAAGCTCTTGAACCGTCTGAGAAAACGCTGCCTTGTTCCCATCCTCGAGTAGACGCACATCATCAATCTTTATCTTGCTAACGCATATGCACAAGAATTCTTTGTTATCAAACCCTTTAACCTCGTACCCTACACCAGCAGCGACTCCATGGTACGGGAGCTCTATATTGATAGCACCGGTGCCTTTACGAGAGCTTGCCTTCGAATAAAATTCATCTTCAAAACCACGTTTTGACTTAGGCGCAATATAAAAACCTTGAGAGGGATCTGAGCTTTTCTTGCCAATGCTGATGACCATATTTGGCTCTGGTGACGGAATTTCAGTTTTGATCACCAAAACAACATATTGTCTGTTAGAGGTGGAAGGTGGCTTCAGTACGACTCCAAGTAAATTGTCTATCCCCTGTAAAATGACACACAATGAGCAACAGGTTGAATCAGAGAAAAGAGAGGTGGTGACTGGTTCTCACCGTTCCAGATTTCATCACCACTACTCTTCCTTTTACAAGATGATTCTGGGCATAAGGAGACTGCATGACTGCTTCCGACATTCTGCTGTTACATTCGTTTGCTTCCATATACATGTCAAAGTAATCTTCAATTGCCGGTTCACCTTTAATACATCTAGACGCACAAAAAGCAATAGGTTAATCCGTAAACTCATCTGGAGAAGTTGAAAACAGAGGTAACACTAACAAAAGGTTGTGCTATCCATCGGAGTATTATAATTCAGTAGTTTTGCGTCTTTCAGGTACCCGTGAGATAAGGGTTTGGCCTTACTCGATAGTTTTGACTGGTAGAGAACGTTTCAGCATGAGAAGCTGTTGTTTCTCGGGCAGTTTCTTCTGGGCATGGAACTCAGCAAAACTTCGTTTCAGCATGTCCTCCACCTTAAAATAACAACCATTTGAAAACTGGCAAGTCAGGAAAAGGCCAGAGAAAGGCTTGGTAGCAAAAACACATGCACTGCCATGGGAACTGCAGGCATGCAACTATTTAAGATGGTAGATCAATGGCCCAGACATTAAGATACCTTCAATTCTTCAACACGTAAGAGATGGAGGATCATTATGTAGGTTAGTCGGAACTGAGATTCTAGTCTTGTTGCGCTTCCAACAATTATACGCCTCAGATCACTCTCATCTGGAACTTCATCGCGACACATGACAACTACTGTGCCGGTTTTGTCAAGTCCTCTTCTACCAGCACGCCCTGCCATTTGAGTGTACTCTCCAGGAAGCAATTGTCTAAATTCCTTGCCATCAAACTTCCTCAAAGCATCAAAAACGACCTGTAAAGAATATCGAAGAAAAGTAAGTTCAAGAGGTAAAATTTATATAGAGGAAATGAATAATATGCTTATCAGGGTAACCACACTTGTTATAAAATATTCCTAAACAACGGAGCATGAACTTGGACTAAAACTCTTAACAACTCTTCACTATCCTTTAATTCATCCCACATTAACACATGATCCAACAAGACTACGTGTAAAGAATGACCCACTAAACATTTTTACACTGAATTACATCAGAAAAAAAAAGTTCAAAAAAGCCTCACCGTTCTGGCTGGAGCATTAACCCCCATAGCAAATGTCTCCGTTGAGAATAGCACCTGAATAAAGATTACAAACAAGAGATTAGGACATCAAACACTTGGTAATGAGATGTGCGAAAGGCAGGAACCAGAAGCATAGTAAATTATTAACCCCAGCATTGTATTTATGGTGTAGTGCAAATAATAGTACAAGAATAGAGTCCCTGAGTTTTTAGGCTTACCTTAATAACACCCCGGCAAAAAAGCATTTCAACAACTTCCTTTACTATTGGAAGCAGCCCCGCATGATGGACACCGATTCCTCTATGAAGTAAGCTTTGGACTCTGAGGACCTTAAAAATTTGCACCACAAAGTTCATGAGTACGAAATCAAGACACCTCTTTCAGTTTCATATGTGAGAAGACGATAAATTTAAAAGATAGCCAACCTGAGGTAAATTCCGATCAGACCCTTTCAGTCTCGAAAAAGCTTTATCGCAAAAGACACGGATTTCACTTTTCTCAGAACTACTAGTGAGGTCAGTCCCAGTCAAAGCGTCAGCACACCTATCGCAATAATTCTTCGAGAAACAAAAGACAACCACCTAATGGGAAACGAAAAAGTAAAAGGTTAGACATAAAGACCAGAACGGAGTACAAATCAGATCGAATATAAACTTCATAATCATAGATAGAACAAAGGCGACATCTAACATACAGGCAATAGGGACGTTTTAGAGAGCTTTTTGATAAGCAGCAACCAATTTGAAGCTGCCGATCGTCTAAATGCCCCATTGTTTTGGCCGCTACCACCATAAGAGGATTTTCCCAAATCTTTTACACCTGAGTGTTTATTCTGCTTGCCACGAGAATGAGCTTCATGTTTCTGAGATTTGTTCCCATCTTGATGAGCGCCTGAAGGTCCCGTGTGCTGCTTAGGACCGACACTAACTGCTGTTGAATTCTTCTTCTTGTGCGAATCTTTAGCATCCTTTATCCCTTTAGAAAGAAAAATTTCATTCTCACAAACTTTGTAGAGTTCGCCAGAATAAAATAGGCAATGCTCTAGAGGAACTGGTCTTTTTGTTGTGCTGAAAACAAAACACACAAATGATGTTATTAAAGTTTCAATATGAATCACTGAATTATATTCACAATTATTTTACCAGGATACATATACAATAAATCTCACCCAGTAACGCGTATCTCCTTTTGTTTTGTTCGGCCAATCCAATCAGCAAATTCAAATGTGTTTGGCACCTATAAGTAATTTGAAATTTAGCAATACATGTTATTATTAGTTGCCAAAAATGCGTGAGGAGAGACGCACGGGAAAAAACAGAATGGAGCTTAGTGACTGAACCATGAAACCATCAAGTGAGTAAATCCATAGCCTAAGCTTAGGTGCATGGTGAACACAACTAAAACTTTGAAGAAAACTATTTTCTAAAAGCACGAACATAACAGCAGAAAGAAGTACCGTTGCAGAGAGCATGACAAAATTTATATGCCTTGGCAACATGATGATGACTTCTTCCCAAACAACCCCTCTCTCTACGTCATTGACATAGTGAACTTCATCAAATATAACCTGCCAGTCAAAGAAACGGCAACAAGAAAAAATGATTGAAGATTCGCACAGAACTACAAAAGCTGCTAAACAATTAAGCGCGTCAAAACTCAGAAGAAATCCAAACACCAGAAAGCTCTTTTACCCATTCTATATCACGTATGATATCAGCACCACGATAAAGCATAGACCTTAATATCTCGGTAGTCATGATTAGACACGATGCCTCTGGCCTTATGCTAACATCACCTGTGAGAAGTCCTACATCGAACTTCCCACAAAAGTCTCTGTACTTTTGGTTGCTGATGGTTTTAATTGGAGCAGTATAAACAGCTCGTGTACAATGCTGAACAGAGGATAAATATTGGTCAGCCAACAGAGCAAAGAATCTAATAATACGAGCATCGTCGATAAACGTTAGAATTCTCTACCTTGGTGGCCAAAGCGAATGCATATTCGGCAACAACTGTCTTCCCAGCTGATGTATGGGCTGCTACAAAAACAGACTCTCCCTTTTCTAGACAATAGATGGCCTGTAGTCATAAGCACTCAATTATCTACTGAAATTCATGTATAAAGACAGCCAAATACGTTCGTCAAACATCCACAAGCTAAAAAGTTAATGTAAACTACCTCCTTCTGAAAGATGTCCAATTCGAAAGGGAATTCCATCGCCATGTCAGGAACAAGCTCATCAAACCGGTCTGCAATGTCTTGGGTATCTCCTTTTGTGGCCCATCCCTAAAGGAACAACAAACCGAAAATCATGTTAATAGAAGTATAAATGTTGTCTCAAAGTGTAAAATCCACCTCCTAACCTCTTTCCGTAGTTGTTTATCATTGTTCCCAGTAATTCCCTCTTCCGCCAGTATTGCTGTTTTTGCCGATGACAAAATCTCATCTAACACGGTGGTGTCGGTCTCTGTCCTCTTGGTGGGTTCACTACTTTCGCTCACTTCAGGTTCAGGTTCTGCCTTTGGTGACTCAGATCCTGCTGAACGATCTTCATAATAATTCTCATTATCAGAACTAATTTAAATGCAAATGATTATAGGAATAAAGCATAGATGATGTCACGCACCATCTCCCTCAAGTTCGGAGAAAGCATCTTCTTCCAAAACCGACTTGAACAAATCATCAAACTGAATAGACAACTTGCTCTGGAAATATCACCAACGCAAAGACAGTAAAAAAAAAAAAGAAAAATTACCACAACCAAATATAAAAGCAATTTCACATATACCAAAGACATTGATCTACATACCGACTTTTCATCTGAAGCCTTGCCATGTGAACTCTGATCCTCATAAACGTTCCATTTTTGGGGATATGGCTTTCAGGTACAAAAAGGAAAACAGGTTGAATCAATCTACACTGAATCATATATGAATTTATCAAATGATAAAATCAGATGGTGATAAGATAAAATACCATCAAATCTCCAAGATCTAGACTCTGCTTAAAACTAGGAGGAACGGTCTGAGCAGGACCCCCATTGAGCACTTCCTGTACCCACTGGCCATTACACACACCATCAGGAAGGATTCTCTCTGAAGACTGTGAATCCTCCAAGCCACCTGGACGGAAAGGCCGATTGTTGACACTTCCTCTCAGAAAATCCTTTGGAGGTCCCACCATTCGCGGAAAAAATCCAGAATCTTGATCTCCATACATTTGTTCTGATAAATCCACCTAAGATTATATGACAATCCATTTCTCCAACTAAAGTCAGAAAAAGAAAGCTTATAACTGGCCATTCTTGTACCAAAAACATGATAAAGTTGAGTTACCTCCACTGATTTTGGCTCCCATGCTCCGTTTTCAGTATCTGGTTTTTGACGCCTGAATGGCAATTCCCAAGTTGGAACTACAACGGACCTTGGCAAAGAGGGTTGAAGGGGAACCTTCACCCTGGAGAACCAATCAAAATCCCACTGATTCTCAGCTTTTTCCGCAGAAAATTGATCAGGTTCTAATCTCGGGAGGAGATATTTCTCCTCAATATGTTCCTTTATCGATTCTTTTGTTTCCTTGGGAAATGCAGGAGGCTGAGAAATACACATACAGGGAAACATATATGAGCGTCATCATATAACAGTGACTTCGTCCCTTAACAGTTGAATGCAGATTCTACATCACATAAAATTTATATGGAAAAATACACTGGAGTTTCCTCATGTCACTGTTAACTAACATTTTGAGCAAGAATTTACAATGCTTATGAAAATTTTCAGAAGATTGGCGAAAATTGGCTAATTGTGTTTCTTTTCTTCCACATTAAACTTGATACAACACTAACTAAATCCTCCCTAATCAGAACTCAACAAGTCTCGAAAATCAGAGCAATCAGAAAACTCACGGAGACGAAATCGGGAAGTGAGTTCACGGCGTCGTCGCTGCTCTCCACCGTGTACAGAGGCTCGACGCGGAGGTGACCGCCATGACCGGAGAATCCGACCCGGAAAGCGAGCTCGTTGCCTGCTTGGACTCTGTTCATTGTGCTTTTCCTCTCTAATCGTTATCTCTACTTCGCATTCCCTTTTCTCGCCGTCTCGTTCCGTACTGTTCTCAGCGATCGGTGTTGGAGGGAGAGGGTCCGGTGAAAGGAACAAACAATGATACTTTTTCTCCGGTTGAGTTCTGTCGTTCCGCAACGCCGCGCCGTTTATCAGCTACAAACGAAAAGTGTGTGCCGTCTTTATCTGTGATGGGCTCTAAACGAGGCCCACTAAGGCCCAATTGTCATATTTTCAAATAACTATCCTTGAATACCACATATAATCAAGAAAAGAGTACCTATAATCACATGAAAACCATGAAAGCCTGTTGCTAAGAAAAATCATTTCTGCAAGCCCAGAGCGTTGCCTCCCTTCTATTGCATAACCTAAAAAGCGATAAGCAAAGTACCAAAAGCGCGCTCCGCCCGGTGACTACTTGACCGTGCCTTGACATGATATTTTCTCAATTTGATTTTATTAAAAGATGTCTATTTACATACAATTTTAGGAACATAGAGTGTTAGACAATTAAAAAAATGTCAATTTACATAGACGAAATTTTGAGTGACTCTTGGTTTATTTTTTTAGCCTGGTTTGATTTTTGTCATCGTTTACAGTGTGGTAATCTAACATTTGCTTTAACAACAGTTTCTCCCTTTCCGAACCCACATATATATTAAATTTTAATACATTTAAAATAATTTTATATTTTGATAAATATAAAATGGCATATATATTTTATGTTTTTATCAATTTTAAATAACTAAAATAATTTAACTTATATGATAAGTTATTAGAATTTATTACGTTTAAAATTTTGATCAAACCAAAATATTAAAAATACGATTTAATTATTTAATTCAATTAAAGAATCAAATTAAATCGAATAAAAGAAATTTTAAAGATTTCCAAACATGGTAAATTTTTCTTTCCTATTTGTGATTATGGTTGATCATTATTTGGATCCTATTTTATAATAGGTTTTTGAACTATTATCCCAAAATATAATCATGTGGGACATTTAACATTTTTAGAGATTTGCTTCATTTTTAAAAATTCAAACCATAGCATATGTAAAAAAAACTAATTTTTTTTTTAAATATTTTGATGTGATGATATAATTTATTCTTGAAAGTAAAGCTAAACAAAAATGATAGATGAATAAATTAATTTTTAAACAATTAATATAATACAATTGAATAAAACTTTCCATATTTTACTGATTGATTGACTAATAAATAAATTTTCGTCATTACCAAATAAGGAAACTGAAAGAAAATAATTTTCATTAATAATTATTTTTCTGACTAAATTAATCATATATATTTCATTCTCTAACCAAATATGAATGGCATAACATGTAATTAGTCTAGTAATGTTTGTCTTAATTAAAACTAACCTTGAAAGTGAACCTGGTGTTGACACATCAGCATGACATTTCTGTTAATAACACATGAGACAAAGGTTTATTTTATAGTGTTTTCTCTTTTAATATATTAGGGATAGAGTCAAGTCTCTTTCATCAACGTTAGTTTCTCGTTAAGAACAGTAAACTCTTAGTGCAACAAAGCAAACAAGTTGAGAATATGGATTCGTCTGAGGGAATTTCAGCTTGTGCACAACAACATAAGATCGAGATATTGAATAGCCACAACGAGAAGCTCGTGGGTCTGCTTCACGAAACAGGGTCAAGAGAAATTGTGATCTTGTGCCATGGATTTAAATCGAACAAGGAAAATACAATCCTGAAGAATGTGGCTGCTGCTTTGGAGAAAGAAGGAATCAGCGCTTTCCGTTTTGATTTCTCAGGTAACGGAGAGAGCGAAGGCAGTTTCAATTACGGTAACTACAACTACGAAGCTGATGATCTACACTTTTCCAACACGAACCGTGTGGTTTCTACGATCATCGGATACAGTAGAGGAGGTGACGTGGTGCTTCTCTACGCTTCCAAGTATGGTAATGATTGTAATATCCGCAATGTAGTCAATATCTCTGGACGATATGATCTGAAAAAAGGGATACGTCTTGGAGATGGCTATTTGGAAAGAATTAAGCAACATGGTTTCATCGATGCTAAAGAGGGCAAATCTGTGTTCCGTGTTACCGAGGAGAGTTTAATGGAGAGGTTAAACACGGATATGCGTGAAGCTTGTCTCAAGATTGACAGAGAATGCAAAGTCTTGACGGTTCATGGGTCGGAAGATAAGGTTGTACCAGTGGAAGATGCTAAGGAGTTTGCGAAGATCATACCGAACCACAAGCTGGAAATTGTGGAAGGAGCTAATCATGGTTACAGCAAGCATCAGAGTCAATTGGTTTCAATAGTTATGGAGTTTATAAAGACAGTGATGGTGAAGAGCAACTAGTCCTTTTATGTAATTGAGGAAAAAATGAACTTTTAATCAACTCGAACAAGTTTGTATTCATATAAGCTCACTCACAGTAGATTTTCATAAGGACGAATATATTACCAAAAGTCATTTATATTTTATAGAACCACGTTTTCTAAGCATAATTGCAAACATAATGATTCAGGAACATATACATATGGAAGGTTTAATCATTTATTTCATTTTGGTTATATTCTTACGAGATATAGATATATGTCGACTCTGGAACTGTGTGGATGTGGAGATGCCTTGGTAAGGAACTTAGGGAACAGGACAGGCCTCAATGTTCCAAATCTCTTTGGCATACTGAGCTATTGTACGGTCACTGCTGAATTTTCCCGATCCGGCTGTGCTCAATATCGACATCATCAGCCACTTCTTCCGGTCCCTGTCACAACACATGATGGCAACATTTTCACGTTTGATGATTCAGAAAACTACTGAAGAATGGTGAAGTTTGAGGTTTAAGAGATGGACTTACTTGTAAGCTTCATCAACTTCGGCCTGAGCATCCATGTAGCTCGCAAAGTCATACCCAACCAGGAAGTAGTCACCACGACCATAGCCTGTGTTACCTTCAAGAGAATCCAGGAGCGGACCGTAATCGTAGCTACCAAACACTCCACTTTTAGCAAACTGCTTCGCCTCTTCAAACCGAGGATCGGGTTTGAACTGATGGATTATGCAAGGCACAAAAATGTTTTCATGTCAGAGAGAGTGCAGAAGCTTATGGTGATTTCATTTTAAGGCTCTCTTTATGGTATGGTGGCAAAAGGAGAGAATGACATACCAGTCCGTCTTCTCTTTCTTTACGCAGTCGAGGGACCTGGTCAGCTGTTGCACCAAAAAGAAAGAAATTTTCTTCGCCAATCTCCTCTCTTATCTCAACATTTGCCCCATCAAGCGTTCCTATGATAAGGCAACCGTTGAGAGCGAATTTCATATTGCTGGTACCACTTGCCTCCATGCCTGCTGTGCTGATGTGCTGAGATAGCTCACTTCCAGGTATAAGAATCTCCGCTACAGTGACATTGTAGTTTGGAACAAATACCACCTGTCGAGGCAAATTTCGTTAGAACCAGTTCTGACTTTATAACCAATGTTCAGAAAAGGAATGTGTAATATTGACATTGACATATTAACAACAATCTCAGTCACGCAATCATTATCAAGCAAGCAAGCATCGTCCTTAGCCAGCTCTAAGCTCTATGTAAACCGTTTCTAAGAAGACTCAGACAAAGTTACCTTCAGGTATTCGTTGACCTCTGGATCACTGTTCACAACGTCGCCTACATCATTCACTAGCTTCACTATCCGTTTTGCATTTGTATAGGTTGCAAAGGCTTTACCCCCAATCATGACAGTGCGGGGAACTGTTTTCTTCCTTTCCTCAGGCTTCATCTCCTGTAATATTCAGTTGCAAAAAAGAATGTCACACAAGATATACATAAATTGCCTAATGTTAGATTTCTCTGCGATTAATGCATAATATTCTGCCAATGAAGCTTTATGAGCTTTGAAAGGAACCAGGGATTATCCTGAAGTTTCTTTTACTTTTGACTTTTTTCAATATTACGGACCATAATTTTTAACGGAATCAAAACGTCATAACTAAGAAGTTAGAACCATGAAAAAAGTATCAAGAATTATAAGGTCACAACTAAAACCAAATCAAGATGGATAGTTCAGCCAACTATACCTTTAGTTTCTTGAACCTGTATATCACTCCAAGAATGTTCATGAGCTGCCTCTTGTATTCGTGGATACGCTTAACTTGGATGTCAAACAAGCTGTTTGGATCAATACTCACACCAGTCACACGCTCTATATACTGAGTCAATCGTTGCTTATTGGCCGCCTTTGCAGAAGCCCACTCAGATTGGAGTTCTTCATTGTCCGCAAACTAGCAGAAGAAAAAAATAACATCAGAAAAATAAGAAACCCATTGCAGATTTGGTTCACAATAAATAAATAAACATCAGACCTGCCGAAGACCAGTTAGTAGGTCAAGATCGGTGATCCATTTGTCAGTCTTCAACCACTTTGTGATTATATCACTGAGCTCAGGGCTGCAGAAACGAAGCCACCTTCGAGGTGTGATGCCATTAGTCTTGTTTTGAAATTTATTTGGCCAAATAGAGACATAGTCTACAAATAACTCAGCCTTTAAGATATCACTGTGTAACTGAGCAACGCCATTCACCTGTAACAGAGTCCCAATAATGAGCACTTGAAACCAAAAAGGATAAACGGGATTTAGAAACAACAAAACATCATTTTGAAATGGGGCCCACTTACTGTGTGCGAGGACACAACACATAAGTTAGCCATTCTCACGACTGGCTTCTGCGGATTGTTATCTAAGATGCTCAAAGTTGAAAGCTTATCCTCAAGATCTACACGGGTGTTGCGAATGGTTTGCACAAACTGCAGAAAGGTAAATATCCTATTATGGCAACAGACAACACAACCAAATCTATAGAATTGTCAGTAAAATACCCTCTTGTCGATCTCTTCTATGATCTCCATATGACGAGGAAGAAGCTTCCGCATCAAAGATTGTGACCATTTCTCCAAGGCCTCAGGAAGGACGGTGTGATTGGTGTAACCAACGGTCCTGTGAGCTTTACAAATAAGTACCCAACGAAAGAGTGGAGAAAATTTGTTGACAAAGATGAGAAGTGTCATGCATAAAAGCAATACCGTGATGTCACATCCCAAGCTTCATCCCATCCAAGTCCATTTTCATCCATTACCAATCGCATGAGCTCAGGGATTGCAAGAGTTGGGTGTGTGTCATTCATTTGAACAGCAACTTTACTTGGAAACTCTGACCATTTCCGGCTGCCTTCCGTGCTCCTCTCGTTAAATCTTGATATTATATCCTGCAATAGATTTCCATATTATGAATCAACTGCAAGAAATTATGTTAGTGAACTTGTAGTTTTGGTTTAGTGGAAACAGTTCTCAGTTAATATGCCAACTTGAATTGTTTGCGCATGTCAACCACTAATGAGTCATAGTGACATCAAACCAGCCATCAGAGAGTACTAAGTTGATCCAATACATTATGGCTTCAAAAAAAGGAACAAAATGGAAGGCTACAAGCCAAATTGACAAACCTGAAGCGAAGCACTACAGAGAAAGAACTGCTGTTTCAATCGTAATAGCTTCCCGTTTTCAGTAGCATCTCCTGGGTATAACACAGTGCAGATCTGCATACAAATAAACTCATTGTTACAGAGAAAGAAAAATTCACAAAGCAATAAAAAAGGTGGAGCTTTCTTTAGAGATGAGAAGTTTATAACCTGTTGAGCTCGAGAACGTAGCTGTGCAGCCAATTCGTATTCTCCTTCGTTGAACTGAAAAAGGTCAAGGTCTTCTGCTCTAACTTTTGCTTCCCAGAGACGGAGACTGATTGTGTTCTTCGTTTTATATCCTGGGATTGGCACGTCATAAGCAAGAGCTTGTACAACATCACCGCCTACCCACTTCCTTCTGCAAGTTGGTCAATTGATCCATTGAAATGGTTAAATATCAAGTTAGAGAACACATAGCAAAACTCACTAGTGTATATATATACAGCAATTTCAAGCACATGCGTATCGTCAGTAATGTAAGTTCCAACACAAATACTTACGATCCATCCGGATTGATCTCCACATTGCCGAAAAATCTGACAGGGAAGACTACATCATGCCTGACGATTTCCCAAGGGCTGAACTTCTGCAAGTTCCCATTGAAAGAGGGTGAGTCACAGTCTCAGAAAACATTCTATTGAAACCACCACAACTAATAATCATCACCTCAAGCCAGTCCTCTGCAACCTCTTCTTGGCCTTTCTTTGTGATTAGTTGCTTAAAGAGCCCATGTCTGTACCTCAACCCATAACCCCAAGCAGGCAAATTTAAAGTGGCCATCGAATCCAAGAAGCACGAGGCGAGTCTCCCCAAACCACCATTTCCCAGAGCTGCATCTTTCTCCTACAATGTCACAATATAAAAGCTTAAACATCTCCAAGTGAGAGAGAGATCAAAAAGAATGTATCCGGTGTCTCAAGTCTTGACAGAGGAAAGTGGTAACTCAAGAGTACCTGTTCAGCTATCTCCTCAAGCTCGTAACCAAGCTTACGTAGTGCATCAGCATATGGACCTCCAAGGTCCAAATTCCCAATCGCATTTGTCAAGGCGCGACCTTGGAGATACTCCATTGACAAGTAGTATGTTTGTTTTGGATCAACTTTGTTGAAATGAACATAAGTCTCATTCCATAGCTGCAGAAAAATATAAACAATTCATTCTTAGCCTCAATCTCCATATCACTTCACACACAAATACGCATAGATAACTCGAGCAAAACCAATTGGAATCCAACTATATGTTCATACACCCAAATCTACTTCACAAATCACAACCCATTATATATTCTCGAGATCGTCTTCGTCGGACGAAATTTACGGAAAAAAGGTCCAGAAATCAGTGATTACCTGAATGAGACGATCGCGAAGGCTCTCAGCAGTGGCGTAGAGAGCTTGCTCCGGCCCGAACTTTAATGGAGAAAAATGCGGACTGTACTTGGCGTGGTAGATGATGTTCCCGGCGATATCCGTAGCTTCACTGGCCTCCGGGTTCGCCTTCGCCGAGATTTTATCCGGAAACCCAGTCGCAGCCTTCCCATTGGCGTTTGACATCGCTTTGACTCCCTGAAACAACGACAGTATTCAAAATTTGCTTCACACAAACCGAAAATTCCACTGATGCTGAAATTAGAAATTAATTTCACTATATTTTGCCCAGAAAAGCGATTAATTTTGAAGGACAAATTATAAAAAAAAAAATCGAAAAACCCAGAAACTCCGAGTAAGAGGAAACAAAAAAATATGATCAAGTAAAGAAAAAACAAAATTGTCGAGTGAATACCGAATTTCGAAATCGGAATCTGGAAAGTGATGAAGTGGTGAACAGGGACACTCCCAAACTTATAAGCACAACTTGTTATGAGAGAATCTGCCGAAGAAAGGAAAAGTATATACTACTAGAAAAGAGGAGTGGAAGATATTGAGAAGGTAAATGACAGAAACGTAACTGATTTCGTTTGGGAGATTTTCTTTCCAGAAAGGATCTTTAAGGATTGAAAGTGTGAGGATCACAAGAAAAGGGAGAGGGAAGTGAGTTTTTTTTGTGTCAGAGGAAGCTCCGAAGAACTTTTGTAATTTTACTGAAAATATCTAACAGGAGGCCCCATATATTTTTGTATTTTAGCTAGCGACACCCTTAATATTGGGGACCATGGATCATTTTCTAAATATTGATAACGAAATGCAAACAGTAGAGTGAGGAAACAAAAGGAGAAAATCTGGAGTTTTTAGTTGCAACATTTTTGCAACGAGAGGATTCAAAGGGAACCAATCTTAGCAAAAGCCAAACGTAGCGGCTCGCTTACGTATCAATAGGACTAAAGTAGAAATGTTTTGCCAGCCTAAAGTACACGTGTTTGAATGTAATGGAGTAGAGAAAGTGCGAGCACGCACCTCAACGTCCCAAATCACGGATCTACACCTGCAACTAAACTTTTCTTCTCTGCTTCCGTGCCCTTTAGCTATATTTGATTCAGTTTCTTTGAGGTCTGTATTATAATCTTTGTTTCTTAAATTTGTTTTTCTAAACCACATTTAATCATGCTATCAATAAGCAGGAAACTTTGCAGAACATATGATTTTCTCAGAGAGCTTTGTGTTCATTTAATGGTTATCACCGATGTTCTCCCAGTTTCTATCGGCCAGGCCTGCGACTTCGGTTTAACCGAACTGAACCGGCCAGTTATTTCGGTTTCTCGGTTATTTTAGAATCTGAAAATCTTACCGAAATTAACCGAAATAAATTCCGGTTCGGTTCGGTAGTCGGTTATTTCAGAAATTTTAAATCATATCGAAGTGAACCGAACTTTTCTATTTTTAATTAAATTTGATTTAAATTTAATTCACTTTGGTTAAATCAGTTCGATTTGGTTTATTAATTAAAACAGAAAAAATCAAAATTGGAACAATTCCAAATCTGGCGAGACTTCACGACCAGTATAGATCGCAAGGTTAGTTGTCACTAGATTCAAAGCCCTAGCAATCTATCACCGACAAATTTACAGTCCTCTTATCATTTTGAGATTAAGAAGAAAAGTAATGAAAGAGGAAAAGAAGAGAAGAAGAAGAATCAAAGGAGAGAAAATCGAAGAAGAAGAGGAAAAGAAGAGAGAAGAATCGAAGGAGAAGAGGAAAAGAAGAAAGAAAAAGAGGAAAAAGAGGAATCGAAGAAGAAGAGAATCGGAAGAAGGGAAGAAGAGGAAGGGAATATAAAATGAATCTAAGATCCACAAAAAATGAAGCGGCGGTCATGTAATATAGTTAGGGTTTTGTGTTTTTCGGTTAACCGTTCGGTTCACTTGAACCGAACCGAACAAACCGAGAACCGAACACAAATAATAATCTTGCCGATCGGTTTGCTTCATGTAAAAGAACCATAACCGAACTAACCAAAACTCGGTTCGGTTCGGTTATAAATCGCAGGCCTAGGCGTCATTACAGTTTTTCATACTCCGCATAGTAACTTTTGATAAGTTTACAACACATATGCTTAAAATATTAGTAAGTGTAGAGACTGCAGACTTTAATCGGATTTTCACGTCAAAGGCGTTTGTTTAATCCGTGAGCATTGAACAAGTAAAATTTGGTACATTTTCTTTTATTTATCACCAGGACAGAGAACCAGAAGAAATCTTTTCTAGTTTCTATACAAGGCCGATGCATCTTTAGCCTGATATTTACTTATATAGAAGAAGCTGGTTCTATTTAGAGTTGAAGCTACTCTACTGGCTGTTCCGCCTATCACAATGTTGTGGTCCTTCAAGCTGCCAAGAAGATCAATAAATAGCGTTAGACTGATGCAAAGGTATTCAAACAAATAAATCAATACACAAACTGAACACGAAAAGCAAACAACATAAGAGATGGGAGGACGGACCTGTAGTGTCAAAATCGACTCTTTCTCCAGTTGAATATATGTTGTAAAAAAGAGCAGAGAGGAGATATAAAACTGCCGTAAGGAGGATGAATCCTTGGAAGGAGCCCAATAGTTCTACAAAGAAACCAGTTCCAACTGTACCAACTATAGCAGCCAAAGTCCCAGCAGTAAGACACATTCCTAAAACATAGCAAAAACAGGCCGAATTTTTTTACTGATTCTAAGGCGAATTCCCTCTGTGTTATGAACTTTGGAAACTAATGTCTATTGAACGAGGATTAGAAAGTGTACCATGTAGAACACCGGAATATTCTGGAGCAATTTCCTGGAACAAGAGGAAATAAATGTTAGACAGAAGCTCAGTATTTGTAGATTAAAGAAAGAATCAGACGATTGGCTACCTGGAGATTGATAAGGAACCCCAAGTGGCTGAATGATTTAAGCCCAACGGCTAAACTTAGCCAGGCAGATGCTACTAAAGGTCTTTTTGCTGTGGTTAGACCAATGAGAGCAATCCCCGGACCAATGAAGCCAATGGACTGCCAAAACAAGGAACGAAATCCTCCAGTCAGTGGAAAAACTAATAAAACTCAAACCAAATGCACAAAATATTATTGCATCAGACTTCAACACCATTCTGATATGTATACAGAACTCTTCAGTCATAAACAAACCTGCATGATTTTTCGCGTTAAGGTGATGCTTGTACCACGCCGTATCAACAAGTCGGACCAAAAACCAGCAATGTATCCTGTGAAAGCCATCATACTCCATGGAACGGCACTAAACCAAGCAGCTTGTTTGAGGTTCACATGATATACCTGCAGCATGTTATCACTTAGCAAGACCAGAAAAAACACAAACAAATCTACAATATGTTGGTATTAGGGCCCTTACTGAATTGAAGTAGATCGGCATCCATGAAAGAAGCACAAAAAACCCCTGTAAGCAAGCCATTCAAAGTCAGTTACATGAATTTCACTCCTACAAGAAAAATCATGAAACTTCCTCAAAGTACCAAGAACGAATTAAGAGATGAATTGTGGGGGAATCTTTATCCATACCCAACTATGCATGGAATTAGCAACTATAACAGCCCAAGTCGGCATCTTGGACAGAAGGCGTCTAAACGGAGGGATCACGCTTGTGTTGTTTCGTCTCTTCTCCCTACTAGACGTTTGCTGCTTGTGCATAATGTACTCGAGTTCAAACTTTGTAATCTGAGGATGTTGATCTGGCGTACTCGATGTAGCAGATAGCCAAACGAGCATCCAGAGGAACCCCGATAACCCGAAAATCACAAACGGACCATATATACCACCTTGAGACATCAGAATAGGAGACAACATGAGTCCTACAACATTCCCAAGCTGAAATCCTGCCATTGCAATACCAACAGCCCTAGAACGTTCTGTTGGAGGAAACCATCTACAAGAAAATTACTATCAACTATGAACTCTATATTCATTCCACGTAACCAGCCTGACTCGTTTCAAAACATGCTAAGTAGTGTTGAGAAACAAAAGGTCACTACCTCGCAACCATGTTGTTCATGCAAGGAAGAGCCACTCCTTCAGCAACACCAACCATAGCTCTTGCAGCAAGAAGAGCCCACAAATTGGTATCAGCAGCCCAAGGGGTAAGGAATGTAGCCAACGACCACAAAGCTACTCCCCACGCCATGACTACCTTACCGCCATAGCGGTCCACCAAAGTTCCGCCAGCTATCGGTGAAATTAGGTATCCCCATAGGAACGATGACTACCAGAGAAAGCAAACAAGCAAGTGTGAGACGAACGAGAACAATGGTGAGAGTTATACAGACTTAATACTGAGTAATTTTCTGAAAGAATCAATATTCAATTTTAAGAATTTCTTCAAAATCATGGAAGAATAACCTGAACGATACCGGAAAACGACTTGCTCCACCCGCGGGAAAGCGAAAGAGGCACAATCGCGACGGACATCACAACACGATCCGCATTGCATAGCGCCAGGGCAAGAGCGAGCATCGCGACCACTTTCACCCTCTCCGACGTGATAAATTCCGAAAAATCAGACTGCTCCGTCACTTCCACCGTCGCTGCCGTATCTTCCGCGTCGTGCCGAGCTTCCGGCGTACGGCGACCATCGCTGCAAGACACTCTTGATCGATGGCGCGGATCGCCACATAGATCCACGGCAGTGTGCCTGCCGAATCTCAACGAGTCTATTACGCCTCTCTCGCGGCGGAGGAACACATTTCTCCGGCGACCTCGCTCCGGAAATGACTGAAACCCCAGTGTAGATAAGTTCGAAGTCAAAATGGGTCGACCTCCATGGAATTTCAGGGCGTGCCGATTAGGGAAGTCTATTGAAGATTGCAACGAGAGAGAGTAACACATTTTCACTTGTTCGGAGCTGCTTAGTAGTGCTCGCTTACTGCTTAGTCTGGTTAAGAGGACGAAAAAGATGCTCGCCGCGTGTCGTCAACGGGCTGCAACAACCAAATCGCGCGATGCGGGGGAGTGGCATATCCGTCATTAGACAGCGGTATCTTGATGTATCGTCTTAGGCCCACTAATAATACTAATAGGCCCATGTGTGCCCTTTTATTTGATGGGCATCATAATTAGCAGGATTAATGAGTAAGGAGGGTACTTAATTTAGGTTAAGTGATTCCATGAAATAGTCACAACTTTACCCTTTTTAATCTTCATCACTCTCATTATGCCTTGACTCATTGATGTCACTGAGTGAGTGACCAGAAAGAAAAAAAATGAACAGTCAGAGTCACTGTATCTGGAGGGAACACGTGGGAGATTCCAATTTTTTTCAGAAAAACAGCAGTGACAGTAAATCTGTATATGTCGACAAAAAGGAAAAGTATAAAATAGTAATATCATAAACACTGTTTGTCTTCGGGACTTGCTATGTTTTTGAAGAACACATCTCTTCTCTTGGGAACTTCTCGTAGGCTCCGCATCTCTATGTCACTCGTGTTGTCCACTTTATTTACAGTCGTACACTCGATAGGTTCCTTTAAAATTCGCAGTTCATTCAAAAATAAATTTTGTAGCACCTACTTATTTGTTTGTGCATTTCGAATTTGTATAGCGTTTTCTTCTAACTTGGAATTGGATATCTCAAGTTGAAGATGGAAAGATCTAAAGGTGACTAGGGGTATATTAAATCCCAACTCGATCAAATCAAAGTGTTCTAGCTTCTTACTAATGTAAAATAAATGAAAAAGTAACTTCGTTTTTGCGCTAGCTTCTTAAGAAAAATAAATTTCTTATGAAATATGGAAAAATACAGTTGAACTTTACGTGCGATTTTTGATTATAGATATGCTTATAATTAAATGCCACTTTATCTTTGCATTAGATTTTTATCAGCTCGAACAATCATCGAGATATTAAAACAAACATTTCAATAGAGTTTGAGGATAACATGATATATTCAATTAATGTGAATTAGAAAAAGTTGACTTTGACCTATTGATTTGGAAGGGAATCCAAAGAGTTGACACTCGACAGAAGCTGCCAAATATCGTCGGTCCGTAAAGTTTGAAAAGTTTATACAAAACTATCACATAGTCTATTTTGTTAAAGGAGATTAAACAAGAAATAATCAAGTCATTTTCTTAACATAAAAATATTAAATGTACTTTTACAGAAGATGAACCAAAGTGATCTCTACGAGTCTTCTCTTCGACATAATTGTTGTTGACTGAAAAAAAAAATGAAAAAGAGGTTTAAGGAAGTGATATTTACATGTTTGACCCTACTCTCTACACTATTCACTGGGATAGTGAAAATAGACTGACCACTTCACTCTCTCTCTCTCTGTCTTAAGTCACCGCCGCATCAGCGATTAACGAACTTCCATAGTCATGGCCCACTCCAAGCAAACCAATCGCCGTCGTTCCTCCTCCTTATGCCACCGTCATCCTTCCGCTAAACCCACCAGCGGTTTCTGCGCCTCCTGCCTCCGTGAACGCCTCGTCACCATCGAGGCTCAGTCTCCATCTTCCCCCGCCGCCATTCAGACCCCTGAGCTCCGCCGCATTCGATCCTACTCCGTTCGAAACGCATCCGCCGCATCCGTTTCAGAGCAGCCGAGACGGAGATCGTGCGACGCCAGGTCAAGCGCGAGCTCTCTCCACGACCTGTTCGTCGATGATGACGAAGAACGGCCTGATAGCTCGATTCGTAAGCCTCTGGTCCCGGATTTGAAAGAGGAGGAAGAAGACGAGGAAGATTACTACGACGGAGACGATATCAAAGGTTTTGATGAGGAGAAACCGATGAAGATCGTTGAAGAAGAAATCGACAATGGAGAAAGTGGAGAGCACAAGACGATGAAGGAGTTTATAGATCTGGATCGGGGAAACCAAATCAGGAAGCACAACGGCAAAGATTTAAAGGAGATCGCGTCGGTTTTCAGCAGGAAACTGAAGAGTTTCTCACTGAATCATCAGAAGAACAAGCGAAATGACGGAAAATTAGATGCTAGATTCGCCGGAATTGGGATTGGCCGTCGCTCGTGTGATTTTGATCCTAGATTATCTCTCGACGGAGGTAGAATCTCGTTCGATAAACCTAGGGCGTCATGGGATGGGTGTTTGATCGAAAAATCATACAGCAAGCTGACGCCATTGTCTACTGTGACGGAAGATGCTAAAACCTTACCGGAGAAGAAATCAGACGGCGAAGAAGAAGAAGAAGAGGAGGAGAAGAGCCCAGGCGGGACAGTTCAAACGAGGAACTATTACTCGGATTCCCGTCGAAGAAGAAGCTTTGATCGATCGATTTCGATCAAGAGACAAGGATTGCTCGAGGTTGATGAATTGAAATCTATCTCCAACGCAAAGGTATCACCTGAAACTGCTGGGTTGTTTCATGGCGCAAAGCTATTGGTTACAGAGAAGGAGCTTCGGGATTCGAATTGGTATTCGATAAAAACTCACAAACCAGAGAGCGTGGTTGAATTAGTCTCTAAAGGCAAGATTTGTGTAGCTGCTAGTGAGAGGAAGCAGGATAGTGTAGAGTTAAAGAAACCTAGAAAGAAATGGCCAAAGGGATGGAATCTCTGGGGGCTTATACAGAGGAAAAACGAGACGAAGAACGAAATCAAAACCGAGCAAAGTTTGAAACTCGAAGAGAAAGCGATCGAAGGTTCTTTGGCTGAGTCTCTGTTGAAGCTTAGGAGAGTAGGTAAAGGAGAAAACAACGGTGGTGTTAGTGAGAAGCTTTTGAAAAGCTACAGCGTTAGCGCGAGAAAGTCTTGCGATGGCTCGTTTAGTAGTAGTGCTGCTATAGCCAGTGGCTTTGAAGGTGGAAGAAGCTCGTGTGATGGTCTGTTTCATGGATCTATGAACAGTGTTGAGGTTGGGAGAAGCTCGTGTGACGGATTGGTTAATGGCATTGAGAGGCAACAAAGTCATCATCTTCACCAGAGAAAAGCAAATGATGGTACGTACGTCCGAGAAAACCTTGATAAAAGTTTGTTTAGATTCTATTTGACTCCTGCAAGGAGCCAAAAAGCTAGCAAATCCGGAAAGAGTAGGCTGATGAATTAGTTTGATCTGAGATTGTGTTAACTCATGAATAGTCTGTTGTAATTAGCAACTAAATGTATTTGTTACCTTGGTCTATAGATAAGTGAACTATCAGTCTATCACTTCGAAATTGAATCCATAAATCAAGATCTCTAAATTGTTGTTTAGGTCTGATCTAGTTATGAACTGCATATGAGCTTTTTGGCCAATTTGACGCCAAAAATAGTGAAGGTAAATAGCAATGTTAGCAAATCTGTAGAACATATCTTCCATTGCAGTCACCAAAATAATGAGCTGTAACTAGAAGAAGTTGGTCTTATTCCGGTTCTCTCGTACCAATAGCAAATTATCTAATCATTCCTTATTGTTTGCTTATACAAATAGGACACTGTTTTACTAATTATTGTCATCAAATACGTCCTTGTAACTAAATCAGACGAGTGAAGTTACACTGGTTTTGAATTGAGACCGAAACCAAGAGGGAACAATGGGTCATAGGAATTGGCATGAGCGTTTAGCGGCAGATGCTCAACGGTTTTGAACCAGCTCACTGGTAACTTTCCCTCAAAGTCATAATCTCCAAAAATGACATCAGCCACCCCTTGTCCTTCTGTTCCAGGCAGCCAAGCAGCGACCAGAGCCTCAGTCTTTTCAAGAACCGCAGGCTCCAAAACCACAGGCCGTCCTGAGATCAAGATCACCAGGGTCGGGATTTTCTCTGCAACCGCAGTTACAATGTCGCTACCATTTAAGGGTAATATGAGTTCCGAGCTATCGCCGATAGTCTCTGCATAGGGAGATTCCCCCACTGCAACAATGGCGTAAGAGAATCCTTCACTCGAGGCTAAGGTTTCCTTTGATGGAGTTTTCTCGTAGATCACTTCGGTTTCGTCTCCAACTGCTGCTTTAATGGCATCCAAAAGCGTCGTTCCTGCATTTCAGACAAAGATATAGCAATCTCTGGCAAATAGTCTCTTTGTCAAACCATATAGCAATCTCTTTAATTTACCTATCGTGATCCTCCCGCTTAGACCAAACCACGTCTTTGTCCATCCTCCGCACTGATATCCAAGATCATCTGCGTGCGTTCCCGTGACTAGAATCCTCTTAGCGTTGCGATCCAGTGGCAGAAACGGTTTATCAGCATTTTTGCCATTCTTTAACAGAACTAACGACTTTCTAACTGCTTCGCGCGCCAGTTCTCTATGTTTCTGCAGGCATGGAAAAACAGAGTCAATCATGCTCGCTCTCATACATCTGTACTATGTACAAGAGACCTCACCTTGCAGCCAACAGTTGCCAACAAAGATCGGTCCGCGAGAGGATGTTCAAAGAGACCAGCAAAAAACTTCACTCTCAGTATTCTTTCAACAGCATCATCGACACGAGCCATCGTTATTTCCCCGGACTCCACCAGATCTGTCATGTCCTGTATGAACTGTTTGTAATTGAATGGTATCATCACCATGTCCATTCCAGCATTAACCGCAGTTTTAACGCAGTTGCGGTAGTTTGATCCCAAAGGCTCACTAAGCCGATCCAAAGCTTCCCAGTCTGAAACTACAAATCCCTGTCAACACAAACAAGGAAACTAGCTCAACACAACTGTGGCTTATTAAGATTTTTCATAAGTTTCAGTTTTACACCAACCTTGAAACCGAGTTTTTCCTTGAGAAGCTCTGTCAAGAGGAAGTAGTCGGAGTGGAGTCTACTTCCGTTCCAACTTGTGTAAGACGCCATAACCGTGGAGACTCCCTGAGCAAGACAATTCAGATACGGAGCAACGTGTATCCTCTCCAAGTCTTCGTATGACGCAATGGTGTTCCCTTCGTTTGTGCCGTTTTCGGTACCACCATCTCCAACAAAGTGCTTGGCACATGCGACCACATTGTTTCTATCACATAACCATGAGAAAATGTCAACAAACCTATTAAAGACCCCAAAAGAAGCCATAGCGTATTGATTTCATTGATACCTTCCTGCAACAAAAGGGTAACCATTTGGGTGTTCTTTGGGTGGCTCGCCTTGTAGCCCGGACACAAGTGAAGTCATCTCACAGACAAGTCCAGTATCTTCTCCATAACTCTCATAGCTTCGTCCCCATCTCGGATTCCCCAAGACCTGCCAGAAAGACAAAATAATAACTTTTTCTTTCAATATTTACAAATCATTATGTTCAAAATGCTTTCTGCAAGCGACTTACGGCCAGGCAAGGAGCAAACGCCCAGTGAGCACCGCACGCCCTTACTTCAAGTGCTGTTGCAGCTCCAATTCTTCTGACCAAATCTGCGTCTCTACAAAGTTATACCAAACAAAAGAGTGTTACTACATCAACAACAACCAAAATTTTAACACCAAACACATCATGGCGGTAATAGAGACGCCGATCTTGAACTATACTAGTACTAACTTGTGATTTGCTAATTGAAGCAAAGCCAGAATTTCAAACTAGATTCAAATAAGGTAAGTAGGTTAGGCTGAATACAGTTCATAAGGCAAGTTTCATCAAAAAGACAGAAACAGAACAAATCGGGTAACAAATCAGAACAAGTTTCAAACTAGTCCAAAACTACTTCTTAATTGTCAAATTTCATAGCTTTAAGTCTATCTCTCCTCTCTTTGACAGAAATGAAAGAGAATGGTAATCGGGAAATAACCTGGTGGCTCCGAGGCCGATGTTGTGGGGAAAAACGGTGGCGCCGTAGACATTGTTGTTGCCGTGGACGGCGTCTGTGCCGTAGATTATTGGAATTCCCAAACGCGACGCTAACGCTGATCGCTGAAAGCCATCGATCATATCAGCCCAATCCGACGACTTGGCGTCATCGAACGGCGCACTCCCGCCGGCGTTTAGTATACTGCCTGTAACCCCGAATCCATGAAGGATTACTAATTTTAGTAAGAGAGGTAGAGCGAAGAAAAGGGATAAAATCTGACAAATTATATTCCGATAGTCGAAAAAAAAAACCGCAAATTCATTTTCGAATTTTATTTTTGAGTGACCAAAGACATACAAGTACTTCGGGTACTTCTACAGTTTAAACAAGATGACGAAGAAGAAGAAGAGAGAGAGAAATGGTGTGTGGTTGCATGTACCGATGAAGAAATCTGTAACGGCGGCAGGAGAAGCGACGGTGCGTTCAATCTGAGCCATCTGCCCAATCTTCTCCGGCAGAGTCATCTTGGAGAGAAGGTCTTGCACACGCGCCTCCACTGGCGCGTCTGGGTTCTTGTAAACGCATGGCGACTCCTTTCCCACCATGTTCTCTCTTACTTACTCTCTTCATCTGCTCACACAAATCAAGTTCTGCTACTTCTTGTTATCTAGCAAGCCGGAGGACACGCGGCACTAGTTAATTGGTTACATGTATTTGTATCCATTCGAATCTGTTTGGAAGCCAAAAAGATTTTGTATTTTATCAACTTACGTAATCAATGTGTGGTTCATGCATCATATTCCATAGTCATCATAAACTCACATAAAACCTAGAAAAGAGAGTAGAGAACCAACTAGTACCATTTTCTCAGCTGATTTTGTGAAAAATCTAAGAACTACACATTTAATGATGACTATGATTGGAACTTGGAAGTAAGTCTCAATCACTTTTCTCAATTCCGGTTTACACATTTTCCCTTTATCTTGTCAGCTAATTTCTCCGGGGTCTCGATCAGACCGGTGAAGTTAAACCGGAACTGGAAGTGAGACCGAAACCAAGAGGAAACAACGGATCATACAATTTAGCATCAGCGTTTAGCGGCAACTGCTCCACGTGTTTGAACCAGCTCACAGGTAACTTCCCTACGAACTCATAATCTCCAAAAATGACATCAGCAATCCCTCGACCTTCGGTTCCAGGGAACCAAGCAGCGACCAAAGCCTCAGTCTTTTCAACAACCGGAGGCTCAAGAACCAAAGGCCGTCCTGAGAACAAGATCACTAAAGTCGGGATTCTCTCTGCAACCGCGGTTACAATGTCGTTACCGTTAAAAGGTATTGTGAGTTCCGAGTTATCTCCTTTCATCTCTGCATAGGGAGGTTCCCCAACTGCAACAATGGCGTAAGAGAAGCCTTGACCAGAGGCTAAAGTTTCCTTTGATGGAGTTTTCTCGTAGATCACTTCTGTTTTGTCTCCAACCGCTGCTTTTATAGCTTCTAAAAGCGTCGTGCCTGCATCCTCAAAACCAAAACATAACTTGACTAAAATGTTACAAATAGCGTCTGCGGTTGAAATCCACTTTATTTACCGATTGTGATTCTGCCGCTTTGACCGGACTTTGTCTTTGTCCATCCTCCACACTGATTTCCAAGATCGTTTGCGTGCGATCCAACCACTAGAATTCTCTCAGCCATACGATCCAGCGGCATAAATGGCTTATCAGAATTTTTACCGTTCTTTAGCAGAACTAACGACTTTCTAACCGCTTCACGCCCCAATTCTCTATGTTCCTGTAATCATGAAAACAGAGTAAAAAACAAAAATCACATTTTGATGTTCTTTCAAACATTTTTAATGGCCTTCTGGTACAAGAGAGCTCACCTTGCAACCAACACTAGGCAACAAAGATCGGTCCGCGAGAGGATATTCGAAGAGACCAGCATCAAACTTCACTCTGAGTATTCTTTCAACAGCATCATCGACTCGAGCCATTAGTACTTCCCCTGACTCAACCAGATCAGTAAGGTCTTCTATGAACTGTTGGTACTTGAAAGGTACCATCACCTGCAATAACAATGATTAACAAACAATCTTCGTCTCTTTATCATCCCAAGAAAAATGAAGATCATTTATATTACCATGTCGATTCCAGCATTGATCCCGAGTTTCACGCAGTCACGGTAGTTTGAACCTTGTGGCTCACTAATCGTCTCCAAACCATCCCAGTCTGATACTAGAAATCCCTATCAACAAAATAATGTAAATTAAACGAGCTCAATCCATAAACACCTCTAGCTTATTTTAGATTCTCTATTCATATTCAAACAACCTTGAAACCGAGTTTCTGTTTGAGAACTTGAGTTAAGAGGAAATAGTCAGAGTGGAGTCTGCTTCCATTCCAACTAGAAAAAGAGACCATAACAGTACAAACTCCCTGAGCAATACAATTCAGATATGGTGCAACATGTATCTTCTCCAAATCTTCATATGACGCAATGGTGTTCCCTTCGCTTAAACCTTTATCAGTACCACCATCTCCAACAAAGTGTTTTGCACATGCGACCACATTGTTTCTATCACTCATCAAGTAAACAAAACCAATAAGAAATGACAAACAAGCCTATTCACATAGTGTAGCGGTGGCATTATTTGTTTTGGTACCTTCCTGCAAGAAAAGGGTAACCGTATGGGTGTTCTTTTGGTGGCTCGCCTTGTAAGCCCGAGATAAGCGAACTCATCTCACAAACAATGTTAGAAGCTTCACCATAACTTTCGTAGCATCGTCCCCACCTTGGATCTCCCAAAACCTGTGAGTTAAACAACTTTCATTCGATATTTACAGATCATTGGTCCAATATTCTAAGTTTCTAACAATGCATGAGGGACTTACGGCCACGCAGGGAGCAAATCTCCAGTGAACGCCACTAGCTCTTACTTCAAGTGCTGTTGTAGCTCCAATTCTTCTCACCAAATCTGCGTCTCTATCGAGTTACCACAAGTTTATTACATCAACGACAACTAAACATGGTAGATAAACCGGTCTCAAACACGAACAGATTCTAATCGTAGCTAATTGAATCAAAGTCATCAGGAATCCCTACTAAAATACCAAATTCTAGTGGAAAATGAACAAAAGATCAGAACTTGCTGCAAACTTTTTCATCAAATTCGAAAAGCTCTATGATCTATAGAAACTGAAGTTTTCTCAAAGTGAAGGAGTGGAAGATAAAGGTTAATGGAACCTGGTGGCTCCGAGGCCAATGTTGTGGGGGAAGATGGTGGCGCCGTAGACGTTGTTGTTGCCGTGGACGGCGTCCGTGCCGTAGATTATTGGGATTCCCAAACGCGACGCTAACGCTGAACGCTGAAAACCGTCGATCATATCAGCCCAATCCGACGAGTTCGCGTCCTCGAATGGCCAACTCCCGGCGCCGCTCTGTACACTGCCTGTAAAACCAAAGTCATAAAAATTTACTAATTTTGGTAGGAGCGAGAAAAATTACTAATTTTACTAGTTGTGTATATATAAAGATACCGATGAAAGAATCTGTCACGATTTGAGGAGAAGCGACGGTGCGTTCGATCTGAGTCATCTGGCCGATCTTTTCCGGCAGAGTCATGCGAGAGAGAAGGTCGTTCACACGCGCCTCCACCGGCGCGTCTGGGTTCTTGTAAACGCATGACGACTCCTCTGTAATCTCCATATTAGTCTTCGTGGTCTTTTTTCTCACAAGTTTCTCTTTATCACTCGCCACTACACTTTAATGCTTAATCAATTTCCCTCCAATTATTTGTGCTCTATAGTCATTTGATTATATTAATTAGTAGCTAAATATCCCCAAAGTTTTAAAATTATAAATAAGAATACACTGAGTCTCAGTGACTGAGACCCCATCCCGGAATCCGCGGTGATATGTCTCAGACTCTCAGTGTTCAGACTGAGTGACTTCAATGCAAACTCGTGCAAGTGTTTTTGACCTTTTTCTTAATCTTAGTATTATCATTAATTATAGTTTCGTAGGTTATCAGCACACATGCACATCATATTAAGAAATTTATTTCAGTTTCATTTCGACATTTTTATTTTCCATATACTGAAAAAATAAAGGAAAGAATTTGATATCTGGATAACTCTTTATAAAAAAAAAAGAATATCTGTATAACAAACAGTTGCTTGTCAACAAAGCAGGTAATGATAAAAACAAACGGACGTGTGAAAAAAGGAAAATCAATTCTCTCTCACACGAGAATAGACTTATTTATATGCATAGTGAATGAATACTCGTCCACTAGGCATAGTGTTGTACTGTTGTGGACTATTTTATTTTTCAAATTTTAGAAAACATCACACATTCACACTCTCGCTAAGAATCTCAATCAGAGTGGTGAAGTGAAACCGGGTTTGAAGTCGCGCAAGGACTGCAACTAGAGACCGAAACCAAAAGGAAACAACGGGTCATACGCATTGGATTCAGCCTTTATCGGCAACTGGTCAACACCTTTGAACCAGCTCACCGGTAACTTCCCTACAAACTCATAATCTCCAAATATGACGTCAGCCATTCCTTGCCCTTCACTTCCAGGCAGCCAAGCAGCGACCAAAGCCTCACTCTTTTCAAGAACCGCCGGCTCAAGAACCACAGGCCGTCCTGAGAACAACATCACTAGCGTCGGGATTTTCTCTGCAACCGCGGTCACAATGTCGCTACCGTTTAAAGGTATCGTGAGTTCCAAGTTATCTCCAAATGTCTCTGCATAAGGTGTTTCCCCGACTGCGACAATTGCGTATGAGAAGCCTTGAACCGAGGCTAAGGTTTCTTCAGAAGGAATCTTTTCGTAGACCACTTCAGTTTCTTCTCCAACTGTTGCTCTAATGGCGTCCAAAAGCGTCGTGCCTGCATGCAAATTCCTATTAAAAATCTCCAAGAATATTAATATAGTAGCGTCTGCTTTGAGTTGCTTTTATTACCGATTGTGATTCGACCGCTTAGACCATACCATGCCTTTGTCCATCCTCCACACTGATATCCAAGATCGTCTGCGTGCGTTCCAGTCACTAAAACTCTCTTGGCTTTGCGATCTAGTGGCAGAAATGGCTTAGCAACATCTTTGCCGTTCTTTAGCAGAACTAAAGATTTTCTAACCGCTTCACGCCCCAATTCTCTATGTTCCTACAATCATGAAAACAGAATCCATCATCATGCTCTGGACCCACAGTCCACAGACCCTCAGGTCTAATGACAATGATGTATAAGAGACCTCACCTTGCAACCAACAGTAGGCAACAAAGACCGGTCTGCAAGAGGATGCTCGAAAGTACCTGCGACAAACTTCACTCTTAATATTCTCTCAACAGCATCATCTATCCGAGCCATCGGTACTTCCCCTGACTCCACCAGATCTTTAAGGTCTTGTATGAACGGTTCATACTTCAAAGGGACCATCACCATGTCGACTCCAGCATTGACTGACATTTTGACGCAGTTTCGGTAGTTAGAACCGAATGGCTCGCTAAGCCGGTCCAAAGCTTCATAGTCTGAAATCACAAATCCCTAGTAACAAATAGCAGAGGAAAACCAGCTCAATGCATTACTACATGCATAAAAGAATTTTCCCATAATTCAATCAAGTTTTTAGACCAACCTTGAAACCGAGTTTCTGTTTAAGAAGCTCTGTTAAAAGGAAGTAGTCAGAGTGGAGCTTACGTCCGTTCCAACTGGAGTAAGAAGCCATAACCGTAGAGACTCCCTGAGCAAGACAGTTTAGATATGGAGCAACGTGTATCCTCTCCAAGTCTTCGTATGAAACAATGGTGTTCCCTTCGTTTGTGCCATTTTCGGTACCACCATCTCCAACAAAGTGCTTGGCGCAAGCAACCACATTGTTTCTATCACATAAGTGAACAAGTTTCATGAGAAATTGACATCAAAGCTATTAACAAGACACGTATCAAAGTCATATAAATATACATACCTTCCTGCAAGAAAAGGGTAACCATTAGGGTGTTCTTTGGGTGGCTCGCCTTGAAGGCCAGAGACAAGCGATGTCAGCTCACATATAGTATTAGTATCTTCACTGTAACACTCATAGGATCGTCCCCATCTCGGATCTGTCAAAGTCTATCAGAAAAAAAGAAAAAAACCAACATCTCTTTCACTATTTGCTAAGGAATAGGAAAATTAACACAACCCATTCTCAAAGTTAAAACACAAACTGTTTCTCTTATTGGGCATTATAATATGAGAAATACCAAATTAAACATATTTTTTTCAAGAAACTCTCAAAGAAATCCCACCAAGGGCTACTTCATTCAATAGTTCTAACAATCCTTGAAATTTTTTTGACATTCTACAAGAGCTTACGGCCACGCATGGAGCAAATGCCCAGTGAGCGCCACTGGCCCTTACTTCAAGTGCTGTTGCAGCTCCAATTCTTCTGATCACATCTGCATCTCTATTCCACAAGAACTACCAAATGTTATCACATTTTTTTAGGTAAAGATCTGAAATACAGTAATGTTATCGCATTTAAGAACTACCTCTTCAATTACTACATATTCTAAGGTTATGATCCACTCTAATTGGAGCAACAATACAAGCAACTAAAGAAAAAAAACAAGATTCAAAGCAGAAGTTTCGGGTTGAATCATCAACTCTTTACGTGACTACTTATAGTTTACAATTCAAGCTGCACAAGCACTTACAAACTCCAGTTTTAGTTTGCTCCAAGTGAAAAAATATTAATTGGAAAATCATGAAAAATAAACCTGGTGGCTCCGAGGCCGATGTTGTGGGGAAAGATGGTGGCTCCGTAGACGTTGTTGTTGCCGTGGACGGCGTCAATGCCGTACATTATAGGGATTCCTAAACGCGTCGCTAACGCTGCGTTTTGGAAACCGTCGATCATATCCGCCCAGTCCGACGACATCGCGTCCTCGAACGGCCAACTTCCTCCGCCATTTAGTACACTACCTGTTATCCCCAAGATCCACAGATAGTACTATTAGATTTGTGTATCTTTTTAGTAAATTCAAAATATTTTTTTTTTCGAAAATGGACTTGGGAAACTACAAAGTTTGTTCGTTCGTTGACCAAAAACAGAGAACAAAAAAATGGACTGTGGTTTTTGTGACTTAGTGTATATACCGATGAAGAAATCTGTAATGCCGGCGTGAGTAGTGACGGCTCGTTCGATCTGAGTCATCTGGCCGATCTTCTCCATCAGAGTCATCCGAGAGAGAAGGTCTTGAACACGCGCCTCCACTGGCGCTTCTGGGTTTTTGTAAACGCATGACTCTTCCTTTCCTTCCATTTCTCTTTTCTTTCTTCTCTTGTTTTTCTCCTTCTCTTACACAAGTGTTTACTTACTAGTTACTTCACTCCAATACCTCTTTATATATATATAGAGATTAGAGAGCAAAAATTTTTTTTGGCTCGAGTTGATTTTTCTTTTGTTTTGTTAACGTTGAATTATTCGGAAACCAAAATAAAAGTTTTGAACTACTCATGTAAGGCACATTACAAAATTTTATTTTTTTAACGAAACACACTAGTGAGCTTAATTAACACGCCAAAACCTTTATCGATATTCTTATGCGTTATGCACTGCACTTATGCCTAATCACTTTAAAAAAAAAACTAGTAATTTATATTGTTTTGGCATCGCTTGAATTTCTTTTCTTTTCTTTGTCAGCGTAGAACAATATTTAAACAAAAAGAAAAAGGAAAAAATATTGAACTATCGATGTAAGGCACGTTACAAATAAAGTTTAACTAAACCCACTAGTCAGCTTAATTAAACATTTAACTAGTAGAGAATCCACACATTGAGGTTTTGTGAAGAAAATCTAAATCCTAACTTGAGCCCGACCAAAAAACCCTAATCAAAATTTTTTAAAATCTTAAACTTTTTAATATAATATTGGTGTATTAGTCATAACACGCCAAAAACCTTTTCGCTGTATACGGCTAAACCCATGCCTAATCAGATTGGTTGACCTATTACTTGTTTTTTCTTTAGGTTGAGCTAGGCTTTTTTTACTTATTTCTTTCTACGCAAGGTTTTACTAGTCATGTAAGACACTCTAAACTTTCAAAATCAGGAAACATTCAGGAAATTCTAATAAACTTTTCATTTTTAAAATCGATTTTGTTAACCTTGAAGGCTTTAACATGCATGTAATAGTATAGCTAAAAATCTAAACCCAATAGATATTTTCCCTTTCAGTTTATTCTCACCAGATCTATACTTGTTCAGTTGTTCTTGCAATTATTTTGTGCTGCCTTGACTTGCATTCAAGTTTTTCTACTTATTTGCTTATCTCTTACAAAAACTACAAAATCTGGACGGAATTGTACCAGTGTAAGAACCAGAACATTGAACCAATTTCAACAAGATTGTTTATAAAAAAATAATCCCTTGAAAATTTTGTTAAAAAAGTTACAACAAAGTTGATAATGTGTAGTAGTAACCCTTTTAGTATGTCATTTACGTGCACCCGTCATCAGACCGGTGAAGTTACAACAACGACAACAAAGTCGATAATTAAGTACCTCAACCAAACCGGTGAAGCCTGTTTTGAGTTCTTCTCGGAATCTCAACTAAGACCATAACCGAGAGAGCCATGCGAGAGAGAAGGTCCTTCACACGCGCCTCCTCCGCGCGTTTAGGTTCTTGTAAACGCATGACGCTTCCTCCTTCTCCATACTATTTCGGTATTTCCTCACAAGTCCACTACACTTTAGTGATTAAGTAATTAATTGATCACTCCAATAATTTGTGCTTTATGTTAGTCATCTTATTAAATTAGTTAGTAGCTAAATATTCCCATTTTTTTTATAATTATGTATAAGAAAATTGTGAGACCCCATCCCGGAATCCGCGGTGGTCTTGGTTATGGCTCAATGACTTCAATGCAAAGTCGTATAACCATTCAACTTTACTCTTCGACTGTACTAATCGTTTCCATAAGTATCCTTTCGTATGTCCATTATCAGCAAACGTACCTCATATTAAGAAACTAATTTATTTTGTTGCAATAGTTTCATTTCCATCTATCGAAAGAATATAAATTTGATACTTGTATAACAGTTTCTTGTAGATCAAGCAAGTAATCATATAAAACAAACAGACATGTGAAAAACGGAAAATTAATTCTCACACGAGAAAAGACTATTATTGATATGCACTCGTCCACACATCACTACATATAGTGTTGTGGAGTGGATTATTTTATTTTTTATTTTTTATTTTTTAAATTAGAAACACCACTCACTCATTACGTACAACATCACACACATTCACACTCTCACTAAGAACCTCAATCAAACTGATGAAGTGAAAACCGGGACTGAAGTCTCGCAAGGACTGCAACTAGAGACCGAAACCAAAAGGAAACAACGGATCATACTCATTGGCATCAGCGTGTATCGGCAGCTGGTCAACACGTTTGAACCAGCTCACCGGTAACTTCCCTACAAAGTCATAATCTCCAAATATGACGTCAGCCATCCCTTGCCCTTCGCTTCCAGGCAGCCAAGCAGCAACCAAAGCCTCAGTCTTTTCAAGAACATGCGGCTCAAGAACCACAGGCCGTCCTGAGAACAACATCACTAGCGTCGGGATTTTCTCTGCAACCGCGGTCACAATGTCGCTACCGTTTAAAGGTATCGTGAGTTCCGAGTTATCTCCCAATGTCTCTGCATATGGAGTTTCTCCCACCGCGACAATTGCGTATGAGAAGCCCTGAACCGAGGCTAGGGTTTCTTCTGAAGGAATCTTCTCGTAGACGACTTCAGTTTCTTCTCCAACTGTTGCTCTAATGGCGTCCAAAAGCGTCGTGCCTGCATGCAATTATCCCGATTAAATAATCTCCGACAATATATAGTAATGTCTGCGATTTGAGTTGCTTTTATTACCGATTGTGATTCGACCGCTTAGCCCAAACCATGCCTTTGTCCATCCTCCACACTGATATCCAAGATCGTCTGCGTGCGTTCCAGTCACTAAAACCCTCTTGGCATTGCGATCTAGTGGCAGAAATGGTTTATCAACATTTTTGCCGTTCTTTAGCAGAACTAAAGATTTTCTAACCGCTTCACGCCCCAATTCTCTATGTTCCTGAAATCATGAAAACAGAGTCCATCAACATGCTCTGTACACAACCCTCAGCTTTAGTGACGTGATGTACAAGAGACCTCACCTTGCAACCTACAGTAGGCAACAAAGACCGGTCTGCAAGAGGGTGTTCGAAAAGACCGGCGACAAATTTCACTCTTAATATTCTCTCAACAGCGTCATCGATCCGAGCCATCGGTACTTCCCCTGACTCCACCAAATCTTTGAGGTCTTGAATGAACGGTTCGTACTTGAAAGGGACCATCACCATGTCGACTCCAGCATTGACTGACATTTTGACACAGTTTCGGTAGTTCGAACCGAATGGCTCGCTAAGCCTGTCCAAAGCTTCCCAGTCCGAAATAACAAATCCCTAGTAACAAAAAGCAGAGGAAAACAAGCTCAATGCAAATATACATAAAAGAATTTTCCCATAATTCAATCAAGTTTTAAGACCAACCTTGAAACCGAGTTTCTGTTTGAGAAGTTCTGTTAAGAGGAAGTAGTCAGAGTGAAGTTTACTTCCGTTCCAACTTGAGTAAGAAGCCATAACCGTAGAGACTCCCTGAGCAAGACAATTCAGATACGGAGCAACATGTATCCTCTCCAAGTCTTCGTATGATGCAATAGTGTTCCCTTCGTTTGTGCCGTTTTCTGTACCACCATCTCCAACAAAGTGCTTGGCACACGCCACCACATTGTTTCTGTCACATAATTGAACACATTCCATGAGAAAATGACATCAAAGCTATATAATTACAGCATATATTAAGTCATATACATACCTTCCTGCAAGAAAAGGGTAACCATTAGGGTGTTCTTTGGGTGGCTCGCCTTGAAGACCAGAGACAAGCGATGTCAGCTCACATATAGTATTAGTATCTTCACTGTAACACTCATAGGATCGTCCCCATCTGGGATCTGTCAAAGCCTGTCAGAAAAAAGAAAAAGCATCTCTTATTCTCAATGTTAAAACACAAACTGTTTCTCTTTTGTGGCATTATGATATGAGAAATACCAAGTAAAGCATATTTTTTCAAGAAACTCTCAAAGAAATCCCACCAAAGGCTACTTCATTCAATAGTTCTAACAATCCTTGAATTCTTTTTGACATTCTACAAGGAACTTACGGCCACGCATGGAGCAAACGCCCAGTGAGCGCCAATGGCCCTTACTTCAAGTGCTGTTGCAGCCCCGATTCTTCTGATCAAATCTGCATCTCTGTCGAGTTGCCACAAGAAGAACCACATGTTATAACACTTAACAACCACTTCTTCAATTGGAGCAACACTACAAGTAACTAAAAATGCACAAGTGACAAGACATAAATCCAAAGTTTCCGGTTAAATCACGGAAGCTTTATTACATGACTTATATAGTTAGTTACATTTCAAGCCGCACAAGCAAGTATAAACCCTAGTTTGGTATAGTTTGTTCAAAGTGAATTACAGAATGAGAAATCGGGGAAAAGAAAATGAAACCTGGTGGCTCCGAAGCCTATGTTGTGGGGAAATATAGTGGCTCCGTAGACGTTGTTGTTGCCGTGGACGGCGTCAATGCCGTAGATTATAGGGATTCCCAAACGCGTCGCTAACGCTGCGTTTTGGTAACCGTCGATCATATCTGCCCAGTCCGACGACATCGCGTCCTCGAACGGCCAACTCCCTCCGCCATTTAGTATACTACCTGTAACCCCCCAAATCCACAGATACTATCTTTTGAGTAAATTTAAAATTTTGGTTTTTCGAAATGGACTTTGGAAACTTCAAAGTTTATTCGTTCGTTGACCAAAAACAGAGAGAAAAAAAGTGGACAGTGGTTTGTGTAATACCGATGAAGGAATCTGTAATGCCGGCATGTGTAGTGACGGCTCGTTCGATCTGAGTCATCTGGCCGATCTTCTCCATCAGAGTCATCCGAGAGAGAAGGTCTTGAACACGCGCCTCCACTGGCGCGTCTGGGTTTTTGTAAATGCATGACTCTTCCTTTCCTTCCATTTCTCTTTTCTTTCTTCTCTTGTTTTCTCCTTCTATTACAAGTGTTTACTCATTACATCACTCCAATTTCTCAGTATATATATATAGAGCCAAAATGTAGTTTCGTATATTGTTGTTTTGGGTTGAGTTGATTTTTCTTCTTTTTTTGTCAACGTTGAATTATTCGTAAACCAAAATAAAAGTTTTGAACTGCTCATTTAAGGCAACGTTACAAATATTTTTAAATAAAATTTACTGGTCAGCCTAATTAAAACACGTCAAAACCTTATCCACTTCACCTTACCTTATCGCTATACTTATCCATGGTTTGGCATCGGTTGGTTTTCTTTCCTTTGTCAGCGTTGAACTATTCCTAAACCAAAACAACATCATTTGTCTTTGTACTACGATGATGTGTTACAAATAAAATTAACGCACTAGTCAACTTAATTAAACATTTAAACGTACTAAGTCCTAACACGCCAAAACCTTATCGCTATATACGGCTATACCCCCATGCCTTCTATTCTTTGTTTTTTAGGTTGAGCTAGTCTTTATTTATTTCTACGCAAGTCATGCAAGGCACTTTATTAAGGAAACATTCAGGAAATTCTAAATAAACTTTTCATTTTTTTGTTAACTTCCTTGAAGGCTTTAACATGTATGTAATGTAACTGTATATCTAAAAATCTAATCCCAATAGATATTATTCCCTTTCAGTTTATTCTCACCAGATCTAGACTTGTTTCTTGCACTTATTTTGTGCTGTCTTGGCTTGCACTCAAGTTTTCTACTATTTTATTTGCATCTCCCTTACAAAAACTGCAAAATCTGGATCGGAATTGTACCAGGGTAAGAACCAGAGCTTTGAACCAATTTCAACAAGATTGTTTATAAAAAATAAAAATCCCATGAAAAATTTGTAAAAAAAAGTTACAACAAAGTTGATAATGTGTAGTAGTAACCCTTTTAGTATGTCATTTACTTGCACCCGGTAAAGTTATAACAACGACAACAAAGTCGATAGTTAAGTACCTCAACCAAACCGGTGAAGTTAAACCTGTTATGAGTTCTCCTCGGAATCTCAACTAAGACCAAAACCAAGAGGAAACAATGGCAAATACCCATTTGCTTCAATATCAAGCGGCAACTGGTCCACGCTTTTAAACCAGCTCACTGGTAACTTCCCTCTAAACTCATAATCTCCAAAAATCACATCAGCAATCCCTTGCCCTTCTGTTCCAGGCAGCCAAGCAGCGACCAGAGCTCTTGTCTTCTCAAGAACCTGCAGCTCAAGAACCATAGGCCGTCCCGAAAACAAGATCGCCAGAGTCGGTATCTTCTCTGCAACCGCGGTTACCATATCGCTACCATTAAACGGTATTATGAGCTCCGAGTTATCCCCCGGGGTCTCTGCATACGGCGGCTCTCCCACCGCAACAATTGCATAAGAGAATCTTCTCCACGAGGCCAAAGTTTCCTTTGATGGAGTTTCCTCGTAGATCACTTCGGTTTTTTCTCCAACTGTTGCTTTTATAGCATCCAAAAGCGTCGTGCCTACATTTTCCAAAACAAATAACGTATATTAGAGACATCCGACAAGACCATGTAAGCATCTCCAACTGAAAGTCATCGCAGTTTCTTTAACTTACCGATTGTGATCCTTCCGCTTTGACCATACATTTTCTTTGTCCATCCACCGCACTGATATCCAAGATCATCAGCGTGCTTACCAACCACTAGAATCCTCTCAGCATTGCGATGTAATGGTAGAAAGTATTCATTCTTTAGCAGAACTAACGACTTTCTAACCGCTTCACGCGCCAATTCTCTATGTTCCTAAAATGCGTGGAAACAGAGTAAAAAACAGAGCAAAAACATTTTAATGGCATTTTAGTACAAGAGAGCTCACCTTGCAACCAACTGTAGGCAACAAAGATCGGTCCGATAGAGGATACTCAAAGAGACCAGATACAAACTTCACTCTCAGTATTCTTTCAACAGCATCATCGATCCGAGCCATTGTTACTTCCCCTGACGCCACTAGATCTATAAGGTCATGTATAAACTCTTTGTACTTGAAAGGTACCATCACCTATAAATAACATTGATTTAAGAATCCTTGCTCCTTCAAACATTCGAGATAAATGAAAGAAGAGTTTACTACCATATCGATTCCAGCATTAATCGCGAGTTTGACGCAGTTGCGGTAGTTTGAACCTGGTGGGACGCTAAGCCGGTCCACACCTTCCCAGTCTGAAATTACATATCCCTAATAGCCAAACAAGAAAGATAATTTATCAAACAAAATTGGTTTGGTTTAGATTGTTTTTTATACTCAACCAACCTTGAAACCGAGTTTCTGTTTGAGAATTTCCGTTAAAAGGAAATAATGAGAGTGAAGTTTATTTCCATTCCAACTTGAGTAAGAAGCCATAACGGTAGAGACTCCTTGAGCAATACATTTCTTATAAGGAGCAATGTGTATCCTCTCCAACTTGTCATATGACAAAATAGTGTTCCCTTCGTTTATGCCTTTATTAGTACCACCATCTCCAACAAAGTGCTTGGCACATGCCACCACGTTTTTTCTATTTTCCCCAAGTAACCAAGTCCATGAGAAATGAAAAATTTAGGATTTACTAAAAGACACAAATTAAGCCCATAATCTTACCTTCCTGCAACAAAAGGGTAACCATTTTTGTGTTCTTTAGGTGGTTGGCCTTGTAGACCAGAGACAAGTGAAGTCATTTCAGAAACAATTTGAGCAATTTCACCATAACCTTCATAGTATCTTCCCCATCTTGGATCTCTCACGGCCTGTAAGAATAACATTTCATCAATTGACTAATAAGCAATCAAAATATTCAAAAATGTTGCTTAAGTCTATAAGGAACTCACTGCCACGCACGGAGCAAATGCCCAGTGAGCACCACAAGCCTTTACTTCAAGTGCTGTTGCAGCTCCAATTCTTGCGATCAAATCTGCGTCTCTACAGAGTTACCACAAGAACCACGAATGTAAATCACATTAATAGCAACCAGTCAGATGCTAATCACAGCTATAAACATTAATAGCTACTATTAGTATATGGTGAGACTATAAGCTAATTGGAGTAACATGATCACAACTTCAACTTCAAAGTAGAGTTGAATCATTGAAGGCAAGTCTCATCAGAAAAAAAAGTGCAAGAGGTAAAAGTCAACCGAACCTAGTGGCTCCTAGGCCAATGTTGTGGGGGAAGATGGTAGCGCCGTAAACGTCGTTGTTGCCGTGAACGGCGTCAATACCGTAGATGATTGGGATTCCTAAACGCGACGCTAACGCTGATCGCTGGAAACCGTCGATCATATCCGCCCAATCCGACGACTTTGCGTCCTCAAACGGCCAACTCCCACAAGCGTTTAGTACACTACCTGTAACCCCAAATCCATAAAACACTATTTGATTTTACGACAAAAGGAGAAACAGAGAGCAAACCAAAAGGGAGAAAAAGACAAAAAAATTGCAAATCCAAAACTAGATTTTGGAAATTAGAAAGTTTGGTCGTTGACCAAAACAAAAGATGTAATGCTTTGTGTACCGATGAAGAAATCTGTAAAGACGGCGGGTGAAGCGACGGTGCGTTCAATCAGAGTCATTTGGCCGATTTTCTCCGGCAAAGTCATCCGTGAGAGAAGGTCCTTTACACGCGCTTCCACTGGCGCGTCTGGGTTCTTGTAAACGCATGACTTTTCATTGTCAACCATATTCTTCCTCTCGTCTACGTACTTCTTAAAATTTCACATCTCTTCTCTATATATAGCCAAGCTGGAGAACACGTGGCACGCTGATCTGGACAAATAAATAAAATCAGATTCATTTCATAGGAAATCATGCATGCTTCAAGGTGTGTATTCTTGAGATCATATAACAACACCAAAAATATGTCATAATCATGTATTGAAAATAGTCCTTCATTGATACAAGGCAGCAAACGAAAGTTCTTAAAATACAACATACACCACCAAAATGATCATGAGCAAATGAGAAAACCAGACAAAACCAAACATAACTAAAAAGATCGCAGAGAAATTTGGCCAGAAGGCACTTATTTTGGTTCTCTTACATCTTTTCCTCGCTTATTATTCTTTCTTACATTTTAGCCCAAACCCAAACGGGAACAACGGATCATACCCATCAGCTTCCGGGTTCATCGGCAACTGCTCCGTCGTTCTAAACCAAGAAACTGGCAACTTCCCATGGAAATCGTAATCTCCGAACACCACATCAGTGATCCCATCTCCTTCGGTTCCGGGCAACCAAGCCGCCACCAAAGCTTCCACCTTCTCCAACACCGTCGGCTCCAAAACTACCGGTCGTCCCGTCATCAGTATCACCACCGTCGGGATCTTCTCAGCCACTAGTCTCATTACCTCAGCCCCATCGAAATGTATCGACGGCTCAGGATCATCGCCTCTAGACTCCGCATAGGGAGCTTCCCCAACGGCAACGATGGCGTAAGAGAAATCGGTGCTTGCCAAAGTCTCCTCTGAAGGAGATTTCTCGTAAACCACTTCCGTTTCATCTCCTACGATCGCTTTAACCGAATCTAAGACCGTTGTTCCTACATTCGTTGTGAAACAGAAGATGTTAAATAGTTATCTTGTTGCACACGAAACTACTCTTGCTGAAACAGAGTTTATCCTTTTTTTGTTGCTTACCAATTGTGGTCCGACCACTCATACCCTGCCAAGTTTTGGTCCAACCACCGCATTGAAACCCAAGATCGTCTGCGTGAGTTCCGGCCACCAAAACCTTTTTGGCGTTTCGATCTAGCGGAAGAAACGGTTTCTGCGAATCTCTCCCATTCTTTAACAGAACTAAAGATTTCCTCACCGCTTCACGTGCTATCTCTCTGTGTTCCTGAGCACAAAAATTAGAAATATCTCGTTTCACATATTCACAAAGCCTTACAAACAGAATTTTACGGATTAATAGTGTCAAAACTTGAATATACGTACCTTGCAGCCGACAAACTTCAACAACGATCTGTCAGAGAAAGGATGTTCGAAAACACCAGCTGTGAACTTCATTCTCAAAACTCTCTCAACTGCATCATCAATCCTTGACATAGGTATTTCTCCGGACTTCACCAGAGATGTTAGATCATTGATGAACTTCTCATACGTATAAGGAACCATGACCATGTCCATTCCAGCGTTAATAGCAGCTTCCACACATTCACGGTAGTTGGAACCACGTGGTTCACCCATCTTGTCAATTCCCGCCCAATCTGAAACCAAACATCCCTTGAAACCGAGTTTGTCTTTGAGTATCTCTGTCAAGAGAAAACGGTCTGCATGGAGTTTCCGTCCGTTCCAACGTGAATAAGAAGGCATAACCGCTGAGACTCCTTGAGCAAGGCATTTCAAATAAGGAGCCATATGGGTTCTCTCCAAGTCTTCGTATGAAGCCACTGTGTCTCCTTCGTTCTTACCTTTTTCTGTACCGCCATCTCCAACAAAGTGCTTTGCACATGCAACCACGTTTTGTCTGAAACACAACCCTAAGTATAAGAATACGAAGAGTACATAACTTGCTTGCCAAGAAATGTTGGGTTAAACAACTAAGTTAGACCTTCCGGCAAGGAAAGGGTAACCGGCGGGATGTCCTTGCGCTGGAGTTCCTTGTAGACCGGAAACAAAGGATGTCATGTTGCATACAACGTCGGTGTCTTCGCTGTAGCTCTCGAAACATCTTCCCCATCTCGGATCTTTGCACACCTGTGCCAAACCCCATGAACATAAGATATTGTACTGTTTCTTTTTCTGGTTTCTTGCGTCCTAAGAAAGAGTATTGTAGAAAAAAGAATACTTACAGCCACACATGGAGCAAATACCCAGTGAGCCCCACTTGCCCTAACTTCCAAAGCAGTCGCGGAACCAATTCTTCTAGCCAAATCTGCGTCTCTGCCAATATAGTCGAAAATTTAATTCGGTTCATGATCTTTCTTGACGATTAGTGAGTGGTTTATGTTCTTGCTCAGCACATGGTTTTACGTGTAAAACAATAAAACATTTGCTTACGGATTTTTGAACTTTGTTGGATCAAAAGAAATAAAAAAATAATCAGTTGGGACTTGGGATAGTGAACTATGTTACAACTTACAAAACAGAGTAGAGTCTAAAACTGATTTATCTTAACCGGAAAGTTGTTAGGACTAACCTGGTGGCGCCAAGGCCAATATTGTGAGGAAAAATGGTGGTGCCGTACAATTTGTTGTTGCCGTGAACAGCATCCAAGCCGTAGATGATTGGTATGGCGAGACGAGTCTCGAGCGCCGCCGTCTGAAAGCCGTCGATCATCTCCGCCCACTCCACTGACAAAACATCATTCCCCGATTTCCCGGCGGAGTTGCATACGCTGCCTGAACAGAGACATAAAACAATAACAAAAAAACGTCTGAGTTTAGTTTCATAAACCTCATCCTCTAATGGACGGAAGTTGAAAATCACCGATGGAGAAATCTTTGATGACGGCGGCCGAGCAGACGCCGCGGTGGATCTGAGTCATCTGACCGATCTTCTCCTCAACTGTCATCCTCTTTAGAAGGTCTTGAATCCGAGCTTCCACGGCTTCGTTTGGGTTCTTGTAAACGCAGTCCATGGCGGCAACTTCTCCGACATCGGTCATTCTCTCCGTTAAAATATTTCTTGCGTTTTGTTCGAGTGTAGTGATTGTGTGGTCTCCATCGAAGTCGTCTTTATTTATACACAAAAATTGACAAACCTTTTAAATTATAAAGTCCTTTAAACTGAATTGTTTAACTAAAAGCTGAAACTTGTCACATGCCTCGAAGAAAAAATGTAGCATGTACAGATTATTAAATAGTGAATATGTCCGACCAAGAGATCTGACCCGTAAATGAAAGAAGTATATAAATTCGTATGTCTTATATATTCCCCAAATACATAGATTTTGTTTTGAAAAAGCATGCACTTGTAAAGTTCATAATTTACAAAAGATGTAACGTTAATACAAACTTTGATGAGTTTCGCCGATGGATCCTGTTTTGGCTCAATTATTTACCTTTTTGTTATTATTTTATCAAAAGAGCATAGTGATGTATATCCATTTCACCTTTCTCATACCAACTACTAACAATAGGCCAATAGCAATTGTTTTCTTGACCAAAGTAGTAAAGTCAGTTATTTAGTATTTTCACTCGAATGATCTTTGGCTTTTTCGATACTGATCCAAATTGGTTATCATTTTTTGTTTAGTTTATATTAATCATTACATTTCCAGGTAATTGTTGTCATTTTGTGCAGAATGCAGACTGATTACATCAATGCTCAGTCTAGATATATTTCATTTTGTTAGTTTCATCATGATGGAAAAAAATAGTATTATTGTTTCCACGTGTAATTATCAGATATGAATTCTCACTGTGTAGTTTCATCATCATGGTGCAGAAAGTGGAAGTGGATGGTGTTCAAGTTTTGTTTAAGCTGCACAATAACAAAAGATAATCCTAACTTTTTGGTTAAAAGAATAACAAAAGTTTGAAGATTCAAAAAAAAGTTAGGATTATCTTTTGGGTTTCATTTGGGCCTCTTTTGGTTCAAGAAAACTTATAATCTGAAATGGGCCCACACTTCACTAAATTATCCACGTGTTCTCTGGCACCGTGCGTTTCCATACGCAGCGTCACACTCGATTTCGGCTTTGCCGATAGTCCTCTTGCGTCGATAATTCGTCGTCCTCCGTAAGATCGGACGGCCGAATTTATAATCTGTCTTCGATCCAACGGCCAATATTGGAAGTCGTATTTCCCTGCAAACCTCTTATCCGCTTGTCCAACGGAGAGAGATACAGACACAGATGAATCAAATATAAAACGAAAAATATGAAATGTGTTTGTATACAATTTCACCTTTGATTTCCCCCAATTTCTAGGGTTTCGAAATATGACTACTACATTCGAATTTGCCCAGCCGGGGATGATCCACGGAAGGTTCAGATTCGCAACCTGTTGTAGCAATAGTTTATTGAATTCGCATACTTCGAGCTTCTTCTACGATCGGTGTAGGGTTTTTCGCCAGAACCCGAACCGGTTCGTCACCAATTCAATCCCGCTTCATCTGCAGAAGAAACCGGTTACAGCGTTGAGAAATCAACAAGGGTTTAATCTCTGGGATGGGATTTCAACGAAGAAGAGAAGAGTGGTTGTGAATTGTCAAGAAGATGATCAGAAAGCGAGTTCGAGTGAGAAGAGTGATAAAGAAGGAGACCGGGATTCTCCGGCGAACTCTAATTCATCGTCGAAGCGGAAGAAAGAGAAGAAGCAAGGGAAAGGTGAGGTATGGTGGTCAAAGGAGAAGAAATGGGAGTGGCATCCGATAATCCAGGCTCAGGGAATCGGAGTTTTGCTATTGCAATTAGGCGTTGTTATGTTTGTGATGCGGCTGCTCCGGCCCGGAATACCTTTACCTGGATCGGAGCCTCGAATCCAGACGACTTTCGTGAGCGTACCTTACAGCGAGTTCTTAAGTAAAGTTAACAGTAATCAGGTGCAGAAAGTGGAAGTGGATGGTGTTCAGGTTTTGTTTAAGCTGAAAGATGATGGGAAATGGCAAGAGAGTGAAGCTAGCAAGCTCTCTGAGTCTTCTGAATCGCTGCTGAGAACTGTGCCTCCGACGAAAAGAGTTGTGTATTCCACCACAAGGCCCGGCGATATCAAAACGCCGTATGAGAAGATGCTTGGGAATAATGTTGAATTCGGATCGCCTGATAAACGACCTGGTGGCTTTTTCAACTCTGGATTGGTAAGGCCACCACATTTCTACTAGGCTTTTTAACTTTCAAGTTGCATCATTTGTCAATTTTGGCAAGGATTTATTCGAAAAGTTTCCGTTTTTGTTTGTTTGTTGCAGGTAGTTCTTTTTTACATGGCGGTGCTTGCAGCGTTGATTCAACGATTCCCTCTTAGCTTCTCCATGGTTTGCATTTCCATTATACTTCAATAGGTTGTTTAACTTTGTTTTTCAGTTTCCTTAAAATCTACGGGTGTACACAGAATACAACCGGCCAGCTTAAGAGCCGAAAGTCTGGTGGTTCTGATGGGGGAAAAGTGTCTGGTGGAGGTGAAACAATCACTTTTGCAGATGTTGCAGGTGTTGATGAAGCAAAGGAAGAACTAGAAGAAATCGTGGTAGGTTTCTACAGTCCTTAATAAAGATTTTTGTACATGCTATATGATAATCAGATCGTTTGTGATAGCTTGTCTTTTAAAAATGGATCGATCGTTGCAGGAATTTCTTAGAAATCCTGACAAGTACGTCCGTCTAGGTGCACGTCCTCCTCGTGGTGTTCTATTGGTGAGTTATATTATTTTGTTTTCATTAGAGAAATTTATTACTGTTTGGTGTCAAGACCTCTCCTTTGGAATTCCATGCCTATTTTGTAGGTTGGTCTTCCTGGAACAGGGAAAACCCTTCTTGCAAAGGCTGTTGCTGGGGAAGCTGATGTCCCCTTCATAAGTTGCTCTGCAAGTGAGTTTGTAGAGCTATATGTCGGTATGGGTGCCTCACGAGTAAGGGATCTGTTTGCCAGGGCCAAGAAAGAAGCTCCGTCAATCATATTTATTGATGAGGTTAGAATAGATAGTACCTTACAATACTTTCTATCTCTGGACATCTTTAAACATAATTTTCTGTTCCCCTTTCATGTTCCAGATAGATGCTGTGGCAAAAAGCCGTGATGGTAAATTCAGAATCGCAAGTAATGATGAAAGGGAGCAAACTTTGAATCAGCTGCTCACTGTAAGTCCATAATCATCTGACGCTTTTCCTGCTCAAGTAGCATTCTTGAATCTGTGCCATGACCCATTTGCATGTTGGAAATCTGTTTGCAGGAGATGGATGGTTTCGACAGCAACTCTGCGGTTATTGTACTTGGAGCTACAAATCGTGCCGATGTCTTAGACCCAGCCCTGCGTCGTCCAGGAAGATTTGATCGCGTTGTCACGGTTGGTAGAATGGACTTAGCTATATCTAAATGATTAGACAGTTTAAGATGTCTGACACATATTTCAGGTGGAAACGCCTGACAAAATTGGAAGGGAATCTATTTTGAGAGTGCACGTGTTAAAGAAAGAGCTTCCTTTGGGAAATGACGTCAACCTTGGTAGTATTGCCTCGATGACCACTGGTTTTACTGGGTGCGCTTTTGTATATGATCCTTGATCTTAAATTTCTACTGGTTTACGTTTTTGGCTGTATCTCATGAACTCTCCTGTCCAATTTTGCAGGGCGGATCTTGCAAACCTGGTAAATGAGGCTGCCTTGTTAGCTGGAAGACAGAGCAAGATGACTGTTGATAAAATCGACTTCATTCAAGCTGTCGAGCGATCAATAGCGGTATTTCTCTGTCTTCTCTATTCTACTGTGTACGAGAAGCTATTCGTCAAATGTTTTCTTTACAGTGCATTTTTTCCAGGGCATAGAGAAGAAAACTGCAAGATTAAAGGGCAGTGAGAAGGCAGTGGTTGCAAGGCATGAAGCTGGACATGCAGTGGTTGGTACAGCTGTTGCAAAACTTCTTACTGGACAGCCACGGGTTGAGGTGAAAAACAAAAGCATTATAGACCTGTGCCATATGCGCAAATGATATAAGTTTTTTTTGCTCATCCTCTTTTTTTGTTGTTGCTAGAAATTAAGCATATTGCCAAGAACAGGAGGGGCGTTGGGCTTTACATATATACCTCCTACCAACGAGGACAGATATTTGCTCTTCATCGATGAGCTGCTTGGGCGTTTGGTTACCCTTCTTGGAGGTCGTGCAGCGGAAGAATTTGTTTACTCAGGGCGTGTATCAACGGGTGCATTTGATGATATCAGGCGAGCAACTGATATGGCATACAAGGCAGTAGCTGAATATGGTCTCAGCCAGAGAATCGGACCCGTGTCTGTGGCTACACTTTCTGGCGGTGGGATTGACGATTCGGGAGGCTCACCATGGGGGAGAGATCAGGTAACTTCATTCTACATAGCAGTTTGCCTAGGTTTTTCAGTATGTCCCTTCAAAAAAAAAAAACGCAAAACTTAACCTTCAATGTTAATGTACAGGGGAAACTAGTTGATCTTGTTCAAAGCGAAGTGACAAATTTGTTACAATCTGCTCTCGATGTCGCACTGTCTGTTGTACGCGCTAATCCAGATGTATTGGAAGGACTTGGTGCTCAACTGGAAGGTAATCCATTACTAGATAGTACACACTGTATAAGATACCAATTCCTAGAAAGCTTTGAGCTTCCATGGTTCGGCTTGAGTGATAACTAACTTGACTCTGTTGCAGAGAAAGAGAAAGTAGAAGGTGAAGAACTGCAGAAGTGGTTAAATATGGTGGTCGCACCTGAAGAACTCGCAGTGTTTGTCAAAGGAAAGCAAGAGGCTCTGCTCCCGGCACGAGCTAGCTCCAGTTAGCAGCTTTGCAATGTTCTTTATCATCAATTATAGCCATAAAGACAGTTTCTAACACAGATCCTGTGTCTCCAGGTCAGATCTGGTTATCACCATTGCCTACGGAATAGCATCGATGGTTCCAGCATGCATATATAACACTTGAATCAAAATCTAAAGAACCATTTTGGAATATCATTGTGGTGATAGCTTATAGATTTACTGGCCATGTGTTGTAAGATTTGGTATTCTTGCTGGATACAGTCTCTTAAAGAGAGAATTCGGCAAAATTGTATCATTGATTTAGATGTATAAAAGCCATATACGTATTATATTATGTGCTGTGAGAACAGTGTGGTTCACTCTTTGAATTCTCACAAGTTCCTCTTGTATACGAATCATCCTTTGCTCTGTTCTTCAGATTCCTATTTGTTCTTCGTGTATGTATACATTACGCATTTCTCCATTATTCTCAAATTTCTCTAAGTGGGTGAGCGAATCTTGAAAATGAATCATGGTTTATGAGATGTGTTCTTTTCAGTTGGATCATGAAATGTCAAATAAGATGAAGAAAGAGAAGCATGTATATATAATTGAAATCCGAAGAATTATAGAGAATAAAAACAGGGGAACAAGTAATGCAGATTACTATACATTGTCTCTTTTTATTTTTTGTTGAAGAGGCCACCTAAGCCGCCAAATCCACCATCGTTCTTCTTCGGCGGGACAGGCACCGGGGCCGAGTTTTTACCACCGCCGCGAACGGTTCCTCGGCCGCTGGTGGTACCGCCGTTTTTGGTGCCGCTGCTTTTGGTGCCGCCGCTTTTAGTGCCGCTGCTTCTGGTGACTTCTTTCCCTCCCTGGAGAATTGGATCAGTCTCGTAGAACTGATCTTGCTTTGTCAAATACCCGAGCACAAAGTCAATAATATTCTTCTCCTCCTTGGCGCCGCCTGAACCTCCCTTTGCTGTTGTGGCGTAAACCCTCACGGTGGCCGGAGCAAACGACATAAGAAGCGAAGACACCATTCTTGTTATCTCCTTTCGATCTCTCTCCCTCTCTCTCTCTCCTCTGTTCTTTTATCAGGACTGTGTGTGTGTAAATGTGTATGTCTTCGTGTGGCAATTCTTGTTACAAAGGGATTATGACGAGGTTTGGTTAATCTGAGCCGTTGGTTTTTTTTTTGGCACAAGCTCTCCACAAGTGTCTTATCCTCTTTTTCTTCTGTCAAATTTCTTCTTTAATTCTCATTTTTTTCCAAATGAAATGTATGAATGCGGAAGAGACACGCCTCGGTCATGTAAGTTGATACTCCGATTATATCGAAACGATTTTTTTGCTGGGCCGGGGCCCAATTTTATAAACTCACAATTAAGAAGATGCCCCAAGTTTTAAACCTTTAAACGTGCTGCCATGCGACTAAAATCCGTCCCAATTTTTGTATTATCAAGAGTTTTCAAGTTCACGTGTGAAAATGCTCACTTATTATTTCACCAAAACGCAATGCTCACTTGCACAGTGATTAGTAGTGTTTATCTGGATCTACACATGTTCTTATTGGGCCCATCCATGATCAGTGGACCAATCTCCGACCGTATTTGACTAGCTTACTGAGTAACATAAAAGCAAACAAAAAGAAGCAAAGAGGAGCAATGTTTCATCGGCAGGCACTGAATCACTCAAAAACACTACTTACAGTCTTCCTCTTCGCTTCTATTATCTACCTAAGTTTCTATAGCTGACTCTTTATTGCAATTTCATGCTATTCACTGCCATTCTCTCTATAGGCTTCTTCTAGCGACTCAAACCATTTCCTAAGGAGAATCAGAAGATTCCAGAGGGAAACACGTTTCTTCGCCACCGGTTTGCCAGAGGAAGTTGGCGTAGTTGGCTGCATAGAAGGAGTTGGTAGGCTCTGCAGATATAGCTTCTAGAAAGTTCTCCTCAGCTGCCCACAGATCACTCCGAGCTTTCCACTGGAAGACGGCGTATTTGCTGTACGCTTCTGCGTCTACTTCTTCCGACTCTATGGCTTTCTTGAAACACTTCTCCGCTCTGATACATCCACAAAGAAACAAACATCATTGTCAAAGTTCCAAAGTTACAATCCATTCATGAAACACTTGTGTTATCTTCCAAAGGTAACACCTTTGATTCTCAATCAGTCAAGCACAAACATATACTACAGTTTCACATAGGAACTGTGATAACATTACCTGTCGTAGTCTTGACTAACGAGGTAAAGGAACTGAGCGTAGTTAGCTAGGAGCAGAGGGTTGCTCGGTTCTTGAGCCAAGCCTATCTTATACAAAAGCTCTGTTCTAGTGTAATTGGCATAATCGTCCACTTCAATCCTCGCAATGATCGGTGAAACAAGTCTCAGTCTCATGTCACGATCCACAGTGGAATCTTGCACTTGATCAGCTTCTTCCACCATTGAATTCCACAGACTCAGCTCTTCTTCTCTTATTCCTTGTCCTGAAACTGAGACCTTGTCAAAAGTGATCCCTCCAAACCATTTACCATCTTTGCCACTCACTACAGGCCCTAAATCCATTCCACCACCTCCACTAGACTCCTTTAGCGAAGAAAAATCAAACCTTTGATGCGTCTCATCTTCACCTTTAGTACCTGGCGATACGTGTGGGGGAGATGCAGCAATAGCTAGGTTTGATGCAACTGAGTGAACAGTGTAATTTGCCACTAGGATCATCACATACACCATCAAAGTAGGCGTCTGCGAGAACACGCGTTGGAAAATCCACAGCAACGAAGCGTGCATATCCTTCTTCACATGCTTAAGAACACCTTGTAATTGCAAGTCTTGGTGGAAGATAGTCTCCCTCGTCTGCAACGCAAAGCTTTGGAGCTCTTCGATCATAAACACCATAGAAGAGAAGGCTTTGTTGATAGAGCAATAAGTAGATTCAGTAGCTTCTTTGAGCGCTTCTTCTTGCAGCTTCCTCTTTATGATTCTGAGAGAGAGAGGCAGATCAACACTGTTTGCCTTCCGCTCAATGCTTACATTGTTAACCATCCCCATCCATGGAGCCTCCAGCGAAGCTAAACCTGGAACAGACTCTTGTAGAAGCTTCACCGTGCCGAATCTGTTACCTACTGCTTCGTTGGTTATCTCTGATTGATACTTGTTTCCTTCGTTTCTCTTTACTTCTTCTTCTTCGCCGGCAATTTTGAATTGTAAGGCTAATTCCTGCAGCTTCACGGAGAATTCTTCGTCTGAGAAGAAACCGGAGCTCGCGCTGCAAACTCTCCGTAAGGGACTATGTTTCTGCATCTTCTTCGTGGTAGCGGCAATAGAGGAAAATTCCAAAAGCTCACAGGATTTGGATCGGTGGAGTTTCCCAGATTGCGTTCCGAGAAACGACGACGGTTTCAATCTCGTCTGGCAAGCTATAGACCCTCCAGTGGATGCATCTCCGCCTCTTCCACGAGAACGGCGGCGTTTCGAGGAGGTTAGGGTTTGCGAGAAAGACGGAGATTGAGGAATCGCCCCATGGCGTCCTGACCAGTGAAAGGACGTGGTTGTGGCTACCTTCACCTCCATTTCTTCCGATGAAAGAGACGATAATCTAAGAAACTGTAGCGAAAAGGTACAAATCCAGGAAAGCTAAGAGATCAGGATAAGACCGGAGAGAAAATCAACACACACTCCTTACTCGCTAGAAATTCAAATGACGGAGAGAAAGGGAGTGAGAGAGAGAGTGAGAATGCTTACTTCTGTTCTGGGTTATTTCGATATTCGATTCCGTTCGAAGTTTTTTCTCTTCTGATTTTCTCTTCCGTTCGATTTTCTCGGGAAAATAATGTTTGTGAGGTCAATCGAATTCAGAGGCTTTGAGCTCCTGAAATTTTGTTGGAAATAAGGAAGAAGACAAAAAGCCTTTCCAGTTTATATACGAACGAGAAAAAACGGAGGAAATTACTTAGTAATTTCTTAAGAAGATAAAAAAATAAAAAGTTACCGGATATAGCCGGTGGCAATATACATAGAGGCACGTGGCAATTGGAGAAGAGATTTAGGGGTGTACATGACACCAAGAGATTTAAAATTAATTATACAGATTTTATAAATCTATTAAATTTAAAATTTTGTCTAATTTTAAAAATTTATATTAATTAATTTACTTATAAAAATCCATTAGAATCCATTTTAACTTACTAAACAAAATTTTTAAAAGTCTTAATTGAATATTAAAATTAAATTTAAAATCTTAATTGAATAATAATTGATTTAAAAATCTATTAATGATAAATCTAATAACACTAGAACCAAATTTAAAATCGTAATTAAATAACATTAAATTATAATTATAATTTAATTTCAGTTCATTTTAAATATAATATTCAATAACATCCTAGATTTTTAATCCAAAGGTAGAGACGGTAACAGGTGATGAAGGATCGGCTAACTGTGCAACGCGGTTTATTCGGGAAAACGTGCTTTTAAGTGAGTTCCAAGCGGCCTGCATCGCGGATCAATCTCACTTTAATCCCACGGGTGACAATGAGGCACGTGTCGTTTAAATGTTTGTCTGACAGACATGGCCTGGTCTCTTGACACGTACGGGGAATTGTTCACGTGCATCGAGTAAACTGAAAAAGTAATTTTGTTTTGGTTAGAGATTGAATTGAAACACGTATCTTTATAGAATATAGATCTAAAGTCTGTCAGAGAAACAAAAGCAAGTACATGACACCAGTCACCACTTGGTTTTGGTGGTTCGAAGTTGGAGTTATTATGAATCTTCAACTCTTTTTTATTGAAACAACATTGTTTTTCACGGCAGTACGTAGTTACGAAAGGAAAATGCGAGGTTCATATATACGAGAGTTCATTTGTTTTATATTCTTTCAATTCATTGGTTACAAACGAATATAATTATTTCAACAAAAAATGGAAACAGATTTTATAAATAGCTTAGAAATCCTGATACAAATACATATCAAATGAATGAAGAGCTGCGACGCATAGAAAGTTAACCGAAATGATGTGGAGACTTTGAAAAGATTTTGACGAATTTAAGTAAACCGAAATGCCTTGTTTCTGTGTTAAGAAAACGGAAACGTGTACTCAACGGCAACATATATATAAACCGCAGCTACATCATTTTGGCTGTGGATTAGTTCATATATTAACCCAAGAAAAATGTTTATCAAAATGTTAAGCTGGTAACACAGACATTTATCTTTTCTGGACACAACATATCATACATAAGGGAAACAAAAACACACATTGTGAAAAACGATACTATAAAGGCTTCAGATTCAGCCTCTTAAGTGAGTTGCAAGGTTTGTCGAGAAAACCTTAAAACACTTCAACGTCTGGCTGTTCTTCTGGATCTAAAGAACCTCTCTCTGATTGAGATTAACTCCTTTGTGGCTTCACTCGTTGCCAACCGGTTTGCTGGAGATTCTTCACAGCACCTAAGCCCCACATCCAAAATCAGTGTTAAGCACTCAACAACAGGGAAACCAACTCTGAGACCACTGTGAAGAATTGATTGGTCTGCTATGTCCAATACTTTCTCTGGCAAAGCCGACTTGGTGTAGTTGTGTAGGGTACAGTTTCCCCCAAATAACTCATTGGTTGGTCTTTTTCCACTGAACATTTCCAAAATGAGAATCCCAAAGCTGTACACATCACCATGTATTGATGGTTGCCCTCCCATTCCATATTCTGCACCATCGTTCACAAAAACAAGATTGTAATGAAAAGAGAATACATTAGTTTAATTTTCTTCATTCAAGCAGCACAAATTTGTGAGATATTTGTGAGATATTTTTACCTGGTGCGGCATAGCCGATGGTTCCTCTAACGCCAGCTGAGCTTAGTTGGTTGAAGAAAGAGTCCTTGTCGAATTTCAGGAGAAGCCGAGCCAGACCAAAGTCACTAACATGGGCTACTAGTTCGTCATCTAAAAGGACGTTGCTTGGCTTAATATCACAATGAGCTATAGCTTCATGGCAATGAAAATGAAGATAGTCCAAAACGGAAGCCACGTCTATTGCTATGTTAAGCCTTTCAAGAAGTGTCAAAGTTCTTGAGGGCCTAAGAATCTCTTCGACTTCCTCTGGGTGCAACCACATATCCAAGCTCCCATTGGGCATGAACTCATAGATGAGAGCTCTGAATTCATTTCCTTGGAAATCGATACTTGAACAAGCCGTCAACAGTTTCACAAGATTACGATGCTTTATATCTTTCCACGATTCACATTCTGCAACAAAGCTCTTCATTGCTCCATGTATCTCCATGTTTAGAACCTTCACTGCAACAACATTTTGCTCTCCCGGGAGCAATGCTTTAAACACAGTACCAAAACTACCAGATCCGATAACGTTTCCCAAAGAAAAGCCATTTGTCGCATTTCGAAGATCTCCATAACTTAACTTTTCATGGAAGGCACCCAAAGTCCAAGGAGATTGACTAATGCTCAACAACTTCTTCTTTCTTTTTCTGAGCCAGCATAGATGAATTGAAGCCAGAAACAACAACAAAAGCAAAGATATACTTACGCTGATCCCGATCACAGCTTTCTTCGAAAGAACGGAATGCGATGTCTTTACTGGTGGTGTTTGAGCAAAGCATGGCTTTAGTTTTAATCCTCTGACGCCTCCACAAAGATTTTTATTCCCAAATACAAAAACTTTAGTATCATTCTGGAAAATTCCTTCTACCGGCATCCTTCCTTCCAAATTATTAATGGATAGATTGAGATACTCTAACGAGGAGAAGTTTGCAAGATATTCAGGTATACTCCCAGAGAGATTATTGTTCGACAAATCAACTGCTTTAACACCCACCAATCTTCTCATATCTGGAATATCTCCACCAAAAGAATTCTCTTGTAGACTAAGAGTTTCCATCGAGAGACAGTTCCCCAAGGTTTGTGGAAGTTTTCCTGATAATTTATTACTTCCAAGAAACAGCCTAACAAGATTTTGCAGTTGTCCAACACCGTTTGGCAGAGATCCGGTCAAAGAATTACTTTCCAAGCCAAGGTAAACAAGGGACGAAACTTGCATAATCTCCCAAGGTATATTCCCACTCAACTTATTAGATCCAATCCATAAAAACAGCATGTGACTACAATTACCAAGGCTTGGAGGAATGGTTCCTTGAAAGCTATTGTTGAACATATACAATAACTCTAACCGAGTGATGTTTCCTATAGAAGATGGTATCTCTCCTGACATTCTGTTTGAGCTGAGAATCAGTTCCTTCATTTCTACAAGTTTCCCAACAGAGACCGGGAGCGTTCCCGTCAAGATATTTTCATGCAACCGAAGCGTTTGTAGGCTTTTGAGATTCCCAATATCATGAGGAATGCTTCCAGATATGTAGTTTGTTTCGAGGCTCAAATAGATGAGGTTAGTGGATAAATTCACAATGGAGCTAGGTATATAACCCCCAAGCCTGTTGTTACCAACATTTACGGTATGTAACTGGGTGCAGTTACTTAGAGCGCCAAGAAATTCAAGATCTCCAAGAGAGTAACTTCCCAAATAGTTACTATAAAGCCCTAGGTATTGCAAACCCCTCACGTTGCCTAAACCTGGAGGAATACTTCCTGTTAAGCTGTTATTCTGGATCGCCAACACTAGAAGAGTTGATATATTGGAAAGAGTTGTTGGAATGACTCCTGTGAGACTATTACTTGCCAATAACAAAACCCTAAGATTTGGAAGCAAAAGACCAAACTCATGCCGCAGACTACCGTAAAAGCCGCAGCCAAACATGTAAAGATACTGAAGTGAAGATAAATTGTAAACCGATGGAGGGAAAACACCCGAGAAGTTGTTCAATGATAACTCTAAATACACCATCTGAGTCAGTTTAGCTACGCCACCAGGAACTTCTCCTTCCATGTTGTTATATGCAAAGCTAAGATTTCGTAAGGATGACATATTTCCTAGCGAAGCAGGAATGGCTCCTGTGAGATAATTCTTCCCCATGTGTAACATTCGAAGGTTAGGTAGCAGATCACCAAAATCATGCCTTAAGCTACCCGAGAAGCCGTTGCTATAGAGGTATAAGTACTCAAGCGAGGAAAAATTGTAGATAGCTGGAGGAAAAACACCTGAGAAGTTGTTCATTGCTAGCTCGAGATACACCATACGACTCAGTCTAGCTATATCGTCTGGAATCTCTCCTCCTATGTTGTTAGCAACCAAGCCAAGATTTCTGAGAGATGTCAAGTTTCCTAGAGATGCAGGGAGCTCCCCTTTCAGGTTGTTGTAGCCAAGATATAGATAAACAAGCTTCGTCAATGACCCTAGCTCTGAAGGAACACCTCCTCCAAGATGGTTTGAATATAAATAAAGGTACGTCAATCTAGAGCAGTTGGACAGACTTGCTGGAATTTCTCCTCCGAGATCATTTGAGTCCATATACAAGTATTTGATTCGAAACAAGTTTCCCACCTCTTGAGGGATGGTTCCACCGAAAGAGTTGTTAGAGAGATCAAGTGATCTGAGAAACGAGAGATTACCAATAGATGGTGATATCACCCCGCCTAATTGAAATCCTCTGAGGTCCAGACCAGTAACTCTCCGGTGTTTGCGGCCACATGTAACTCCAGTCCAACTGCAGAGAGGGAATGAGTTGTTCCATGTGGACAAGACAACTCTTTTGCTTTCAGAAATTTGAGACTTGAACTCGAGCAAGGCTCGCTTATCAGTTTCATAGGTAAAACCGTATGCAACAAGTAACATGAGAGTATTGAAAGAAAATAAAAGAAAGAGTCGTCTCATGCTTCTCATATTTTGCAGGGAAAGGAATACAAGAAATTGACGAAGAAAATGAAAAAAAAAAGTGCCTCTACAGGTGGTGGTAATGGAATTTCAAGAAAAACAGTTGAAGTACATTAATGGCTCCTAACCGAATGTACATTGATGTATACACCCTTCTAGCTACGTACGCCAACTGTCTAAGAAGACAAAAATATTTTGCTAGTCTTTTACGACTTTTCTATAGACATAATGAATGTATGGAGAAATCCACAAATTGACCAAGTCTCGTGTATTATTTTATTTACCAAAATTGAAAGAGAAAAAAAATGGTAATCAAAGTTTATTTGACATCAACGTGGATGCTTACTCACAGTTTGAGTTCCTGGAAATAGTATCGGTTTCCCAAAGCTCATATGCATTACGCTCGATCAGGTGTTATGGAAGTTCATGGCACCTTTAGATGAAATTAAACACTGGATTAATATTTTTTTCTCCAAACTGAAGAAATATGAATTTCAAGATGGAAGTCCCAAGACTTGCTTAATAAAGCGCTATCTTTTTGAAAAGGTAGCAAACATTTGTAGAAATTACAATAAAAGAGTACATAGATTTCTTAAAATCCACACAAGTTATTCTCATCAAATTTCTAAATTACTTAAGAACCTTTTAAAAACAAAACTTGTGTGTTCACTGGCAGATATGGTGAAGTCAACAGAGAATACCTTCTAATTTGCTTCACAGAGTCTGAAAGCATAATTATGTTTAATAGAGTAAACACGACAAATTATGAAAGATATTATCATTATATGTAGGCCTCAGATTCATCCTTTTAAGTGATTTGCAAAGTTTGTTGAGGACCCCATAAACACTTCAGCGTCTAGCTGTTCTTCTGGTTTTAAAGAACCTCTCTCTGATTGAGATTAACTCCTTTGTGGCTTGAGCAGTCGCCAACCGGTTCATTGGTGATTCTTCACAACACCTAAGACCCACATCCAAAACCAATGTCAAGCACTCAGCAGCAGGGAAACCAACTCTGAGACCGCTGTGAAGAATGGATTGGTCTGCGATGTCCAATACTCGCTCTGGCAACACCGACTTGGTGTAGCTGTGAAGGGTACAGTTTCCCCCAAATAGCTCACTCGTTGGCCGTTTTCCGGTGAACATTTCCAAAACAAGAACCCCAAAGCTATACACATCACCATGTATTGATGGCTGCCCTCCTGTTCCATATTCTGCACCATTATTCAAAGAAACAGCGACACGAGATTGTAATGAAAACATAAACATACTATTATTTTTTTCATAGAAGAATACAATTGTGTGATAATTTTACCTGGTGCGGCATAGCCAATGGTTCCTCTAACGTTGCCCGAGCTGAGTTGATTGAGGAAGTAGTCTTTGTCAAATTTGAGGAGCACACGAGCGAGACCAAAGTCGCTAACATGTGCAGTCAAATCATCGTCTAAGAGGATGTTGCTTGGCTTGAGATCGCAATGAGCTATAGGTTCATGACAATGAACATGAAGATAGTCCAAAACAGAAGCCACGTCTATGGTAATGTTGAGCCTTTCAATAAGTGTCAATGTTCTTGAAGGCCTACGAGTCTCTTCCACTTCTTCCGGGTGCAGCCACATATCCAAGCTCCCATTTGGCATGAACTCGTAGATAAGAGCTCTGAACTCGTTCCCTTTGAAATCAATACTCGAGCAAGCTGTCAACAGTTTCACAAGATTACGATGCCTTATGTCCTTCAAGGATTCACATTCCGCCATAAAGCTCTTCATTGCGCCATGTCTCTGCATGTTTAACACTTTAACAGCAACAAGATTGTTCTCCGTTGGGAGCAATGCCTTAAACACAGTACCAAAGCTTCCTGATCCGATCAAATTACTTGAAGAGAAGCCATCTGTGGCGTTTCGAAGATCTCCATAGCTTATCTTTTCACGGGTGGCCCCCAAAGTGGAAGGAGTTGGATTATTGGTATGCTGGTTCTTCTTTCTTTTTTTGAACCAAATCAGAGAAACCGAAGCTATGAACAACAACAAAAGCAAAGCTAAGCATGTGCTAAGCCCGATCACAACTTTCCTTAAATAAAAAGGACGCTTTGTTCTCTTCGGTGGTGGTTGTGCAGAGCATGGCTTTAGTTGAACTTCCTTGACGCCTCCACATAGATCTTTGTTTCCAAATATTGATATTATAGTAGCATTCTGAAATTTTCCATCTGTTGGCACCCTTCCCTCTAAATTGTTGATGGATAGATTGAGATACTGCAACTTGGAAAAGTTTGCAAAATAACCAGGTATACTTCCAGAGAGATTATTGTTAGACAAGTCAACTCTTTTAACACCCACCAACCCTCTTAAATCTGGAATATCTCCATCAAAATAATTCCCTTGGAGATAAATTTCTTCCATTGAGAGACAATTTCCCAAGCCCTGTGGGACTCTGCCTGATAAATTATTATGCTCAACAGATAGTTTAACAAGATGTACCAATCGTCCAACATCTTTTGGTAAAGAGCCGGTTAAGGAATTACCTTCCATGCTCAGAGTGAGAAGGGGTGAAAGTTGCACAATCTCTCGTGGTATAGCCCCATGAAGCTTATTATACCCCATCAACAAATGTAGCAGGTAGGTGCAATTACCGAGAGTCGGAGGAACTGTTCCTTCAAAACTGTTGTCGAACAAACTGAGTTTTTCCAACCGAGTGATGTTGCCTACAGAAGATGGTATCTCTCCTGACATTCTATTTGAACTAAGACTCAATACCTTCAATCCTGAGAGCTCACTTATAGAAATGGGGAGTGGTCCAGCCAACATATTGCCTCCTAACCCAAATGTTTGTAGACTTATGAGATTCCCAATCTCGTAAGGAATGCTTCCAGATATGAAATTGTTTTGAAGACTAAAAGAGATGAGGTTCTCGGACAGATTGGCAATGGAAGCAGGCAAGTCACCGCCAAGCCTATTATCACTAACCAATAATGATTCTAGTTGGGTGCAGTTAGTCAAAGCATCAAGAAATTCAAGATCTCCGGCAGTGTATCTTCCCAAAGAATTACCATGAAGATGTAGCCATTGCAAATTCCCTAGTTTTCGAAAGCTCCGAGGAATACTTCCTGTCAAACTGTTGTTGTTGATTGCTAGCTTTTCAAGGGTCGAGATATTGGAAAGTGTGGTTGGAATGGCTCCTGTGAAATAATTCTTTCCAAGATTTAACTCTAGAAGGTTTGGTAGCAAAGTACCAAAATCCGGTCTGAGGCCACCGGAGAAATTATTAAAGGCGATGTATAAATACTCGAGTGAGGACATATTGTAGATAACGGGAGGAAAAACACCAGACAGATTGTTCTCTGTTATTTGAAGAGCATCTAATTGAGTAAGTCTAGCTATATCATCAGGAACTCCTCCTTTCATGTTGTTGCTTCCAACATCAAGAATTGACAGTGATGTTAAGTTTCCGAGAAAGGCAGGGATTTTCCCTTTCAAGTTGTTATTGCCAAGATACAAAACATAAAGCTCTGTCAAAGAACCTAGTTCTGAAGGAACACCTTGTTCAAGATGGTTACTACCTAAATAAAGGTCGAACAATCTAGAGCAGTTAGACAGACTAGCTGGAATCCTTCCTCCAAGGATATTTGAGTGTAGATACAGGTTTCTAAGTCTAAACAAGTTTCCCACCTCTTGAGGGATGGTTCCACCAAAAGCATTCATAGAGAGATTAAGTGATATGAGAAACGAAAGATTACCAATGGATGGTGATATCACTCCGCTTAATTGCGAACCTCCGAGGTCCAAACTGATAACTCTCTTGTGTTTGCGGCCACATGTAACCCCTTTCCAGTTGCACAGAGGAAATGAGTTATTCCATGAGGACAAAAAACCTCTGTCTTCGGACACTTGAGACTTGAACTCCAACAATGCTTGCCTATCAGTTTCATCGGTAAAACGATATGCTTCAAGTAACACGAGAGCATTGAGAGAAAGTAAAAGAAACAGTCTCATGCTTCTCATTTTTTTCTTTCTTTTGGTTAAAAGTTTGTGGTGCTTCTCATACTATGCAGGGAAGTGAATATATATATATATATATATATATACTAGATTAGGCCCCGCGTATACGCGGGTTTATTTTAATTTCCTTTTATAAAAATCATGAAAGAATATTAAACAAAATTTGATCACTTTTAAAAAATAAGTAAAATAATATTAAAAACCCGATAATAAATCTCTAAATAAACTAAGATATGTAATATTTTTACATTTTAATTTTGAATTCATGATATGAAATAGAAAAGCTTACATGTGTCTAAATCTAATGGACTCGTTAATTTATGAAACTTTGATTATTCCATTGCTGAAACCTTTATTCTAAATATTGATGATTTTTTTTTAATATTGTTTTATCTAACAAAAAAATGGAAAATTTAACTATTTAATATTAGAAGATTGGTCCATTATAAAACTTTCTTTTTAATATTATTTAATTCCTTGATAATTATTTTATTAGTTTTCTATTTATATTGTTTCTTTTTCAATTTTGTGTTTGCCTCTTACCATTATAAATTTTCATTTTCATTATTAATTAGTTGTTTTAAAATTATTTTGTTAGTTTATTTATTTATGTTACTACATTTTTCCAATTTTATTGTGTTGACATATGTAATCACCAGATCAAATATTAGACACATGTAGCGATCTAAAGTTAATTATTCTTCATTGATATCTTGAACTTTTAAAACATGATTTTTTATTTCTTAATGAGAAAGAAACTTAAAAAAATATAGCTTGTTATATTTTCCTTTTCGTATTTGGAATATGTTTTTTTATTCCTTATCTTATTGGATGTAACAATTTTTTAATTATTTCTTCATAATTTTCTGATTTTTCGTTTTTTTTTCCTTTTCGTAATAGGATTATGTTTCTTCTTTACTTTTCCTAATGGATGTAATAATTTTTTCTTTTTAATTGTTTATTTCTTTTTTTTCTTCTGATTTTTCCTAATGTACAAATAGGATTTTATTTATTACATTATTTTGAATTTTAATATGTGTTTGGACAATATAAATTTGATGAATGAGAAAACTTTTTCTATTATGATATGAAAAATATGATTTTTCTTCTTTTTACTCAAATAGATTTTTTTTTAAATTTTCCTTTTTCTAACATTTTTTAATTATTTGTTTTTTTTCCCAAGACACGTGTCATGATCTTAACAGACGTAACATTAAAAAGTGACATATGTCGCGATCCTATAAATTATAAAAATCCTACATGTCGCAACCATCTAGCTTTATATAATAAGATATGTGTTTGGATAATATAAATTTGATAAATGGGAAAACCTTTTTCTGTTAGGATATGACAAATATTAATTTTACTTTTTTTAATATAATAGATTAAATTTCGTTTTTTTTAATTATCCTTTTCTAGTATTTTTAAAAATATTTTTTCCCCTAATACATGTGTCACGATCTTAACGGACATAATCTTAAAAGTGACACATGTCACGATCCTATATTTTATAAAAATCCTACATGTCGCAACCACGTCGCGCGCATCCAATTTATATAAGATAAGGGATGAAGGAATTTGCAAAACGTCTTTAACTTGTGGTAGTAATGCAATTTAATTAAAGAAAATATGGATAATAAACTTGCTCACAGCCAAAGAGAAAACTGCCACAATTTTCCAATATTTCTTGACTCTTGGGAGTCTTGCCGTCTAGACTCTTGCCATCTAAGTAAAGTAGTCAACTGTATAAGAGGACAAAAAGAAAAAGAAAAAATGTTTTTATTATTTTTGTCTGGAGTAACAACATGTGGTGGCTGTATTATTTCTCCCATGATGGGTCCTAGAGTCTGGAGTCTGGACCATTAACTAAGAACACAAATTTTGAATATTACGATCACAAGTTTTGTCCATTTCTTGGCGTGTAATCTTTGTAGAGGAAACCGAAAAACACTTCAGCCTCTGCTTGTCTAGCGCTCGGATCAAGAGACAATCTAGAGAGGACGTCAACACACGTTCTCCATGACAAAATATAATCTAGTAATATTACACACCAGAATTGATTGATTGACCAATGCAGTAACCAACACATTCACCTTTAATTTAGCTAGATTAATCATAGAAATAAATATAATTTATATAGAAACAAAAAAAACAATGCAGCTGTAATATATTGAACCTTGAAAGCTCAGGAAGAAACTCTTTGTAGGTCCGAGAATCCTCTTGATCGCTCTTCACTTCTCTAAGTGAGCCCGAGTATGTAGCACTAACAACAGAGGCACATATGAGATAACAAAAACTCTGTAACTGAACCAAAAGGTTATAATGCCTTTCTTCTTTCTTCTGCCTCAGAGTGTTGAATTTGTATGCTTCTTTTTCTCCTCATAATTGTTATGCCAATCAGAAAAACTTAGGAATACAGGGACGCTATAACATTGTTATATATATTGATCATCCAGATTATAAGAAAATCTCTTATTTGACATCAAGGAAAAGAAAGCATAAACACACTGAAAAACAAAAATCAGAACTTTTGCATTATGAAACCTGAGAAAATCCAAATAAATTTGAGAACTAAAAGGGGAGACCTAGGATTAGCAATTCTAAAACTGGTAACACAACATTCAGCTATTGTTTGCAAATATCATAGCATTCTTTCTGCAAGCATCTGTGAGTGTGTACATAGAGAAAGAAAACCACACATTGTGAAAGACGATATTAGATAGGCCTCTGATTCAGTATTGTTAATTTGGCTGCAAATTAAATTAAGTTTGTGGAGTAAACCATAAACGCTTCAAAATGTGAGGTGATTCTTACTACTGGATTTATGATTTCAGACAATGGTTCCTCTTTTCCTCGAGTCCCTGAGCTCATGTGCGTTGCTTTTGTGTTAACTAAACGGAAACCTGTACTCCACGGCAAGTGATAAACCAGAGCTACATCATTTTTGGCTGTGATTATTCCATATAATATTTAGCACCCCAGAAAATTGTTTATAAAAATGTAAAGCTGGTAACACAAACATTTAGCTTGTCTGGAAAATAACAGAGGACATACATAGAGGAAAAAATACACAAATTATTGAGAGACGATATCAAATAGAGAAAACCATAAACACTTCAACTTTTGGTTGTTCTTCTGCCTTTGAAAAACCTCTCTCTGATTGAGATTAACTCCTTCGTGGCTTCACTCGTTGCCAACCGCTTCATCGGAGATTCTTCACAACACCTAAGTCCCACATCCAAAATCAGATTCAAGCACTCAGAAATAGGAAAACCGACTCTGACACCAATTTGAAGAATGGATTTGTCTGCAATGTCCAACACTTGATCTGGCAACGCTGCTTTGCTGTAGCTGTGTAGGGTACAGTTTCCCCCAAATAACTCATTGGTTGGTCTTTTCCGAGTGAACATTTCCAAAATGAGAACTCCAAAGCTATACACATCACCTTCTATTGATGGCTGACCTCCCATTCCATATTCTGCACCATCACTCACACAAACGCAATTGAATCAACAAAAGAATACACATTTTCTTCATATAAACATTACAGATGTGTGATAGGTTTTACCTGGTGCGGCATAGCCGATAGTTCCTCTTACGCCAGCGGAGCTGAGTTGGTTGAGAAAAGACTCTCTGTCAAATTTGAGGAGAAGTTTAGCCAGACCAAAATCGCTAACATGGGCAGTTAAATCATCATCTAGGAGGACGTTGCTTGGCTTAAGATCACAGTGAGCTATAGGTTCATGACACTGAACATGAAGATAGTCCAAAACAGTAGCCACGTCTATGGCAATGTTAAGCCTTTCAAGAAGTGTCAAGGTTCTTGAAGGCCTACGAGTCTCTTCCACTTCTTCCGGGTGCAGCCACATATCCAAGCTCCCATTTGGCATGAACTCATAGATAAGAGCTCTGAACTCATTTCCTTGGAAATCAATACTCGAGCAAGCCGTCAACAGTTTCACAAGATTACGATGCCTTATGTCCTTCAACGATTCACATTCTGCCACAAAGCTCTTCATTGCTCCATGCCTCTGCAGGTTTAGAACTTTCACTGCAACAACTTTTTCCTCCGTCGGAAGCAATGCTTTAAAAACGGTACCAAAGCTGCCTGATCCAATCACATTTTTCGAAGAGAAGCCATCTGTTGCATTTTGAAGATCTCCATAACTTACCTTCTCATGGAAGACATCAAACATAGGAGTTGAGTTATTGGCCTGCTGGGTCTTCTTTCTTTTTCTTAACCAAATCAGAGAAACCGAAGCTATGAACAACAGCAAAAGCAAAGCTAGGCATGTGCTGACCCCGATCACAACTTTCCTTGAGAGAAAGGGATGCTTTCTTCTCATTTTTGGTGCTTGTGCTAAGCATGGCTTTAGTTTCACTTCCTTGATGCCTCCACAAAGATTCTTGTTTCCAAATACTGAAACTATAGTAGCATTCTTGAATTTTCCGTCTGTTGGCACCCTTCCCTCTAGATTGTTGATGGATAAATTGAGATACTCCAACTTGGAAAAGTTTGCAAAATATCCAGGTATACTTCCAGAGAGTTTATTGTTGGACATATCAACTCTTCTAACACCCACCAACCCTTTTAAATCCGGAATATCTCCATCAAAAGAATTCCCTTGTAGATACATTTCTTCCATGGAGAGACAATTCCCCAAACCTGGTGGGAGTTTGCCTGACAAATCATTATGCTCAAGAGATAGCTTAATGAGATTTTCTAGTCGTCCAACATCTTTTGGCAAAGAGCCTGATAAGAAATTACCTTCCATGCTCAGAGTAACAAGGGGTGAAAGTTGCGTAACTTCTGGAGGTATAGTACCATTAAGCTTATTATACCCAATCGACAAATGTAGGAGGTACATGCAATTACTGAGAGCCGGAGGAATGGTTCCTTCAAAGCTGTTGTTGAACAAACTGAGGCTTTCTAAGCGAGTGATGTTGCCAATAGAAGATGGTATCTCTCCTGACACTCTATTGGCGCTGAGACTTAATACCCTCAATCCTGAAAGCTTACCAATAGAGGCTGGGAGTGGTCCAGTCAACATGTTATCTCCTAACCCAAGTTTCTGTATGCTTATGAGATTGCCAATATCTTGAGGAATGCTTCCAGAGATGAGATTATTTTGAAGGCTTAAATTGATGAGGCTCTTGGACAGGTTGGCAATGGAATTAGGCAGGTCACCACCAAGCCTATTATCAGCAACATATAATGAATCCATCTGGGTACAGTTAGTCAAAGCATCAAGAAATTCAAGATCTCCAACAGAGTAACTTCCCAAGGAATTACCATGAAGATATAGCCATTGCAGATTCCTTAATTTGCCAAAACTCACCGGAATATTCCCTGTCATATTGTTGTTATTGATTCCTAGCTTCTCAAGGGTTGAGACATTGGGAAGTGTTGTTGGAATGGCTCCTGTGAAATAGTTATCTCCCATGTTTAAATGTCGAAGGTTTGGTAGCAAAGTACCAAAATCAGGTCTGAGGGAACCAGAGAACTGATTTAAAGACATGTATAGATACTCCAGTGAGGACAGATTGTAGATAACAGAAGGAAAAGCACCTGATAGGTTGTTCATTATTAACTGAAGACCCACCAACTGAGTCAGTGTAGCCATACCATCTGGTAATCCTCCTTCCATATTGTTGCTTGCAACATCAAGATATCTTAGTGATGTTAAGTTTCCTAGAGATGCAGGGAGATTCCCTCCAAGGTTGTTGTCACCGAGACTTAAAACAACAAGCTTCTTCAAAGAGCCCAGTTCTGAAGGAACACCTTCTCTAAGATGATTTTTGTTTAAACTAATCTCCAGCAAGCTAGAGCAGTTAAACAGACTGGCTGGAATCCTTCCTTGGAGAAAATTTAATCTCATATCCAGGTGTCTAAGCCTAAACAGGTTTCCCATCTCTTGAGGGATGGTTCCACCAAAAGAGTTATCATATAGATTTACTGATATGAGAAACGAGAGATTACCAATAGATGGTGATATCACTCCGCCTAGCTGAAAATCTTTAAGGTCCAAACGAGTAACTCGCTTGTGTTTGCGACCACATGTAACTCCATTCCAGTTGCAGAGAGGGTATGAGTGATTCCATGAGGACAAGACGACTTTTTTGTCTTCAGAAACTTGTGACTTGAACTCGAGCAGGGCTTTCCTGTCAGTTCCATCGCTGAAACCATATGATTTGAGTAACATAAGAGGAATGAAAGCAAGAAGTAAAAGAAAGAGTTTCATGCTTCTCATATTTTGGAGAAAAGTGAGTATAAGAGACGAACAAAATGCAGCTTATAGAGAATAATACATAGCCAAGTAGCCAACTGTCTAAGAGAAGACAAACTCATTAATTTCACTAGTCTTTACCACTTACCTAAGGCCATCATGAGTTTATGAAGAAATCGGCCAGTTGACGCCAGAATTTTGTGTTTTATTATTCCAAAATAGTTTATTCCAACTGTTTTATTAATCTTTATGAATTTTCTAAAGACATCATGTGGTGGTGGTTGTATCATTACTCCCACGATGGGTCTACACTCTTAGAGTATGGAGTCTCTGGACCATAACTTTAAGAACAGAAACCTGGAAAATTAGGATTCATCTTTTGTCCATTTTATTGCTTGCAAGCTGTGTAGAGGAAACCGAGAAACATTTCAGCCTCTGCTTTTCTATGGAGTCGCATCAAGAGAACCATATAAGCGAAAAGTTTGACCAATGCAATAACCAAAAATATTGACCTTAATTTAGCTAGATCAATCATAGAAATAAATATATATACAAGAGACAGAAAATCGATTGTAAGCATAGGAAAATCGAAACTCTTTATAGGTCCCATTGCAAACAAAAACAGAAAATGCTCACTACCAACCAACTAGTATATTTTTCTTATATAACATAATAAGACGCAAAAAAGTTTTAAAAAACTAATCTTGATCACCAAGGAAACCGCGAAAAATAATCACTAGATAATTATGGCTTCTCAAGTCCTTATAGCACTCTATTTCCTTTTCTTCTTTGATGTTGTCCCACATGGATGCAGCAATGCTTCTGCCCGAGGCTGTCTTGATAACAATAGAGGCACATATGAGTCAAAATGTTTATAATGCCTTTCTCCTTTCTTCTGCCTGAGAATGTTGTGTGATCGTTCTTACATAGATCATCCAGATTACAGAAAAAAAAAAAAAAAACCTTATATTGATCACTAAGGAAAAGAAAGCATGACTGAAAAATCGTAACTTTGCATTACAATTCAAAAACAGAGAAAATCCAGAATAAACACTTCAACTTCAGTTTGTTCTTCTGCCTTTGAAAAACCTCTCTCTGATTGAGATTAATTCCTTTGTGGCTTCAGTCGTTGCCAACCGGTTCATCGGAGATTCTTCACAACACCTAAGTCCCAACTCCAAAATCAGTTTCAAGCACTCAGAAACAGGAAAACCGACTCTGAGACCAACTTGAAGAATGGATTTGTCTGCAATGTCCAACACTTGCTCTGGCAACGCCGACTTGGTGTAGCTATGTAAGGTACAGTTTCCACCGAATAATTCATCGGTTGGTCTTCTTCCAGTGAACATTTCCAAAATGAGAACCCCAAAGCTATACACATCCCCTTCTATTGATGGCTGACCTCCAGTTCCATATTCTGCACCATAACTCAGAGAAACGAAACTGGAGTAAGAACAGAATACACATATTATTCATATAAACATTACAGATGTTGTGATAAATTTACCTGGTGCCGCATAGCCAATGGTTCCTCTAACGCCAGCGGAGCTTAGTTGGTTGAGAAAGGCCTCTTTGTCAAATTTGAGGAGAAGCCGAGCAAGACCAAAGTCGCTAACATGTGCAGTCAATTCATCGTCTAGGAGGATGTTGCTTGGCTTGAGATCACAATGAGCTATAGGTTCATGACACTGAACATGAAGATAGTCCAAAACAGAAGCCACGTCTATGGTAATATTGAGCCTTTCAACAAGTGTCAAGGTTCTTGAAGGCCTACGAGTCTCTTCCACTTCTTCCGGGTGCAGCCACATATCCAAGCTCCCATTTGGCATGAACTCGTAGATTAGAGCTCTGAATTCGTTTCCTTGGAAATCAATACTCGAGCAAGCCGTCAACAGTTTCACAAGATTACGATGCCTTATATCCTTCAAAGATTCACATTCTGCCATAAAGCTCTTCATTGCTCCATGCCTCTGCAAGTTCAGAACTTTCACTGCAACAACTTTCTTCTCCTTCCAAAGCAGTGCTTTAAACACGGTGCCAAAACTGCCTGATCCAATGGTGCCAAAACTGCCTGATCCAATCAAATTTCTCGAAGAGAAGTCATCCGTCGCATTTCGAAGATCTCCATAACTTACCTTCTCATGAAAGACCTCAAACATAGAAGGAGTTGAATTAACAGCCTGCTGGTTCTTGTTTCTTCTTCTGAGCCAAAGTAGACAAACAGAAACTATGAGCAATAGCAAAAGAAAAGCTATGCTTACGCTAACTCCGATTGCAACTTTCTTTATATGTGAGGAACGCTTTGGCTTCACCGGTGGTGCTTGCGCAATGCATGCCTTTAGTTTCAACTCCTTGATGCCTCCACATAGATCTTTATTTCCAAATACTGAAACCAAAGTAGCATTCTGAAAATTTCCTTCTGTTGGCACTCTTCCCTCAAAATTATTATTTGAAAGATTGAGTAACCGCAACTTGGGAAAGTCTGCAAGATATTCAGGAATACTACCGGATAGATTATTCCTCGACAAATCAATTCCCGTAACATCCACTAACCCTCTTATATCTGGAATGGCTCCATCAAAACTATTTCCTTGTAGATAGAGTCCTTCCATGGAGAGACATTTTCCCAAAGTTTGTGGGAGCTGTCCTGATAACTTATTATCAGCAACGTTAATTGCAATGAGATTTTCAAGCCGTCCAATATCGTTAGGAAGAGAGCCAGTCAAAGAATTACCTCCCAGTCCAAGAACAAGAAGAGTTTTAATCTGCAGAATTTCCAGAGGTATAGTTCCATTCAACTTGCTCGGCCCAATATATAAATGCAGCAGGTTACTACAATTTCCAAGACTAGGAGGAATGTTTCCTTCAAGACTCATGTTGGTCATATACAATGACTGTAGCTGAGTGAGGTTTCCTATTGAAGATGGTATCTCTCCAGATATTCTATTTGAAAAGAGACTTAATTCGCCTAATCTTATAAGCTTCCCTATAGAGGTTGGGATTGGTCCTGTCAACAGATTTTCAAACAGCTGAAGTCTTTGTAGACTAACGAGATTTCCAATCTCATGAGGAATGTTTCCAGAGATGGAATTTGTTCCAAGGCCTAAACTGATGAGGTTTTTTGACAGATTGCCGATTGAAGTAGGCAAAACACCACCAAGCCTATTACCACCTAAACTTAAGGTGTTTAGTTTGGTGCAGTTACTCAAAGCTCCAAGAAATTCAAGATCTCCAGAAGGGTAACTTCCCAAATCATTACCATGAAGAACTAAATGTTGCAGATTCCGTAACTTTCCAAAGCTTGGAGGAATGCTTCCTCTCATATGGTTGCGGCTGATTACAAACATTTGCAGAGTTGAGATGTTTGAAAGTGTTGCTGGAATGGTTCCTGTGAACTGATTAGTTCCCAAAGACAACTCTTGAACGTTTGGTAGAAAACTACCAAAATCAGGCCGGAGACTGCCTGAGAATCGATTACCAAAAATACCTATGAATCTAAGTGAAGACAGATTGTAGATGGCAGGAGGAAAAACACCTGAGAAGTTATTCACGGATAACTCAAGAAGCACCAGTTGAGTCAACCTACCTATACTATCTGGAATTCCTCCTTCTAGTTTGTTATCTCCCAAGTCAAGACTTCTAAGGGATGTCAAGTTTCCTAGAGAGGCAGGGAGGTTTCCTTTGAGGTTGTTTTGTCTAAGATATAAACCAACAAGCTTCGTCAATGACCCTAGCTCTGAGGGAACACTTTCTCCAAGATGATTTCTATCTAAACTAAGCTCCAACAAGCTAGAGCAGTTAGACAGAGTGGCTGGAATCTCTCCTCTGAGAGAGTTAAAGCTCATATTCAAGTGTTGAAGTCTAAACAAGTTTCCCACCTCTAGAGGGATGGTTCCACCAAAAGAGTTTTGAGAGAGATTAAGTGAGTTTAGAAACGAAAGGTTACCAATAGATGGTGATATCACTCCGTTTAATTGCAATCCTCCAAGGTCCAAACGAGTAACTCTCTTGTGTTTGTTGCCACATGTGACCCCTCTCCAGTTGCAGAGAGGGAAGGAGTTGTTCCATGAGGATAAGACAGATCTTTTTCCTTCAGAAACTTGAGACTTGAAGTCAAGCAAGGCTTGCCTGTCAGATGCTTCAAGTAACATGAGAGCATTGAAAGAAAGTAAAAGAAACAGTCTCATGCTTGTCATGTTTTGCAGGAAAATGAGTTTAAGGGAAGGACGAAGCAAATGCAAAATGTTCTCTCTTCTGCCGGTAACGCAACTTAAAGATGGAGTATACAATAGTGGGAACCAAAAATTAAGTAGTCTTGACGACTTTTTCACGGTGACATCAGGACCTAATGAAGAAATGGACCAAATGATGACAGGTTTCGTTAAAGGAAACGTTTGACTTCCTATTCACAGTTTGATTTTCTGGACCAACAAGTTTCATGTGGACGAGACATGGTAAGCGTCATCCAAACAACGCATTTAAAATTTAATCAGTCTCAAGTTTCAACTAAGCAGGGTCCATTATCATTAATACATGCAAAGAAACAGTCTTATACTTATTTGTAGTTTCTTCAGAAAATGCAAAATTCATTCAAAATCTAGGTAAGAAACAGTCTTATTCTTGCATTGCCTCAGCTAACTGATTCGCTGCTTCGTTTAGTCAAAGTCAAATGTCAGGCGCTTATCATACATATTATATACTAGGGAAAACTCGATGAATGGCACTAATGAGTAATGAGAACGACTTCAAGAAAATAAAAGGGTGTAGGCGAGAAATGTTTGTCAAGTTTGTTAGAAGTGACCATGACATCAGTGCTTTAGATATAATAATATACATCAACTTGCTTTCGACATTGTTTTCAAGAAAACTACAGTTCCAATAATCGCGCAAATCTAGTTTAATTCGAAAATATGTTATTCATACCTAACTGAAGAAAGCTTTAAATATCACTATACTAATACAGTAATTCAAACAAATAATTCTCTGTCCAACTTTTCCATAGACCAAGTCAATAGGAATTAAACTGTAAAAGAAAAATGCAGTTTACCTCTTTAATTTGCATAAGACAGGCGTTGCATTAACCTTGTATGAAAATTAGAATCACTCATCCCTGTAGAACACCCGAGTCTGCAAGACAAGTCAATACAGCCAGAAACAAGAAAGAAAATCTATACATGAGATACCAAATAAATTTGTAAGTGAACCAGAAAGGATATAGCAACTTTTTTTTCCATTCCAAATAGTAAAATCAACAAGTCTCAGGTATCATAACAAACATAGAGGGATGAAGCAGCTTACATAACCCCTAACTCTCTCTGAAAGAACAACAAAGCTCATTCCCAATCCCAGACTCTAGCTACAACTGAAGACACCATTGAAGTATGTATCTCTTTAGCGACGGCGATCTTCCCTTCTTGAAGAATCTCTATCTTGCCGCGAGGATGTTTCAGATCGCCTACTCGAACCTTCTCCATCTCTGTCGTCATAATCTCTTCTTGATCTTTCCTTCACATTCTCTCTCTCATGTGTTCTGGATCTCTTCTCCTCCCTTCTATAATCATTTCCAGTATCTTGTCTTCTAGATTCCGAATCATCAACCCGTCCTGGTCTCTTTTGTTCCCTCCTATCATAACCATCTCTTGACCTTGACTCTCTTCCCTCTCTTTCCACTCCTTCTCCTTCTCTAGGACGCCCGTACGAGGCACCTCCATGACCCTTTTCTCCGTAGCTTTTCTTCTCTGCATCAGGTTTGAAATCTCCCCGCTGGCCAAAACTCGTACCACCACCCTTTTTGGCGCCATTGAACTTGTCATGACCCCACTTGGCACTTCTATCCTCTTCATGACCCCAACCAGTGTTTGCAGCTCTCTGTCCATCAAAAACAAGAGTGAAAGAAAATAAATGAGAAAGAACAAGCTTAATCCAAATAACTACAATACGATGCTAAGGAGATTGGTCCACTTACTTTCTCATCGTGTGAAAATTTGCAAAAGTCTCCACGAGTACACTCTCCTCTCTGGAAAGCTCTGCACACACCACGCTCCTCTCTCTTCTTTAGTCGCGTCTCTTCATCTTCCTCTTCATGCTTAGTGTATTTGCCACAATGGTCCACCTTAATCGTCCGCCCCAATATTTGAGCTCCGTTCAGATTATCTGCAAATTCAGATAAATCACAATGTAAACAAAACTAATACAAATCACAAAAAAGCATATAATCAGTGTGCAAGCGAAGAGAGATAATAATCAGCTAAAGGAAGAGTTTTTTTGACTAACCAACAGCGAGAATGGTGCTTCTCTGATCTTCATACGCAAGAAACGCAAAACCTTTCGATTTTCCAGTTGCTTTGTCACGGATGAGATTCACATCAACAACTTCACCATATCTACAAACCCACAATCATAAAACTAATTAAAAAGACGGTAGCTTTACACAAACCCAGATATCTATGAAGAGAATTCACTGAATCAGCTGAGATCTATAGCAAATTAGCAATCACTTACTGTGCGAAAACGGCGAGGAGATCTCCTTCAGTGAGGTCGAAAGGTATGCCTCCGACGTAGACATAGGCGGAATTTTTGTACGCGGAGTGCCACGAGGCCTCCTCTGAGATCCCGAGATCTGATTCCTTGGCGTTGATGCTCTGAATCCGCTTTATCAGCGTCAATGGGTTCATCTTTCAAAATCTCTCTCTGCGTTTCGCTCCCGAGAAAGTAGAAACCCCTAAAAGCTAGATCAGAACGTTTAATTCGCCTTGGACGGAGAGAGTTCGAATCGAACGGAGTAGCTGAGCGGGTCGGGTTTCTAATGACCCGAGCTCTTACATCGCCTAATCTAAACAACCGACCCGGACTGGGGCCCAATTCTTTCTCTCGGCCGGGCGGGTTCTGTTTGAATTGTTTATCCAGAATTAGAATATCCGGAGTCCGGATAAAGTGACTTTTTAAGGGAATACTGGATCAATGATTTGGGATAATTTCCTTTTTTTTATAAATTCTTTTATTAAATTTTTAACATTTATAAAAGTTGTTAAAAATCTTATGTTATTGGATTAGTAATTTATTAAAATCTTGTTTTATTGGAAAATTGGGGTTTTAAAATAAATATTATATTTAAAAAAATCTGGAATGATATGAAATATAATTAATTGTTAAAAATAAAAAATCAATGAGATTGAAATACCATCTAATAAATTTGGATGCAAGGCTTGAAATATTTCAGAAGATTACACTAGTCCAATATTTTCCCGTAAGGGTTTCGTGGAAACGCAGAGATTGTGTCTGTTCAAGCACTGATCCTATCCCATGACACCGATCAACATTCCTATCGATCTCCAGATTGAAACACTCTTAAGGCTGCCTGTGAAGTCTCTATTGAGATTTCGATGCGTCTCCAAGCTTTGGTACTCTATCATCACCAGCCGAGACTTCAAAAGCCAGCACTTGAACATTGCTACTTCCTCAGCTCCTACTCGTCTTCTCATTGCTTTTGAGGACTTTTACGGAGAAAAGGTTCTGTTAGTCTCGTCACCTAACCCAATCGCACCTTCCTCTTCCTCTTCCTCTTCTTCATGTTGTGTACCGTTGAGAGATCTGAGCCTACTCAAAATCCATGGGGGAAATAGTGTGTATAACGCCGGTCGGGGCTTGATATGCGTTGGAGCCGGTTTTAAAGATGTGGCGATTTGTAACCCTAGCACGAGGCAGCTGCATGCTTTTCCCGAATTCGAATTCAAAGATAGCCCAACAGTTTTTCCACGCCCCAATTACGTCTTTGGGTACGATCCTGTTGAAGATCAATACAAAGTGCTTGCCGTTGATGCTTTTCCTTGGAGATTGGAGCACAAGCTTGTGGTATTGGGAGGAGAAGAAGCTTGGAGAGAGGCTCCATGTGTCGCATGCCCTCATATTATTCATACATTGGGGCTGTATATGAACGGGACCGTCTACTATGGGGCTTCCAGGTGGAACGACAGTGATGATGATGTTTCCCCGAATAGTAACTCCATAATTCTGAGTTTCGATGTTAGGCTTGAAACGTACACTATCATCAACGTACCAAGCAAAATTCTACCATTGATGGGTTATGTGAATATGTGGGTTACCAAAAGGCGGATTAAGACCGATAAAACTCTGATCAACTATAGAGGGAAAATTGGTGTGGTTGAGAATCCTCGTGAGGGTAGGTTTCGTGTGTGGGTTGTGGAAGATGCTGAGAAATAGGAATGGTCCATCAACACTTTTCATTTGCCCGAATCTGCTGCTAGTCTTGACTTCAGTGTCATGTGTGCTTTTTCCAACGGCGAGATTTGTCTGGTTCCAAAAGAGTGGTCAGATCCGTTTTGTCTTTACTATTACAATCTGGAGAAGAAGAGCATGAGAAGTGTTGTTATTGAAGGATTGCCTATTTCCGAGTTTAGGCCAGGACATGGCAAGTCTGTGAGTGTTTCGGATCATTTTGAGAGCCTCATGTTCTTAGAAACTTGAAGTTAACTTATAGGGCTTTTCTCTATATATCATGTATATGCTTTTATTTAACTATAGAAACTAATGTTCGTTTTGAGAAGCACCATTGTTCTAAAGATTCCCGCCTAAAATCATGGTCGAGCATATCCTTTCTGAAAATGTCAAGGAAGTTCTAACAATGACATGGGATGGTCATGAGAGTAATTGTCTGTCGCAGTGGTTTCTCTTTTCTTCTTAATAATGTTAGAGAAGATGACAATGAATCGACGACTATAATTAGTGATTCTCTTTTATGTTTCACTTAAAAATGTCTTAGCACATGTGCCTTATATGTCTGGTTCTCTCCTTGTGTTAATTTGTCTCCTTGTTACCTGCTTCTCTTTCTGGATTATGTGTTTGTACTTGTAATCGATGACGATTCGATGGTCCGTTTAGATTAATCAGAACCGAACAAAACTAAACCAACTCTAGGGTTTAATAGAACCCAATTAAGATGATCACGTGTCAACTGGAACCCGTATCGACTGAGGTTACGAAGCCTTCTGGTTCCAGGACAGTTGATGTCATGTCTCTTGTGCAAGGATGTCATGTTTTCTGGAACTCACATTTTAATTATTGAGTTTTATTTAACGTGAATACTTTAACGAGATAATGAGGCTCTCAAAATGATATATAGAGAAAAGCCCTAAATGACATTCATGAATATAAAGTTGACATTAGAGTTTGTTAATTTTATATTTAACGTAAATACTTTGACGAGATCATGATTCATGAATGTCAAGATTAACAAACTCTAATGTCAATTTCATTGGACTTATTTACATACTCCCTCTGTTTCAATATATAAGGGGTTTAAGGTTTTTGCACACAGATTAAGAACTCATTTAATTTTTGTACTTTTTGAAATAAAATATATTTTATCATCAATTCCAAAACATTTCAACCAATGAAAAAGAAATCTACAGAATATAAATAATTAAAAGTAATAAAAACACATTTACTTTTGCACAACCCCTTATATTTTGAAACAAAAACAAAACTCTAAAACCCCTTATATATTGAAACAGAGGGAGTATCTTGTTGGAATAACCAAAATCAGTGATTAATTTATTTCAGGTTATGTCGTCTCTTTTTTTTGGTGAAGCATAGGGAGCTGAGCTCCCAGATTTATTTAATAAAATAAAACACATTAAACAGGAACATGTCGTGGTCGTGTGAACCCACACACAACACCTGCAATAAGTCTGGAGGTACAGAATCAAAAGTGTGCAAATCTAAAGGTAAAAAAAAAAACATAGTTCGTCAATCCGTCTGCAAGGTAATTGACCTCCCTATACACGTGAACAACTCAGACTTTCCAGTCCTTCGATAGTAAGTCGTGGCACATGTGTACCAGGAAAGATAGTGGATAAGTATCACAGATCACTGACTTAAGAAAGCCGACCACCATCAAAGAGTCTATCTCAACTTCAACTCTTAAAATGCCCTTTCCCAAGCAATGCAGTGGCCATAGCCCATAGTATACGCCCCAAAGCTCAGCCATCCGTGCAGTACAGCAACCAATATTCAGTGAGAAACCACCGCCATCGACCGCACCATCCGTCTCCATCACGAATCACCCCACCGGCTGTCGTTAAACCTGGATTGCCATGCAACCCACCATCCGTATTTAGCTTCATCCATCCCACCAACGGTGGAATCCACGAAATTAGTCTCTCCACTCTGCTCCGTGAACCCATCTGCTCTCTTACGTAACGAGTTCAAAAGATTTTTTTTTTCTTTTCTTAGTTAACTACTTAAGAGAGATTAGATAAAAAAAAAAAAAAAAAAAAAAAAAAAAAAAAAAAAAAAAGTAAAGTGAATTAGACTATCCGGAGTCTGGATAGTAAAATTTCAGATCTGGATCCGGAAAGCGTGATTTATAAGGGTTTCGTGGAGGGCTTATTTTTGTATTCCATTCAAGCACCGAGAGATCTTTCCGATGACACCGATCGACATTCCTCTGGATCTCCAGATCGAAATACTCTTAAGGCTGCCCGTGAAATCTTTATTTAGATTTAGATGCGTCTCAAAGCTTTGGTCCTCAATCATCACCAGCCGAGACTTCAAAAACCGGCATATGAATATTGCTACTTCCTCAGCTCCTCCTCGTCTCCTCATTGCTTTTGCGGACTTTGACGGATCAAAGCTTCTGTTAGTCTCGTCACCTAACCCGATCGCATCTTCCTCTTCCTTTTCCTCTTCTCCATTTTGTGTACCCTACAGAGATCTGAGCCTAGTCAAACTCCAAGGGAAAAAGGTGTATAATACGAGTCGGGGCTTAATATGCGTTGGAGCCGGTTTTAAAGATGTGGCGATTTGTAACCCCAGCACGAGGCAGCTCCATACTTTTCCCGAATTCAAATTCAAAGATAGTCGACACTTTATTCCACGCCCTAACTACGTTTTTGGGTACGATCCTGTTGATGATCAATACAAAGTGCTTGCCGTTCATCTTTCTAGTAGATCCGAGAACAAGGTTCTGGCATCAGGAAAAGAAGAAGCTTGGAGAGAGGCTCCGTGTGTCGCATGTCCTCATTTTCCTCGTACCTGGGGGTTGTATATGAACGGAACCGTCTACTACAGGGCTAAGGCCATCGATTCCCCGGATCGTGGTTCTATAATTATGAGTTTCGATGTTAGGCTTGAAACATTCAACATGATCAATATACCATCCAAAGTTCTATCATTGATGGGTTATGTAAATATGGGGGATGCTTATAGGTTGTTTACGGATAAAGCACTGATCAACTACAGAGAGAAGTTGGTCTAGTTGAGCATCCTCGCGAGGGTAGTTTTCGATTGTGGGTTGTGGAAGATGCTGAGAAAGAACATTGGTCCATGAAGACTTTTCATTTGCCAGAATCTGCTCTTGGCCTTGACTTGAAGGTCACGGATTCCTTTAATAACGGCGAGATTTGTCTGGTTCCGAAAAAATTGTCTGATCCCTTTTGTCTTTACTATTACAACTTGGATAAGAAAAGCATGAGAAGTGTCATAATTGAAGGAAAGCCTATGGCGTTGTGACGGTTTCCGATCATCATGAGAGCTTCATGTTTAACTAAACTTGAAGTTAATTTAGGGCTTTTCTCTATATATCATGTATAAAAATGCTTTTAATTATCTATAGAAACTAGACTTCGATTTGGGAAGCACCATTGTTCAAAAAATTCCAGCTTAAAATCATAGTCGAGATATCCTCTTGACTCCCCTGAAAATGGCATGGGATGGTCATGAGATTAATTGTCGCAGTGGTTTCTTCTTCTCTTCTTATTAATGTTAGAGAATATGATGATTAGTGTGATTCCCTTTTATTCTCTCTTGTGTCTTCTGTTTGTCTCTTTGTTAGTTCTTACTTCTTACTTGTTTATCATTCTGATTTCTTTTGGATGTATGTGTACAGTGTATGTAGTTGACGACTCCGATAGTCAGATAAACCGGATGAATCAAAACCGAACAAAACAATACCAATTCTATTGGTAATAGAACCCGACAAGATGACCACATGTGTCAACTCGAATCCGTGAGTGTGGTTCTTCCATGAAATTTGAGTTTTCTTCTAAAATGATTTTAATGTTTTTTCGATTTCACGTTTTAATTAACGAATTTTATACTTAAAGTGAATACTAAATTTAACAAGATTATTTTGATAGTACCAAAAACTAGATAAATAAAACTAGAATAATATGAAGTCAGATAAGAAGAAGATAAAGACATAGAGAAAAAGAATGAGGAAGAAGAAAAACCTAAAAAAGAGAGGAAAGAAAAATATTAATAAGATAAAGAAGAATAACTAGTCTGAGAATATGAAGATACAAGTAAATATTAAAGAACAAAATTTGGAATAAAAAGAAGAATATAAGATCATTGGAAAAGAAAAAGTTGAAGAAGAAAACCAGAAGGGATGAATCTCTTATATTTCTCTAAGAAAATGAAGAATACTACCTAGAAAAATGGAAAAAGAAGACAAAGATAAAATATATCAAAATTATAAAAACAAAAAGCTATGAAAGACAAATACGTATAAAATCACTAAAACACATATTATTTTCATCATGTACTCAATGTTTGATAATATATCAGTATATAAGAGATATAATTTATATTTGATGTTTCACATTTGTCCAACATATTAACACATTCTTTCATGAATAATAAATTTAAAACAATTTACACAAATTAAGAGGACAAACATAAACATATATATATATATATATATATGAGATTGATTATGTACTATAGAAATATCTCTTCTTAAATATTTAGTTTGGTATGAATACTCAAATTTTTATCATATTAATTTTTATAGTTTCTTTTGTTTCATTTTTCTCAGATTTCATTATAATGTTTTGAATTATGTATGATTTTTTTTCAATAATAAAATCAAATTTTTTAGTTTTAAAAATAGCTCATGTCCATAGAGTAAAATATTTTGTTTACAAAATTAAGAAGTCATATATATATATATATATATATATTATTCATATTTTTTACATTTTATGTTTACATATATACCAAAATAATAAAATAAAACAAATTTTACTTTTAAAGTAAAACTATATAATATTGGGTAAAAATAACTATATAATATTCTCTTCAATATTTTACATATATTAATATTACATTTTAAGAGTCAACAACCCTGAATTCTATGAATTTTGTTATTAAAACCTTTAATTAATTTATTTCTTTAAAAAATATTGTACCCACAGGATAACCACTTAGTTGAATCAATGATTTGGGATCTAATTTTCTTTTTCTTTTATTGAATTTAACATTTATAAAAACTGTCGAAAATTTTCAAAATTTATTGGATTAGGAATTAATAGAACTTATTGAAAATCTTGTTGTAGAAAAAATATAGAAAAATAAAAATCAAAATCAAAACCTCTTCACTTTTTTAAACAAGTAAAATTAGAAAATTGCACCATAATTTATTGTTAAAAATAAGAAAATCAATGGATTGAAATACCACCTAATAAATTTCGATGCAAGATTTGTTTACATCATTAAAATTTTGAAAATTGCTTGAAATTTTCAGAAGATTTCACTAATCCATCCAATATCCCCTAAGCCCTAAGGGTTTCGTGGAAACGCAGAGATAGTAAAGTTGTTTAAGACTAAACAAATAACTCTCTCAAGAAGAACTCAAAGAATAACTCTCTTTATTATGCTTAGAAAATAGCTCAAAACTAGAGAAATTTTATGAAATACACCTCTTGGGGTGCAAATTTTCAAAATTACACCTATAGTGTGAAAATTTTCAAAAATACACCTTTTTCTAATTTTAATATATATGTTTGGGTTCACTAATCCTTGATTAGGGTTTAGATTTTGGGTTTTAGGGTTTAGATTTAAGGGTTCAATGTTAGATTTTAGGGTTTTGGATTTATATTTTAGGGTTTAGAGTTCTTTTACTCCATGAAAAAAGTGTAGTTTTGAAAATAAACACGATAGAGGTGTATTTTTGAAAATTTGCACCTCAAGAGGTACAGTTTTGAAATTTCCCCTCAAAACTAAACACTTTTCTTCTCAATGATTATCACATGATAATCATTTATATAGGCAAGCACAACTTTGCTTTGCCTTTTACATAATGGAAAACTACTTTTTTCCTATTATGACACTAATGTATAATTTCCTTTTAGCCTATCATAACCACAACCGACTTGTTGATGGTGTCTTGGGCTTTAATCTCTTGAAGCTTATCCAACATTCACCCCCTTAAGCTTCAAGTCACTCTTCGACAAGTTTTGAACTCCAATCAATCTTCTTATCTTCTTAAACTTGATTCTTGCTAGGGCCTTCGTAAGTATGTTTGTCACGTGCATAGACATTGTCTTGATCGTTTTGAAGCTTCTTAGTTCAACGAACTTCATTCCTTTCAAAATCTGGTCAAGCTTTGTGTTCCAACACTTCAAGATTTGGAACCTGGCTTTGATACCTTGTGAACCTTCAAGGTCACCTTCATTCTCATCGACCAAACGGAGTAGTTCGATGAGTTTAACAATGGACAGAGAACCGACATGGGCACGATCTCCTTCGTCGTCGGAAGCGAAGGCGGAGGAGGAGCAACCATAACTCGATTTCCCTTGTGTCGTCTCTCTGTTTAACCTCTCTGATACCAAATAAAGTTGTTTAAGACTAAACAAATAACTCTCTCAAGAAGAACTCAAATAATAACTCTCTTTATTATGCTTAGAAAATAGCTCAAAACTAAACACTTTTCTTCTCAATGATTATCACATCTTGATAATCATTTATATAGGCAAGCACAACTTTGCTTTGCCTTTTACATAATGGAAAACTACTCTTTTCCTATTATGACACTAATGTATAATTTCCTTTTAGCCTATCATAACCACAACCGACTTGTTGATGGTGTCTTGGGCTTTAATCTCTTGAAGCTTATCCAACAGATAGTGTCTGTTCAAGCACTGATCCTATCCGATGACACCGATCGACATTCCTATCGATCTCCAGATTGAAACACTCTTAAGATTGCCTGTGAAGTCTCTGTTGAGATTTAAATGTGTCTCCAAGCTTTGGTCCTCTATCATCACCAGCCGAGACTTCAAAAACCGGCACATTAATATTGCTACTTCCTCAGTTCCTCCTCGTCTCCTCATTGCTTTTGCGGACTTTGACAGAAATTATGTTCTGTTAGTCTCCTCACCTAACCCCACCGCATATTCCTCTTCCTCTTCTCCATGTTGTGTACCCTACAGAGATTTGAGCCTAGTCAAACTCCGAGGGAAAGAGGTGTATAATGCGTGTCGGGGCTTGATATGCGTTGGAGCCGGTTTTAAAGATGTGGCGATTTGTAACCCCGGCACGAGGCAGCTGTATGCTTTTCCCGAATTCAAATTCAAAGATAGTCCACAAGCTTTTCCACGCCCAAATTACGTTTTTGGGTACGATCCTGTTGAAGATCAATACAAAGTGCTTGCCGCTGATGTTAATTTTGGTAGATTCGAGCACAAGGTTGTGGCATTAGGAAGAGAAGAAGCTTGGAGAGAGGTTCCGTGTGTCGCATGTCCTCATGTTGCTTTTACCTCGGGGTTGTATATGAACGGAACCGTCTACTACGGGGCTTACAGGGAGGCCATCGATTCCCAGAATATTAATCCTATAATTATGAGTTTCGATGTTAGGCTTGAAACATTCAACATGATCAATATACCATCCAAAGTTCTATCATTGATGGGTTATGTAAATATGGGGGATGCTCATAGGTTGTTTACGGGTAAAGCACTGATCAACTACAGAGAGAAAATTGGTCTAGTTGAGAATCCTCATGAGGGTAGTTTTCGATTGTGGATTGTGGAAGATGCTGAGAAAGAGGAATGGTCCATGCAGACTTTTCATTTGCCGGAATCTGCTCTTGGCCTTGACTTGAAGGTCACGGATACCGTTAATAACGGCGAGATTTGTCTGGTTCCGAAAGATTTGTCTGATCCCTTTTGTCTTTTCTTTTACAACTTGGACAAGAAAAGCATGAGAAGTGTCGTCATTGAAGGATTGCCTATTTCTGAGTTTAACCGACCCTATGGCATTTCTGTGACGGTTTCGGATCATCATGAGAGCTTCATGTTCTTAGAAACTCCTAAGCTAACTTAGGGTTGTTCTTTATTTATGATGCATATGCTTTATTAATCTATAGAAACTAATCTTGGAATCTTCTTTTGTTCTTAATAATCTTAGACAAGTACTGATCGGATTCCCTTTTATGATTCACTCAAAAGTGTTAGTACATGTGCCTTATGTTTAGTCTCTTTGTTAGTGGTTACTTGCTTCTATCGGTAGAATTCACGTGTGTCTGCTCGAATCCGTGAGTGTGGTTACGATTACGAAGCCTTCTGGTGCTCCATGAAAGTTGAGTTTTCTTCTAAATTGATGTCATGTTTTTCCGAATTATCGAATTTTATAGTTGACGTGAATACTAAATTTAGCAAGATCATTTTGATAGTCATGATTCATTGAATATTGTCAAGATTATATCTTCTGTGGGAATAACCAAAATGAAAGCTTAATTTCACTTGAATTCGTTACGTACGACACGAGACATTAGAGATTAGACTAACGAACATGAAAAGTGAATTAGACTATCCGGAGTCTGGATAGTAAAATCTCGGATCTGGATATGGATCCGGATAGCGTGATTTTTAAGGGCTTCGTGGAGAGAGACACAGAGCTCATTTCTGATTCCATTCAAGCACCGAACGAGATCTTTCCGATGACACCGATCGACATTCCTCTCGATCTCCAGATCGATATACTCTTGCGATTGCCCGTGAAGTCTCTATTGAGATTTCGATGCGTCTCCAAGCTTTGGTCCTCAATCATCACCAGCCGAGACTTCAAAAACCAGCACTTGAACATTGCTACTTGGTCATCTCCTCCTCGTCTTCTCATTGCTTTTGAGGACTTTTACGGAGAAAGGCTTCTGTTAGTCTCGTCACCCAACCCAATCGCACCTTCCTCTTCCTCTTCTTCGTGTTGCGTACCCTACAGAGATCTGAGCCTAGTCAAAATTCGAAAGAACAGAGTGCACAACGCGGCTCGAGGTCTGATCTGCATTGCAAGCCGAAAGGTGAAGATCTGTAACCCAAGCACGAGGGATGTCCATGTCTTTCCGCGAATCAAATTCAGAGCTTCTCCCGAGGTTTATCCATGCCGTGTCAACTTTTTGGGGTACGATCCCGTTGGAGATCAATACAAAGTGCTCGCCTTTGATCGTCTGTATTGGAGAGCGGAACACAAGGTTCTGACATTGGGACAGGACAAAACTTGGAGAGAGGCTCCGTGTGTCGCATGTCCTCACATTGTTCATACCTTGGGGCTGTATATGAACGGAACCGTCTACTACGGGGCCTTCATGTCGGATAAGTCTATTGTGGTCTTGACTTCAAGGTCATGAGTGCCTTTTCTAATGGCGAGATTTGTCTGGTTCCAAAAGAGCTGTCTGATCCCTTCCGTCTTTACTATTACAATTTGGAGAAGAAGAGCATTACAAGTGTCGTTATTGAAGGACTGCCTGTTTCCAAGCTTAAGCAACCGAAAGGACTTTCTGTAACTGTTTCGGATCATTATGATAGCTTCATGTAGATTAGTTGAATAATCTTGAAACTAATCTTGTTTTGTCGAATAACAATGTTCAGAACTTATGACACTAATCTTGTTTTGTCGAAGCTACTCTTGTTTTGTCGAATAACAATGTTCAGAACTTATGACGCAATTTTCTTGTATCATATGCAAGTTCAAGGAGAGATTTTTGGGTGAGACAAGAACATAGTGTAGATTAGTTGAGTAGAAGCCACTTCTTGAAGAAGAGGGTTTTAGATTTCATGAATGTACAACGGAAAATAACAGTTTTGGGAACCAAAAGCCAAATGCACATTAGAAAAAAAAGGAAAAGCAAGTAGAAAATGGACTTCCCCAAGAGAATGGTTACTATATTATTACTTACTACTACTCTAACAACATATATATACATTCAGATACAGTTTACCAGATCCGGTTTCGGCTTTCTTCTTCCTCACTTGACATGACAATCATAAGGAGAAGACGCAAACACTTGATCTGGAACCACTACAGGTAGCTTCTCTATGTACAGAAACAGCCTCTTCTTGTTCTCCCTCTCGATTGTATGGAGATTGACCGTGTCCGATCTCTCCATCAACATCCACAAGTCTCCAGAGTTTACTCTCTTAAGACTGTCCCGGCAAAAAGGGCACGACTCTGACCTCCCATGCCTGCAAGAATACATTTCTGTTATGATCCGAACAATCAAGAAGATAAAACTCATTTGAAAGAGAATTAGACTTACCAATCGCGGTAACACTTGATACATAAAGAATGTGTACAGTTGGGGAGAACAACCATGCTGTTCATCTCCATGCAAATCCCACATTCTTCTTCTCTCTCCATGTCAATCTCCGAGAGCTTGACCTTTTCCATCTCGTCTTTGTTTCTGTACCGTATCTTGCAGACCTCTTTCTGTTTCCGGTCGTCCACGTCAGTGATACCTCTCTCTAGTTGTAACAGCGACGGAAATATCACAGCTGTTCCACACAAATACGACCAAAAAAAAAACACCATAAGCATTAAGGATTTTCAATCATAATTTGCTACCAAAAACATGTCTCTAAAGCATTACCGTAGAAATCTTTGATGCTGGTCTTCCTCTCGTAAACAGACATTGTGGTTTTCCCATCAGCATAGGTCTGTAGGATTTGATTAGTCAAACAATCACAAGAAGAAATGCAGTAAGTGAGACGAATGTACATACCATGTAGATAAGAACTCTGAGCAAGCCGAGAGCGCCTGCCAGGTGGCAGTCAGTCCATTGTACAAGGAAAAGCAAGAACTGAGCAGCTGGGTTGTATGAGAGTCTCATTTGAACACGAGCTCCATCCTTCTCCCGAGGGTAATCTAAAGCTCTGTTTGTTCATTCAGAAAAAAAAATATCATACACTGAGATCATAAGTTCATGAAAAAAGCACACACGTTACAACATTCTCCATTCAAGTATTGATATTGGAACAAACAGCCTCAGATGTCACAAACATTAGTAGCACACACCACTAACACAACTCGGTCAATGCAGTGAAGATAAACACATTTTCAGCTCAGACATTGATTTAGCACAAAAATTAAGAGCCAAAATGAAATTTTATCTTTGAGGGTCAAAGTATTGATCGATTAAGGATCATCAAATGTTATAAGTTTGCTTAAACATTAGCAGCAGAAACAAACTGATGAAGAAACTATTTATACATGGAACGGTCTAGCTCAGGTAGATTAGTATCAGAAATCAGATAAAATAAAGATTGTAACTTGAACATAGCAACACAAAAAAATCACTTGATGATCACAAATTCCTTTCAGACAGAGACTGTATTCAGTTCAGCTTGGAGGGGTCAACGCTAACCTATTTTAGGACAAGACTCCAAAAAAAAACAAAACATGACTTCATCACTTCTCCGTATTATCCTAACTGTTATGGACCAGGATAAACCCTAATTTGATAACAAAAACAAGCCGTACAATTAGTGAACTCTTCTGTGTACATACCAGAAGAATAATTTCAGAAAACTACTTTGTGGTCCTAGAGATAATCAAAGAAACAGAATCCGAAAGCTCAGCTTATATAATAACTGAAAAACAAAAATAGAACAATCAAAATCCACCCAGAAAAAAAAATCGAAACTTTGAATTACGAAAGGTGAGAAATTCCAGAGAAAAAAAAAGGGAAATTGAGAGGCTTACACAGTGTTAGCGTGTTGGATATCGGCTTGGAGAGCTTTCAGAGAATCCTTGAACGAAATTTTGGCCATGGAAAGTCAATTTCCAGAAAGAACAAATCTCATCAAACGAACAGGGATTTCAGCGAAACGATGACAATCAAAAAGAGAGAAGAAGATAGAGAAGCAAAGCAAAGTTTGATGCTTTTTCCAATAGCAATTACAAATCCGATGATCAAATATTTCAGCGATGAGAGAGAGAGAGATGGGTTTTTTGGTAATTGTATTTCTAGATAAACCTCTTTTAGAGCTTTCAGTTTCAATTCTCGAAGTAGCTTTTATGAAGAAAAGACGCGTAGTGGGTTTGAATAATGTCCGTTTTGCCCCCTGTTCGGCTATGTTCGAGAGATACAAAAATCTAAGCTTCCAATTGCGAGGACTGATCCTCTGCTTCATGCCATACCTATACGTTTCACCTGCTCTGCAATGGTTTTCTGACAAGTGGAAGGATAAGGCTAAATATCTGCTGCTTGATCCTTGATTAATGCTTAAAAAAAGTCATTTCTTTGTTTTCTCTTTAATTATGAAAAGTCAATACCACTTGTACATTTGATGGTTTAATAACACAACAAATGCATTACTATCAAACAGGTTTGGCTCATTTGGGTAAAGACAAATAAACAAATTGATACATAGTTTTTTATATCAATAATCTTATCAAGGTAGTGGAGCTTATAGATTATACAATTAGATTATACAATTGTTTAGTCTTTTTTATTGTCAAAATACAAAAAAATACAATTTGGAAAGCTTGACTATCTTTTTGGATCATAAAGTGTAAACAAGTTTCAAGTGGATGAATGTACAAAAAAATGCCTAATGTGGTATATATAATATACTGAAAGTACTTGATTTTGAGTTAAGTTTAGTTACAGTCAGTAATCCAATTAACCTAGATTGGACCAAACCCAAATCATACCTAACTTATACCAACTTTTACAACTTATTTTTATGAAACAATCTATAAGACAATGGTGAAATGTATCAATTAGAAAACATTTATGACAATGTTGTAGAAAGCTCTCAAGCCTGATAAAATATGTATTTATCATTGTGAGGACCGTTTCTATGTTAAAGCCCATGAAACATATGCTTTAATCGCCAAAAGATTTATAAAATGTTAAAAGGGCATACATTTTTCAGAAATTTGGTTATGGAGCAGAAGTTCTTTCTACCTCTGATGACTGATATGTGCAAAGTTGAAACCACATGTCTGACTTATTTTCATACATGGACTCAAATTTTGTTGTTTCTGGTTAGACAAAAAAGTTTAATGGGCCGACCCTGAGGATAGTAGAACTATAGAAAATATGCTAGAAGTATAAAAGAGTGTTCAATATTCACAAGTGCTCACAAATGCATGTAACAATGTTATATCGATTGATCGATAGTTGAATACTCAAATCCGAGATTTTAGCTGAGAGATGGTTCAGAACAGCAAATGGGGCAAATCTTCTTCGCCTGAAGCCATTTGGTTATACATTCAGAGTGGTATGGATGGTCACAAAGTCGGAGAACGACCAAAGATTCTCCTTCTTCAAACTCCATTTGGCAAACTACACAACGATCAATCTTGTTTTTGTCATGTGAAAATACGTAGCTAGATGTCTTTAAACACGAGGAGATTTCGGTCGGAGTCAGGCCACGTTTTTCGACTCCGATGAATTCTCCAAGGGCAATCAGTTCCTCGTACGACAACTGGTCGGGGTCAATCTCATCTTCTTCCTCCAAGAAACCATCCTCCTCAATGTTGGAGTTGCTTTCTTGGTCCTCAAGAAACTCATTGATTTCGTCATCTTCTTCTCCAAACCCATTGCTATCGAAATACTCGTAGTAGTTATCACTGCTTCCTTCTTCTTCTTCTTCTTCTTCATCAGATTCTTCGTCACTTTCTATCATCGAAGGGAACGAATCATGAATAGGAGGGGCAAAATGGGAATTAGCTTGGGTGGCAGCAAGAGCAATTTCAGAATTTGCTTGCTGGAATAGGGTTAGATCCGGAAGTTTGTTTGGAGGTTGCTTAGCCGCTTCTTCTTGATTATTCATTGGAAAAGAAGAAGCAGCAGCTTGGATTGTGGTTAGGAAGCCGTATGCTCTGACTTTTTATATGAAAATGACTTCCATGTCAAAGAGGTCACTTAAGCAACAAGAAACGAATAATGTAGAGAGCTTCCGTACCAAGTAATACAAAAGAAACATGGGGAAGTTAGGGTATCCTTTTTCACTGTTATAAGCAAAGTAATGCATTACAGTTTTAGTTTACAATTCAGGTTTGCATTTTTTTCAACAACTTTTTGATGAGGAGACTCGGATGATTGGGTTGTCTTGTGTCCGGGACAAAAGTATCTTGTCCTATTAATTTTGCTGGTGGAGAAACTTAGATCGTGAGCCAAATGATTTAGCTCGCGAGCTAATATTAAATCATTATAAATAATTATTAATTTAAATTCTTTTAAAGATCCAAATGAAAATGCTATTCAACATGAAAATCTCAAATACATAAGTAAAACAAAATGCAAGGAAACCCACAACAAATGTAAAAATAAAGCCAAAGCAATACCAAGCATTATCATGGACAAAGAAAAAAAATCATGCTCATCAAGATCTCCTCGTTTAGTAGTTAGATAGCATTCATCTCCTCCTTGAACTTGGTCATCGCGTCCTTAGGAAGCGTTACCAGCAGCCGAACGCCACCGCTCATCGCTGGATCCGCCTTTGACGCTGGCAATAGAACAGATACAAACGGCATTGACATCGGAACTAAAGGTATTATGTTCTTCAAACCTCCCCAACCATCGTACTGTAGACCGATTTGCCTCCAATCCGTAAGCGTCATGAACCCTCGGCTGATGCCCTTGAACGATTCCATCTCTTTCACTCTTCTCTCAATCTCGCTAAGTTTCCCCAACACAAACCTCTTGTCTAGCGCAGCTTTCTTCATGTCTTTTATGAGTTTCACGAGATGAGCCAACGAGGCTTCTCTCAGTTCCTTAGCTGTCAAGACCACGTTACCGCTGACATAACCGTTGCCGTAGTAGCCTACTGGCAACGGTGGGTCCATAAAGCTGCGGATGTCAATAACTATGTCTAAAATCGCAGTCTCATCTGGACTCATGTTCAGGGCTCGGCATCTTGCTCTCCAGACATGAGCAGCAAGAATCTCAAGAGTCGTGACCACAACCTTCTTCTCGGTCTCATTTGTAAATTGTTCGTTCTCTGCGATTGATTTCTTGAGCTTCGTGATATCGTCGGAGGTAATATTCAGGATCTCACGGGTCATGTCGCCAGTCAATGAGATAATAGAGCCAGCCTTCGGCGAACCAACAACGTCTCCTAGTTTTCCTACAATAATAGCGTAAATATTTCTTAAATGAAAATTATTAAAATATATTTCTAATTAATTGGTACACATAGTCTTAAACGTAGACAAAAAGAAAGAGTACTCGAAATTATACGTTTACGTTTAGTAGTTTACATATATACAAATTATTACAAAAATAAATATGATAAGAAAGGTAGAAATTGTTCAATTTTCGAAAAGATGGTGGACAAAATAAAAATTTAACATGCAAACAAACATGAAAAAAATGTGTGTGTGATCACATGTACGTAATACCATGAAAGTGTATTTATGTATATTGAATGCGTACCGTTAAAGGGGAGCCTTTCTCTGTCCCATACGGGGATGACACTGGGACTTTTGGTCTTCCCGGAGGCAAGCTCGATCATCGATTTGAAAAACTGAGCCGCTCCAACACCGTCACTGACGGAGTGGGAATGAGCCATTCCGATAGTTATTCCTCCACATGCAAACTTAGTGACTTGTAGAGCCAAAGGGTCATATCCCTCGCAACCTTTCACAGGGGCATAACAAGGCACAAGCTGGTGAGCTGCGTCCCCAGCACTGTCCAAGTAATTGAGAGAAGCGAGAGTGCTTGTGGATGTTGCCTTTGTAAAGGGGACTCCATCTCCGGCTTTGTAGTTCAGCTGAAGTCTGTTGTCGTCGGATTTCCGGTGAAGTTTTCCGGCGAGAGGGTAGTAATAGACAAGGGAATGAGAAAGGGCATACTGGAGAAGAGCAGCGAGGTCGTGTTTGGCTTGCTGGGGTTCAGGGGTAAATACGCATATGGTTTGGACGATGCTTTCGATACGAGGATCGTTGTCAATAACGGAGAGGGAGAGAGAGACATCAGGTGTTGGCTTTGCGGGTTTCACAAGAACCACTTCTGATTTCTCAACGTCAAAGGGACTTGAATTGCCTTCACTTCCCATGTCTAGCTATTTTCTCTTTGTAGTTTGTAATAGATTGCTTGCTTTGAGTGTTTTTTCATTAGTACAGACGACGACGATGGTTCCTATATATACACTTGTTTTTAAGCGCATTTTAAAATTGTTTATATGGTTTTCTTTGTGGATATATTTAAATATAGTGAACGTGGGATACATGTCTGGAAGATCTTTAAGAATGAAAATATTGTAACTGAGACGGCAAAAAAAAAAAAAAAAAAACTAACTGGAAATTAGCGGCAAAGCTATTTTGTTGTGTTTATTATCTTTAGTAATAAGTTCCAAATATAATCAAAATCTTATATGCTATTTTTAAGAATGAAAATGTTGTAACTGAGCTGATGATGCGGCATTGGTGGCTCTCCATGACGACGATTGATGTTAATTTATCCATTATACCACTAAAATGCATTTTCTGTTTTATGAAAATAAATATAGTAAACCAGACGTGTCTAATTCTAAAATAGTTGTACGAAAAAATGACTTTTAAATAAAAAAAATCTGTGATGCATTGACAAATATAAAAACTTATTGAATCACGAACTAGCCATCATATCGGATATGGACCAACAAAATTTAACAAAAATAAAGTTATGTAGAATATAATAAGCAAATATGCCTTGTTGGTCCAGGGTGGCCACGAAACACATGAAAATAGTTGTTAGGACGTGCGAAGGTCATGATAGAGATGTGGTGTTTGGAAATGTTATTGTAAGCATATCATTCACATACTGGCATATAAGTCCTTTACTCTTAGACCATATTTTACGTCAGCCACTACAGGCAAACCTAAGGGATCCAAAGGTCAGAGATCAAACTAAAAAATCATCCACGATAAAGCCCATTACGCCCAACAAACCATTACATACCATTACCGGAATTATTAATACGATTTATCGATCATTTTGGAGCCCCCAAATACTATATCAGTGACTCAGTCTAACTGTCCAAGTAACGTAGCCATCTTTAGGGAAAGTAGTGTTGATGCCAATTCGCCATGGTAAATCTCCAAAGTGTTTATCACGCTATAAAACACGTTAAAATGTTTACGACTCTAAAAGTATTGGAAATCCAGGATAACGTGATTTTTTTTTTTTTTATGAGTTTCAGAACTGAGTTTTTTTAAGATCGACATAACAAATTGTGAATAATACGAAAACTGCAAATGAAAAGATGATAGAACAGGGAGATACACTTACAATAACAATTGTTAGTGGAATTAGATCACGTCGAGTTTGAGTCTCGATGATGAAAAAAGTATTAGTTTAGCATGTTTTGATATCCGGTTGAGATTATGGACCAAAACCGGTTGAGATTATGGACTAAAACCCCGCAACTTCTTGGTAAACCAAAAACATATACAGTATTCAGTAAATTGATTTCCATAGCTAAAAACTAAAAAGAGTTCAAATGTTTTGGGTTTAGTTTTTAACTTTAGGTTTTATGGTTTGTTTGATTTTTAAGGGTTTAGGATTTAGTTTTGTGGTATTTTTAGAAGAAAAAAAAATCAGTTTTATATAAAAATATTAGTGATGGTAATCTGGAAATAAAATCTTACTTTTGTGGTATTTTTGAGAACTGCCCAATCTAAAACCCCAAAGCAAAATTTATCACTTTTTTTTATATAAAGTGCAAAATTTTATCACTCTGTGGATCTTACGATTGTCATTGGGTTTCTTTGCATCTATCAATAAATGAACTTGCAAATAAAAGTTTAACCATAGAAAAATAAAACTTTCAAATAGAAGGTTTCTCAGTCAAATAATCAGGGAATGTGAAACCCTGTCTTAATAGACAAAGAAAAAGCAAAATATTGAAAAAGACATTATGAGAAATTGAACGAACACAACACTAAGGGATGCTGAGGAACTGAGAAAGGCCGACTTTGCTACCATGGATCTCAACATCAAGCTTAACTTGAGCTTCAAACTCCGAGAACTTGAATGGCTTGTAGCGACTCGATTCAAACACACAGTCTTTGGCTGGGAACACAAAGTAAATTATCGAGTATCTCTCTTTCTTGTTCATCCTCTTTCCCACTTTATGCAACACACTCTTGTACTCCTCATCACTTATCATCTGCATCAAGTAACAAAATCTTACTGTCAGGATTTAATTCATATCATATGGAATCTATTTAGCGTAAGGCTAGAACCATGTTTGTTGAGTTTGACTTCTTCTATAAATAACTAAATAACACTAATCCTCCGGTTTAATTAATTAGGCTACCAACTCAAAATTTTTAGTTGGAGAGAAAAATGAAATCTATACACATGCAAGATTGGTTTAGTAATTAGTTACCTGCATCATATCACCGAGACCGATGACAAGAGAATCTGCAAGAGGTTTGACATTGAACCACTCCCCATCTTTCATGAACTCTAGCCCACCAACATCGTCTTGGTTTATTATGGATATCATCGAACTATCCGTATGAGCCTCAAGTCCGGGTGATTCGGTGCACTGGGGATAACGTTGAACACGTACCACACCTGTTGACTCCGATAAGCAGCTTGTTTTCCGTTCAGCAGATAGTTCAAGGGACAAAGTTTCTGCCATGGCTTCAAATAGGGTCACAACAATCCTAGTCATGTGTCTTCCATATTCCTCCATCACCACCCTGCGCCATCACACAAATTAACATGTATTTTATATACTTAAGTTACATTTAGTACGTATACAGAGTATTAAAGTGTAAGATACGTGTCTCCAAGCCATGATCACGTCGATCACCATAGCAACACATGTTACATATATGTAAATACTATCGAGATTATTGTTGTGTAAGATTTTTGTAGATATGGAACAAACCAAAAATACACACAATAAAATGAACACGTAGAACATCTACTTTGTAAAATGCAATGTAAAGTTCCTAGTAAATTGCAAAAATAATTAACAATATTGTGTGCTAGGGGACAAAAGAAAAGCATTGACTCTAATTCGTAACCGACGAATTGACATAATTATTCAGTATTGAACACACACAAAAATTGCTATGAAATCATAATTTTTACTCATCAATTTTGTCATTTGACAATAACTAATAAAAAAAATTATGTAGACTCCTCGTATACTGTTTTGCCACCATATTATGATTTTGTCGTTTTATTTCACATTCTTTTCAGTCATTCTCCTATAAACTCGTGACTATTCCTCGATGTTATCAATCAAAGTTAGCTACTACTCCCTTCGTTTCAGAAAATAAGATGTTTTAGGATTTTACCTTGTTCCACAATGTAAAATGTTTTGGAATTTTTAAGGTACTTTTTGATAATTAATACTAACATATTACAAACTTCAAGACATATTAACTAAAAGTATTTGAATAGTTAAATTGTGATTGAATAAAAGATATTAAAAAGTGGTCGGTGTGAAAAAGTAATTTACACATTAAATGTTTCTTATTTTTTGTGAAAAACCTCAAACATCTTACATTTTGGAACAAGAGAGTATGTGTTTACAAATCTAGTCGCCGCCTCGCCGGTCTTCTTTGATCGGAGAAGTGTAGATTGAATTACTTCTAAGCTCTAAATCTAAAATTTCCAATGCCAAATGCATCCAAACTAGAATTGTAATTTTCTAAATGACGATTTGATTAATTGTTTAATCCAGCAAAAACTACCAATGAAGTAATTAAGAGTAAAACGGTATGAATTTGACCTGAAAGACTCAAGCTTAGCATCAGAGCAAGAAAGTGACAGAAGATGCGAGAGGGAAGCAAGAGGAACGTTAATGCCTTCAAACAAGTGGCCGCTTGATTCTTGTGGAGCCCTCTCTACGGCCTTTCCCGATGGACTTACCGTACGTGTTCCCCAGTAATACGATAACGGAGAGTTATCGCCGAACAACTTCCGTTTCTCTTCAAACGGCAGACTCAACAGCGACTCCGTTATCTCTTTCACCTGTGACATCAGCGTTGACGGTATCCCCGTTTTCTCCAGATGGAATATCCCCCAGTTCTTGCATGCTTCTCTCAGTTTCTCCATGTCCAAACACTCCAGATCGATTACCGGGATATCGATATCCTTGCTCCGATCAAGAACCGGTTCAACGGCTTTTTCTGGTTCTGTCGGATCGCTCATTAGAGGCCGAAACTCCGGCGGATATGACTCGGTGTTGCTCATGCTCTCCTGTGAAGTGGGCTCGTTGTTTCTGCTCTCTCTTAATTGTTATGTGAATAAGGATTGATGCATGTACTATCTATTTATAAGGAAGAAACAAAAATATTGAGCGTTACAAATGAGAACTATCGTGTCGAACTTATCCAATAAGTTTTCCTTTCCATTAGTTCTACTTTTCAATTATTTATTTTTTTGGGTAAATTTGTTGTCTAAAACGTACAAAACTAGTAGTATAATTTATCTAAAGGAAATATTAGAAAGTGTTTGACAAATAGACATTTCCAGGTAATATTTTATATTATTTAAACTATTTTTAATGTATTTAGGAAACAAATCTGACCATCTAAAGAGAGAAACAACAAAGGTGCTGAACTCTTGAACAAAACACTTCAAGAAAAAATCATGAGCAGATTATATTTCCCTGAGAAAATAGAAAAACAATATTACATAGAGTATGTAATGACTTTGAAAAAAAAAATTAGATTAATAAACCTACAAATGTGGGCTTTGAAATATGGGTCTCGATACAAAACTGCAAATTTTTAAAATGAACATTGATGAGGTCTTGATTTGAGTCCAACTAAACTCAAGCTTATCCAAACTTGTGAGTATCACATCAATATGCTTGAAATTGTATCTGATAATGGGACTAAAGAAAGTAACCGTGTGACATTCTATGATCTTCCATTTTATTCTTGTTCATCTCTCAATCATATAATGATAGTAATTTGTTGGGCGGAAATAGTGAGTGCACAACATCTCAACCTGTTTGTTGGTTTGCATCATTTTATAACATGTCGTTGAAACATTTGGTACACATTTTGTGCGTGTGCATACCTTATCAAAAACGACACATTTAGCAAGATCGAATTGATGAACTCATCAAATACTATTTGGGGTAATAATTGAATATTCATCCCTTTATAATTATATATCTAATATTATGTTTTCATGCATAGGATAATGGTATGGTTTATCCATTGGTAAATTAAGATCTTAAATGCAATATTGTACCAAATGATAAAGAAAACTTATTTGATAATTTGAAACAAGGACAGCCCAAAATGTGAAGATAATATTCTAGATATTCAAAAATGGATCACGAGGAGACTTGTTCACTCGCATCAATTATTCTTATTACGAAAAAGAACCGCATAAAAATAAAATAATCATAAAAAAAATCATTATATTGATTGAATTTTGCTTCCTCCCAGCTGTTATCGCCAAATACTCAAGCAAAAGACTTTGTTTAATCATATGGTACCAAACTAATCAAATTAAAATGAGTTGTTTGAGTTTAAAAACAAAACAAAAAAATTCAAAGCCTTGTGGGAAAGAAAGAGAAGAAACAAGAGTGAATAAATGCAAAGCGCAACTTCATAACCATTTGACAAGCCACGTGTCATTGTTTAATTGGTCAACTTCTGACCATTAATATCATCCCATCTCCCAAACTAACACTGTTCTTTAACACACAACACCAACAACAAAGTAGGCTTTTAATGTTTAGTCTCTTGTTCACGTGAAAAAACAGATTGTGTTTGTGTGGATGAACACAAGCAGATTTAATTTTGGTATCACCATATCTATAAAATATACAACACAGACATAACCTCTCAAACCAAACTGAGATGAGTCTCGAAGTTCGTCGTCTCCTTTTGTTTCTCATACTAACCCTTCCACTTGTCACATCTTCATCTCAAAACACACTCTCTGTTTCAGGTTTCTCATTTCATCTCTTCTTTTATGTTTTGATTCATTGTATTATATATGATGTTCTGATATTTTGTTTTGGGTTTAAGTAAGTAACCAAGTTGAATTGGTTTTATTTGTTAGGATTTGGGAAGACAGTGACTGCAAGAAGATCGTTGGTGGTGAACATCGAGGATTATGGTGATCCATCTGCAAACACCAGACATGATCCCAGCGTTCCGACAAATGCAGAAGCTAACACAACACCTTGAGCTCACTTCTGAGTTCACTTCTTAGTCTATGTTCACTAAATTATAAATATATATATATATAAAATAGGTATTCGGAGTGAGCTAAACTCTTCACTTTCTGTAATCTCTGTATATTCATCTGAGTAGCAAATCAAAATCTTAAGAAACTATGTAACAACCAGACAATTTCGCAATATTTAAAGACATAATGTTGGTGCTAAGACATTTTATCGATGTGCCTATACCGTAGAGCTTGATGTAAAGGTTTCAGAACCTTCTACACTGGAGACTACTCAGTAGCTTCCTGTGACGAATGGCTTCGTCAGTGTTTTGCTGATCAAATCTCTCAACTCGATCTCCCCCGGAAATCTACCTTCTTTCAGTTTAGAAAACACCTACAAAAGACCAAACATCGGATCATATAAGCTTTACACTTGGCACAGAGAGTGATCTGATACTGCATCCATACATACATTACTGTTAAGAGAAAAGAGAACTGACCACTTCCCCATTGCAGCTAACTTCAAAAGCGCCAGAGCTTTGTAAGAATGATTGCAAGAAGTTCCCAAGAAGCCAAGTGGAGGCCATGGACCCGAATCTATTAGCCCTCAAGGAGTGGAACCAAGCAGGAGGCTGTGCGATTCCGATCATCGGAAATATATGCTCGCCTCCCATAATGAGACCAATAACTCCCATCTGAGCAACTGGCACAACCTTAGCTAGAATCCGTTTCGGCGCTGGTGGCGGGTAGTTTGCGAGAATCACGTCTAGTCCAGGAAACTCTGTCTCTAGCATCTTCTTCATGGTTACTGCAGTTCCCCTGCAGTACAAAATAAAATTACCGAAAATAAATTCTAAGAATGTCCAGGACATTATTAGTAACAATCACAGCCAGTAACAGGCCCAAACTTACTTCAAATATTTTCAAAACGTGACATTAGTCGTTCAACAAGAAATGACAATCTGATTTTTCAAGAAATGATGCAGCTAAGCATACATTCAGGAGATTTGCATACATAGACAACAACAAAAATCTTATTATATCTCACATTCAAATTGTGACATTACTCTATAGTAAATCGAAATATCGGAAACATTGCAGCTCTAAGCAACAGTAAGGATGATGCTGTAATATGTTGGAATTAGGACTAAGACTAAGCTAATGAACCAAAATCGATTGATATTTAACCTCAAGTGATATCAATACAAAAAATAACGATTAGAAACGTAATTTATAAAAGCAATCGCAAAAAAAGTTACTTGTAAGAGCAGGAGGCGCAGAAGTTGATCTCTACGGCGTTTCCATATCCGATTCCACCAGCATCACTTGTCTATTGTCAAAAGAGGAAACGATTAGAAACGGAAGTTTGAGAGAAGTAGGTAATGAAAGTGAAGAGAAACTAGCGATGAATTCACCTGTGAGGGGAAATCTGGGGCAAACACCGCCGGACGCTGCGGGTGAGAGATAGGCGGAGGATGGTTCTGAGCTTTCGGCGGCGGCGGAGTGAAGAGATTGAAGAGATCAGCACAGAATAAGAAAATCGGTAATCCTAATAGAATCAACTGTGTCTTTTCCATGGCTGAGGAGTTTAAATCTCAGAGAGGAATCAATCAAAAGTTGAATTTGAAACAAGTTCGATCGAAGAAGAAAACAGAACAAACTAATTCGCCCTTGTTTGGGAGCGCAAATATCTATATCCTAGTCATTGACTGATTAAATAGATGACGATGCCTCTATATTTCTTTTCTATTACAGTTTGACGCCCCCATGTTTTCAAAATGTACTCAATACCCTCAACACTTGTAAAAGTAAAAACCACACAGACCCCCTCACCAAATGTTTTGCAACAAGAAGGTATCACTTCATGAAAAAGTGCTCCTGAAACAAGCACAACCATGTCCATACATACTTATATACACATACATTCAAATAAAATTGAAACCTTTTCAGGTCATCCGATACAATATAAGATTGATGTACACAAAAGGGCACATTCAAATCTTAGCAGAAAACAACTTATATACAAGGAAGTTCATTATACATTCATTTGAAAAAAAAGAAAAAGAAAAACCATAATTATTTTAAAAATCATACGAAACACTTTTACCCATTAGGGCAACTTAGAAGAACACAACACACATGCAGTTGCTCCATTTCTTCCACATCAAACTTATGTCTGAATCACAACTCCTTGACCCCTCATCATCGGCAGGTCGTTGATTGCCTTAAGCGGCTGCACAGGCAATGCCACTTTACTGCCATCGTAGGCTGAGACATGAACTCCGATGGCGGCTCTTCCTGATGGATCCATGTTGTTGGACCAGCTTGCGTCCCACTCCACTGCCTTTGCAGTCGAGCAAGCCACAGTCGCACCTCCAGGAACCGTGAGTCTCGCAGAGTTCTGCAAAAAGACGCAAACACAATGTTGGTAAGATAAGACAAAACAAAAGGAGATTTCTGAACAGAATGGAGATTTATAGGAGTCTCACCTGTGGGAAGAACCTCTCAAAGATCATTCTGTAATAATAAGCTTCTTTGGTGAGTGGAGTGTTGTGAGGGAAGATATGTGCAGCGTTTGACATCATCCTGTCATTAACCTAAAAGAAGAACATAAATAATCAGATCTAAACCGGAATTTAGCGTTTGACATCATCCTGTCATTAACCTAAAAGAAGAACATAAATAATCAGATCTAAACCGGAATTTAGCTTATTATATTAATCACAAGAGATATGAGTTTATTTGTGTAATACATTTTCAGCAGCATGAGCTTTGAGGCCATCGATCCAACTGTACCCAACACCATCACTAAACTGTTCTTTCTGTCTGTAGAGAATGTGTTTTGGCAAATAAGGACGTTCGTCGTCGTCGAATGCTTTCCTTAAAACCCATTTCTCAATCCTCTTTTCCTCTGGTTTGATCTGAAAAAAAACCCATAGAGAAAATTCGTTCAACAATAGTAAACTTGAGATGTAAGGTATTGCCGTATTGAATTTTGTAGTTAGTCACTTACCATCTTGGATTCAGGATCCAGAGACATGGCAGTGTTGATGAATTCTTTGTCAAGAAACGGAACACGCGCCTCTAGTCCAAAGGCAGAGGTAGCTTTGTTTGCTCTTAAACAGTCATACTTGTGAAGAGCCTTGATCTGCAAGGCATCACGCAAACATACACATTAATTTGAATCAATAAGTGCAAATTAAAGACCTCTGGTTTGATTCTTTTTGTGATTAAATTGTTTACCTTGCGACAAGTTTCTTGGTGAAGCTCTTGCTTGTTAGGTGCTTTGTGGAAATAGAGATAGCCTCCAAAGATCTCATCGGAACCCTCACCGGAGAGAACCATCTTAACTCCAAGAGACTTGATTTTGCGAGACATCAAGAACATCGGCGTGCTCGCTCTGATTGTCGTCACATCGTAAGTCTCCACATGGAAAATCACATCCTCTATGGCATCAATCCCATCCTGCACCGTGAAATGGAACTCATGGTGCTCCGTTCCCAAATATTCCGCCACCTCTTTCCCCGCCTTCAAGTCCGGCGAGCCCTAAGGTAAAAAAAAAAATGATTGAAATCTCAAAACACTTTCCATCTCATCCAAACTCTGCTTCAAAAACAGAGGAACTCTGTTTTAAATCTCTACCTCAAGACCAACGCAAAAGGAATGGAGCTTAGAAGCTTTAGTTTCTTCCAAGTGACGAGCAGTGATTGCGGCAACAAGAGAAGAATCAAGACCACCAGACAGCAAGACTCCAAAAGGAACATCACTCATCAACCTCTTAACCACAGCCTACAAAAGAAAACAAAAACAGAGTCATTTCTCAAACCATATACATTAGAAAACCAAAAATAAGAGATCTTTGATTAGTTTCAAGAGTTGTTCTTACATCTTCAAAGGCGCGTCTTAGCGCGAGAGGCTCATAAGGAGTTGAAGGAACGACTTCATTGTACCAAGGAGGATTGTACCATTGCTTAAACCCTCCAGATTTGCTTGAATACAAATTCCCTGGAGGAAACGATTCGAAATGTTCACAATCTTCGTTCAAGCCTTTCATCTCTGAAGAGACCCACACAGATCCGTCTAATCCCCACCCAATGTAGAGTGGAGTAACACCAATGGCGTCGCGTGCCACCATGAAGGAGTTGTCTTTTGTGTTGAGCAACACAAAGGAGAAGACTCCATCCAGCATATCCACGAACTCCTCTCCATGCTCCTCGTACTGTGTGTATCCACAAGATTTTGATCATATTTTGACTCAAGATGATCAATAATAACAAATTTAACAAAATCTGAAACAGAGCACTTACCAGGTGAGCAATGACTTCACAGTCACTACCGGTGTGGAACTTATGGTTCTTCAGACGCTTCCTCAGCTCCTCATGGTTGTAGATCTCTCCATTCACCTTTAAGCAAATCTAAGAACAGAGAATAAGCTTCAGAATTTTCAAAAAAGAGTTAAAGACTATGTTAGATTTTTTGGAGGTGACGTTACCGTAACGACGATGGTCTTGTCCTCGTTGAAGAGAGGTTGATCACCGGAGTCAGGATCAACGATCGCAAGACGTTGATGAGCCAAGTAGTTGTCTCCGTTCTGGTATATTCCACTCCAGTCAGGTCCTCTGTGCCTCAACCTAGAACCATATTTTGAAAGAAAAAAATATATTAATTTAAGATTTAGAGCAAAAAGCTAAAGATTTTATATTTTTGATAACTAAAGCTAAAGATTTGATATTTTCTAGGGAATATTACACCAACAAACAAAGATTCACATAAATCATGCAAAAAGGGAGACGTTTGATTTGATCAAGCATCGTCAACACCTTCATGTCGCCTTCAACAAAAAGGTTTTAAAAAATGAAAAATATTAATAATACTACAAAATTTGATCACAAAAATCTTCGTCAGAAATCGGAATAATATGAAACACACATGATATTATTTGATTGTATTATTACGAACAAGCTAATCATAATTCATAATGTGACTTTGCCGATCTAAACCCATTAGTTTTCCTATTTTAAAGGACCAAGAAAAGAGAAAAAACAGAGGAAAAGTTGTAAAATGCCTGCGAGAAAGCTCAAGAACACGGACTCTCTTCGCCTGAGAATCGTCGGAACATCCTAAAACGGCGAGAATACCACACATGTTTTTCTTTTCAGGTGGCGAAAAATTTGTTCAGGTGCAAGAAATGAAAGAATGAAGAAAAAAAACAGAATTTTCCGAAACTCCGGCGATTATCTCTGGCTCCGCGCTTTTAGCTGTAGAGACGCTCACTGAGAACCCAAATGTGAAGAGAGGTGATAACAAATGGGTAGATAAAATTTACGAGCTCATGGATGCTGTTGATAGTTACATCCCAATCCCAACGAGACAGACCGATTTGCCGTTCTTGTTAGCTGTTGAAGACGTCTTCTCTATCACCGGACGTGGCACCGTAGCCACAGGGCGTGTGGAGAGAGGTACGGTTAAGGTAGGAGAGACTGTAGATTTAGTGGGGTTGAGGGAGACTAGGAGCTACACAGTCACTGGTGTTGAGATGTTTCAGAAGATTCTTGATGAGGCTTTAGCTGGAGACAATGTAGGGTTGTTGCTTAGGGGTATTCAAAAGGCTGATATTCAGAGAGGGATGGTTTTGGCTAAGCCCGGTTCGATTACGCCGCATACGAAGTTCGAGGCGATTGTGTATGTGTTGAAGAAAGAAGAAGGTGGGAGGCATTCTCCGTTCTTTGCAGGGTATAGGCCTCAGTTCTACATGAGGACGACTGATGTTACCGGGAAAGTGACGAAGATTATGAACGATAAGGATGAGGAGTCGAAAAATAGAATGGTGGTACACATCTAAATTTCATTAAAAAAAATTCCCAACCTAATTTAAACGGTTGAAAAAATTTAAAAGCAGAAATAGTGTACGTAAAATAGTAAAAAGAAAGGATATGCATAGAAATGTTTTCTAAAAATATTAGAGATATTATACTGTAATAAGAAAAAGTACCATTCATACCGAAAAAAAAAGTACCATTTATAAGTAATAGTAATAGATAACCAAAATGTCTCCAAAGGAACAGAAATAGCAAAAATGTGAAATATGGTCTTTCAACAAAACAAAAATCTATAAATGGTTGTATTTTTCTATAAAAAGTGTCAAATTTTCCATAAAATGAAGGTAGAAGGTTGGCTGTTGGAACTTGGAACATGATTTTTCTATGTTTCAAAGTTCTAAAACAGAAACCTCTCATTTTACGTTTGGTAGCAATTCATAGGAATAAAATGAATTAGTTTTCACTGGTTTCCAGGTCTACTTTTCTCATAATTCGTAAATTTTGAATTAAGAAGAGCAATCAAGTTGTGCATTATTTCTTACAAAGTTTTTCTTATTATGATCAATATATAAAAAAATGTTGTCCTTTGCTGGTGACGTTTATTGTTTAGTGTCGTTAATTCACACACTTATGTTATAACATGATACCTGATTGGTAATAGAGTTATTTATAAACTTTATTTGTTTTACACATATTCATTTCACATAAGTTTGGTCCTTTTAATATAAAATTAACAAATACATTTTTAACACTCTTGCTAACATGAGCAAAGGTTATGTATACATTGTGTTATATAGTTAAACCCTGCGTGCATAATGCATTGGAGAGGTATGTATATTTTTCAATTGTTTGGAGATTGGCATGTGTTAAGGAGTTGGCCGCGATTCGAAACCTAAACTTGAGAATGAGATAACAATTATGTAGGAGACTGGATTATATATATGATACTTTCCGAAAATTATTAGAAGATAAGTATTCGAGTATATCCACAAACAATAAAAGACATTCAAGTATTTTTATATAACAAATCACATGTGTATTTCCATGTGTAGGCATAGCACATGCTTCGCACGTTGCTACAACGTGCAAGGATGAGAAGATGAATCTCACTTTACAACCTTGGAATACGGATGATATATTCATATACATACATACATATACAATTACATATATCTATATATATATATAAATATGAGTTGAGTATGGAGTAATACAAAAAGAAAAAGAAAATATCGTAATGTGTACAAGAAAAAGAAATCGACGTGTGTTTCTTTTAATGGTCGAAAATGAAAAGTCTGGATAGTCTTACTCATTCATGGAATACATTCATTCTTGGCGTTCTTTTCCTTTAAAAGTTAAAAAACAGTTTCGTGTTCTAAATAATGTAAGAACTAGTAGAGGACCCGCGCAAACGCGCGGTGTGATGTTGCGGTTTTGTAAAGAAAATCTAAATCTTAACCCGAATCCGACCCATAAACCCTAATCAAAATTTTTAAAAACCCTATCCTTTTTAATATGTTTAAACCCGAAAACCCTGAACCGAATAAAAAAAACTCAAAACTTTTTCATCCGAAACCCAAACCCGACCTAAAAACCCTAATAAAAATTTTAAAATACCAAAAAAAAATTAATATGTCTAAACCCTAAAACCCGAAATCCAAAAAATTCGGAAACCCTGAACTAAACCCAAAAATGCTCGAACCCAAAACCGAACAAAAATTTTCAATAAAACCGGGACATAAATCCACAATTTGATTTAAATTAGACGTATTTCTATTTCACTATTGGAAATTTTGCAAATATTATTCGATCATATTCTATTGATTTGGTATTATCGATAGATTGTGTTAATATTTTTTTTTGCAGATTTTTTAAGAGCTGGAAAACAGGAAGTTTTCTAAACCATCGGTTTGTTTTAAGTTATTATTCTTGTATCCAAATAATTTTTTCCATTTATTTTTCTATCCAAATAGATTTTTCTCTTATTTCTATATCCAAATAACTTTTTTTTTTCATTTATTATTCTATCCAAATAGATATTTCTCTTATTCTTGTATTCAAACATTAGAATGTACTTCTCAGTTAATAATATAAAGATTGCTAGTACGCTATTAGCATCCATCTATTAAAATGGAGATTTAAGTAATTACATCACTTTATAGATGAATTTAGATATGTATCCTTTCTTGAAATCACTCGTTCAGATGTATATAGATGAATTCTCTACCGTGAAATCAGAATAGTTTGGATTCTAGCTAGTTATAAACGTATAATAGTAATAAATAATAAGGTAATGATCTTGGCGATGTGACTATTATTATTTATTCTTTTCATTATAAGACCAAAATGCCGTGTATTAGTGTATAAGCACGTTTTGTTATCAAAATAAACAAAAGAAAGGAATAAGATGACATCTATATAATAAAAGAAGAAGAAGATAGAAACAGATGACGACGTATTGCTCAGTTGTTGGCAGAGCTGTTTAGAATCTAAACCGATCGTTTTATGAATCTTCTCCACTTCAATATTATATTAAGAACTGATCATGAAATCCTCTCATCCATATTTTTTTTTTCAATCTTACATTAATACAAACACCGTTATAAATATATAGATGTAAAAAAAATAAAAAATATATATATATATATATATAGATGTAAATATTCCAATGATTTTTTGTCCTCGTAATTGTATAAGTGCATACCTCGCGTTTGGTAAAACAATTGTTTGACGAATTGACGCTATAGATCATTTATGGATGTCGAAACCCTGATTCTGTATATTAATATGTCTTGCTTTTCCTAGCTAGGGAAATAATTACTAGCATGCATATTTGCTAATTTGCATTATATTTATAATTTCCTAAACAAAGGTAATTTGAACGATATTAAACTCAGTGACATAATTAAAACCGTCCGTGAAATACCTCTTCAATAATTTTTTTCAATGTGAAGTGTGAACAGAAGCAATGTATGTATTTTAAAAGAATCGTTTTGCCAATCATATACACCTCGCAATCGCATCTTCGCTGGTGAAATATTATGGTGATGATTGGTTCTCCCGCTACCACCCGCAAACGCAGCGTTTGCGGTTCGTAGCGGTTCTTAGCGTTTTATAACAATCACGACAACCGCTTTCAACCGCTCTATACCACTCTGTACCGCTCTATATCGCTGAAAATCAAAAGCTCCTTTCCGCAAGCGTTTGCGGTTGCGGGCGGTTGCGGTTTGAAAAAAAAAAAAAAAAAACATAATATCTCCAAATTTGGAATAAGGGTATATTTTTTTGAAAAATACCATAATTATGTTTAAAAATTTCGAAAATACCCTAAATTTTTTCTGTTTTGAAAAATACACTTTTAAAATGTAAAAAGTATGTTTTGACGTGATTTAAACAAAAAAATAATAAATAATTACAAATTATAAACGAAAATTTAAAAAAATAATAAACTAATAAGTTTTTTTTCAAATAAATATAGTATATGTTAAACTGAAACAAATTTTAATATTTTGGATCTTTATATAAACAACTTAACCTCATACACATTCAAACCAAATGAAACTTTAAATAAATTAAAACTTTACATATATTTAAAGTTTATAAATTATTAAAAATTTAAAAGTGGAGAAATATATCTTTCATTTTTAATGTTTATCTTTTGAAAAATTTAAATATTTTTGAAACTTTGCATAAACAACTTTAATCTCACCCCATTTAAACTTTATATAAACAATCTTATATTTTTATTAAATTGTTTAAAAAAAACTAAACAGGTAATTAGGATGTTAAAATGATACAAAATTATTATCAAATATTAATATTTTATATTTCTTATTTGAATTTCGTTTTTATTAAATTAGGAATAATCATTTTACATATAAAAAGTGTATTTTTAAAAAAAAAGGGTAGTTTTCAAATTAAAAATTCATCAAAAAATATATTTCAAAAAAAAAATTATTAATATGGTTATAAATGTTTTGAATAATTATATATTATTTTTATTTTAGTAACTTTTGGTTAAACCGCTCTTGCACCCGCTGGCTAACCAGTCAAAAATATCCCGCAAACGCAACCGCTATGAATTGCTATACCAGTCGTACAAACAGCTTTTAATCGCAAACTCCCGCTTCCGCAAACTCCCGCAGCCGCAAACTCCCGCAACCGCAACCGCAGCGGTTAAACCAGTCAGACCCTATATAAACGTATAATTAGGAAAAACGGAATGCGAAAAGTGTGTTCAATATACAAAACAAATATTTGTAAACCCTACAGTGTCTTAATTATGGGTTACCCCAAAGTCAAATTAATTAAAGACTTTTGAACACCTCAAAGTCCTCATTAACGTCATCAACATTATATATTTAGTATAGATTGATACATAAAAAACTTTATCTGTATTTGGTTTATTCATCAATTAGCTAGTAAGTGTCACTGTGTATGAGAATGTGACGTCATATATAATAAAATATATAGCCCATATATTATCAAATGGTTTCAAAATGAATTTCTGCCAAGAGATGCATGTAATATAAGAACAATAATCATATTAAGAGTTCTTTTTGACAAATAATACATGAGCTGAAATCTGATGAAGCATACATGGGAATATGGGATATCAATCTTTTTTTTGATTAAAAATATGTGATATCAATCAATCCATTCGATACTAATTAGTCTTGAGATAAAAATTTATATGTTTGAAAAAAAAAAAACTGGTTATAGTGTAAAAAACGTATATATTTTACTTTATGGCTGATAAAAAAAAAATCAGATTATTATAATTTAAGATACGGCTAATCGACTTTTAGATGATTCTAAGAGTTAATCCAAACATGACTAAAATAATCGTCCTTAAAAAGACACGATGGTGATGAAACTTGGTCGCAAGGTTGCGTAGTCAATTTCTTCCTCACTGTTCTTTAATAAATTATAGAAATCTCGTTTTGTATTTTTTTTTTTTACTATCCTTGAACAGTTCTCGTTATGAATTTGGAATTTCTCGAAATTAATATAAGCGTGGGGACAAAACAGAAAGTAAAAAATGATGAAGATGGTTGAAGAATTTGGGGAAAATCGCAGTTGCAAGTATTTGTGATTTGATGGCGTAAGCACTATTTAAATATCCTAAAATCTGAATCAACATCAACATAAATTTGACTTATATTTTACAGTACAGAAAATAATTTCACTGGCAGAAATTCCAATTTATGTTATAAGTTTTGATCAATTTTGACGTAAAATCTATAGATGACATCGACAAACGATCGATACAGAGCGAAGTCATTTATTTTTTGTCAAAAACAAATACTTCTTGGGTTGAACATCTTTTTGTAGCTGAGTCTGTTTCTAGCTTTGGTCAGTTTCGATTCGCTTTTTTTGGTTGATTACCCTTCCGGCCTTCCCTGTTGTTGGGTGATCTGTAAACTTTCACAAAGTATCAATATATAATTTCAGTATTAAAAGAAAAGAAAAAACTAAAACTTGAAGACAAATCTACATGTTAATTTTGACCGTTAGCTGTTAGATTCGATGAAGATCAACGGTTAGCACTTGATCCACTAGACTCTCCGATAGTGGCGTGCGGCGACACGACTAAGTTTCGGATGTCTCAGTTCTTGTCTTCTTGATAAATGTCATACACTCATATCCATATCTCTTTTTCTAATTCATACAAGTCTTATGCGTCTTTTATCCAACAGAAAGATAATCCATCTTACTTTTCTTAAGTGTTGAAATTTTATTTTCTGGAAAATAATGTATATAGAATGTAGAATGTGGACCGCATGTCCGCATGTATATACATTAGTTGGCAGTTGAATGACTTCAATCACACGTATTACAGAGTTGTACTTGTGCTGAAATTTTTGTTTCTTACGAAAATATACATTTTGTCCTTTTCTAACATTTATAATAAAAAAAGAATGAAAATAACCGATTGAATAATTACTATACTTGTGATTCGGGCTGCATTCAAAAGACTTGCAAACGAGATGGTACATCGTTCTGCAAAATATCACGTTTTCATGTACAGTAGTGACTAGACAATGAGTCAGAAAATCACCATCCCATCGTTTAATAGAAATTTACACGGAAACTCCATATTTTGAAATTCATGCACATTTTGTTTTTTTGTTTTATCATAATATTAGTAAGCTTGGTAATTGACAGCCAGATAATGACTTTGATGTGTTATATGTATCTCATGGTAAAACTAAAATTGAACATTACGATATCGGATTACAGAAAGAAAAAGTCCATAAATAATGGGCCTTAAGGCCCTTAATAATCACAACAAATGATACAATCTACACCTTTCAATCCAAGGTTATTTTCGTCATTTGCTACACTGAAAACCCTAATATTTACGGAGACTGGCCATCTCCACCGTCGAGCAACCAAAAACCATCCCTATATATAAACAAGAATTACACTTTCTCCTCACACATCTCATACTTCTCCAGCCGATTCTCTTGGGTTTCTAGTTAGTCACAGCTCCGCATTAGTCTCGATTGCTTAGTAAATGTTAGATCTTGATTCACTTTCAGTTTAATCGCGAGTTTTGATTTTGGTTTTGTCATCGTCTGTTTAGTTTTAGGTTAGTGTGTGGGCTTCATCATCTAGTCGATGTGGATTTCAGTTCCCATAGGACTCGTTCCCTTGAAGCAATATTAATCGTGTTGCTCTCGTTCTTTCTAAATCCTCCCTAATTATTACACAGCATCGTACTTGTATGATGCCGATTCGGGAGCATAACTTGAGCTACTATAAATCTTGTTGTTTTGTTTTTCTTTGTTATTGATTGTGTGAAGAACAGTGATGAGTCAATTTACAGACCTGTAATGATTGCGGTAATGATCGCATTATTATGAACATCTAAGGGACTGAGTTCTTTTTTTTTTATAAAAGATTTGTGGCTTTTACATGATATAAAAATTCATGCTTTGAATAAATTTTCATGTGAAGCTTGTTTATTGAATGTATTAGCCTACAGAAAATTTAGTTTCCCTCGCTATCCTGTTCGTCAATTCCGATGATGTTACTTAGGACGTCGGGTAACAATATCTGTTTTTGTTATTGGACTTGCTTTTTTTGTGTTTGTTAAGATTGATCAAATGAGGAAAACTTTTGCCAAGTTGTTGAATGCTCAGAGTTTCTCTGAGTGTTATGATTCAATTCACTTGATAGGAAGATCTGATGATTTGTTTTGCTAGTTTTAAATTTCGTTTTTTTAAACGAACGCGAAGCCGGTGATGATTAGATTGAATGGTTGCTGAAAACTAAGTGTTGAAAAGCATCTAACTTGACTAGGACGGTCTGAGGCTTTCTTTAAAAAATTTGTTTTGTATTGGTTGTGGATGATGAGAAACAAAAATCAAAATACAGTTATCCCTGGCTTAGGCTTTTAAGCCGGTGCTGAGTCTTTTGTAATCTGACACAACACACCTTATATGTTCGTTTTTTGTTTCCTTTTCTCTTTGCCTTGGTTGGATTATTTCACTTTAGAAATTTGTCATCTTTAATGTTGTTTTGGTTTTGAATCTATTTTGCAAGTTTGATATCGTAGTGTGGCGAAGTGATGTAAATTTGTACCGATTGTCCATGTGCAAGAGATAAGACTTGCAGTAATGAACAGAATTATATTAGTGACTACCGATCATTACAAGATTGTAGCATATTTAAACAGAAATTGAAAACTTGTGACAAAGTTTACATGGTTTTGTTGTGTATGATGAGAAACAAAAATCAAAACACAGTTATCCCTGGCTTAGGCTATTGAAAGTCGATGCTGAGTCTTTTGTAATCTGACACGTTATACATTTTTTTTTTTTCCACATCATCGAGTTCTTTAGGATAGTTTGTGGGCTTCATCATCTAGTCGATGTGGATATACCGTTCCCATAAGACTCGTTCCCTTGAAGCAATAATGATCGTGTTGCTCTTGTTCTTTTAAATTTCTCCCTAATCATCATACAGCATCATACTGTTAATTCTAGTATTATGCCGATTCGGGAGCGTAACTTGAGCTACTACATATCTTCTTGTTTGTTTGTTAATTGATTGTGGGAAGAACTGTGATGAGTCAATTTACAGACCTGTAATGATTGCGGTAATGATCGCATTATTTTGAACATCTAAGGGACTGAGTTCTTCATTTTTTTTCTGTAAAAACTAGTGGCTTTTACATAATTTAAAGATTCATTCTTTGAATATATTCATTGAAAAATTCATTAGCCAACAGAAAATTTAGTTTCCCTTGCTATCATTTTCGTCAATTTTCCCCTGGTGAAGCAATCTTTGATTATCGTTTGGTTTTTGTGTAATCGAGAAACAAGGGCATTTTTATTGTTTTTTTTTATATCTTATTTTTCATCCCAAGTCCGATGAGAAAGCACATTGCAATTCGAGACAATTTCTGTGAATCGCGAATTGCCAAGTCTGACATTTGTATTGGCCTAAAAAGAAAATGAATTGTTGAGAGAAGAAGTTAACTGTTGATTCAATTAACCTTGTGGGGTAAAACTGAGGTTATAGTGCTTTATTAAGAGAACAAAGTTTGATAATTGTTTTTAAGTGTGATTTGATGTTTTTTTGGCATTAAAGCGTTGATAAAAATTTGAAATTCTTTGTATAAATATTGAGATTGTGGATGAAACCACAAAATATTGAGATTTGAGACTTGGGCTTGCTTATGACTTCATGAAGACAATGCTCCTGACTTGTAACGCACTGTATGCAGCAAAGTTTCCATTGTTTGTTTACATCAAAAAAGTGGTAAAATAAACAAAATCGCTTTCAATTCTTCTTCACTGCATGTATTCCAGTTTCCAATTACTATGGTCACATGGAGCTTGCTTCTCTAACTATTTGATTCATGTCCATCTCATCCATTATTTCATCATATGCTCTCTCAAAAGATTGAGTGATTTGAAGCTAATCTAAATGATAGGCTTTTAACGTGTGGAAGTGTCTATATGCATCTCATGCATTAACCGAAATCGTGATTTTGGAGCTTCTCTACCTATTTGATGCATATAGACACTTCCACACGTGACGTGCATTCATTTAGATTACCTTCAAATCACTCAAATAGTTTTTCAAAAAAATAAACGTAAATTAGAATGAAGGTTAACTAGACAAATACGCCACTGCCACATGCTACAACATCTTTATGAAGACGAACAAACCCTCGGCATTTATATCTTCTCGGGGATAATTCAATCTCCTCACCTTTTTTTAGCTACGGAAGTTTGAACATTTTAAGAGAAAAAAAAAACAAGAAAAGTTAGTTGTGGTGTTGGTTCCGCAAATTAACGAATAACATGGATATGCTTGTCACCATTCTCGATCTTCTTTTTCCTCCTTTTACCATCATTTTTCTCGTCCTCTTTTATCCATTTTATCTTTTGCTAAAACTTATAATTTATATCAGTAAGCACCTTCGTTTCGAAAATGTAGCCGGAAAAGTAGTTCTAATCACCGGAGCTTCCTCCGGCATTGGAGAGGTACTTAATTAGTCTATGCTTTTTTTCTTACTCATTTGTTTCATTTCGTTATTTGTCTTCCGTATAATTTTTATTGACGAAAACCAAGTATATAGCGACTAGCAGTTTCGTTAATTACTTTTAGGCTTTTGTTCAGTATACTGTCTGATTAAGATTGTTATATTTTATAAAGCATCGTGCATCATATATATATTATTATTGATCTAAATACAATTTTTTAAAAAGAACTAAATATATAGATTAGCATTAGTTGATAGATATTTGGTTGATACTGTACTTTTTGTTTTGCTTTTGTTGTGTTAAAAAGCATATCGCATATGAGTACGCAAAGAAAGGAGCACATTTGGTTCTGGTTGCTCGAAGAAAGGATCGTCTAGAGGTAGTAGCAGAACAATCACGCCAATTAGGATCTGGTGATGTCATTGTCATACCTGGTGATGTTGCTAACGTTGAAGACTGCAAAAAATTCATCGATGAGACCATTCAACATTTTGGAAAACGTAAGTGCTCAAACTAAAGAAAACTTTTCTACATCATATATAATATTACTATGGATGTGATGAAATTGACAACGTTTTAGTGATGTCTTGTCTTTTTTTTTTGGGTTTTAACAAAATAATGCAATAGAGATATTAAAACTCATGACATCTGTCATCTAGAACAAGTCCGTATACACACTACCATTTTGTCACGATAAGTTTTGTTATTTTTAGTGAAATATATTTAGCTGGTTTCTAATCAAGTTATCATAATTAGGCAGTAGACCACCTGGTCAACAATGCTGGAATAACTCAGACTCTTCTTTTCGAAAATTACACTCAAATACAAGAAGCTAATCCCATAATGGTAAGTTTATACATACATTCATTAACAAAAATCTGCAAACAATCAAACCATGTTTTGAATATTCGTTTAATGTGTATTTTAAGGATATAAACTTTTGGGGGTCACTTATTTTGCAATTCCTCATCTTCGGAAAAGCAAAGGCAAAATCATTGTGAATACTTCAGCTTCAGCAAATTTACCTTTTCCATTGAATAGCGTCTATTCAGTAAGTGTTTTTTTTTCCCCTGAAATAACTGGATAAGCAACTCTTTTATATATTTTTTTATTTCTTTTAAAACTACTTGTGAATAGAAATTTTTATAATAATGGATATTACTTTATCACTTTTGTAGGCGAGCAAAGCAGCCTTATTAAGATTCTTTGAGACATTAAGAGTTGAGCTCAATCCAGATATCAAAATAACAATTATATTCCCTGGAGTCATAGCCACAGATATGAGCAGTCCTCGCTTTATAGAACAGGTAAGTACTTGTACCTAGTTTTATACCATGATCGACTACATCTGACATCTTTTTATTTTTATTTTTTTGGATATAATTTCTCGAAAAAAACAGTACGGTTCGGATTTTATTCTGTCGCAATCGGTAAGTAAATGCGCAAAAGGAATATTCAGAGGAATTGGTAGAGGAGAGACATACATATACGAACCTAGTAGAGAGAAATGGGTGCTTCTGTTGAAGAATCTGTGTCCTGAAATTGTTGACTACTTAACCAACTGTTTGTTTGTTCGTTATGGCAAACCTTATTTCAAGCGTGAATGATCAATTTAACATTCATACCAAAAAAAAAGCGTGAATGATCATATCTATCGAATATCTCTCTACTAGTCTTCAATAATGGTCGTGTTCCCATCATGGACATGGAACTGCTTTGTGTTTTGTTAGTTATTGAAATACTGAAGGGGATTGTTAACTCAACTTCTAAATTATGTTATTTTTTTATGTTTACGATTCTACTGTTGTTGGTTTGTAATTTCTTATGTACAGTATAAAATTATGTTTCACTGGTGTTGTAATTTGTAATTCCATTTCAAAATCTTTTGTTATTCATTTTGTTTTAGTTATCATTGATATTACAGTTCTTTTAAGATTTGGTGTTACCGAAGCAGTGATTTTTTATTTATTTAGATACTATTTTTTTTTTTTAAATGGGGTTGATGTTTACACAAAAAAAAATTACATAACGAATTTGAATATTTTAGATGCATGGTTAGGTCAATGCATGTGAAAGCATTCATCATTTAGATGACCTTAAAATCACTAAGCATTTGAAAAAGAAAAACGTAATTGAAGGTTACTAAAGAGGGAAGCCATTGCCAGTTTGCCACTTGGTAGTTGCTACTTCTTAACGAGGGCCGACAAACGCTCTGCATAGCATTTACTCGGTGATAATAATTACAATATTAAATACTTCATCTTCTAGCTTTAATGTGTGTCTACTAAAATAGACTTCTCTTGTAAAGTAATAAAGTTTGAACATTTTAAAGAAAAAAAAGATAGAGGTAAGTAGAGGTGTTGGTTCGGCAAACGAACCACATGGATATGCTTAACACCATTCTCAATGTTCTTCTACCTCCTCTTACCATCATCTTTCTCTTTCTCTTTTACCCATTTTACCTTTCGATCAAACTTTTGATTTGTCTCTATAAGCACTTTCGCTTCGAAAATGTAGCCGGAAAAGTAGTTCTAATTAGCGGAGCTTCCTCCGGAATCGGAGAGGTAAGCTAGCTCTGGATGCTATGCGTTTTCTTTTCATGTTTCATTTTCGCCTTAGCTATAATTATTTAACGACGAATAACACCAAGTAAATCTAGTCCTTTGGTATCTCTTCAATAGATTGTCTGACTAAGATCTAATCAGTGATTTCTTGGACATTGTAAATGATTGCAAGTTGTAACGAATTAATTAATATTTTGTCATCCTGTGTGCTGCTAGCTAATCATATTTCATGATATGTAGATTAATTTACCGGTTATGAACCATAGCTATATTGGTACAAATAAAGTTAGGAAATAACATACATGTATGTCCCACATGATTTGGTTGATATGGTTTATGATTTTGCTTTTGAGATCCCAACATGTCGTGGATAAAGTCGACTCTTGTACGCTACAAGTTGTAGCTATCCCAACATGTCGTGGAGTATATTTATGGATCATATTTAATTTGTAAGAATATATAAATTAAAAAGCATAATATAGTTGATTTAAATTTTCGACAAAAAAAATGATTTAAATAGGAGACTATTAGAACAACCAAATATATAGATCCACACAAATTGGTTTAGTTAGGTGGTTGAAAGTGTTTATGTTCTTGTTTTGTTGGATTGGAAAAAATAAAGCATCTAGCATATGAGTATGCAAAGAAAGGAGCATATTTGGCTCTCGTTGCTAGAAGAAAGGATCGTCTAGAGATAGTAGCAGAAGCATCACGTCAATTAGGATCTTCTGATGTCATCATCATACCTGGTGATGTTGCTAACGTTGAGGACTGCAAAAAGTTCATCGATGAGACGATTGGACATTTCGGAAAACGTAGGTACTTAAAAGAAAAATAAAGATTCTCTACATCTTAATCTTCATTTGTGATTTATCATTTTTATACAGTAGACCACCTGATCAACAATGCTGGAGTATTTCAAACCGTTCTTTTCGAAGATTTCACTCAAATTCAAGACGCTAATCATATAATGGTAAATATATCTCTTAAGAACTATTTACTAGTTATATTTAGAAATATACTTAATGTTTTAACATGTAAATGTAAACTCAAATCAACAATCAAACTCCTTTCTTTTTTGTTAAAGGATATCAACTTTTGGGGATCAACATACATCACTTACTTTGCAATTCCTCATCTTCGAAAAAGCAAAGGAAAAATCATTGTGACTACTTCTGGTTCAGCAAATATACCTTTGCCATTGGCAAGCATCTATGCAGTAAGATCTTCTTTAGAAAGAATAAACAAGTCTCTGTTATCTTGGTTACATACTTGCATAGGACTCAACAGCATGTTTACATAAGACTGATGTTAATTTCTTGGTTATTGTTTTTTTTTTCTTTTTTTCTTTTTGACCAAAAGGCATCTTGGTTATTGTTGTAGGCAAGCAAAGCAGCATTGTTAAGATTCTTTGAGACATTAAGAGTTGAGATAACTCCGGATATCAAAATAACAATTGTTATACCCGGAGTCATAGCTACAGACATGACCACCCCTCACTTCATAGAAAAGGTAAAGAAATAACACCTACACTGTACACTGTTCACATACGGCATTTACTAATTTTTATGTGTTTTTTTTAATGTTTTACTGTAAAAATATACTCCATAGTATACTTCAGATTTTATCATGTCGGAATCAGTGAGTAAATGCGCAAAAGCAATCTTCAGAGGTATTTGCAGAGGAGAGTCATACATAGTAGAGCCATCTTGGTTGAAATGGATGTTTTTGATGAAAAATGTTTGTCCTGATATCGTTGACTATTTAGCCAGCTATTTATTTCTTCGTTATCTCAAGCCTTCTTTTAAGCGTGATTGACTGTTTTTATATCGTGCGTCGTAGATTCACAACTTGTACTTTTGTACTATTTTTTTCTACCATAGTGTCGCAAACAGAGAATTTGTATGAAATCAAGATCGAGGGATGGTTCATTAAGGTCTATAAGTAGATGAAAATAAAATATCTGATCGACAAAACCATCTGAAGTACTATGAAAACCCAAGAACTAAGGTTGCATTAACCATAAACAAAATATGAAGGAACAAAAAACGATTGAAGACATTGTTTCCTTAAAAGAGGTTTTGGAAGCATAGAGAGACTTTGTCTAAGAGTCGGCAATAGTGACCTCGACCTCAACACCAGGTTCAATGGTGATTGAAGTGATCTGCTTAACCACCTCAGGGGAGCTGAAGAGATCAATCACTCGCTTGTGAACCCTAAGCTCAAACCTGTCCCACGTATTGGTTCCTGTTCACACAAACACCATAAAAACAGTGTCAAGGTCTTCAGAAAGTGCTTGTATGACACAAAAAGTAGAATATATTCTGAGAAGACACACATTAGGTGCAAATGAACATGTAGAATATGTAGTAGAAGAGAAGAGGATCTGAGAGAGTACCTTCACCACAAGGTGCCTTTCTGGTGGTGATCTTAAGAACCTTGGTGGGCATCCTCACTGGTCCTTTAACTCTGAGTGACTTGTCCTTAGCTCCACGGACCAAGTCAGTGCACACTACTCAAAACAAAAGCATCATAGAGAAAAACTATTCAGTATTCAACCATCTTTGTCTCATTGAATCTATTCAACATCAAATATCTCTAGGACTAGACAGCTGATCAATTCAAGAGAGGTTGATAATGTCAAGAAAGTTCAACAGCACCAAAAGATCAAACTTTTTAACGAGAGTCCATGATTGATGAGATGTCACTCAAATACAATGACTAAGCGATCCAAATACTAACATTTTGGGATTTTTCCTAGATTTCTTCTAAACCGAAAATTCTCTGAGACTAAAACAGCTTATTAGTTCAGTCGATTAATCAAACGATTCAACAAGATCTGACCTTTCTCGAGGTTCGACACATTCTTGGAAGAGAGAGTGATCCTGATCTTATGGATTTGGTCGAGGGGCTCCTCTAAACCGGCTTTACCAGGTTTCATCGCTTGATACGCCATTTTCTTTGTTCTTCTGCAACATAACAGAACATGTATACACTCAGTCACACACAGCTACAAAAATCTCCCGTAAAACATAACATTGTACGTCTTTCATAGATAGTTTCTGGTTTCTGAGATCCCCAAAAATCAGAGGTTCCATTAAGAGAAAGAAGAAGATGAAACTAGAAGTGGTATGTAAAATGTATAATGGCTTTACCAAGTTTTCTTCTTTTGAGCTTCGGAGGATTCTTGCGCCGCAGGACAGTTTGCCGGAGAGGATTGTTAGATGCGGAAGGCGGTTGGTCTCTAGGGTTTATTTTAAAGTCTTCCTCTTGTTTTTAGTCTCCAGAGCCCTAAACGTCGTCGTTTTCTCCTGGAACACCCTATTACATCAAAAGGCCTTGTTTTTGCATTATTGCATCGAGGCCTGTCAAAATGGTAAACCTTCCTTCGTAGGCCCGTTTTCAACTGTGGACAACTATAATTTGGGGTTTTAGTAAATGTTTTGTAAAAATGATTTCTTAATACAAAATTACAATATGCACAAAAAAAAAAAAAAATAATACAAAATTACAAATGGCAAGAATTATCATCAGATACATCATACATATCAATGGCCAGTGGGAGTAATTCGTTTTTATGATGGAAATGTTGGTGTTATTCTAATGATTTTAAAACCTTTTCTTCTTAAGGCGAGCATGAAAAATGTTATGGGCTTGCAGACATGGATAATTTAGTTGGTATGGTTATGGCCAAAGTCAGTCAAGAGAAGTTTAAGCATTGCTTGAATTTGCTCCATGTTTTTCATTATTAAAGGAATACAGAATTTTCCGGAGATGTTAAAAATTGGGTTGAGATTTGATAAAACGATGATACATTAAACTTTTCGTCAAGGTTATCTAAAAATATGAGAATTATTATGTCTTGTAATGGACCTTTCCTCCTTGTCAATTTTTGTTTCATGTTCCTGCTTGTATAGTTGTATCGGAGCCTCTGAGAGTACCTTTATATGTGACATTATGGTTTGTAAAAGACTACTACAACGGTTATTGAAAAATCATGCCAGAGAGATACAGTATTAGAGTTTTTTGAAAAGCCCACTATA